CTAGCACTGCCCCCCAATCCCCTGCCAAGCTCACCTTAAGCAACCTGCCCTGCTGGGCTCTAGCTCCCTCCCAGATGTGCAGGAGGGGATCTGCCTCGATTGATCCCTAGCTTTGAATCCCACCCTCCAGTGCACACACGATACAGTAATTATTATAATCTTTATTGTCCTTGTCCCATCCAGAACAATGAAATTGAAAAAATCTGCACCAGACATTCAAAAACCAACAAGCCTGCTATCCCAGCCTGGTTCAGCCCCTAACAACTCTGATACCCCATTTCTAAATACAATATACTCCCATACAGACTCCTTACAATGCATTTAATACCAAAATCGCCTTTGGGTAGAGACTGCTTCTCAGGCGGCTATTCCTAGTCTTTATAACCCTGGACCTTCTTCCAGAAGGCAGAAGCTGAAAGAGATCATTTCCAGGGTGTGCACTATCCTGCGCTATCTCTGCAGCTTTCTTATGGCACCTGGAAGCGTAGATTTGATCCAAGGTGGGAAGAGTGCACCCAATTATTCTCTCCACCAATGTCCCCATAAGGACACAGGAAGAGCCCGTGCAGGATCAGGCCCATGTCCCTTCTAACCCGGCATCCTCTTCTCACAGGGGCCAACCAGATGCCCCAAAGGGAAGCCCACAAAGGGTTAGGGCAACTCTCTCCCCCTGTGGTTTTCAGCCTCTGGGATTCAGAAGCATCACTGCCTCTAACGATGGAGGCAGTCCACCCTGGCTAGTGGCCATCAATGGCCCTCTCCCCTCCATGGATTTGTCCAGCCCATTTTTACAGCCATCCAAGTTGATCGTCACTGCCTCCTGCAGCAGGGAGTTCCATAGTTTAACTTTGTAATGAAGTCCTTTATTCACTGCTGTTTTTCTAGAAGAGAAGAAGAAGAAGAGTTTGGATTTGATATCCCGCCTTTCACTCCCCTTCAGGAGTCTCAAAGCGGCTAACATTCTCCTTTCCCTTCCTCCCCCACAACAAACACTCTGTGAGGTGAGTGGGGCTGAGAGACTTCAGAGAAGTGTGACTAGTCCAAGGTCACCCAGCAGCTGCATGTGGAGGAGCGGGGAAGCGAACCCGGTTCCCCAGATTACAAGACTACCGCTCTTAACCACTACACCACACTGCCGGAACCGACCACGAACGCCTCCCTCGTTCTCTTATGCACCCACTGGAGAGCTGCCGGAAGTGAGTTCTGGCTGGAAAAAAAGCTCTGCCTTTATTTGATCCACTCTGAATTTTCCAACATTCAGCGTCGATTTCTAGTGTTACAACAGAGGCAGAAAACTCTTCTCTATCCCCTTTCCCTAGGCTATGTGTGATTTTGTGAACTTCTGTTGTGTCTCCTCTCCCTCACTTTTTCTCTGAACTAAAAAGCCCCAAACTCTGGGACCTTTCTTCGCAAGGGAGCCGTTTTCTGAATCTTTCCCAATTCTGCAATATCCTTTTTGAGGGAAGGTGGCCAGAACCTCCAGGATCTCCACGCTGGCTGGGGGCTGCAAGTCTTGCTGCTCCTTAACGTTCCTCCAGCTTTATTCCTTCACTGAAACCAGAGCCAGCGAAGGTGGGAGCGGCTCTGCTTGGAGTCAAGTGAGAGAAAGACAATCAAATCCCTGGCAGCCTTCTCTCCAGGTGTGAATTTGAATGCCAATATTCTTCTCCAAAGAGGCCTTTGAAGTGCAGCCCAGTTTTTGCAGACCTGGAGGGGAGGGCACCGGGTGAGCAACTGTGGAGTGCTGTGGTGTCACCTGCCCTGGTTACCAGAAGGCAAGAAGAGCCTGGCTGCTGGATCAGGCCCATCTTGTCCAGCATCCTGTTCTTACAGTGGCCAGCCAAGGAAACCAGCAAGCAGGCTGCCCCCTCCTGAGGTTTCCAGCTGCTGCTGCTGCTCCAAAGTGTTGCAGACTGACTGCAGAGGCAGAGCCAAGCCACTATGGCTAGCACAAGCTGCTGGCCAGGAGATTATCTGTTTTTAGAGGCAGCAGGTGGCTAAGGAGACCAGTAAAATGGGCAGGGATGGGGCAAGCTACAGTTGGGGTGGGTTATGGCTCAGTCCAGAAGATCTCAGGTTCAGCATCTTCCAAATACGATCACCTGCCCATGGGTGGAAGAGAAAGAAGCATCAGCTAATGGCCCAGCATGCAACAGAGCCCGAGTCTCAAAATGCGAACCAAGACCTCAGCCATTATAAAGCAGTTTTCTATGTCCCCCTCTATTCGGAACAACGAGGACTAGGATCTGAAGTGGTGGAAGAGGGAGAATAGCTTTGGTTTCCTGGGAGAGGCTGCAAAAGGCTTCCCTCTAGGTGAGAGATTTCCAAAGTACTGCCCCCTGTGGGGTATTGGAATTTTCTGGGGGTCACTAAGAGGCAAGGGGGTGTTGAAGGGATACATGACTATCAGACTTTGAAAAGCTGCTGTCCCGGGATAAAGTTCACCTGTTTTGTTCAAATCCTTAAACTAAATTGTTTTAAGTGGGGTTTGAACAAATGTGCAATTAATTGCTGCTGTTTTGAGTTGTATTGTGTTATTGGGGCAAAGCACTGTTCTGAATTATGCTTTTTACAGGGTAGGGGGAACTGGGGACCAAGGAGGCAGTGGCTCAAAAAATGTCTGGGAACCAACTGCCCTAGGACTCTCCTCAACCAAGCAGGTTTTTAGGCTTGTGCCAAGCAAGTCTCCAAGTCAGCAGAGATGGGCAGAATGGGACCACCAGGCCTCTAACCGCCCACTGACCTCTCCAGCTATAAGCAAAGAGCCTGGCCAGCTCAGCTCTTGACTAATCCCAGCTTGGAATCGTATTAGGTGGCAAGTGGATCCTTAACCATTTAAAAAACAGCCTGCATTAGCCCTTGTCCCCCTTCCAGCAGCCCCCCTGGGGTGGCACCGACTCACACTGCCATGTTCCTTCAGGGGCCTCCAAAAGCAGTTGTCTGTCTTGCGTACCCTCCTTGTAACCTGCCATGTGCCTAACTGTAGAGATGGAAAGGGAACCCAAAGGGCCATCTAGTCCAACCCCCTGGCGAGAGTTCTCAAAAGGGACCTCTGCGCTCAAAAACTTGTACAAGCGCAGGAGCCAGGCCCTTGGGGAAAGCAAAGCAGAGCTGGCAGCTTGCTTACTTCCCAGAAGGCCAAGAGGCTTGAGAGCTTGGCTTGCAGTTGAAAGGAGGCCACGTCACAAGGCATTTGGTAGGTGAGCAAGGAATGGAGTGGCGCTTGCTTCTCAAGGCTGGAGAATGCAGAAGCAGCGCAGTGCGAGGCGAGCCTGCCCTCTAGCGTACGAGCTTGGGAGCTGCAGTGAGCGACAGCCATGCGCTTGGACAGGGTGGCCCACATCCCGCTGTGCGCAAAGCTCACACTCTGATACCGAGGCCACGGAAGCCGAGGATTCCTGCAGTAAGAACCAGGAAGACTGCAGCTCCCAGGCGGCAGCTGAGAGGCAGTGCGGTGTGGTGGTTAGACTGTCTGACTCAGGCCAGGGTTCAAATCCCCACTCTGCCGTGAGACGCACTGGGTGTGACCTTGGGCCGGTCACGGCCTCTCAGCCTAACCTACCTCACAGGGCTGTTGTGGGGGTTAGAATGAGGAAGGAGAGCAGCAAGCATGCCTCCTTGAGCTCCTTGGAGGAAAAGGCCAGGATATAAATGCAATTGAATGACTGATGCCAGGGGGTAGGGGGAGGTTTTGGATGGAGAGACAGTCAAAAGGCTCCTGCCAATTTGCTCCTACCAACACAATGCAGCTCTCAGCTTCCTCCCTCCCAAGAAACACTGTCCGGTCTGTCCTGACACTCAGTGTCCTGGTCTAGCACATGCCAGGGGAAATGCATGGCCCGCCAAATGTTGTCGGGCATTTTCTTGAACTCAAGTGGTCAGCGCCCAGCAGCCACCATGGCTGGAAGTTCCCGATTCAGTTCCCAGCGGCATCCTCTACAGGGGAGACATCCCTGCCTGAGACCCCAGAGAGCTGCTGCTGCCAGTCAGTGTAGGCACAGCTGAGCTGCTATTACTCAAGTTAGCTGACCCTTTACCAGCAGGTCCCAGGGTGGGTTACAATAATATAAAATCCAATTATGCCAAACAAATTGCCATTGTGGGAATAGGTGCCAAGATGGACTATCCAGTCCAGCCCCCTGTTCTCAAGGTGGCCAGCCAGATGCCTCTGCTGGGAAACCTGCAAGCAGAATTCGACACAAGAGCAACTCTCCCCTCCTGTGGTTTCCAGCAACTGGAATTCAGAAGCATCGCTGCCTCCCAGCTGTGGAGGCAAGAGCACAGCCATTGTCGCTGTCTCCTCCATGGATGTGTGCGATCCTCCTTTCATACTCTGTGCAACACGGGTGTTGGATGTCAGGATCAGGGCTCTCTCTATGCCACCCTTGGGACTCTTGCCTCACTGGCCTCCCCCCCGTTCCTTGCATGCTTCTGCCTAGCTGGTCTGTGCTGCTGAATGGTGACCTTGTCTCTCACTTGCCAGGGTGGGGAGAGGTGCCGGCGTTAGCACAAGTCATGGAAAACCGCTCCAGCTTTGGAGCGATTGGACCCTAAAAGGCAAAGTCACTTCCATAACTTCCCCTGAGGACAGGTGGGCTCCCTGCTTGCCCTTGTGGGAATGGGGCCTCTCAGGCTGAAAAGGAGTCCCTAACCCCTCATGGGTGGGATGCGGGTGGCACTGAGGGTTAAACCACAGAGCCTAGGACTTGCCAATCAGAAGGTCGGTGGTTCGAATCCCCACGATGGGGTGAGCTCCCGTTGCTCGGTCCCTGCTCCTGCCAACCTAGCAGTTCAAAAGCATGTCAAAATGCAAGTAGATAAATAGGAACCACTCTGGCGGGAAGGTAAACGGCGTTTCCGTGCGCTGCTCTGGTTTGCCAGAAGCGGCTTAGTCATGCTGGTCACATGACCCGGAAGCTTTACGCCAGCTCCCTTGGCCAGTAAAGTAAGATGAGCACCGCAACCCCTGAGTTGGCCACGACTGGACCTAATGGTCAGGGGTCCCTTTAACTTTAACCCCTCATGGCACAGAGACACTTCCCACCCCCAACTTTCCAAGAACACCCACAACAGTGCAGGCAGGCTTTGGGCAAGGTGGACGGACCACACTCAGGCACCCTTCAGAAAGGGTTGCGGGAGACAGAGAAAGCGTGACCAGAGATTTGAGGGGTTTTTTGGCTTCACTTTTTTATTTTTTGTTCCTGCAGACCAAAAAAAATAAAATAAAGAGAGAGAGAAAGAGAGAAGAAACTCTAGTTTGGATACCCGTAGCACATGAGCAGCAGCTTATATTAATAACAGTAATTATAATCAGTGAAGTGTTTTTTAAGGAAAATACAGCAGCAGTTTAAGACCATCAACCTTCCTCCTCCCCCCCCCATGCAGAAGATCTTCCCTGCTCCTGGGGGGTGAGGGGCACTGTGGACACCCCATGGGAACCTGCAAGGGTCACTGCTTTTGCTCTGAGGGCTCCCCAAATGCTTCCCCTCACACCCCAACCTGCAGAGAGACGGGGGAATCTCTCCAAGTGGCAGCTGCAGGACTTTTCTGCATTCTGAGCAAAACTGTGGGCCTGTAGCTTGATTCTGGGAAGGGGGGTGGGGGGAGAGAAGAGGGAGGTGCTGTCTTGGCGTTACTGGAACTGCGATGAAATAGGACGGGGGCTCCTACAGTGCTCCAACAGGCCTCTACATCCTTCTCCCCCCATTCCTAGGAGGCCCACACCTTTCTGAGTAGTGGCCCAAGGAGGATGGACTGTAAGGAAAAGAAGGTGCAAAGGGACAGTCGTGTGTCCCTCCTCCTCTTCAAGGTGAACACGCTGCATGATGCCCACCGCACCAAGCTTGTAAAAACATGGCCGCAGGTCAAGAACGGAGTGGTCAACAGCCAATGTGTCTGAGGAAATGCTCCCGTCCCTTTGCTAAAGGAAGTCTGTTTAAAACTAGTTTCTTTGTAGTGGTGGTGCTGGGGAATTGGGCAGCACCAAGGCAGGCTGCAGGCCCTTCACTTCCAGCCCAAATTCCGCAAGGGGGGCAGGGGGAACATGTGGGTACTTTGCGGGGAAGGGAGCACCTCAAAGCTGAGCTAGTGTAGGCCCTGGCCATCACCGGAGAAAAAGGGGCCACGGTGGTTAAGTGAGCTGTGCTGGACCCCTGATTTAGGAGCTCAAAAAACAACAGAAAAAACAAAACTATGAAGATACACGGAGGTGCCTCTCCACAAAAACGACAGCAACAACAGTGATAATTCGAGAGAGGGGGGAGAGGTCTGGGCACTAGCTCTGCCGTGTGGGGGGGGGCAGTCTGGGGGCTAGCTCTGGCACTGCTCTGGGATCAGAAGGTGGAGGAGTTAAAAGGAGCTGCAGTTTAACAGTCTAAGCTTGGTACCTGGAGAGGTGACAGAGGACAGGGAAGGTTTTCAGTAAAAACATGTCCAGGTATCAGAAGTTTACAGGAACCTTAAAAAACGGAACAAAACAAAAGAGCACCCAGCAGCAGTTGACTGGCTGAGGAGGGAAGCAGGGAGAGGGCTCTGGCCCTGTTGCTGGGGGGGGGGGGGGCGGGTTGCAGGAGAACCCTTCGCTGGAAGTAGGATGGGGGGCAGAAGTGAGATTGGAGACCACCCATTTTTTCACCAAAATGTGTGGACCCCATCTTCTTCCTCCCTCTCCCCAGCAAATTTTAAAAAAAGCAAGCAAAAAGGCCGCAGGGGTCAGATTCTAAGAACAATAAATTAGGATTTCTGTGGCGCTAGGATTTGGCGTAACAGATCAGGCATCCTGTTAAGGCAACGCAAGCCGGCGCATAATTTAATCCGCTTTTTAAAAAAAAGTATTTTAGATCACTGAATCTTGTCCTAAGGAGACAGCGCAACAGCACTTCAAAAAAGGAAGGACCCCACGATTCTTCTAACACCCTGATTGAGGGATTTTTAAAATAGCCAAAGTAGTGCTCAGGATCCTGCAGTGGGTTGGGGGCTGGGGCGGGGAGAGAGATGGCAGCTAAGCTCAAGAAGGTTACCATGGTTTCCTACAGCCCAGAACTAGACACCTAAATCAAAAGAGATACACAGATTTAAAAACTGATCCTAATTTCCCCAACTTCTGAAAAATCCTTAAGAACCTCTAAGCCAACTAGGACGTCACTTTTAAACATTTGGAAATTTTGTCGTGGTTTTCTTTACTTTTTTTTTTAAAAAAAGAAGTTTTTGTCTGATAGCTTTCAGAGTTTAATCCATGCTCGTTAGGGAGAACCGGAGGAGCAACAGCTTAAGGCTTCATTAATTTGTCATCAATGTGTTTTTAGCCCCCACGGGGCTGTGGGAAGGGAAGGGGGGAGAGGGGGGAAGGGGCAGTGGGCGGACCCCCAGAGTGCTACTCAGACCCCACCACGCTACCAGGTAACATTCACACAGAAATATTACACGTCCGAGTTTACAGTGTACAGCAATCGCTTTAGCCAGTGTACAGAGAAAGAATTTTTAAAAAAATGCAGCTGTTAATCATTATTGTGATTATTATTATTTTCGTTTAAACTGCAAACTTGATGGTGATCACTGTATGCTCAAGTTCTGTCTTTGGAGGCAAGGCTGTGAGAGGACGCAAGAAAACTGGGAAAATATTATCCCTCTCTGGCACATTAGCTAAAGTGGTACCTCAGGTTAAGAACAGTTTCAGGTTAAGAACAGACCTCTGGAACGAATTAAGTACATAACCATAGGTACCACTGTATTAAATGTATTATCTTGAAACGCTGTATTTTATTCTGCATGTTCTTGTGAGCCGCTCTGAGTGTGGCTCTGTCATGGAAAAGCAACATACAAATAAACTCATGATGACGACCATGACAAGCCTGTCTGGGGGGTGAACAGGACCCTGGGCATGGGTGCTTTCTTGTAGGGCTGTGCCCCAACAGCACAAACCCCTTCCAAAAATAGCCAGCTCACAGCCTTCCCCACAAATGGGCACCGCAGGGCCTTATGTCTAAGCAATGAAAAGGACCTAGGGGGGGCACAGTAGATGACAAGCCTAACATGTGTCAACCGTGTGATGCAGCAGCAAAAAAAGCAAATGCTATTCTAGCCTGCATCAACAGAAGTCGAGCGTCCCAAGGTGATAAAGGGCCTGGAAACCAAGCCTTGCAAGAAGCAGTTCAGCTGGGAATGTTTAGCCTGCAGAAAAGAAGACTCTGAGAGGCGACATGAGAGCGGTCACGTGGAAGATGGGGCAAGCTTGTTTTCTGCCGCTCCAGAGGGGAGGACCCAAACTGATGACAAGAAGGAGATTCTGGCTGAACATTAGGAATAGCTTCCTGAGGGTAAGAACTGTTTGACAGTGGAATGGACTACCTGGGAAAGAGGGTGAACTCTCCTTAGCTGGAGGTTTCTAAGCAGAGGTAGCCACCTGCCAGGGTTTCTCGAGCTACAATTCCTGCACTGCAGGGGGCTAGACCTCCGCTTAAAAACCTCCTTCGGCAGTTAGCCACCAGGATCACCAAAGTTTGCACGTTTAAAAAAAAAAAAAGCAATAAACCAAAAGGAATAAAACCAAACAAACAGCCACACACCTTTTGCTTATTAATTCAAATTAAGACTAACCCTAATCTTCGCTCTGGTCAGTGAAAAGTGACGGCTGCCTTATCTATACCCTGGGTGCTGAATATGAAGGCTGCGACTATCCGCGGGATCGTGGGCTCGGTTCATGGCGGGGCGGGGGGCTTTGCTCAGCACCCCCCCGCCGCCCTGCTGCTCCCGGAGGCAGGAGTGCTGGAAGTCCCCGCTCAGGTATTCCATCGTCTGCATCAGGCCGCCCTGGGCAGGCGGGCCACCGGCCCCGGCCCTGTAGTGAGGTCCGCCTGTGCACTCCAGGCCGGCCCCCAGGGGCTGCCCCCCGCCTCCGCCGTGGAAAGGCATCGCCAGGTCCTGGGAGCCCGAGCTGTCGCTGTTGGGCGTGGGCAGAATGTTATTCCACAGGGGCTGGAAGTAGTGCCCGTTGGTGTAGGGGGCGGGGCCCGGCAAGCTGTTGACCGGCGGCGAGGGGGTGGGCTTCTCCAGCGGGGGCTTCACGTTGAAAGGCTGGCCCATGCAGAGGTCCAGGGCGTAGCCGGGGGCCTTGCCGGCAAAACCCTGCCCAGGCAGCTCCCGCCCGGGGGGCTTCCCCATCAGGCCCGAGGGGCCGACGGCCTCGCCGCACATCTGCTGCAGGTGAGCAAGCTGGTGCTGGTTCCAGGCTGCCACCTGCTTCATTTCGCTTTGGTAGGCGGGGGGCCCCCGGCCGACGACGCCCCCCAGCGACGGGACACCCATGGCCCCGGGGCCCGAGGGGGGGACCCCAGGGTCCACCACGCAGGAAGGCAGGGGCGTGGGGACGTTGTGGGCGGACACCCGGGTGCTCGCGCTGATCAGGAGGTTGCGGCTGATGGGGCTGGGGTTGGCAATCTGTCCCTCGCACACTGAGGTAGCGCTGATGCCCGCGCGGGCCTGGCAGAACTGGTTGATCTGGTGGACGATGCTGCTCAGGTCCGGGGGCTGGTTCTGCTGCAGCGTGGCAGCCATGGAGAGGGGGATGGTTGAGGTAGACACAGTCACATTCGGGGGGGCGTCGGCGTCGGCCATCTTCCGGCCCCCATGCAGGCCCGCTGCCGGCGGCTGCTGCTGCTGGAGCAAGTGGTTGGCGTGGTGTGGCGGAGGCTGCAGGGCCGGGTGGGCCATGCTCTGCGGGTGCTGCGACTGCTGCAGGGCCGTGGGGATCCCCTGAGGGTGCTGCTGCTGCTGCTGCTGCGCCAAGCCCTGGGCGTGCTGCAGAGCCTGCTGGCGGGCCAACGCCTGCGGGTGGCTTAAAGTGCTGGGTGCCGCGTAGGGGGCGGAGGGGGGGTTCATCATGGCTTCCGGCAGCAGGCGCGTCCGGGTCCCGTCAAAGTCCTTGACGATCCCTTTGGCCGGCGGGGACCGGACGATGGCCAGGAGGCCCGTCTTCACGGAGGCCTGCGACGGCGGGTAGGGGCTGTAGCGCTGCCCGGAAGTGTCCAGCCCGTTCACGGTGCGGCGGATGTGTTTCCGCTGGGGGACCTTGACGCTGTTGGGGAAAATTTTGATAGTCAGAGGATGGCTGGCCACCTTCTTAGCATACGCGTCCAACTCTGCTGGAGTAGGGTGCTGCTGTGCGGCTCTCATTTTCTGTGGAGTGTCCCCTGGTTGGGGGGAAGGGAGGGGTGGGTGGGAAAGAGGAGGAGGAGGAGGAGGAGGAGGAAGGAGAGAAGCAGGAAGAGGGAGAGAGAAAGGCAGAGAGACAGAGAGAGAGAAAGAAAACGAGAGAAAGAAAAGAGACGCCATCAACACTGACTCAACAAACAGCCAGTGCTGCCTCTTAAGAACAAAAAGAACTGCCCCCCCCCCAGAAAGGTCCGTCTAGGCCAGGGGTGGGGAACCCTGTACCCTCCAGATGTCTCTGGACTACAACTCCCATCGTCCCCTGCTATCAGTCATCCTCAGGCTGCCGGGAGTTGCAGTCCAGAGAGCCTCGCAGGTTCCCTGTCCTTGATCTAGTCCAGATATAGACAGAGAGACACTTCTGGGAAGCTCACCAGCAGGGCATAGGTGGCAATGCTCTCCGTCCCCAAACCCCGGTCCCACTGTTTACCCACAGCACCTGGCAACCACCCCCTCAGGTAGACTGCGCCTGAACATGGCGGCTCTCTTCTTTGCTTGAGGCAACAGAAACGGAGCAAAACTTGCTTCTGCTGGGCCAGGACAGATCAGGAGTCCTAAGGCAGGAGCAGCCAAGGTGGTGCCTTCGCCCATACTGTTGCTGGGCTCCCAAATCCCAGCAGTATCCTGCAGCACTGGCCATGCGCAGAGTTGAGAGCCCAGAAATGCCTGGAGGGCCCCACAATGACTGCCCCCCTGGCCCTTCCCTAAATGAGGAGGCGTGTAACTCTTAAGGAAGATATTCAATCTGAATCAGATTGGTCCATCAAAAACAAAAAGAAAGCAGCCCACCAGCCCTTCTAGGTGGGCCATTCCTCAGCTTCACAGAATCATGGAATTGTAGAGTGGGGAGGGGTCTTCAGAGGGTCATCCAGTGCAACCCCCTGCAATGGAGGAAGACAGCTGATGAATCCCTGACAGGCAGCCATCCAATCGTCCTGTCTCAATGCAAGCAACCTCCTCTGAAGCATTCCTTCAACCCAGTCAGATGAGCAGGGTACAAATAATAATAAAAATATTATTATTTATTTGGGTTTTAGACTTAACTCCACCCCCTGCAGCTTCAGTTTAGGTTACTATTCTCTGATTAAAATGAATTTCAAGCATAGGCATTGCTTGGAATCAGACAATGGGTGTGTGAAAAAGAACAAAAAACACCCCGTTCCCAGACGGAAGGGCAGAAGGCAATGGGCAGCCTCCCCCATCGGCAGGCAAGCCTCTCACCCCTCTGGGGGTGACTGAACACCCCAGCCAAAGCAGACATGGAGATAGGGCAAAAATTACCGGCAGAGCCAATCGAAAAGGAGAGGACAGGGAGGCACACAGAGCTGCGGTGGGCAGTCTCCTCTGTGTCCACACATACCCAGAAGAGGAAGAGTAGCTGGGGCTCAAAGGAGCCTCTAATGCCTTGTTTCCTTCTTGCAGCACAGGATTTGGGAGTATGGAAGCTGTCAACCCGCCACGAAGCACTGCAGCTTCAGGGCGGGTTGTAAACCCAGATAAAGCACATTTCACAGTGTCAGCAAGACAAAGGCAACTGTTATAGCACATCAATGGTGCTGAAAAGCACGGTGGAAATAATAGCTGTGAGAACAGTCAACACTTCCTCCGTGACCCCCTGCTTCTTTTTTAGATTTCACTAAAACAGCTTTTTTTCTTTTAAAAACAACTTTAGAATAGAGGTGGAGGAAAGTATGTCCTGCCTGCCCAAGATACTGTGGGGACTCCAACTCCCATCAGCCTCAGCAGCATGACCAAGGGTCACGGCTGCCCCCATCTTGGCTTCTGAAATGATGGGAGAGTCACTCAGGGAGGGAGTTTGCTTAGAAGGGTCCCAAAGGCCACCTCTCTCTGTCTGCGTTGGCCGCAAGGAGAGTGGCTGCTGTCAATCTGGGTGAGCGGTGGAAGGGACCCCAGAGAAAGGTTCCGGGTTCAACCCACAATGAATGGAAGACCCTAAGAGAAGCCTGCTGGGTCAGGCCGCTGGTCCATGATGCAGCCTTCTGTCCTCACAGTGACCTCCTAGATGCCCACATGGGAACTCCTTGAGCAGGACCTGAGCACAACAGCAATTCTCCCCTCCTGGGTTCTCCCAGCCCACAGCTGCACTGTCCAGATTCGTGGTGGTGGCAGCTACTCACATTTCTGAAGTCCAGCGTTCATCTGCGGGTAAGAAAGCAGCTGGAAGGAGAGGTCGCCTGGTCCCGGCAGACAGGCCAGCATGGCAGGCGGTCACTAGCACATGGGGCCCTCGGTCCTCTGCACACTGCAAGGAGAGAGAGAAGGCAGGCAGGTGAGAATCCAGTCCAGCCTGGGGAACAAGGGCCGCCCGCCAGGCTATTATAAAGGCTTTCATTCTTTGGAAAGATTCCCTTCAAAATGTTATCTGCCTTTAAATTCATTGGTCAACTCATATTTGCTTATTATCACAACATAGGTGCCTTTTTTGATATATGGAACAGTAAATCTAATTTGCTTTTTAAAACAAACAGAAGCTACTGCTGATGGTTGGAAGGAAAAGGACCACATTTACCTTTACCGTATTTTTCGCCCTATAGGACGCACCAGCCCATAGGACGCACCTAGTTGTTTTTTTTTTGGGGGGGGGGGAATCAAGGAAAATTTTTTTATTTCCCCCCCAGGTTTGCACAGCCATCCCCAAGTTAGAAGAGGGAGACGGAGCGCACCCTCTCCCTCTTCTGCCTTCAGGGACAGCCTCCCTAGCCTCCGTGGGGCAGCGGCTTGCCCCTCTGTCCCCCGAGTTTGTGGGGCTGGCGGGGGGGGGGGGAGAAGCAAGCTTGCTTCCCCCCCCCGCCAGCCTCCAGATCAGGTCAGGGAATAGCGGGGTGGCGGCGCACCGACCCCTCTCGCTCTCCCGGCTTCAGCGAAAGCCTGCATTCGCCCCATAGGATGCACACACATTTCCCCTTCATTTTTGGAGGGGAAAAAGTGCGTCCTATAGGGCGAAAAATACGGTACTTACTTACTTACTTACACACACACACACACACACACACACACACAGTTTCTAGATGATTATTGATCTAGTATCAACTTATGAGTCTTTACAGATGTGAAGATGTATGCAAAAAGCAGAAGATTCTTCACACATTATTTTTTCGTGGTCCACTGCAGATTTCTCCCGGAATCTCCCGTTACAGAACAGGGGAAGTATCTTACTTTCAAGACCCCAACATTGATCAATGCATTTGCTTTGGGAGGGAGAGACAAATGCAGGACACTGAAGGAAAGAGCATATGAAAGATCCAAGTTCAGACTTGGGAAAAATAAAGGTGTTTGAAATAACAAGATTGAATAGCAGTGGGGTTACTGAAGATGGAAGCCGCAGCAGCCCCCACGCCCCATTCTCAGAACCTAAACCCTGAAACCTATTTGATGTTTCCACCAGGTGGGGGTGCCTGAAAGCAGTCAGGTTGGACGAGATGCTATCTCCTCCTTCAGTGTCTGCCTGACGTGGCAGCATTGGATCTTTATGATGTTTTCAAGGCACAGTGCTTGCCTGGCTTAGCCTTGCAACTCAATTCACATCTGAAGGGGAGTTGGGGGGTGGGGAGTTCATCCATAAAACAAACTATTTTCCTGCATCTGCGTCAATGACATTTTTGGCATTCTGATGGCCAGGAAAGAAGGAGCAAAGGAAGACAGACGCAGACCAGTTTGCAAAAGCTCCTCTTCCTACTTGCCTAAAGGCAGTTCTTACTCACCAGAGGCGATCAGGAGGGAAGCTATTTAAAGTTCTGCTGAGTAGCTTCAAGCTACCCAAGTCCCTTCCCTGCAAACTGCCCAAATGCATAAATTGACAAGCAGGGAGAGATCGGGGCCGAGAAACCCTTCCTCCTGAGCTGCTTGCTTCTAAGGACAGCCTGGCAGCTGAAACAAGCCAAAGGCCCAGCATCCCGGGTGTGAGAGAAGTTTTAAAAATGATGCACAATGTGGATGTCCCCATATCGTGGAAGGGTCTGAGAGGTGCTGGTGACGGGGAGAGAAAGTGGCGGTGGAGGTCAATGCTAAAAACAGTATGATCTGACAAGGAGAAAGCCTCGAGTGCTTGCCTGCCTCTCACCCACTCTCCGTGGAGAACAGGAAGCTACATTAGCACCTTCTCATGCTCTGTGTGCAGGTGGCTTGGGGCTGTGGGAAGCTTCTGGCCTCCTTCCCTGCCCACACACCTCGTTTTTTTCTAACCAACAGACCAGAAAATAGCTGCTCACCTCCTCCCACCTGAGTCGTGGCTTTTAATTTTTTAATTATTAACACCACCCTGCTCTTCCCAGATAAATGGTTCAAAGCACTCTGCAGAGGGGAAAGCCTGGCCTGCACCACCATCCCGATACCATGAGCACATGAACAGGTAAGCCCAGTGGCTGGCCCCAGAACCCACGCAGCACTGGCCGCCCCCCCCCCCCAGTTGTTGTCTGTTCTGGCAGTACTGCACACCAGCCTCAAGTAAAGCCAGCTGGTACTTTGATAGGACACAGCTGTTCAGAGATGGATTCTGCAAGATGGAGGGTGCTTCCGAAGCTCTTAACTAAGTAATTCTAGTTCTCCTCCTCCTCGAGAAGGCTCCAGCACTGAGGCGAAGGAGGAGCAAGCTGAGAGGCAGGGCTACCTCCGGGGCTGGTTGTAAGAAGGCAGGCACAGGAGGGCTGGCTAACGGCAGAGCCCCACTTGGCCAAATGGACCAGCTTCCCCTGCCAAGCACTGATACCTCTCTTCCCCCGCCAGTGGGAGCCCTTCCCAGCCCTCCATGTCTTCTCTGCAAAGCTGCAACGACAACTTTGCAACTTCAGTCTAGCAAAGTTAATAGCGCACCTGTCTACACCAGCATTTGAAATTTGCCAGGCGCCAGGATGCCGCCTGACGTCTCACCATCTGGAGGTGCATGCCTAGAGATTCCTTGGGTTTTGCCTGTTTTCACACACTAACAACGCATTCTGTAAAATTCTATCATCTTATCCGCGCAATCAGAAAAAAATTCAGGAGCCAAAAAGTTGTATTGAAAACTATGATTTGCGAGCCGTCTGGCCCCCAGATGGCAACTGAATGCCACAACAAGTGCCCAATTCTGCCCTTGAGTGTCTGAAAGTCACAGAAGCGCAATCCACGGAAGGTCAAAAGCAAAACTCCTCCTGAGAGAGACCGCACTGTCCTGGAAGGGACAAGAGAGTCAACAGGCCAATGACTTTGTCCAGGGCTTGCACTGGACTCAGGCACTGGCTTCCATGCAAACCTGCTGGGCCCAAAGGCTGGCTTCTCTGGAGGTGGCAGAAGAGGCTTGCTCTCCTTTCCTGGCACCTGCACGATTTGCAAGATGGATATATACACATAAAAGCTTCGGCAGGAAAGCCAGCCTCAGTTCCTGGGCCCTCCTTGCCCATTAATGAAAAGCAATTTATCAGCTCAGCTCTGAAGACTTGGATCTGTCTCTTAACACACGTTCACACCACCCCTTGATGCTTAAAGGGACACACTCAAGGAGAAAGGCTTTGGAGGCGGGGAATCTAATCCCAATCCCCAAGGTAGAAAGAGAGAGCAGTCAATCATTACATGGAGCCTTTTTAGCAAATGAAGCAGGTGACTGGCTGGCTACCCATCAGATCCATCAAGGTGCAAACTGTCCTGGCACAGGAAGTCAGGGTTTGACTCCAGTATCTGGCAAGCCGTCCCCTGCCAGACTCTGCAAACGGATGAGATCAGCATGCAAGTGACCAAATTACTGCATGCTCGTTTCTGGAATACCTTCCATTTGGAGCCCAGCTTGGGGGACAAAAGGAATAAGAAATGCTGAGACACAGCACATGGTTGAACTATGGAACTTGCTTCCACAGGAGGCAGAGGATTAGACAAATTCATGGAGGAGAGGGCTAGCATGTTTCTAAGTACCAGTAGCCGGACACCACAGGAGGGGAGAGTTGCTCTTGAGCTCAGGTGCTGTTGGTGGGCTTCCCGCAGGCACCCGGTTGGCCACTGTGACAAAAGGATGCTGGACTAGGCGGGCCCCTTTCGGCCTAATCCAGAGGATCTTCTTATGCTCATATGTTCTTACTGCAATGCCAACAGCCCCACTCCCAGGTTGGTTCTTAGAGCTGATCCATGCCGAAAGCTATTGAAGTGACACAGGAGGGCGGGAAGGTATTACAGCATAAACTCTTGGCATTCGCTCTGCCCATTCGGTAAGTCAGCAAAAATCACCTCCGCGGAATGGAGTCAATTTATGCAGTAATTGGCTGCTGATTTGCAGACACTGTTGAATGGAAAGGGTTTGAAATAACACTGCTGGTCACAGATGGCGTGTTCTAAGAGGGCTAGACAACCACTGAGTAATTCTGCCTGATAATTTGCCCCTGGCAAACAGCTGCTGCTCCCAGGAAAGCACCTTGGAGGCAAATTATATACAGGGATGCACCCTCCCTCCTTCCCAGGACCAGCAGAGCCTGCAAGCCTCAGCATCTCTCTGATTTGAAAATATCATTCTTTCTTTCTTTCTTTCTTTCTTTCTTTCTTTCTTTCTTTCTTTCCAAGAGCAAACATGGGCAGCTGAGGAGCCCATCACTTTGGAAGCAAAATAGGTCTGCCCCGAAAACAAGGTGGTGGCTCCTACAGACTGGGGAGACATCCTATGTATGAAGGAGGACACAAATTCGTGAAGTAAAAGAAGCAAGACTCCCATCAGCCCCAGCAACCCGGAAGGAGCAACATGGGAGCTGGAGCCCAGCAACATCTGGAGGGTCACCAGAGCTCCCACAACCCCTGCCCTAGGAGGTTGTGGTCCCCTGGAGAGGGACACCAGGAGTGGGAAAGCACACCTGAGGCAAAATGCTCTCCAGCACCCCCACTCCCTATACAGCCCTCAAGTTAGCCAGCCCTGACCCATAGCAGGTGCATGCCACGCAACAGGGGAGGGTTCTCTGCCAGCCCCAAACAGCTCCAGGCCAACAGGAGGTCTGAACAGCAGAGCTCTGCTTAGGGGCTGGGGATACACTGAAGGATCTTCTCTGGGGTCCTCTCACTCCCCTGCACTGCCTGTGAACTGGAGTCCAGACAGGAAGGATGTTGAGCCACGTTTCCTTCAGGCAAGGGAGCTCAAATGCCCCCACTCTGCGGGCTGGGATGGCAAGGGGCGGGGGAAGGAGAGGTGCAAGAACTGCAGGCCATTTCCTGAATTAATTCCCCGATATCTCACTTAGGAAATGGGGATGACGTCAGGGGTTTCGGAAGTGGGGCGCCCACCAGGCTCACCCCCCCTCCCCCACAATCCCCAGAAACAAGCCTGTTAACTTAAGCTGCTTTGGCAACAAAACAAACAAACAAACTGGCATCAGGGAGCCAGGCTGCAAGTGGACATCTTGAGGATTAAACTGATTTGAGAAGCTGGCGGGGGGCACTATTCCTGATCCTCCTTATTGGGAGGGATATAAACAGACACACAGTCCCTGCTGCCTCCTTTCGCATAAACAGAGCTTTCACAAGTTCTGAACCTCAAAAAGATGTTATCTAGTTTCAGAAAGCACCTGTGTCAGTCACCATCCGCTCCAACCCAACGACCACACAGGCCCAGCTTTTCATAGATGGCCATTAAAAAAACTTAACAAAATACAGGCAGTCGCCATGCTTCACGCTCACCCACTGTCCGGCAACTCACCTCCCTCTTGGGGGGTTTCCAGTCACTGCCCTTCCTCTTCCTGAGATGAAGAAGCTATGTCAGGAGGTGAAAATTAAGTCCTCCTCAGAAGGAAGCCTTTATACATTTATTTCTTGCATTTCTACCCCACCTTTCTTCCTGCAAAGGAGCTCAATGTGGCGGATAGCCTCCCTCCACCACCCGCATTTAATCCTCACAACAAACAACCCTGCGAGGTAGGTTAGGCTGAGGGACAGGGACTGGCCCCCAAGGTTACGCAGAGGGCTTCATGGTCGAGTGGAGATTTGAACCCTGGTCCTAGTCCAACACACTAACCACTATGCCACACTGGCTCTCAGTGTCAGGATGTTAAAAACAAGTCACTGTTTTATTATTATCTGCTCAAACGAATTTGGAGGGGGGCGGGGGAAGAAGAGGAAATAGGTTGTTCCTGCTCCAATGGCTTGGGGGAGGCGGTGCCTTCTAGCTTTCTTCTCCTGGTGCAATGGGGATAAAGCTACCTTCCTCCACCTCTGCTGACAAGGGCATTGAGCATGTGGCCCCCCAGGTGTAGCTGGACCCCCAAAGCCCACTCGTCCCATGGATTGTGGGAGCCGGGAGTCCAGAAATATCTGGAGAGCTGCATTAAGAGGCTACAGCCACTCCCCGCAAGGAGGCGGCAAAATTACCTGTCCTCAGAGGAAGCCACGCACTCGGCTTCACTCTCATCAGGAGGCACACCCAGAACAGCGACTCGCACAGAGAACATAGCAGGCAGGGGGGACTCTTCAGAGGGCAGGCACTTTGTATGCTTACATGCCCTAAAAGTAAAGCGTTGGGGGGGGGAGAATGTTAAAGAGTGAAGGAAAAGTCCATGCCACTAGAAGGCCTCTTCGGTTCTGCTGCATTAACAAGGGCTGCTGCAACCAGCCCCTCCGCTTCAGGGATCCTCAGAACCTCTGGGCTGTGCTATCTGGACTATGAATCACTTTAATTAATATTTACCAAAGTGCCTGAAAAACTCCCTTGCCTTCTCTGTTTTTCGCCCTTGACATTACTCAGCCAAGCTGCTGGTGGATGATCAATGCTTCTGAGGCCGTTGCTCCTTCCCAGCAAGGCAAGGAGGGGGTGGGGAAGACAGCCTGACGGCAGCAACTCCAAGGCCTAATTGCGCATACATTATGCCGTTAATTATGCAGTTGGGTCCGGCTGGGTATAAAGCGCCACATTCTGGAGGTTGAAGTTTTCCAGGCTTGACGTGGTTTTGAAGGTGGGGAAACACTCCCCAAATTACAGCACGTGTCTCCACCGCCGCCTTGCACAGAGCCCCACCCTGCTTGGCAGAGCAACCTGGGCCAATGCAATCCAGGCAGGGCAAGTGACGCAACCTTCATAAATTATGCAAATGAGGTGCAATCCCGATTACTGGAAACCCTATTCTGCTTACTTTAAATTCTGTCCTGATTACTGGCAACCCTGTTGGGGCTACCACCTCAGGCACCTGTGACTTTGCTAAGCATATCTTTCATCGGGTCTGTATCTTTGCAACCTTCAGCAGCAGAGAAGAAGTTCAGTGGCAGAGAATCTGTTGCACATGCAGAAGGTCCCAGGTTCAATCCCCAGTGGCACCAACAGGTAGGGCTGGGAGAGACTCCTGCCTGAAATCCTGGGGAGTCACTGCTGCCAGTCAGTGCAGGCAATTCTGAGCTAGATGGGACTAATGGTCTGACTCAGTCTAAGGCAGCTTCCTGTGTTCCTAGATCCTTGGGAAAGTGATCTCCAGGACAACCATAAATATGTTCCGCTTTCCTGTGAATGAGGACACACACACAGCCCTGATTGCAAACCACAAGACCAAGAGCCCTCAGTCGTGTGACCCTAAAACCGCCTCTGACATGGGAGAGAAAAAACTGAAGGACTGTTACATCTTCCCTTTAACACAGAACAGCAAGTTTTGTGCATTCCTCTCCCCTACTTCTTCCCTACCGATGCTACAAGATAAATAAAACCAGGCCTTGATTGCTTCTTCAACAAATGCAACAGGCACTTTCATTTACTGTCAGAAGCAGCAGCAGCTACAAGATATTCAAAAACTGCAGAACCTAAATGTGAAACCCCCCAGAATGACAACTTTAAAAGGGACGGGAACAAAACACAATAAGAAAGAACCTCAAAGCTGTAGCAGGCCTTTTTCTTTCCTTTACAAACATTACAAACCACTAAGGTTTAAAGGCAAAGGGAAGACTTAAACTACCTGGCAAGTCGTGTTCCCACTAAAAGGCCACTGATGAAGACAGGCTGCAATGATGAGCATGACTTTTTAACCAGACAGTTTCTCTCTTGGACACTGGGTGGGAGCATGAATCATTGTTTTGTCCCCATCTTCTCTGCAACCTAAGACTGTTCAGCAGGGGTGTCCAACCTGTGCCCTGCCCTATATGCGGCTAAACTTCTGCTCCCATTATAGTTGATCAACAGTCATGCTGGCTACTAGGAGCTGGAATCCAACAACATCCTGGATGGCCACAGCTTAGCCATCCTGCCTCACAGTTTCATATGGAACAATATTTGCAAATCATTGCTTGCCTGATTGCCTACGGAGAATGGAATCATGGCCAGGAGACTAAAGAAGGGAAACTTCACAAAATCTGGCTCTCTATTTAGGGCATCACTAAATTCATTCCCTCTGTCTTTTCTTTTTTAAAGTGGGTTAGTAACTTTTGTGGAGTTACTTACAAGGGTGCACAATACTGCTGAGATTCTTTTGAGGTCAGCCTTGCTGTTAAGTCCACAAAAGTTACCAGGCCATACAAATTCTTACAAGCCTCTCTGCTTTTGTAATGCTTCAGTGGTTGCATCTTTTGCCAATCTGGTGACCTCCAGATGTTTGGGGACTAAACGCCCATAAGGGAGTCTTAATGCTGTACACCGTTCTGACATCTTTTAATAACCGGCAGTATATAAACTGAATAAATAACAATAAAAATAAATAAGTCCAGCCAGGACTTGTGGTCCTAAATACCTGGAGAGGACCAGGTTGCTTCCCAGCTCTACCTCTCTTTAAAATCAGAACCAGTGAAGGCAGTAACTCGTGTAGTGCAGGGGGCTAGATGACCCCTGAAGTCCCTTTCCGACTTGACAATTCTGATTTTATAACTCCCACTGCCAGTTGCAGAAATCCCACATCCACTCTGGCAGATTCTATTTCAAGGGAGCTGAATTTATCATCTTAGATGTGAATTGAAGAAAGGAAAGGCAGTGGGATTGAGAGAGAAAAGCAAAAGGAGATCACCAATATATTTGAAGCTGTTCTTCCAGCCAGCTAAGGAAAAAATGTGCTTCCATGAGTTGGAGAGGAGGAGGGTTATTATACATAGCTGCTTGATCACACATACCTGCCCCATCTCACCTGCTCCCACCTTTGCTCCTGTGGCTCCAAAGTCAGCTGCATACAACACTCAACACCTCAACCAGGACGTCTGCTCCAAACACATCAACAGGCTCTTTCTGACGCCTGGCAACTTCTTTTTCTTTTAAAGAAGAAACCTGAGTTGGTTGCCTTTCCACTAGTTGCGGCTTCCGGATTTCAATGGCCCAATGTTAATATTGCAAGCTGATTCAATGTGCCAGTAAGTTGACACCCTCACAATTTACAACAGCCTGGAGGGGTAGCTGATCACACTTACATTGTCGTCCTCTCCCACTGCCTCCAAGGTGACTTGTGGGGGATGATTCCACTTCACCTTGCAACCACCCTAGGAAGCAGAGCAGGACAAGAGATGCTGGCTTGCCAAAGGCACCAAACAGGTGAGCTTCAGTGCTTGGTCAGCAGCCGAGATCTGCTCTCCTGGCTTGCAAATAGTCCTGCTTGCCCCACCGTGCAGGAACAGAGTCTGACTGCTGCTCGGGAGCAAAGTCTACAACAGAGGGAGAGCTGCTAACTCTGCACACCCTATCATTTAAAAAAATATATATTTTTTTACTTTGTTTTGGGGGAGGGATGGGAAAACACTCCCACCTGAACCCCTGGAAAGCCAACTGCTGTCAGTCAATGTGGACTGTACTGAGCCAGAAAGAGCAATGGGCTGGCTCAGTGTCAGGGAACTTCTTACATTCCTATGAAAGGTCAGGTTTGGAGGTGGGGGTCCTGGCTGCTCTTCAGAGGGCTTCACTACCTTTGCTGTAATGAGCGAATCTGTAGAAGGCTGAGCATCTCAGCTCCTTTCTATCAGAATTTTAAAAGCCCTCCTGCTCTCTGTCAACATCTCTAAAGCATGATGTACAGAGCAAATTTTGCCCAAACTGCAGCCATCCTTCCTCCTCGCCCCCTGGCCCTTTCTTCCCTTGACTTTCCTTTCTTAGCTCTGATGCTTCTATGATCTAAAGTCACAATGTCCCTCTAACTTCTGATTCACAGGCCAGACAGAAATCAACCGAGATTAAATCAGGGAAGATTCAGAAGGCTCAATTTGCCACAGTTCTCCCTTTAGATTTCGGCATACCCCAGGCTATCCCTTCAGCTCGTGACACTCTGCACCTCTCCTGCTGCAACGAGCACCCTCCAGACCCGTGATCCCAAGCTGGCTCCTGGAAAAGGAACACCCAAACACCACCAAAAACTGGGGGTGGGGTGGGGAATGCAAGTCATTCGGAGACCAAATGAGCAAGTAAGAAATTCCCCGTCTGCCATTTCCCATGCCTACTTGCCCAAGCAGCTTCTGCTTCAGCTTCCAGAAAGAATGTACGAAATCTGAGCTGCCACAACAGGAATGCACAAACAGAATGAACTGGAGTATGGACCATCAACATCATTTTATTATTTGTACCCCCCGCCCATCAGACTGGGTTGCTCCAGCCACTCTGGGTGGCTCCCAACAAAATATTAAAAACACAGTAAAACATCAAACCTTAAATAGCTTCCGTACACAGGGCTGCCTTCAGATGTCTTCTAAAAGTTGTATAGTTATTTATCTCCTTGACTTCTGATGGGAGGGCGTTCCAAAGTGTGGGCGCCACTACCGAGAAGGCCCTCTGCATCTTAGAGACATTAGCTTTCATTTCAAAGCAAAAAGACAAGCCTCTGACCCTTAAGGTTTGGAAGACAAGCTTGAAGTTGGAAGCATGTTACCTGGTAAACTCTCAGAAGTCAAGAGGACCTGCAGACCTTGAGGGGCAGAGCTCCAGCGCTCTGCAAATCCCAGGAGGACACGGGAAGGGCCCTGCAACCGGGTCAGTCCAAAGGCCAATTGAGTCCAACGTTCTGCTTGGCAGCTAACCAGATGCCCCAATGGGGTGCCTGGAAGCAGTTCCTGAATGCAACCACGCTCTCTCCAACAACCTCTCTGTGTGCCTTGCAGAAGAAGAATGCAAGCATTTTTGTTTGTTTTAAAAAAGCAAGCAAAAAGTGAAGGTTGCGAACAATTCTCATGGCCTGCTTCCGTAATTACAGATAAGAGTATGGGCAGTGTTGTGTCTTGAGCCTTGGCCCAAGAGTCATTTAGCTCAGCATCACACTGCTAGTCCAATTCTCCTGACAGGGAGACAGAAATATTTGGTAAGCAGAACCAAAGACAAGGGTCCTAGACAAGTACCCATTCCCAAGATTATTTAGAAACAAGGGTCTCTCTGCCCTTGTGAAAGTGCAGCTGGGCATGGGCAAGAGGGGGTGGGGAGCACCCACTGACTGTCCCAGAAGAGGGAGGGGAATTTTTTTTTTGCAAACCCTCTATTACCAGGCATTTTTGTGAATCACATAGAGGGGAGGGGAGATAAGGAAACACAGAAAGGCTTTCTATGTGGCTGAGGTCACGAGCTCCTTTACATCCAAGATTGCCCTTCAATTAATACACACTGAATACAGCATTAACAAACGCTTCCCTTTCCTCTTCCAAGTAAAAGAAAATTGATTATGCTGCTGCTGATTGGTTTCAGGAGATCAATTCTGAGAGCCAGCACAGTTCCTTCCTTGTCATGAGTGCAATTTGGTCAGCATGGTTGACTTTTGAGAATAAAAAGCCAAAAATCAAAAGGACTGCGCCATGTTGGTGCCAGTGAGGTAGAAGCCAGGATTCTGCAGCCTTTCCCCAACCTACTTCACAATGACCTTTGGGTCCCATTCAACTCTACAATTCTACAATGCTGCCCTCCAAACCCCACCATGCTTGACCATTGGCCATGCTGAGTGGAGATGATGGCAACTGAAGTCCAAAGACACTGCCAGTGACTCTAGAACAACATTCACCAACTGGTGCCCATCAGCCCCAAGGCTGCTCTAGACCACACCCCAGAATACTTTGCAGCACACCAAAAGGGGCCAGCCTGGGAAAGAAGCATTCAGCAGAGAGCCTCCGTGGGACCAACTCATATCGCTGTGCAATCAGGCATACGTAAGAACTCTTTCGTCCATCCAGGGGATGGAAAACCTAAATGTTTCCAATGCTTACTTGGCAAGGCAGGTCAAAATGGAAAGAACTCTGGGTTAACAACATATGCAGTGGATTGTCTCTAGGTCACCTCAACCAAACTAGTGCTCAAATCAGGTGGCCACTAAGTTCAAAGATAAATTGCACAAGTAAAACCAAAAAGCAGCCACAGGCCTATTCAGATGCCTCGCTAAAAAAGACCTACATATTTTTAAGGAAACTCCACATGCTTGGAGGGAGTGTTCCTGTTGTATTTTAGCTCAGGGACACAAGTACATCCATTTTATTTCATGATGTTTGCAAGCAGCCCTATTCCTCAGATGAAATAATAGGTTTAATAAAGTAAAGTCAGCCCATGACACTCTGGATCCAGACTGTTGCTTCTGCTGCACACATACAAATTGAACTTAAATTAATGTTACATCTTAATAACTCTGGGTTTACCAAACTCCTACATGCAAGGATCAAATTTTACTTCTCAGCCATGAATCCCACAGCATTTGAGCTGTGATCTGTTCAACTTCAGACTTAAGATATCTTGGGCAAGACACAGTCCAATCTCATTTTTACAACCTGATCTTTATCATGTTTAATCAGAAGTAAATTCCAACGAGTTCAATAGTTAACCCCTTGAAGCTGCGGTCTCTTGCATGCTTCCCTTGCTTGGAAGGTAGCCATACTGAACTCAGAAGAACTTACTCCCACGTAAACATGAGAGGAGCAGATGACCCACATAATTACAACAACCGCCTTGTGTGATCTGAAGTGTTTTTACTTGGGATACAACCTGCAGTGAATTCAATGGCACTTACTCCTAGGCAGATGGAAGTAAATTAGGGTTGCCATACGTCTGGAATGTCCTGGACATAGCCAGAATATGGCAGTTGGAAACAATGTCCAGGCAGAAATTGCAAAAATGTCTGGGAAAATTTCTTTGAGATTTTGCAAAAAAGCTCAACAACTTTGGCCAAAAGATAAAAAATATTAGGGGAGGCAGCACTTTGGCTTTGCATGGTTTATTGGTTATAATGGAGGCAAAAGTGGGGGAGGCAGGGGTTAAACAGGCTGGAAAAAACCTGTGACACACTTCATGGAAAGTCTCAAGGGAACTGGAGGCAATTGGGGGGGGGAGGTTTAATGGAAGCATAACAAGCATGGCCCTCAGTTGTTCAAGGTCAGCAGTGCTTTTAGAGATATACATATGTAGTGAAAAGAAAAATCAGATCAAAGCAGTACTTACTTCTGAGTAAATACGCATTGGATTAGGCTGTATAAGAGGGGAAGCAGCAGAATAAATTCTCTTATTCTGAGGAGCTTATTTGATCAGGCTTGTTAGAACAGACCACCATCAAAACCTTACTTTGCTTACAGCAATTTCCTTGACTTCAGACACAGAAAAATGAATTTTTTTTGGAGGTGGAGGGGAGAATAAGAAAAGGGAACCAGATCATTTCACCTGCCACTCACATCCCCCATCCTGTAGCATTTGTCAAAAGCTGTTCCTCCATTTATCAAAGCTGTGCCACTCTTCCTTTTAATAATAATTTTAGAAAGTCAGCCTCAGACTCAACCCTGATGAGCTTTCTTGCTCCTCAGAGACTTCTGCACCCCCACTGCAGCAGGAGGGGACTTAGGCACGGGGAAAGCCAATCAACTCCCTGCAGGTAACCTCTATCTGCATCGCTAGCTCACCTGTAAAATGGCAAGTGAACAAGAATAGCAAATGTGCACATAGGGCTTGAGGAAGTTCTCCTAACACACCCCAAAAAGGCACAGGCAGGCCACAGACAATGCCACAACCTACCTCACTGCCAGCGTTTGCCAACTGGGTGCCCTGAAGGTGCTGGCTGGGGCTTATGGGAGTTGTAGTCCACAACATCTTGAGGGCACCTGGCTGGGAAAGGTCATGATATGCACCTTAGGAGCCAAGGAGCTTTCTGACTGTAAAAACCAGAGTCCAGAGAACCAGGACTCAGTGCTTTGTCAATGAGCTATGATTTCCCACCCCCCACAAAATTCCTGAAGTTTTGAACACAAGACTTGAGGGGCTCATTCTCTCTCAAGAAAATTACACATATATGATCAGGACTGGGGAGGAAAACATCTAGAAATCTAGCATCAGTTCCTAAATGGGCCACAATTGTCCTCCAACCTTGAGCACGGTTGGGGCTTAAAGTACTAGGAACTGGAGGGGAAATGTCTCAGCCCCATAGGTCAGGAATTGGGACCCTCCGGAAGTTGTTGGGCCTCCGGTTCTCATCAGCTCCAGCCAGCATGGGATGGGAGCTGGAGTTCCTCCTGGGTATGATCATTTAAACACCCAAAGAGGCCAACTATTTAGGCTTCTCAATTTGGTAACTATACAGCATCGCTGACATGTGAGATGCATACCTTGGGTTTGTGATGAGCATATATTTATAAGCAGCTATCCTCAGTTTTCGATATCTTTCTGGTACAGATGCCCACCCAAGCTATCAACCGCCCTGATTACCAAGGAATCGGTCCTCCATTGATCCCAGTATCTCATGCTGAGGAAAGGTGATGTCCTGTGACAGGCTAACTTGCCCCAACAAAGTTTTCCAAGTATGTGGTAGTAAATATCCCCACAAAGATAGAGAGACCATAAACTCAACATGGAGATGGGGTAATTGAGAGCAGGGGCAGAACTCCTACCACTTACAAGAGCAGCAGGAGAGAGTCTGTCCAGCCTCCTGTTCTCACAGGGCCTAGCAAAACGTCTCTTCTGGGAAGACCACGAGCAGGACCTGGGCACAACAAAAGCACTCTCCCCATTCAGGATTCCCAGTAAATCAGTATCATCAATGGGGCTAGGAAAATTCTGGTTTGTGGCATCACAAAATTCTGGTTTTCAGCTTCACAGAAAGTGTAGAAGGATTCACAGCTCAGGGGCAGAGGTTGCAGATTCAGTCGCCAGATAAAAAGGGATTGAGTGCTGGGAACAATGCCCCTCTGCCTGAAAACCTGGAGGCCTGCTGCTGCCAGTCAGAACAAACAATTCTGGTTTAGATGGGACATAAATCCTGACCCAATACAAGGCAACTTCCTATTTATTTTTGTAAGCACCAGAATCCTTACACGTTCAGGAGCACCAGACATTCTCCCCCACTACTATCCCCAATTCTGGCAGCAGATATGTAGCCTGAGGAAGGGAGAGGCTGAGTCCATGACAGAGAGGAAATAATCCGAACTGGCTTTTCAAGCCAGATGCAAAAAAGGCCTCTGAGCGAGGCCGAGAATGGAAGTGGCAGCTTGATTAAAGCTACCTCAGCTCCCCATGACAGAACCGCCCCTCAGGCAACCAGCCATGGAATTTCACATGTTTGCAAACTCTGTATCAAAGGGGTGGTGGGTTTTTTGGGGGGAGGGGGGCGTTGCATAATGAGAGTAGGACAAAGTGGATTTCCCCCTAGATGGCACCCCCACCCCTCCTCTCTCAACCCATTCATATCATCTAAACTTGACTCATCAGACACTTCAACCGAGGCAGAGAGAACTGAGAACACCTAAAGAAATTTAGGGAAAGACCCTTAAGTGTAATTAAATCAGCCAAGCCTAGTCTCTCAATTCCAGGAGAAGCCAGAGGTAGTCTCCAAAAGGCACCTGTTCTTTCTGTTACTTCCCCTAAGAACAGCGGGGAGGGGGGGCTGTCTCTCCAGGCCCCACCAAGACCAAAAACCAGCATCTTTTTTGTTCCCTGCCTCCAAAATCCACAGAGGACATTGAATGTCTCTGTGACAGAGGACAGAAGCAGGACGTGGTGCCTTCCAGGCCTGCCTGATGCAATGTCACTACCAGGGGTGCCCTTGCTGGGAGGTGAGGGAGCCTTCGGATCGGAATTCCTGCCACAAGGGAGCTGGGCAAAGGGACCTGAACAAGGAGAGCGTGGGGACTATAGGGCAAGTCTGTTTTGTAAAAGGACACATGTCCTAAATTGAATTCAAATTAAGTTTGAATTTCAAGAGAGCCTTGGACTGGGGAGGCGTGGCAGGTTAGACTGGCCAAGACTTAGGGGGCTGATATGTAGGGGCGGGGAAAGGTAACTAACTTACTGAACAAACCAGGTTGACTCAAGGCAGTTGCTCTATAGCATTAAATAGATTTTCAGCGGAACCTGCCTCCTTGACCAAACAGGGTTATGGGGCAAAGCAAGGCCCTAGACCATCCCTTATTAAAAAGAAATTAAAATTACCATGTCTATCCCCCCCCCCACACCTTTGGAATGAGACCAAACCTTATTCCTACTGCTACTAAAGGTGGACACACAGACGCCCAATTCAGCATGGTAGAAAACTCAAGAGGTGGTGCAGGAGGGGGTCATATCCAGGTAAAGACAGCAGGCAAGGCAAGAAGACGAATAAGGGAGAAGAGTGGAATTAATGATGGTGTCAGAGGAACAAGGAGCCAGGCTGAATTCTTTTTGGGGGTGGGGGAGAAGGGTGATGCCTTAAGGAGAGGAAATGAGAGAGGCTGCAAGCTGAAAGGGGTGGATATTGGTGATGGAGCAGGATATGGCACTGGGGAAAGATTTATGGGGGGGGAAGACCTCAAGAGAAAGTGGGGGCTGCAGTTTGCAATGGGGGAGAGAAGTGGAGTAAGTGCTTGAGCTGCAATGCAAGCTGTACTTCATTGTGGGAGGGGCAAGAGGCCCACCTCACACTGGGGGGGGACGGGACCCAGCGGAGGCAGCTAGTTCAAGGACCCAGGTGTGGGGAGGGGAGAGAGAAATGATGCAAGAGCAAACATGAGCAGCCCCAGCTGGATTTGTGCAGGAAGGAAAAGGAAAAGAAAGCAGGAGCCCACCTGATGGAAAGAGGAAGCTGGTGAGGGGGGGGGGGGGGAGGCTGCAAGTTCAAGAGGTGGGGGTGGCTGCAATGGAAAGAGGAGACTCTGATGGTGCAGGAGGAGGAGGAGCAACTCAGGCCGGAAGGGGTTTTTTTGGGGGGGGGGCTTCCCTAAGAAGCGAGGAAGCAGGTGACTTTGCAAGTTCAAAATCGGTAGGCAGCTAAGCAGGGGCAAAGAAGGAGGTGCAGCCAGAGGAGGCTCCTCAGCAGCCGCGGGATTGGGGGCGGGAAGAGGCCCCACCGACCCCCTGGGGGCATTTTTTCTTTTTCCTCTAACATTCATCTTGATACTGGGATTGGGGAAGAATGACAAAAAGGGGTGCGGGGGGAAGAGCAGCAGATGAGGCTACCATCTTTATCGAAACAAATTTTAAAATGGGGTGTTTGAATTTGGAGCAGGCTGAAAAAAACACGTGTATATATAGATATATAGATATACTGTACATATATGTGAATGTGTGTGTGTGTGGGGGATAATCCTCTGTTCCCCACCTCAACAAATGCAAAATAAATGGGAGGGGGGATGGACTTCCCCCAGGTCTCCCTAATTGCCCCCCAAATACACAGCCCCCCTCCATCGTCCTAAGCCCCCCTTAACATCCCCATTAATTACTCCACAAATACACAACCCCCCCAATTATCCCCCCCATTAGTTACCCCACAGTCGCCCCCCATTAATTCCCCCCCCCCCATGCAGAGAGGCCTTGCATGCTCCCCCCCCTTTTCGGGTGGGTTTTTTTTTTGCCCCCCTCCCCCCAGGTAGGCCCTCCGCCCCTCCCCCCACCGGGAGCGGGAGGGGCGCCTGGCCGGGCCTGAGGAGAGGGGGGGAGGGTGTCTTTATAACCGCCCCCCCCGGACAAGCCCCCCCCGGTGCAGCTTCCCTCCGCCTCACCCACCGTGGGAGCCCCCGCCCGGCCCTCATGGCGCCGCCGCCCGCCTCGCCTCGCCTCTCCTCTGGCCGCCTTCAGCCGCCGCCGCCGCCTTCTTTCCCCTCAGAGCCGGCTCGGCCGCTCCCCCCCTTCTGCGCACGCGCCGCCCGGCCCAGAAGCGGCTCCTCCTCCTCCTCTTCCACCAGCACCGCCTCCAAGAGGGAAGGGTCACAGCAGCAAAAAAGGGCACACGGACACTTCCGGCTCTCTATTAGTGGCTGGTGGGGGTGGAGTGGCGAAAGAGAAGAGAGGCTCGGCCTTGAAGTTTGTTCGTTTCTGCGGGTTCGGAGCAAGGCGAGATAACAGATAACGTGCACGTGCGCGTTCGTTTCCATCACACCCACCGTATCTTCGGAGGTCAAATGGAAACCGGAAGTGATAGTTACGTTGGGTTTTTTTTCGTTTGAGACGCGGACCTTTCCTTATCTCTATGGCTTTTTTGTGCCAGTCTCTGCATCGCTCGCTACTGTGCTATGGAGGAAATGCCGGTTTTGACATCCTGGTGCGCACGCGCGGCGCATGCGCTCTCTTTTCCTCCACATCCGAGCACATGCTGGCTGGGGGCTGATGGGAGTTGTAGTCCAGAACATCTGGAGGACATCCAGGCTGCCCTACCTTGTGGCCTATTGAGTTAGGGTAGAGAGACTGTAGCAGCCCTATATATTTTATCATTAGTAATTATTATTATTATTATTATTATTATTATTATTTTATTAGTATAATTATAATTATTATTATTATTATTTTAGTATAATTATTTATTATAATGCCCCAGCTTCAAGGAGCTGGTGTGCATGACCCTCACCCCCTTTAAAACAACCCTGCGAGGTAGGTTGGGCCAAGAGGCAGTGACTGGGCCCCAAGGTCACCCAGGGGGAGCTTAATGGCCAAGTGGGGATTTGAACCCTGGTCCCTTCCAGGTCCTAGTGCGAAACTCCAACTACTATACCACACTGGCCCTTTCTCCTCATTTAATAACTGCATAAACTGTTTAACTTGCTTTTAAATGGCACAAGGTGCTTTACTGAGAGCCACCCCGGGCCATTGTGTCAAAGGTCAAGGAAGAAATCTTATTATTTCATTGTGACCTCTGTTTTGAGAGAGAAGGTGGGAGGTTAAGAGAGGACACGTTATTCCAGGTCTCCGCTGCCACAGGATAAAGCCACGTCTGTTAGCCAGATGCAGCAAACTATAAAGAGGAATTACGCAAAGGAGAGGGCCCAGGCAGCTGTTGCAAAATGGAGTAGAACAAAAAGTACCCATTGCTCTGACCAGACCCAACGATGCAATCCTACGTGGGCATACATTGACACAAGCTCTACTTGTGTTTCTGTGGGGTTTTGCTCCCAAGAAAGTGTGCCTGGAGTTGTAGCCTCAAGCACCTGACATCACGTTGAAAAATCTGTCTAGTTTCCATAGTAAAATGGTTACATCTTCACTAAGTGCCACCGGACTCTTGGTTAGCAGCAAAAAAGGCGCAGACACCTCACACCAGGCATGCCTGTAGGTCAGGATGGGTGGGGGATCTGTGATCCTCCATATGTAACATGGAGATTGCCAAAGCAAACCGGAAGCTGAGAGGGCAGGGGTTGCTTTTCATTGTACGCCTTTAGGCGCCAGGTGAAAACATCCCTCTTCAACCAGACCTTTGGCTGATTACATCCAATACCCTTTTAAATGTATTTGGGGCAGGGTTAGTGGTATGTTTTTGTTCTTGTAGATCAGAGTTGGAAGGGACCACGAGGATCATCGAGCCCAACCCCCAGCAACGCAGGAATCTTTCACCCAATGTGCGACTCAAACCCATGAGCCAGAGATGTATATTGTGTTACTTTTATCTTGTATTTTTATGTTGTGAACCACCCTGAGAACTATGGGTAGCGGGATGGTTGACTGCTACTATAATCTGTTTTCCTCAGCCATTAGAAAGGATGGGCCTTCCTAGAACAATGGCCTTTATACATTTCGCTCTGTAAATGCCCACAAAAGATTGACAGTAACCCTAAATAATAATTTTTTATTATTGTTATTTATTAGATTTACATACCGCCCTTCATCAAAAGGGCAATTCACAAGATAAATCCAGACTAAATAATCTAGGGCAGGCATGTCCAAAGTCCGTTTCGGGGGCATAATCCGGTCCACCGGTCGGTTTAATCTGGCCCCTGTGGCAGTTTATTTCCTGGGGTAAAATCCTAAAAAAAGGTCAACAACTTTGGTCGGCCCTCAACTTCATCATATCTGGCCCTCTTTGAAAAGTTGGACACCACTGATCTAGGGCAACCACAGATCAGGTTGCAAAGCGCTCTTGAAAAACTGCCCAGCACTGCTTTACAAAAAGGCAACCCATTAAGGCTCTCATTTTACAGATGAAGGGCACTGAGATCATTAGACCTAAGCAGTAAGGGACAACAAAACTGTTGCCTGAGTGACCACTTCAATTTATTGAGAGCACGGCAGCCGCATCAGAGCCCAGAAGGGTCTCTGGCTGAAAGAGACAAGCCCTTGCCCTGACTCAAAGATGCAGACAAACTGAGATGGGAGTGCCAGGCTCCAGGCAGCAGCTTCTGAAATGTTTGCGTCTCTTCTCCTGTTAGCACAGAGTGAAGCCTACACCCACCCCAGGCAGCAGTCATTGTGCGAGCCAGAGAGAGCGTGAGATTCAGCCACATGATCTGGGGGTCCACATCGCATGAAACCAGGGAGATGTGCATGTGCGCAATTTCAGTGAAAGATACGCATTGGCAACCTGGCACTGCCGTTTCCTCCTTGTGTATCATCGTTTGCTGGCCGTGGGTCCATCTGTAGTACTTCCCTTGACATGACACGCGCCTGAAATGGGACCTGAGTCAGGAGAGCCAGGCCGCCCCCGTCAAGCAATTGCTGCAGGCTTTGGGACAGGAGAGAAGAAGAAGTTGGGAAGAAGTCCTTGGGGCCGGTTGCTGGCGAGACCCATGAGCAGGAAAGCAGGGCCTTGTCGTTGGCTTGGAGTGGCCCCTTCCGTAGCAAGGCCGGGCTGCTGCAGGGGGAGCGACGGCTCTCATTTCTTCAGCTGCACAGAAAGCTTCAGGTGCACATCGCAGAGGAAAGCGTTCATCAGGTCAGAGCCGGCCTCCTGGGCGATCTTGCTGATCAGGTGGCCGCGGGAGCCAATGAGCATCTTCTGCTTCGGGGGAAGGCGAAGGCCAAGGAGAAAGGAGTGTCAGTGGGAATTGAGACAGCTTATCATTTGTGGCATCACAGCCTAGGCATCCTTTTTTGCTCACCCTACCCCATTCCCCAGCTGAGAAGCTTATCTGCAACTACAGAAAGTTCATTGGGAAGAAGGCTTATATTAGAACATAAGAACAGCCTGCTGGATCAAACCAATGGCTCATCTTGTCCAGCATCCTTTGGTCATAGGGGCCAACGAAATGTCCCAATGAGAACTCCCCGAGCAAGATTTGAGCGCAAGTGCCCTCCCCAGGGGGTTTCCAGAAATCAGCATTCAGAGAGCATTGGAGGTTGCTGCCTCCAACCGCCATCCTGGCTAGTAGCCATCAATAGCCCTCTCCTCCTCCATGGATTTGTCTAACCCTCTTTCAAACCACCCAGGCTGGTGGCCATCACTGCCTCCTGTGGGAGAGAGTTCCACAGTCTAAGTATGGGCTGCATAAAGAAGGTCTTCCCCTTTTATGTGTCCTGAATTTTCCAACACTCGTTGTTTGTTAAACTGCTCTGAGAATTGTAGTTCTGTGAGGTGGGAGGGACTAGGGGAGCAGCCTAAAGATTCTCAGCAGGCTTATCAAAATACAGTTCCTTGAAACAGCCTCGGCCCCGTAGACCCGAAGGAGCGTCTCCACCCCCATTGTTCAGCCCAGACACTGAGGTCCAGCTCTGAGGGCCTTCTGGCAGTTCCCTCCCTGCGAGAAGTGAGGTTACAGGGAACCAGACCGAGGGCCTTCTCGGTAGTGGCACCCTCCCTGTGTAACACCCTACCATAAGAAGTCAAGGAAATAAACAACTATCTCACTTTTATAAGGCATCTGAAGGCAGCCCTGTTTAGGGAAGTTTTTAATGTTTGATGTTTTATCGCTTTAATAATAATAATAATATTCTGTTGGGAGCTGCCCAGAGTGGCTGGGGAAACCCAGCCAGATGGGTGGGGTATAAATAAAAAATTATTATTATTATTATTATTTAGTTCCCATGATTCTTTGGGGGAAGCCACAGCTATCTGAAGTGGCATGAAGCTGCTTTAAATGCCTATGGTGGAGACGGTCCCTCTCTTCATGGCCACTACCATTACTGCTTTGGGATGGAGGTTTAGGGGGGAAAATAGCCACCCTCAATGCCAAATTGACAGCTTGGCAGAAATGTTTCTCTTGGCTGGTGGTGGGAGGAGAGAGACACCTTGCGACCAGGTACTCACCACGTGCGTCTCCTTCTGGACTATCAAATTCTGCACGATGACCAGCTCCCCGCCAGGCCCCTCTTCCCAGACCTCCGTCCTCTGCAAGGAAAGGAGAAGGAGCCCTCAGGTCTACAGTGGAGGGGAGCACACATGCTAGGATGTGTAAGGAAGGGAAGAAGGGGATAGGATCCCAACCCATCACCTCCTGGCCCTCCCCGCCTCACCTGGGTCACCGTGTAGGGCACTTCCTCAGGCAGATACTCAAGAAGCTTCTCTCGGATGATGTTATCACAGACCTCCTGCGGGGTCTGGGTGGTCAGGACCTCGCTGTGGAACTCCCAGGGGCCTGGCCTGGCCTGCTTCAAAAGGTACCTCTGTTGGAAACAAGAGCCAGGGTCAGGCCAGGAGGGTTGGACTAGATGTCCCCTGCAGGTCCCTTCCAACTCTACAGTCCCATGATTCTTGCATCACTGCCTCTGGGGGGCATTTTGATTTTATTTTATTTTCTATACCACATTTACATCACACCTTCTTTTGTGCAAAGAGCTCAAGGTGGTGGATGTGGTTCTCCCCCTCATGATCTTACCCTTACAACAACCCCGTGAGGTAGGCATGGTGGAGAAAGAGAGAGAGACTGGCCCCAGGTCAGCCAGAGAGCTTTGTGGCTGAGTAGGGGATTCGAACCCTGGCCTCCCAGCTTCAGACCAATGGCACACCAACCCAGCCTCCTGTTCTATAACAGACCTGGAACAACTTGGGTCCAGGGTGCCTCAGGCCCTGCCTGAACCCTTCTATTGCTGCTCAGTCAAGTGAGATCACCTGCAGGAGTGCCACTGGCCGGTCCTTTTATGGGAAGGCTCGTCTGACAACAAGAAACCGAGGCTTCATTGTGATCGGCCCAGTCTTGTGGAACTCTCTGCCACTAGAGATTCAGCAGGCGCCCTTTCTGTGCTGACTTTTAAATGCCTGCTGAAAACATTTCTATTCTGCCAGGTCTAAGAAGGCAAATAAGAAGACATCCTTCTGCAACGGTTGATTGACGTCTGTTTTTAACCTTCTAATTCTGTAAACCGCTTTGATGTATTTTTTACGACGCAGCAGCATACAAATATTATTTATGCATAAAACAAATAAAAGCATTATTTCGATAAAATGCAAGACGGGGCCAGCCTTCCCTCTCTCCTGTCCCCCCATCCCCCCAAAGGAAATTGTTGCCAGGCAGAAGTTTTCCCTCCCGCCCAGTCCTACCTGGAGATGCTATTGGGGACTGAAACTAGGACCCACCACATGGCAAAGCAGGTACCCCAAGCAACCCCAAGCAACAGCCCTGCGATTTACCTTCAGAGTCTCCACTTCCTCTCTCTCCGTAGCAGCCAGCATAAAGATCTCCTGGAAGCCGGGCCAGCCCTTCCTGGCTTTCTCCCTCACATGTTTCCTGTTCTCCTTTGCGGGAACTGAGTCTTCTGCAGCCTCACTGGCTTCACCATCCACAACGGAGCCAGGCTGAGGCCCTTGATCTGCCTCCAGATGCCTGGTCTCTGGGGACAGGTGTTCAGAGGTCGCTGACACCTGGGTGACCTCAGTAAGGGAGTCTGGCTTGACTCTGGACTTGACTTTCAGCTTCTTTCCATTGACGACCCCCTCGGTCAGTTCCGTCACCAGGTACAGCAGGAGAAATTTCTTCTTCAGAAGGTCCACCTGAAACAGAAGCAATGGGAGGGAATCAGGAGTTGCAGGAATGTATTTACTTATTTATTTCCTAAAAATTATGCACCACTTGATTGCGGGGAGGAAAACCCTCAAAGCAGTTTGTGAAAAGATAAAGCTAAAGCAACAATAGACTAAAGGCAGATTAAAACACCTTTTGACTTCCTAAACATCTGGCCAGGCTTGTCTAAACAACGTTTTTAGCAGGTGCTGAAAAATGTGTAGCGAAAGTGCCTGCCTGATGTCAATAGGCGGGGAGTTCCAAAGTGTAGGTGCTGCCACACTATATTACAATTGTGGAATGAGTAGTATGTGCCAGCTGTAATGGCCAGTTCTCTCAACTGAGGTGGTTAAGGGGCCTGGTCCCTAGCCCCTCCCTTGGCTCAACTGAACTTTATCCCTTCGCCAGAATTTCTGGCTTGCATTGTTGCCTGAAAAACATCGAAAGAAATCTCAATATTAGTGGCATCTAGGGAAGATGGCATCAGCAGCTCCAGGGGTAAAGCAGAACTGGAGATGAGTGGCATCGAGGCCGCAGGATGCCAAAGGCATGGTAAAAAATAGCAGTGAAAATAAAGATGCAAGTCTAAGTAGCAATCATATATATGAATGAGAGAGGAAGACGAGATTAAGGTTAGAGCTGCATAGATTAAAGAGGAGATCTATCAGCTAAAGCATTTGATAAGAGATGAGGGCAATTTTAGTCAAGGGTGCAAATTTTAACAAACTGCAAGCACCCTTGATTGTTTTCTGCAGCTGTTTTTGGTTCTGCTGTGGTTTCTGCACCACGGAACAAAAAAGAACCTTTTGGCAATAAATGGAAATTGGGCACACTCACCTTGTTCAAGACAAGAACGCTGGGAAGATCAGGGAACCGAGCCAGACACTTGAGCACCTCTGGATGGAGGCGGTTCCGGGTATAATGGTCCGAAACATCCACAAGAACTAGCACTTCAAAAGAGGAAGTGGGGGTTACAAGGTCAGCTTGGGTCAACCTTTCACTCCCAAGCAGCAGACAGCCACCAGTCCATCTTAAAGCAAAATGATCCTTAATGGTAACATCAACTGGTCCAAGGAGGAAAAAAGCCTCTAGCGCTGGCAGCCCAGAGTGTGGTTAGAGTGTTGGACTATGACCTGGAAGAACAGGGTTCGAATCCCCACTTGACCACAAAGCTTACAGAGTGACCTTGGGTCAGTCGCTCACTCTCAGCATAATTTACCCCACAAGGTTGTTGTGGAGATTAAATGAGGAGGGGGAGGACCTACAGGACTGCCTCTCCTGGTATGCCCCACGGAGGACCTTACGGTCCATAAATAGCAACACCCTAGAGGTCCCGGGCCCTAAGGAAGTTAGATTAGCCTCAACCAGAGCCAGGACCTTTTCAACACTGGCTCCGGCCTGGTGGAACGCTCTGTCTCATGAGACCAGGGCCCTGCGGGATCTGATTTCTTTCCGCAGGGCCTGTAAGACAGAGTTGTTCTGCCTGGCCTTTGGCTTAGAATCAATTTGGTTCCCTCTCCCTCTTTCTTTTTTGCTTTCTCCTCCTGTGAAGAGGCTGCATCTTAATGTTTTAATGTTGTATTTTAATCATGTTTTTTAAGTTGTATTTTAATCAACTTGTTTTTATCATTGGTTGTTAGCCGCCCTGAGCCCAGTCTTGGCTGGAGAGGGTGGGGTATAAATAAATTTATTAATTTCTTCCATGGAGAAAAAAAAAGGGATATAAAGCAATGTCCACCCCCCCCCCCCATTTATATCCCCACAGCCTTCTGAGGTAGGACAGGCTGAAATATAGTGACTGGCCTGGAGTCACCAAGTGAGTCATGGCCGAGTGGAGATTTGGACCCTGGCCTCCCAGGTCCTAGTCCAACACTCTAAGCCCTTCACCACACTGGGACACTGGTTCATCCTTCCCACCATCACCACATAAATCACTGCAGCAGCAAAGGATGGCGACCACTAAGTGGTCCAGGGGTGGCATGATGGGAGAGAGAGGTCAAGGTAAGAAAAGGAAACCAAGTCCCTACCTAGGTCTGCATTCTTCAAGCTCTTACAGGGATCATAAAGCAGAGTTTTTTCCAACTGATGCCTGAAAGAAAAGTTGAAAGAAACACACAGCGTGAATTCAGTACTTCCCAGCCCCAAGAGAACTGCTTCTCTCCCAGGCTCCAGTTACTTCTATACCTTTTGGCTTTGAGGTGTGTGGTGAGGCCTGGAGTGTCCAAGACAACCTAGGCAAAGAAACAGAGAATCAAATCACTTAAAAGGTTTAAGAAAACACTTGGCTGAAGAAATGAATTTGCTCATTGAGAACTTCACTGAAGAAAAAAAAAGAGAGAGGAATTCCTGCTATAAGGGAGTAGAACAGAATACTCCTCAATTAATGAATGGTAGCTCTGCCGTCAACCGTGTTAGCTGAACATGGAGTCTCCATGTTTTGGAGTATCACACCACCAAATGCCAGTCGCTGTGGGCAAACAGCACCAAACCTTGGCATGTGAGTTTCACAAGGCGTGCCTGGGGTGTTGGGGCAGGGAGAGTGCTTGGGCCAATTCTTAATACCAACCAGCTGAGTATCGTCCTTTGTGATGACGCCCTGGGCATTGCGCCTGGTCGTGTGCACCTTCTTGGAGACAGGCAGGACCTGTCAAGGAGAGAAGCCAAGGGGTTGTATAATGCAAGGGAGTGCTGGAGGGCGGCCCCAATCCTCCCACACCCATGGAGGCTGTGCGCTCCAGCTCATTACCTTCCGTCCCAAGAGCTGGTTTGACAGGGTCGATTTCCCAGCATTTGGAGCCCCAATGATGGCGATTCTCAAGATCTTGGGATTCTCAGGCTGATCTGGCTGGTGCCCCAGCAAAATGTCTTGCTCAACTGCAGAAAGAACGCCCAGACATCACTTGCTATTTCCAGTGGTTTCACATGAACAATCTCTATGGGACCTCAGTGCTTTGCGAGTCCCAATAGATTAAACTAAAGGCTTCCACATCCAGAACTAGGCTAATTTTGTGATTGCAAGTTGTTTTAAACCATTTTTAATATTGTGTTTTAATGTTGTAGCCCTCCCTGGGACCTGAGGGTGAAGCGTTGGCAACTAATAATAATAATTATGATGATTAAAGGTAAAGGTAAAGGAACCCCTGACCATTAGGTCCAGTCGTGGCTGACTCTGGGGTTGCAGTGCTCATCTCACTTTATTGGCCGAGGGAGCCGGCGTACAGCTTCTGGGTCATGTGGCCAGCATGACTAAGCCGCTTCTGGAGAACCAGAGCAGTGCATGGAAATGCCATTTACCTTCCCGCCGGAGTGGTGTCTATTTATCTACTTGCACGTTGATGTGCTTTCAAACTTCTAGGTTGGCAGGAGCAGGGATCAAGTAACGGGAGCTCACCCCGTTGCAGGGATTCGAACCGCCAACCTTCTGATCGGCAAGCACTAGGCTCAGTGGTTTAACCCACAGCGCCACCCGCATCCCTACGATAATTCCAATCAGCTTCTACCAAAGGAAATCAATTTCGGCCTGCTACCCAAACATAACTGACGGAAGTCAAGGTTCACCTTTAAAGGCGCTCAAAGGCGGTGGGTGCTGACCAACCAAAGATGGGGCATCTTCTTTAGTAATCCCAAGGATGTAATCCAGGGCAGAGTCGTTTCCATACAAGCGAGCAGGGACAGTCCTGCCCTGATGGGATGGGTCCTTCAAGAAATGGAGGCTGATACCTAAAGCAAATAACAAGAGAGAAAACCCGCATTTTAGAAATACTCCTATTGCAGATCAAGGATGTGGTGGGGAAACCTCAGGACCAAGAACCCAGAATGTCGGGCATTTGTGGGGGTTGAACTTGCTCTGATACGAGCTGAACTATGGGTGTGATGGCACAGAATGCTGGCAAACATTACAGCTACTCATAAGAAGATAAGATGAGCTTGCTGGATCGGGCCCAACTAGTCCAGCATTTTGTTCTCACAGTGGCTGACCAGATGCCCCAATGGGAAACCTTCAAGCAGGATTTGAGCACAAGAGCCCCCTCCTGGAGTTTCCAGCAACTGGTATTCAGGCATACTCCTGCCTCCAGCTGTGGTGGGCAAAGCATAGCTATCATGGCTAATAGTAATGCATTTGTCTGCTTTTTAAAAGCCATCTAGGTTGTCAGCCATCACTGCCATCTATGGAAGTGAGTTTTCCAGTTCAACTATGCACTACATGAAGAAGGATTTCTTTTTCACTCTCCTGAATCTTCAAGCATTCAGCTTCAATGGATGCCCACATGTTCTAGTGTTAATGAGAGAGGCAGGAAAATTCTCAGGAACCAAAGACTGTTTGCAGTCAATCTGCCGAGAAAGAAGGGGAAGGAGGAGTACACTTTCCTCTGGTGAAAGCAGATTCTAGAAATGGAAACACTTTTGCAGGTAGGCTAAAGAATAGAGTGGTACCTCGGTTTATGAACTTAATCCATTCCGGAAGTCTGTTCTTAAACCGAAATCATTATTAAACCGAGGCGCGCTTTCCCTAACGAGGCCTCCCACTGCCAGTGCCCTTCCACCGTTCGGATTCTGTTTGTAAACCGAATAGTTCGTAAACAGGACTGTTCTTAAACCAAGGTACCACTGTACAAAGAGATTCCAGGAAGTAGGGCTATTAAAGGCCAGGAAGCACAGAGGCACTATTGGCAGGAAGAAGGGAGCTAAGGCAAATGATTTTCATGCAGAACAACAGGAGAAAACGGGCAGCTTCCTTATACTGAGTACGGTCAATAAACTCAGTATTGTTTACTTTGGCTGGCAGCAACTCTCCAATGTTTTAGCTGCTAGCTGGAGATGCTACTTGGCATTGAACCTGGAGCCTTCTGCATGCAAAGCAGGTGTCGTGCCAGCACTTAAGATATAATTAACGAATGAATGAATTGCCCACCCTTCAGCCTAAGCTCCCAGGTCGGCTTACAGCATTAAAAACAATATTAAAGACCAGTGGCCCTTTCCCTAAAACTAAAAAGGCTTTAGCTTTGGGCCTTCTACTCGGCTGATCTATCTAGAGATTAATCCAGCTTCCCGCCAGTGAGACAACCTCACAGCATGCGGCGGCGAGTTCCAAAGATTAACGAAGCCCAACGCCACCTGAGCAGGCGCAGCGCGACGACGGCCTCCCTCTCCCCGCCGAGGCCCCAAGTCCGGCCAGGCCCAAGGCCCGCCAGCCACGCCGGGCCAGGCACGCCGCCGCCACCGCCGCCATGGCAACCACCGGCGCCGCCGTCAAAGCTCAAGAAACGCCTCGGCGGACGGGCGGCGCCATCTTGGCGGCACGAAATGCATTCTGGGAAGGAGGAGGAAGAAAGCAGCCGTGCAACCTGATTGGCTGGAGGGTGCGGAAGAGGGGAACCATAGAGAGCAAGGGTGGCGGTGGCGAGAGCGGCTTCAATGACGGAAGTCGGAGGAAGAGCCTGGAGCAACTGCTATTATTATTATTATTATTATTATTATTATTATTATTATTATTATTAATTTCACAACTTAGTACACCCTGAGGGGTGAGCTTAACTCTCTGCCCCCCTCGTTCCAGTTCGCCCGGCGGAAACAGGAAGGGTCACCACCGGAAATAGGAAGTATTGCATACCCGTTTTTCCGCAGTCACAGGGCGGCCGTTTTCAGTCACGTGATCACACTTGAATCCGTGCAATCCATTTCCCACGATGAGCAGCGCAGGGAGTCACTTCATGCCCGGGAATAAACGGAAGGCGGAAGAGACGGGAAAGCGCTCACAGAGTTGCGAGACAAAACCAAGCCTCTGGGGACGTGGACGAGGAATTAAGTTTCCTGGACCTGGGAGACGCGTCTGTCTTGATATAGGGAACCATTTGCAGGGGAAATGAGGAAAAACATCAATAAGCATCGTTGTTGTTGAGTCGTTTAGTCGTTAGTTTACAGATCAGTAGGCCAGCGCAGAGGGGTGTCCTGTCTGGAAGTGAGAGAGCCAAGCAGGGAAGCTCCTAAGCTGTAGGGGAGAGCGAGAGAGGAGGACTGCGGACCGTCTCTCCTCTCCCGCAGCAGAACTGCAGATTTATTCCTCTTGCACTTCCTTGCTAGAGTCATCGTCAAGAAACGACTTTGTCGACAGAGCAGGAGGCTGAGCTCACTGAGCTTTGCAGAAATATTAAAACAAACCGTTTTGTTAAACGAATAGGGGGCTACCAGGGGGCCTGCCAGCCACAACGCCCCTCTTCTCCCTCCACTGTTGGAGGCAGCAAATGCCTCTGAATGCTTTGTTGTTGTTTAGTCGTGTCCGACTCTTCGTGACCCCTGGACAAGGCACTCCTGTCTTCCACTGCCTCCCGCATTTTGGTCAAACTCATGCTGGTAGCTTCGAGAACACTGTCCAACCATCTCATCCTCTGTTGTCCCCTTCTCCTTGTGCCCTCCATCTTTCCCAACATCAGGGTCTTTTCCAGGGAGTCTTCTCTTCTCATGAGGTGGCCAAAGTCTTGGAGCCTCAGCTTCACGATCTGTCCTTCCAGTGAACTCTCAGGGCTGATTTCCTTAAGAATGGAGAGGTTTGATCTTCTTGCAGTCCATGGGACTCTCAAGAGTCTCCTCCAGCACCAGAATTTAAAAGCATCAATTCTTTGGCGATCAGCCTTCTTTATGGTCCAGCTCTCACTTCCATACATCACTACTGGGAAAACCATAGTTTTAACTATACGGACCTTTGTTGGCAAGGTGATGTCTCTGCTTTTTAAGATGCTGTCTAGGTTTGTCATTGCTTTCCTCCCAAGAAGCAGGCTGGCCACATGACCTGGAAGCTGTCTGCGGACAAACGCTGGCTCACTCGGCCTATAGAGCAAGATGAGCGCCACAACCCCAGAGTCGTCCGCGACTGGACCTAATGGTCAGGGGTACCTTTACCTAACTTATCTTGTAATTTTAATGGGATTGTATATCCCAAGTTGCTCAGGGTAGAGTTTGTGCCTCTTCTAGCCAACTCACCCTTTACAACGACCCTGCAAGGTGAATGGCCCCAGGCTGGCCTAGAGAGCTTCATGAGAGTGAAGAGGTCAAGCCCAGCCTCCCTTTTCAAGGTCTCTACTTTCCATTATTCCTTTTCCTGCTAACCAGGTGATGCCGTAAGTATTAAGTAGTGGGTTGACAAAGCAGACGACAGAGATTTATCCAAGTGGTTTTTTATAATAAGCTGGAACTGAACTGAACAGCTCAGTCAGCCTGCTTTTATAGGCAGCCGGCTGTCAACATTGTAACCACAACACCCCAGGGTTTCCCGCCTAAATTAACTGAAATGGACCTGAGTGAAAACTATATACACAATACCCCTGGTGGCCAGGGTGAGCACTTCAATACATAACAGTAAGTTTCAGTGTTCTGAGCATTAACATTCTAGGACACATGCTCCATTCACAGGGAGGGGCCCTTTTAGGCCTCACCCCCGCCTTTCACAAACCACCCTAAAGCCCACCCAGTGTTCCCAGGGGGTTGTGGATTTAGATGGGGAGTGGACAGTAAGGGCTGTTTGACAGCGGAACGGTGTTGTGGACTCTCCTTCCTTGGAGGTTTCTAAGCAGAGGTTGGATGGCCATCTGTCAGGGACGCTTTGGTTGAGATTCCTGCATGGCAGCAGGGGGTTGGACTGGATGACCTTTGGGGTTCCTTTCCAACTCTACAATTCTAAGATTATATGGAGGGCAAGCTTCTGCAATTTCTTCCCTCAACAGAGCTCAGATGTGCTTTCGAGAAACCTGTGGCACAACTTTCAAGGATTGTGTTCTAATTCTCCCTCTTCTTGCAGTGCTGGCTTCAGAATTTTGGGGCACAGCATTCCCAATAGCCCTCCCCCGACAGCAATGAGAAGCTGAGCCTTTGGTGTCATCGACCCAGTCTGGTGGAACTCACTGCCACTAGAGATTCAGCAGGCGCCTTTTGTTTCAACTTTAAAATGTCTGCTGAAAACTTTCCCATTCTGCCAGGCTTACACAGGCAATTAAGAATGCATCCTTCCACTTGCTTGATTGATGTCTGCTTTTTACTTTTTTTGTATGTTTTTATTGCGGTCAACCTCCTTTATATATTTTATATGACACAGTATGCAAATGTTTTATAAATAAATAAAAATAAATACCACAGGCTTTATGCCCAGACGTGTGCTCCAGTTGGCCATCCTTGGGAACCCCTCCCTCTGCAAATAAAAGGGAAACGCAAAAGCTTCTAGAACTTTTTTTATTTCTTACAGGAGCAAGAAAGAAGTGGCCTGATATAGGCCGATGTGAAAAGGAGCCCTCTTTCATCAGATGAAGCTGAAATTCCTGCTTCTGTGGAGTCAGATGGTGGGCAAGATGGCAGAAGAACCATTACCATTACTAAACTCAGTAATGGTAACGGTTTTGCTGACACCCCGCGAGATTTGTCTTCTGAGCAGGACTGCATTTTCTTCTTCTTGTCCAGTCAATGTTGCACACACGCACACGCACACACCCAGCAAAACAAACTCTAGGCTGGTTCTAGCTTTTTTCCAAAAAGGACGATGGGAAAATCTTTTTTCTGAAGAACTGCTGCTAAGGCAAGTGAAAAATCTTGGGCTAGAAAAGACACGCAGTCTGAGCTGCCAATAAGTCAGCTTCTTAGATATATTTCCTGTGGTCCAATGGAAGACTAAAGAAGGGTGCCTTTCCCCTCATTACTGTCAGGGATAGGGACCCTGTTGTTCTCCAGATGTTGCAAGGATCAGGGCAGAAGGGGGCTGAGTCTAGCAACATCTGGAGGGACGTAGAAGAAGGTCAGAAGAGCTCTGCTGGATCAGGCCCATCTAGCTCAGCATTCTGTACTCACAGGGGCCAAACGGATCCAACAACTGGTATTCAGAAGCCTCACTGTCTCCAGCTATGGAGGCAGAGTACAGTCATTGCAGCTAGTAGCCATTAATAGCCCTCTGTGAATTTGTCTATTCTTTTAAAGCCATCCAAGCTGGTAGCCATCTCTTCCTCCTGTGGGAAGGAGTTCCATAGGTGAACTGCACTGCTCTGAAATACCTAGATTTAATGGCGGGGGAGACAGAGAAGGTCCCATATTTCACAGTCATTCTGGTGGGGTGAAGACCACCGGTGGAAAGGTCTTAAAAATAAAGCTGGGCTCTGCGCTTTTAAAATAATCAGTTTCTATCCAACCACCCCAACCAAGCTGGGCTCAGCCCAACCTCAGCTCCGGTGGGGAGCGCTGAGGACAACAAAAGGGTTGCTTTGGGATCTCGGCGGCTCCAGGAGTTCAAGGTAGTACATCATCTATACTGTAGTGTCTCATTCCAACTTACAGTATATGATGATATCCAGCCTGGAACCTCAATGGGTCGGTTTCGCTCCGCAGCAGACTTTGGCGAGTGGGGAGCTGGAAGGAGAAGGAATGGAATTTTAGGTGTGGGAAACTCACACTGAGAATTTGAACCCGCTCCCCTGCTACAAAACTGACATGTGGACTCTGCCAAACTTTAATCATCCACACAATGCTAGACTCACCAGTGCAACTCCCTCATTCTCACACCAGGAGGTAAAACACCTAACATCTGTTTTAAAACTTCCAATGCATGCCGTACTGGGCAAGACACCCATCTGCGGCAGGTTCTCGCAGCCTTTTTTTTAGTGCTGCACAGTGTGGTATAGTGGTTAGAGTATTGGACTGCAGTTGGGTTAAGAGACCCATGGGTTCAGACCCCTCTCAGCTCTAAAACTGACCCAGCCTGATCTGCCTGGTGCAGTTGTTGTAGGGAGAATATAGGGTGGGTGAAGGGGAGACCCACATGCAGCCCCCTTGGAACACAAGAAAGAAAGGCTTGTGCATGAGGGCCGATACAAGTGCACAAAAATTCTCTCTATATATAGAATTTGAAGGGTCTCCTGAGGGTCATCTACTCCATCCCCCTGCAATGCAGAAATATTTCACCGCTCACCCCCCGCCCAACAGCCAGAGTTATTTAATAGCATTTCTTAAGTGCTTAATATTTAAAATCTGTTAAGTCATCTACCAAAAGGACTTTAGCCGCCTAAGGCTTAACTGAAGTGTGGAGCCTAAATGAGTTGTGTCCGTTCATATTAGTAGGTCTACCCTGAGTAGGACAAACATTCTCAGGAAAACAACATCCCCCGATTCGTTTTAAGGGTTCTTCCACCACCACCACCTCATACTCAGAGTAGACCCATTTAAATTATTAGGTCTTATGTTAGCTGGGTTTAATTTATTCTCTATTGCTTCAGACGTCCTGAAGAGTCCTCTTGCAAGTAATTTTTAAAAATCATACGGTATTTATTTATTTATTCCAGGCATTTTTATGCTGCTTAACGCCCGTAGTTTTTAAGCGGCATACAATGAGGCTATGCAAAATATGCGCAAGAGAGAGGAAATCTGTTAAAATGAACTGATAACTCTCAGGGAATTATTATTGTTTTTAATGCCAGCTGATACATATAATATAAATATGTGTTGTGTTTGTGTGCGTCTTCCAACTAAGTCAAACACAAAATGCGTATATATGTTTCCCTCCCTTTATGGTTTTGATCTATGGGCTACTTTTAAAATGAGGCTGCATTTTAAACTGCATTTTAACCTGTAATCAGTAATTTTACTGATGTTAGCCGCCCTGAGCCCGGCTCTGGCCGGGGAGGGCGGGATATAAATAAAATTTAGTATTATATTATTTGTTATTTTTTAAAAATTCAATAAAGCAGTGCAAATATTCTTTCAGAAAAAGGGATCTAAAACAGTGCAAGCTATCCAGACACAGCCCTAATAACCTGCCCCATTCCGTATGCTTACCATTCCGAGTTGCAAAGGAGGCCCTCCAAGATCCGCATCTGATGGGGGCTTCTGAAGAAGACCTTTATATACCCTGGGCCTTATTTGCATAGCTGCTCCGCCCTGCCAACCCTTTTCGGCCCTCCCTTGCCTGAACTTGGCACCCCTCCACCCCACACCCTGACCCACCCACCGCCAGTAACTTCTAGGAAATTAAAGTACTTTGAGGACATCAGGTGGGGAGGGAAAGAGAGACCTGCCGGCCGCCGGCCCCCTGAAATGGGACCAGTTCCTAAGAGAGAGAGTTGCTGAGGGCACCCAGTCTCCTTTAAGCCCTGTCCTCCAGAGGAGGGGAGACCCAGAGGTGAAGTGATGGCCACTTTCCAATATCTGAAGGGCTCTCCCATGGAAGACAGAGCAAGCTTATTTTCTGCTGCTCTAGACGGGAGGACCAGAACCAAAAGATTCAAATGACAATAAAGGCTGAAAATTAGGAAGAACTTAGTAAGGGCTGCTGGACAGTGGAATGGATTAGCAATGGAGTGTCCTTCACTGGAGGGGCTTGAAGCTGTGATTCCTGCATTGCAAGGAGTGGGACTAGATGACCGCTGGGGAACCCCCCCTTCCAAATCTACCATTCTGTGATTCTATGGCCCAGGAATGTGGGCTAGGAAATGTCCCATGTCAGAGACCCTGGAGGGCCTCTGCCAGTCAGTGTAGGCAATCCCGAGCGGGATGAGACCCCCGTAGCTACCTGATTCAGTATGGTGGTACTTCGGGTTACAGGCGCTTCAGGTTCCAGACTCTGCTAACCCAGAAATAGTACCTCGGGTTAAGAACTTTGCTTCAGGATGAAAACAGAAACTGCGCTGCGGCGGTGCGAGGCCCCATTAGCTAAAGTGGTACCTCAGGTTAAGAACAGTTTCAGGTTAAGAACGGACCTCCAGAACGAATTAAGTTCTTAACCCGAGGTATCACTGTATTGGGCAGCTTCTCAGGTTCCTAAATATTTCGGAAAAGCACCATAGCTCAGTGGCAATGCAGTAAAATGCAATGTTATGCAATGTAATGCTTTGCAAGCTCAACCACTTTGCACCTACAAGTAAGGTATGGGAATGTCCTCTGCCTGAAACCCTGGGGAGCTGCTGCCAGCTATTGTAGGCAGCAGTGAGCTCGATGACTCAGGATAAAGAAGCGGAATCGTGAAGTTGGAAGAGACCCTGAGGGTCATCTAGCCCAACCCCCAGCAATGCAATAATCTTCTGCCCAACATGGGGCTCGAACCCACAAGCCTGAGATTGAGAGCCTCATGCTCTACTGACTGGGCCATCGCGAGCCATCTTGCCTTCTCTGTTCCTATTTCAAATCAACTCCTTACTTCATAAACATAAGGGCTGGGAAGAAAAACTGATGAGCAGTAATAATAATAATAATAATAATAATAATAATAATAATATATTATTATTATTATTATTATTATTATTTATACCCCACCCATCTGACTGGGCTTCGCCAGCCACTCTGGGCGGCTTCCAACAGAATATTAAAATACCGTAATCCATCAAACATTAAAAGCTTCCCTAAACAGGGCTGCCTTCAGATGTCTTCTAAAAGTCAGATAGTTGTTGTTCTCTTTGACATCTGGTGGGAGGGCGTTCCACAGGGAGGGCGCCACCACCAAGAAGGCCCTTTGCGGAGTTGGCAAAGTTAACATACAAACTGTGTGAGAAGGACAACCGTGACTTTAAAGGAAGAATGGGAACTATTTACAAATGATCTAAAAAGACAGCAAAAGGATTTGGATTCCTTGGCAGGTTTTGAATAAACATCCACAAATTTATTAGCAGAACATATGATAGATAAGGCAATGGTACGTACAATTTTATAACATGCGGAGAATAATATGTATACATAAATCAGAGAGGGGAGCTGAGTGAAGTCTTTGGAGGGAGTGGGAAATGTAATTGGTTATATTTTATTTATAATTTGATTTGTTAAATTTGTTTCATAATAATATATTTTTTTAAAGAAACATAAGGGCTGGGGGGGTCTTGTTTATTTTTTAGGAGGCATATGATTCGACATTCCCTGTGTCCCTGTTGAAAACAGCCCTTGATTCAGAACCATATGGACTGCTTTATTTTGGGGGGGGGGCAAGCAGACCACCAGCTTTGTGTGCATGTTCCTAAGAGGGGGCCACCTCAATGGTCAAGGCAGAGAAATGGGCCCATGGAACGCATTCTTCCTGTCTGAGGCCCTGCAAAAACTGACTTGACGCAAGCTTGTTTGTCCGCAGGGGTGGCGGTTCCTGGAAGGCTTGCCTGTCAGGGACCGATTAAGGCTGCACATGTCTCTGCCTTGTTATCAGGGGCCCAGCCCAGCCAGATGGAATTGGACGTGGGAGACATCTGGGCTCCTTTCAATTTGGCCACGTAGATTGCAAAAATGGAGGGCAGGCGGGACAGAGCCCTGCTCGGCCAGGCCAAAGAGGGCCCACCCAACATCACGTCCATTAATTTCAATGGGTCTCCTCTGCAAAAAGCTGATGCTGGCGGGAACTTGTCACCTAAAGCTTTTGAAGGAATTTGGTCCGTGTTATAGGAAAACCTCCTGAGTGGAATGAGACACACACACACACACACACACACACACACACACACATAATATATATATATATATATATATATATATATATATATATGGAATGCGGGTGGCACTGTGGGTTAAACCACAGAGCCTAGGGCTTGCCAATCAGAAGGTCGGTGGTTCGAATCCAAATGGCGTTTCCGTGCGCTGCTCTGGTTCTCCAGAAGCGGCTTAGTCCTGCTGGCCACATGACCCGGAAGCTGTACGCCGGCTCCCTCGGCCAGTAAAGCAAGATGAGCGCCGCAACCCTAGAGTCGGCCACGACTGGACCTAATGGTCAGGGGCCCCTTTACCTTTTATACTAATAGTTACACCTTGAGCTTGGCTCAGTAGCAAATTGGCAACCAGTGCAGATCTCTGAGCGCAGGAGTTATGTGCTGACAAGGCCTTCCTTCCCGTCAGCAATCGGACTGCAGCATCCTGCACCAACTGCAGCTTCTGCATCAGGTTTAAGGGACGCCTTGCATAGAGCGCATTGCAGTAATCCAGTCTTGAAGTTGCCATTGCATGAACTACTGTGGCCAAATTTTCCCAGTCCAGGAATTGTGCTTATGCCTCTCACTTGCCTGGAGAGGTGTGCAAATGCGGGCATAGAAACCAGCCTGCTGTACAAAGGTAACTTTTGCATTCATTCCTCTGCCCACTGTTGCCTCTGGCCTCACGCTCCAAAGGTTGCCCAGAAAGCAGTGTGGCCCTTAGGTTGAAAAAGGTTCCTGACCCCAAACTAAACTGCACACCCATATTCCTTGGACCTTAGGGGATGACCCATGTTCCTAATAGCATTGAGGAGTTGTTAAATTGTGACTCCAATGCCTTTGTGGGCACTAGACTTCAGGCTATTGCGATTTTAACAGCCAGCTTTTCAGTTGCACTTTGATCTGTTTTTTAAAAATGGTATTCATACACACTGCCTCAAAACTTGGTGCGAATGTATGGGGACAGGTGCTCAATGTCTGGAAGCAAATTGAAGTCTCTTGGAAAAGTGTGTTTACTTGGAGGAGGGATGCCTGCAGGGAGGAGAGTTTCTTAGGAGTGCCCCATTTTTATTCTTAAATTATATACCACCCTAAACCTGGAGGTCTCAGGGTGGTTCACAGAATAAAATCAAAATATAAAACCACAGAATAATCAAAATAAAAACAATACTCTCCCCCCAAAAACCCCACATTTTAAAAGGGCATAGGATGTCAATAACCCAAAGACCTGGTTAAAAAGGAACGTTTTTGCCTGTTGCCTAAAGGTGTATAATGAAGGTGCCAGGCGAACTTCCCTGGGGAGAGCATTCCAGAGTCAGGGAGCCACTGCAGAAAAGGCCCTTCTTGTGTTGCCACCCTCCGGACCTCTTGAGGATGAGGGACATGTAGGAGGGTCTCAGAAGATGATCTCAGGGTCTGGGTAGCCACATACTTCCTGGCGAGAGGTCAAGCTGTACCTGGGCATAACCATTGTCGCCCCTAGCCAGCTTCCATCAATAAAGGCACTTGTCTCGGGCCAGGCCATCGTCCCCCGGCATTCTCTCCCCACCCCATTTTTTCCAGGGTTCTCTATCACACAAAGCTCCTTCCCTTCACCCCCAAGTCCAAAGATTTGCCCTGCTGTAGAGATGCATCAGCAGGAGGCGGCTCAAGGGTGGTGTCTGTGGTGTGCGGATAAGAAGTCGAGCCTCCTTTTGCAAAAAAGAAAAGGGGGAAAGGGACCGCACCCTGGCCTTATCTGAAGCCCCTCCGCTTCATCTGAGACACCAGCCCTCCTCCTCCTCCTGGGCTAAGGAACCGTCTCCTCCCAGGCAAACCCATCTGCGGGACAAGCAAGCCAGGCTGGCCCTGCTGCAGCCCACTCTTCTGACACCAGGCATGCCTCAAAAGCCACCCAAATATAAATGCCAACTTCAGAGGCACCCAGGAAGCTAATGGGATGCCTCGAGAAACCAGTGCAGTTCAGACAGTCAGATGAAGACCTGGGAGAGGCCAGGGTTCGAATCCCTACTAGGCCACGAAGCTCCCTGGGCGTGAGCTTGGGCCCAGTCGCTGTCTCTCAGCCAAACCCGCCTCACAGGGTTGTTGTGAGCTCCTTGGAAGAAAAGGTGGGATAATAATAATAACAACAATAATTTATTATTTATACCCCTCCCATCTGGCTGGGTTTCCCCAGCCACTCTGGGTGGCTTCCAAGAGAACACTAAAATACAATAACCTATTAAAACACTAAAAGCTTCCCTAAACAGGGCTGCCTTCAGATGTCTTCTAAAAGTTTGGTAGTTGTTTTTCTCTTTGACATCTGGTGGGAGGGCATTCCACAGGGCGGGCGCCACTACCGAAAAGGCCCTTGGCCTGGTTCCCTGTAACTTGGCTTCTTGCAGTGAGGGAACAGCCAGAAAGCCCTCGGTGCTGGACTTCAGTGTCCGGGCAGAACAATGGGGGTGGAGACGCTCCTTCAGGTATACTGGGCTGTTTAGGGCTTTCAAGGTCAGCACCAACACTTTGAATTGTGCTCGGAAATGTACTGGGAGCCAATGCAGATCTCTCAGGACCGGTGTTATGTGGTCCCGGCGGCCACTTCCAATCACCAGTCTAGCTGCCGCATTCTGGATTAATTACAGTTTCCGGGTCACCTTCAAAGGTAGCCCCACATAGAGCGCATTGCAGTAGTCCAAGTGGGAAATAACCAGAGCATGAACCACTCTGGTGAGACAGTCTGCGGGCAGGGAGGATCTCATACTGTGTACCAGATAGAGCTGCTAGACAGCCGCCCTGGACACAGAATTGAACTGTGCCTCCATGGACAGCTGTGAGTCCAGAATGACTCCCAGGATAGAAATGTGATAATAAGCTGAGCCATGCCTGGAGACCCACAGCAGGTGGGGTGGGAAGGGGAGAGCCCCCCTGTATCTCCCAAGAGCAGCAGTGGGGTTCCCACCACCCCAGAGAGGCCCCCGCTTACACCGCCTCCTCTTTGGAAACCAGGACGGAAAAAGACGAGACGAAGGCGGCCTGGTGAGGTCACAATAACTTTTTATTGTACATTATTTCACACTTGGGATGCACACGGGGCCCCCGGCGAATCCTGGCACAGGCGGTCATGCACCACATATCCATGCAGAGAACGCGTGGCGTGGGGGGGGGGGGCAGGAGAGCAGGCGACGTGGGGGGGGGGAGAAGAGGGAAGGTAAAATGGGGACAGGAATCCAGTGCTCTCTCCCTGAAAGCTGGTAGAGGGGCACCACCCAGGTCTTTGTGTGTGTGGTGGGGGGTGAGGGAAACATGCTTGGGCCCCAAAGAGCCCCTCACTTCCACCCAAGCTTCCAGAAACGCCCCCCCCCCGGAATAAGCCCTCTGCTGCCTCCCCCCACTAAACCTTTGGCGGCACAAACCCAGATCCTGCTCAAAATAAAATAAAAATAAAGAACTTGGCACCCTCCCACCTCCTTCACAGTACTTAGCTGGGGAATAGAAAGTGAGGGGGGGGGGCTCTGAAATGCAGCAGCAGCAGCAGCCTGCACAGGAGGCAATTGCAAGAAAGCATGGCTGGGATACCCCCCCCCCCGCATGCGGAGAGCAAACAGGCACGCTTCACATGTAAGAATAATAAACAGTACAGACGTTTGTGTGAACAGTACAGACTGGGGAGGAGGAAGGTGCATAGAAACCCTGCGGGGGGGGGGGGGAGAGCCTTCCACTGCCCTCCTGCACCTCCCCCAAACTGTCATGGAGCCATGTTTGTATCTGGAGGGTGGGGGCACCGTGTAGCAAATTGCAAAGGGAGAAGGGGATCTCTACGGCACAGAGGAGCGGGGAAAGAGAGGGGTCTGCGTTTTGCGAGACAGGAGGCGCAGAAGGCAGGTGCACGCAGGGCACTGCCAACCCCGGGGGAATGCCAGGCAAGGGGCTCCAGGGCCTCTCGCCAGTGGGGCAGGGAGGGACTGCTTGGGAATTCCCAGCTTAGGATACAAGACCGGCTCCCCTCTCCCACGGTTCAGGAAGAAAGCAGACAAGCAGTTTGCCAGAGTCTCGCGCGCCTTTCCTCCCCCTTCCTAGTTCTGGAGGGGTGGGTGGGTGAAGGAGCCCCGGGGAGCATAAGCAGGCTGACCACGGCCTGGCGGGCATCTGCAAGACACGGGAGCAGAAGGCAGGATGCCCAGAGGGGTTCTTGAGGTTCCTGCCAACTGTGGATGCAGGGCAGGCGTGATGGACCACCGAAGAAATCAGGCACTGTGTGTGTTGTGTGTGTATTCGGACTGATGGCGAGCAAGATATGTTCATGGCATTTGCGGAACGAGAGGTCGTGGCATTGATTTGGCCCTGGGCTGCGGGGACGCCCGCCGGGTGCCCACGGCTTGAGGTCCCGGCAAGGGGTTGGGCTGAGCGGGCGTGTAACAATATGGCGGCCTCCACACCCTCCGCCGCCTGCCCCCTTTGGAGCTCCAAGAGCACAGGGACCGCAGGGCACCCCACTGGCAGATATGGCTCAATCTCAATCCGCCATTGGCACCAAGAGGGGCAGTGGCCAGGGACGCCCCCCATCAGCGCCTTGAAGGGCCGTGTCCCCTCCGCAGCACAAAAGCATATGGAAGGGGGACGTTCTCCTCAACTGGGGCAGCAGGGCCCAGCGTCGAGCCTCCTCCCAATTTGGGGGTGCGTCCTCCCTGCCCCAAGAATGGCGCAGCGGTCGGTCAAGGCACAGACTTTGCAAGAGCACAGACAAGAGAGGGGAGAAAGTGTTGGCTAGCATGACACAGAGCGGGGCTGGGGGGGTTACAAAAGAAGGAAACCTCTCTTGGAAATCCAAGGACTAGCGGGGACGCGCCCCACTCAGATCCCCCGAAAAAGATATAAGGCACCCGAGAGTAGCCCCCACCGTCTCCACGGATGAAGAGGAGCTCGCAGTGTTTGCGGCAGTCGGTGGGAAGTGCATAAATGGAAGGAGAGGGGGGCTCTTCACCAGCTGGCCTCCTCTCAGGCCTGGGCTCCGGTCGCTTTCTGAATGAGCGGGATCTGCGAGGGAGAAGAGAGGGCGGGACAAAGACTGTCAAGGACAGTTTCCTCCTTCCCGTAGCTTCTTACTTGTTTATATGCTACCCTTCCTCAAAGGTTCTCAGGACAAAAGCACAAATAAATAGTTAAAACAGAAACGACAAAATAGGAACAAGCCCCCCTCCCCAAGCCCCACACATTTAAAAGGCTGTCGAATATTAATCAGCCCAAGACCTGGTTGAAAAGGAATGTTTTTGCCTGACAGCTAAAGGTGTATAATGAAGGTGCCAGGGGAGCCTCCCTGGGGAGAGCATCTCACAAACGGGGAGCCACCGCAGAAAAGGCCCCGTTCTCGTGTTGCCACCCTCCGGACACCTTGCAGAGGAGGCACAAAAAGAAGGGCCTCCGAGGACAATTGCAGGATCTGGGTCAGTTCATAAGGGGAGAGATATTGCAGTCCTGACAGTTTAAGGCTTTAATTGGGCCTGGAACTCATCAGCAGCCTGGACTCAGCGTCACTGGGGAATTCAAAATGGCACCCAAATGTAGGTAAAAAACTACTCCTTAAGCTTGGGAACCATCTGGTTGTGGAAGCTTAAGATGTATCCAAATGCATATAACATCAGAAGAGACTGCTGGATCAGACCAAAAGGGGCCCTGCCTGGTCCAACTTCCTGTTCTCACAGGGGCCAACAGATGCCCATTGTAGGAAACAGCTAAGCTGGACCCGAGTGCAACAGCAACACTCTCCCCCTTGCAGTTCCCAGGAACGGGCATTCAGGGGCATTTACAGGTGAAACTTGTTCTTCCACACTTTTCCCTTCCGCATAACTTTCCATTAATGTGCTTCGATACAGCACTTTGGGAGCATCCAACTTCTTCTGCAATTACCTTTTGAGGCTTTCCCTCCTTATGGAGGGTCTCAATGATGGCTTTCTGCACAACTGTCAGGTCAGCAGCCTTCCCCATGATTGTGCTTCCTACTGAACCCGACTGAGAGTGACTAGTGGGGTGCCACAGGGTTCTGTCTTGGGCCCGGTCTTATTCAACATCTTTATCAACGACTTGGATGATGGACTCAAGGGCATCCTGATCAAATTTGCAGATGACACCAAACTGGGAGGGGTGGCTAACACCCCAGAGGACAGGATCACACTTCAAAACGACCTTGACAGATTAGAGAACTGGGCAAAAACAAACAAGATGAATTTTAACAGGGAGAAATGTAAAGTATTGCACTTGGGCGAAAAGATGAGAGGCACAAATACAAGATGGGTGACACCTGGCTTGAGAGCAGTACATGTGAAAGGAGTCTAGGAGTCTTGGTTGACCACAAACTTGACATGAGCCAACAGTGTGACGCGGCAGCTAAAAAAGCCAATGCAATTCTGGGCCTCATCAATAGGAGTATAGCATCTAGATCAAGGGAAGTAATAGTGCCACTGTATTCTGCTCTGGTCAGCCCTCACCTGGAGTACTGTGTCCAGTTCTGGGCACCACAGTTCAAGAAGGACACTGACAAACTGGAACGTGTCCAGAGGAGGGCAACCAAAATGGTCAAAGGCCTGGAAACGATGCCTTATGAGGAACGGCTAAGGGAGCTGGGCATGTTTAGCCTGGAGAAGAGGAGGTTAAGGAGTGATATGATAGCCATGTTCAAATATATAAAAGGATGTCACATAGAGGAGGGAGAAAGGTTGTTTTCTGCTGCTCCAGAGAAGCGGACCCGGAGCAATGGATCCAAACTACAAGAAAGAAGATTCCACCTAAACATTAGGAAGAACTTCCTGACAGTAAGAGCTGTTCGACAGTGGAATTTGCTGCCAAGGAGTGTGGTGGAGTCTCCTTCTTTGGAGGTCTTTAAGCAGAGGCTTGACAACCATATGTCAGGAGTGCTCTGATGGTGTTTCCTGCTTGGCAGGGGGTTGGACTCGATGGCCCTTGTGGTCTCTTCCAACTCTATGATTCTATGAGAAACCATTTAAAGGCTCAGGAACCCATTGCAGGTGTTATGGACTGAATAGCTACTGTAGCTTTTCACAATAATCTAATTTTCTGAGATTGTTAATTTGGGGTTTTCATCAGCTGTACGCCATAATCATCACAATTATAACAAATAAAGGCTTGACATATCTCGCTTTGCATGTCATGAGTCTATCTCATATATTAGTTTCACCTTTTAAGCTGAATTACTGAAATAAACGAACTTTTCCACGATATTCTAATTTTTCGAGTTTCACCTGTACTGTCTCCAACACTGCCACAGGGGCATTGTGGCTGGTAGCCCAACAGCCATATCCTCCAAGACAATTCCTTAATCCGCTCACCTGTTGCCCTTGTTCCATATCTTTAGGTGCCAGGCAAGAACATTCCTTCGTGTGGTGGGGCAATTATTATTTCTGTTTGTTACTATACTACGTATTTTGATGTTTTTATCTTATAAACTGCCCTATGATCCTCAGATGAAGGGCAGTATAGAAATTAATTCAATAATAAAAATAAACCCACTCGTTTGGACCACTAACACTGGATGTTGTGTGGCCGTCAATGCCATTGTTCAAGTATATGCTGTGAGAATGAGGACTCCCTTTTGTCCCTCCTGAACCCCCATCATTCAGCTTCACCAGTGTCTCCAATGAGTTCTGGTATTGAAGAAAGAAGAGCCTGCTGGATCAGGCCAATGGCCCATCTGCTGTGAGCTCCAGTTAAGAAAAGAAGCAGTAATTAAAGCAGCATTTAAAGTATATATATTTCAAAGGGCAGGCAGACTGTTCCTGTCTGCCCTGCCCACCTCACCTTGGAGAGGTCGACCCCTGTGAGGGCATGGACGGACGCAGGGAGCTCAGCCAGCAGCCGGTTCACATCCGTAGTCATCTTGTTGTTTTCCCCGCTGAGGATGACGATTTCATCCACCTTTGAGAGAGGTGCGGCCACCTTGGCAGCAATCTGAGAGGGACAGAGAGAGAGAGAGAGAAGGCAGTGTGTCAGGATCCAGGCGCAGACCCCAGGGGGAGAGAGGCAGGCAGCTCTCTCTCTCTCCGCCCCCCATCCCCATCAGCCTCCTCACCTGGGGCAGGGCGTCCAGGACCAAGGCCATCTTGGCTGCCTCCCCATACTGCTGGTAGGCCTCTGCCTTGAGCTTCATCTTCTCAGCCTCCGCTTTGCCAATGGCCTCGATCACCAGGGCCTCCGCCTCTCCGATCTTGCGGATCTTCTCCCCTTCGGCCCGAGCGATCAGCACCTGCTTCACCCTTGAGAGGGAGAGAGCTTTGTCTGAGTCTTCCCCCTAGGATGTGGGGCACACAAGGCCTAAGAGTGGGACGCCTCCTCCAGCGGTGGCTCAGAGCAGGGGCTTTCCAAACCCTCCACACAGCAAAAGTTCTCACAGGGGGGTCCATGGGAAGCTTTACTTGGGGACACATCCCCAGGCCCCTCTGGCTGCGCAAGGCCCCCTGAGGAAGGGAAATCCCACCCTGCACCCCCACTCACTTCTCTCCCTCGGCAATCTCCTGCATGCGGTGCGCCTCTGCTTCCGCTGGCAACTTGACAGTGGCGATGAGCTCCTTGTCCATGCGGATGACCTCCTGTTCCTCAACGTCTATCTGCTTCCGGCGCTGCACGACCTCAATCTCGATCTCCTCTTGGCGGATCTTCTGCTGCTCTTTGGCTCCTTGCAGCTCGTACGCCAGCTGGGCCTGCGCCGTCTGCAAAGAGATGGGGAAGGGGCCACAAGGAGGTTACACGGCCTGCAATTGACAAAAAGCCCCCACATCATCCTGATGAGCCCTATACGTCACTCTGAGGCTCAGGGCTGGGTTACACCAGCATCCTACATTCCCCTGTCCTTGTGTGACGATGTCCTCACCCCCTCTCTGCAAATTGTAAATTCACTTTAACTTATATGTCACTTGACTGTGAAAAACAACAACCTCAATAAATTATCAATAAAAAGAATTAACCACAATAACTCAAGACTTTCAAGTTGCAATGGACTATAGACTAAAAGCAGATTAGAACTTGCATCAGGTGTCTAAACGTCAGTGCAGGCTTGTCAAAACAAGAATTCGTAGCAGGGGCCTGAAGACTCCTTGCCTGCCTGGTATCAATAGGCAGGGAGTTCCAAAGTGTAGGTGCTGCCCCACTAAAAGATCGAGTTCTTACAAATGCAGAACAGGGAATACAGAGTGCCTGTAACAGAGTCAGTTCCACCGATCAAAGCAGGTTGAGTGGGTGCATATGGGAAAGGGTGATTTCACAGGTAAGCTGGTCTCAAGCTGTTAAAGGCTTTATATACTAATATTAACACTTGGAACTTGGGGCCTGGAACTCAACTAGCCTCCTCTCCCAGGTCTCCGCTCCACAACCTATTTATTCTTCCCTTTTGTCACGGAAACCACTTGCCAATTTTTATCCTGCCTGCACACCACCCAGTATTGTGTCTCTGCTGTGGGCAGGCAGCAGCCGTGCGGAGCCATCTCAGACAAACCAATTTCTCAAACACCGTGGTGGTTGGTGAACACTCTGGCTCCTACACCTACCCACCCCAGAAGTTAGAAAGTCCTTTCTACCGAAGCCCCAAAATGCTCCTCTGAGTCCCAACCCTCTCCACGCACCTTTATGTTGATCTCTTGGCTGAAGGCGGCTTTCTGCATTTCGAAGGCACGCTTCGAGTCGGCCACCTTGGTGTCTGCCATGAACTTCACATCCAGCATTTCTCTCTTGTATTCTGCCTCCTGCAGGAGGAAAACAGTCAGAAGGCAGAGGTCAGCTGACCACGCTCAGAGTGACGCTGGAGCCTGGGCAGGAGAATAAGACGGGCTTCTCCTCTCCTCCTGCGCCATTTGACGTACCCGGATGCCGGCGTCTCGCTCTGCCTCGGCCACCCCAATGTCGGCGTCTCTCTGCACCACGGCGGTCTGGGTCTTCCCTAGTGAGCTCAGGTAGCTGACTTTATCGTAGACATCCTGCGTGGGGAGGAGAGAAATTGCTCCATTCAGGAAACATGAGAGAGAGAGAGAGAGACGTAGCTCAGCGGACAGGAATGCAGACAGGGAACTTCCCTGCCTCTCCAAGGTAAAGGGCCGTAGTTCAGCGTCCGAGCCCCTGTGTAGCATGCAGAAGGCCCTGGGTTCAATCCCTAATGGCATCTCAGAGTAGCGCTGGGAGAGACCCCTTGGACAGCTGCTGCTGCCAGTTAGTGCAGGCAGCACTGAGCTAGATGGTCTGACTCTGTGTACGGCAGCTTCCTATGTATTTGAATAATCCACTAAGCAACAAAGGCCTTTCTGGGGTATTGAAACGGATGATCAGACATGACGAGAGGCATATAAAATGATGTCTGGCATGGAGACATTGGATGGAGGTTTTCCTCCCTCTCTCATAATCCTAGAACCCATGGGCCTCCAACGAAGCTGCAGGTTGGAGGGTCAGAGCAGATAAAAGGAAGCACTTCTTCACGCAGCGCAGAGTTAGACTGCGGAACTCCTTCCCACAGGAGGCAGTGAGGGCTAATTCAAAAAGGGACGCGGCTCGTACCTTGATAGTGAAACTCAGGATCTCGATGCCCATCCGGCCCACATCAGGAGCCGCCACTTCCCGCACGAGCTTGGCAAATTGGTCCCTGTCCTGGTAGATCTGCTCGACGGTCAAGGTCCCTGCAGAAGGGGGAGGCAGAAGACAAGATGGTGGCTGGCACGACGGAGGCAAAGTGGCTACGAAGGAGGGAGTCCAGGAGACGCCCATACGGCATGTGCTTCTGCCAAGCCAAGTGAGCAGAAGGAAAGGTCCCATCTGCACTAAACATCTAAACCAGCCATTGTACTGCTTCGAACAGTCATGGCTTGCTCGCTAAAGATCTTGGGATGTGTAATTTATTAAGGGTGCTCAGAGTTGTTCCCAAGAACCTTATGCTCCTCAAAGAACTACCATCCCCAGCATTCCCTGGGAAGGATTGATTGTTAAACCACTCTGGGCATTGCAGCTGCGGGAGGTGAACAGGGGTCTCCTAACAACTCTCAGCACCCTGAACAGACTGCAGCTCCCAGAGTTCTTTGGGGGGCGCCATGAACGTTTAAAGGGGTGCAATGCTGCTTTAAACATATAATAGCGCAGATGGAGTCAATGGTTATGCTACCCAAGGAGCAAAGAGTTTAGCTAGCTCTTCTCAGACAGCCACATGCACACTGAAGTCGAAAGGACTGCAATTCAACAGTACTTTTTTTATTATGTCCAGGGGAATCGTATGTAAAAGGAATTGGAAGGTAATGAAAAACATTCCTTACCTAAGTTGCAAGCAATCACAATGCCCTGACATAATCAATAAGCAACAAAGCACGGAAAACCCAAAAACATCGTTCCAACATGCTCTACAATGTGCGAACGCTTGATAAAACTCACTAAATATATCTAAAAAATTATTTACAACTGGAAAATAGGGATACTCCTGTAGAGTCGGTAGAATTGTAGAATTGGCTCAGGGACCCCAAGGGTCATCTAGTCCAGCCCCAAGGCAGGAATCTCAAAGCATCCGTGACAGGTGGCCATCTAATCTCTGCTTAAAAACCTCCAATTAAGGAAACTTGCAGGGGGAATTCATTCCAGTGTGAACAGCTCTTATCATCAGAAAGTTCTTCCTGATGTTTAGTGGGAATCTCCTTTCTTGTAACTTGAATCCATTGGTCCGAGTCTTACCTTCCAGAGCAGGGGAAAACAATCTTGCTCACTCTTCCATGGGACAGCCCTTCAGATATTGGAAGATGGCCATCCTGTCTCCTCTCCACCTCCTCTTTCCCAGTTTAAACATACCCAACTCCCTCAACTGCTCCTCATCAGGCTTGGTTTACAGGCCCTTGATCATCCTGGTTGCCCTCCTCTGCCCACCTTCCAGTCTGTCAACATCCTTCTTAAATTGTGGTGCCCAGAACTGGACACAGTACCTCAGGTGTGGTCTGACCAAGGCAGAATAGAGGGGTACTATGACTTCCCTTGACCTGGACACAAGACCTCTGTTGATGCAGCCTAGAACTGTAGAAACCACAGCTTCCATTACTCTTCCATAATAAGTTGAAGACTGCCATTGCCTCAGATTAAAGAACCGTCAGCTTCACACAATAAAAGCACCACCTGTGTATTTACGACATTTTGAATGCGACCAAGCAGTTAAATGTATGTAACACTGCATTTAATATCCCAGTTACTTTTACGTATGTTTTCGCCCTTGACAAAAAAAATGCTACTGAAACAGTGTTGGGAACACCAATCCTTGCAGCCGCTTATTTCCAGACGTTTATGCGAAGCGAGAGAGGGCGCCCCCCCAGCCACGCCCCCCACCTAGGATGGAGCGCAGGTGCCCTTCCAGCGTCTGGAGGACCACATTCTTGATGTCCTGCACGTTCTTGCCCAAGAACTGCTCACAAGCCACCGCGAGAAGCTCCCTCTCGGTCAGGATTTTCACCTGCAGGCAAAGAGAGAGAGAGAAAAGAAGAAGACATTTGACGTGAGCCGCAAAGGGGTCAATACGGTCAACGAAGTGATAGGCTAGTGACAGAAGCAGAGCCTGTGACCACTGGGGCACCCTTGGGGTGGCTCGGCTCAGCTCTGCCCCACAAGGATCAGGTCACCAGGAGCCCTCTTCATACCCATCAGCAGCAAACCGGGAGTTTTTGTTAGGAGGCAGGCTGCAGGGAACCCTGTACCTGATTTTAAAACTCTTTGCATCGCTTCCTGATCCTGGAGAGCAAACCAACAGAATGGGTGGCCCCAGAGGAAGCAGCCTCAAAGCAGCAAGGCCACAGGTTCTGGGGGCCCCGGCACCCTAGCTCTGCATCCAAGAGGAGGACATGCTGCAAGCCAGGTGTGGGGGCATCGCCACCCCTCCCCAGATGTTGCTGGGCACCAGCTCCCATCCTTCCCTTGGAAACTTGGGAGTTGGAGGCCAGCAACAGCTGGAGGGCCACAGGGTCCCCCACCTGCTGTAAGCAAAACCAGGAGCCCACCCCCCTCTCACCCCTGCCGGAGGGAGGCATCTGAGGCATCAACCCATTGCACACGGAGCTCAAAAGCACCCCTGCATGAACAATTCAGAAGGTTTGGCATCATAATGTCAGAATGTATGCAAACTTGCTTCTGCTCTCCCACCCCCCCTCCCAAAAAGTCATTTCCTTAAAACTCTTGAGAGTAAGCAGGCCGGCCAGATCACCTGAGTGCTTTTCTCTTTCTCCCGAAATTAATAATAATAATAATAATAATAATAATAATAATAATTTATTATTTACACCCCGCCCATCTGGCCGAGTTTCCCCAGCCACTCTGGGCGGCTTCCAATCGAGTGTTAAAAACAATACAGCATTAAATATTAAAAACTTCCCTAAACAGGGCTGCCTTCAGATGTCTTTTAAATAAGAGAAGATAGCTGCTTATTTCCTTCACATCTGGTGTGAGGGCGTTCCACAGGGCAGGCGCCACCACCGAGAAGGCCCTCTGCCTGGTTCCCTGTAACCTCACGTCTCAGAATGAGGGAACCGCCAGAAGGCCCTTGGAGCTGGATCTCAGTGGATGGTACAAGCTGGTGAAAAGCCAGCAAGCCTCTCTTGTACCAGTTTCAGCTGATTATTCCGTTTGGGGATTGCAAGCGCCACTTGAGATCGGCAGGAAGGGGGTAGCTGTTTATCCCAACTGCAAAAAATGAGCCAGGGAAGTTTGGGTGGTGGTGGTCTGTACTGGACTCTGCAGGTTATCCACCAGGAAGGAAGTAAGCCTGTATGTCTGTGTAGGCTGGACATAATTTCACTCTCCCATCCTGGGGCCGCTCCTAAGGTTCAAGTTTCTCCCCCCCGCCGCCTCCTTTAGCCTTTAGGGGTCTTAGCCAACTAGATTCTGCTCAGAGCAGACCTATTAAACTGATGCATCTCATTCAGTCATTCCTGTCACTTCAGTTGGTGTACTCTGAGCAGAAATAACATCGGATACAACCTCATAATTCCTTCTCTCGTCTGGCCTGGTAGGAAAGAGAATGCACCCAAATGGCACAGAAAGAAAAAGAAAAAAACATTCCCAGGAGGAGGTTGTTTTTAAAAAAAAATAATTAAAAAATTAAAAAGCAAATTAAAAATGTGAGCCGGCCAGCAGGCTTGATAAAATATACATAAAATAGCAGGAGACAGAGGCTTTATTAATGTTAACACAGCTGGGATTACGAAGGCAATGAACTTTTAAAAAATAAAAATCCTACAGCTGTTTTAATTGGGGAAGCCAGGAGTTCATTGCCACATCGCACAACCCCAGAGAAAACTCAAAAATAAAGACGGGAGGAAAAGGGAGAGGAGACAGATGTGATGGGAGGAATCCCAGTGCCTTATTAAGGAGAAACTTCCCCCAGGGCAAGCATATTTACTTGCCCCACTGAACAATCCCTGCTCTCCTCTGCGCTGTTCTGGGGGTTCTCTTGACAACTCTTCCAAGAGCCAATTAGGGTGGGGAACGTGGGGAAAGGAGGGGGGTGGAAGCCTCATTGTGCCAGCCCTTGGGCAGGGCTTCCGCTGATGGGACGCCATCAGCTGAATCTCCCGCCCCCCATTCTATTGGCCTGCCTGAAATCCACGTCCCTATTCCCTGAAAATAAGATGGAAGGGTGCTCTTGGGAAGCTTCCAGCCTCACCCTGCCACTTTGCCCCTCCTGGAACTATAAAAGGGGCCAGGGTGGGGTGGGGTGAACAGTGGGAATCACCTCGCAAAGCACTGCAGGGACACAGGAAGCTGCCTTAGACTCAGACCCCTGGGTCCATCGATCTCAGTACTGCTTGCACTGACCGGCAGCAATGGCTCTCCAGGATTTCAAGACTGGGATATTCTCTCCAGCCTGAAGATGCAGGTGGAGGCTGAATCTTCTGCATGCAAAATGGATGCTCTGCCCACTGAGTTACGGACCTTCCCTTCGTCTTCCCAATAAGACCGTGGAGATTAGCCACGATGTTCAGGTCCCTGTTCAAGGGAAGTTCCTGCTGGACAAGCATGGCTGAAGTAATAATATTTTAATAATAATACTTTTATTATTTATAGGCCACTCATCTGCCTGGATTGCCTCAGTCACTCTGGGTGGCTCTCAGCACAATATTAAAAACACAATAAAGCCTCAAACGTTAAAAACCTCCCTGTACAGGGCTGCCTCCAGATATCTTCTAAAATTAATATAGTTCATTATCTGTTTGACATCCGATGCGAGGGCAGACGCCTCGACCAAGAAGGCCCTCTGCCTCACACCCGGTTTTTAAAGGGGGCTTGCGCCTCTGGCATTTGTGGGTGCTTGCCTATGGAAGAAAATTGCAGAAAACCAGACTCGGAATGAGTTAGCTGGTACTTGCGGGGTGGGAGGGCTGAGTGTCTTGCTAAACTTGCAACATTTCTGGCTGCAAAAAGGATCCACTGCTGTGATGACCCTGCGCCCAGCGGCACTCCAGAGACAGAGGGTGGACGAAGCACCAGCTCAGGAGCTGGGCCAGGTCTGGAGCTCTGGCCAATGGTCTGGGGTGACGGTAGCCCAGTGACTTTTGGTGGACAACAGGAGTGCCCCTATCCCTGCGGTAGACCAGATGACTGGGCCAAACCTAAGGGGTCCATGGAAGGAGCAGAAGCTGGGGCAAGGGTTTTTTTTTGCTAGCTACAGCCTTCGGGAAACAACAGCGACGCAGGGGTGGGTGGGGCCAGCTCACCACACTCTGCTCCAAAGAGGCCCTCCAGGAAAACCAGTAGCTCCATGTGGTTTCAGGCCCACCACCATCAGAACATTTGCATATGTAGGGGGAGAAAACACCGAAGAAATATTCCAGACCAGCATGAGTTCAGACCAAGGGTGGCAGTGCAACAGCCCAGGAGCAGGGGTGCGTGTGGCTTTTTCACAAGTGGCGACAGCGCCCTCTGCTGCCCAGGTGGGAGAGAAGCAAGGGCCTCGTGGGTGGGGGACCATGCAGCGGTGAACTGGCGGTGGAGGGTGGGGGTGAGAATCAGCTATCGAACAAAGGGCCGGTGTTTTCGGAGCAGACAGCGCCTCTCTCGCTCCCCTGGGCTAGAGCGGCCTCCTGGGAGGGAGAGACCAGGAAGGGTTACAGAGGCATGCATTCCTGAAAGGAGGTGTTTTCAAGTTACTGTACCTGGGCCACACCTGTGACAGTTAAAGCTACCCCCTCCGCCGTCTCTACGTCCTCGCACCTGGGCTGTAACGTCATTATCTCTAGGGAAATCCTGCCAAAAAACGTAAAACATTGGCACGTTTCCAGGTAACAGGCTCAGCTCTCTTCCCCTGTGGCTCGGGGCCACCTGCTGCTTTCCTCCCAGGTAATGCAGATGCAAGATGTACGGCTGCCTGGCCAAAAAATTAGAGGGGGCTCCCTCCCCCACCCCCAGCCCTAAAAAAACGAGGGCCGCTTGGCTGGGTTGGAAGCCAGTGGAGAAAAGCCTTGAAGCCACATGGATCAGGTAAACACAACGGGGCCCCACTGAGAGGTTTCCCCTCCCAGAAGAAGGGCGGCCCCTCCTGCTTCTCAGGCCTCAGAAGGACAGCTGCCTGCCTGAAGCACCCTAGGGTGTCTACACAGAAGGTCAGCATTGGAAGCTGCCTGGGCAAAGGACTGAGGAAGCAGGCTTTTGAAAAAGGCCCCTGGGATGTTGGCTGGTTTATGAACCTGAGCATCATCAAAAGGCAAGGAAGGACCCCCTGTGAGGCTGAGGCTGAGGCTAGGCTACCGTAGTGTGCTGGGGTCACCCTTGGAGACTGTCTAGATGTGGGGGAAATATTGGGTTTCCTCCGAGGTGGAGGAAAATCTTTGGGGAGTTAGGATTTAAAAGCCACCCCCCATTTGGGCTGGCTTTTGTTCCTATGAGCTGAGCTGCAGGTACTACAGAAGGCAGGGGGGCCTGTCACAGATTACAGAGGGCCTTCTGCTGCCTAAGTGGAAACATCTGATTCCCTCCACGGTTATACTATGTCCCTGGAGGGAAGAGAAAGGGACCGAGTATAGTTGTTATCAACCTTCCTCTGGCCAGGTGCCCTGCCATTGTTGCTGGACTCCCAACTCCCATCAGGGTGGGTGGCCAGCATGGCCAATGGTCAGGGATGCTGGAAGCAAAGCCCTGGCTGGGGGAGGTTGGGATCGAAGCTTCGGAGAAGCAAACGCACCTGGCAGGTGTGTGCTTTTCACCTGATGGGTGGTGTGTTCAGCTCACGGAGTCGACTTGGCCAACCAAGCACCCTACTGCTGACGGGGGGGGGGGGGGGCAGAGCACCTGCTTTGCATGGAGGCAGCCTCCCAAACTTAGAGAAGGGCTAGTGGCAGGGAAGACCCTTCTCTGCCAGAAATGCTGGAGAGCTGCTGTCAATCAGGGACAGGACACAGGAAGGTGCTTTGCAGTGAGTCAGAAGGTTGGTGCATCCAGCTCAGGGTGATCTGCCCTTGGCGGGGGAGGGCAGGGGATGTATTTTTCCTGACACATTTCAGGTGCCACAGGACAGCCTGCTCTGGGACTGGCCCAGGAAGTCTCCTATGTCCCTAAGGGGTAGGATCCTAGGCCCCTCTTTCCCCCCCTCTCCCAGAGCTGCCTTCCTGTCCCTGTGTGAGGCTGGTGAAGCAGGTGGATATGGCAATGGCGAGGGGGACAGGCGGAGGGAGTGGACGAGCAGATGCTAGCCATGTTCCCAGAACCCTGTGAGAATTTTGGAAGAGCTTTTGCATGCATCTCTCTCTCCCTCTCTCTCTCTCCATTACCATGGGGTGCAACAGCAGGTAGCAAGAGCCAGAGACAAGGGGGAGGAGGAAGGCGAAGGAGAAAGGGCTGGTGCCGAGAGCGGCCGCTAGAGAAAGGAAAAAATATATTAAGAAGAGCAAGCACTCAAGTCCTTGTGCCGCCACGGTCGCTGCTTGCTGCTCTGCCGCTGCGTGAGAAAGAATGGAGAGAAGGAGACCGGTTAGGGACAAGAGGTTAGAAGCGGGCAGATTATTACCTGTGCGACCCCCGTTACGTACAGTGGGACCCCCTCCGACGTCTCAATATTCTCACAGCGACAAAGGATGGTCATAACCTCCAAAGACAGTCTGAACAGTGATAAATAAAGGTAGGACAGCAAACACACAAAGGTGGTGGTTACCAGAGAGCAAGAGAACACCAGAATTTGCCAAGGAGGAAAGACGGGACTCCGGGGTGGGGGTTGCATCTTGGGGCAAGAGGGGCCGGGTATTTGAAGGAGGCAATGCTGAGCCAAGGCCACCGTTGCCCCCAAAGAAGCTGCCCTACTCTGGGTACAACCCCCAACATACACACACATCCTCCCCAAAGGACTCCCCAATTATGAAAGCATCATCCCCACCCTGGACTGCTCTGCTCTGTTTACCTGTATAGCAGGTTTAAAGGGCCCTTTTTCTCATCACGCTTTCACTGGGATCGGGGAAACCCTGCTTTTTCTATTTGTAACTGCAGCTGAGGTGGTTTTACTTTTGAGCTTAAGCTTTCACTGGTTTAGATTTTAAATATATATATATATTATTCTTGAGAAGACAGGGAGTGCCTGGCGTGCTCTGGTCCATGGGGTCACGAAGAGTCGGACACGACTAAACGACAACATTATTCTCGAATGGTTACAGGTAGGTAGCCGTGTTGGTCTGCCGTAGTCGAAACAAAATAAAAAAATTCCTTCCAGTAGCACCTTAGAGACCATGCACACGAAAGCTCATACCAGTAACAAACTTAGCTGGTCTCTAAGGTGCTACTGGAAGGAATTTTTTTATTCTTGAATGGCTTTCATACACTGGGGCTGTCTGGCTGGTGTTGAGCCACGGCAGTGCCTTTCTGTGGTGGCCCCCAATCTGCAGAATGCCCTCCCTGGTGAGGCGTGCTTCTCTGCTGACTTATAGAATATTTGTGTTGTTGGCCAAACAACACTGTTCCTGGCATTCCCCAAATCACTGGCTGGGAGTACGTTTTTTAACTGTTTCAGAATGCATTTTCTCTATTAGAATTATTATTATCTGGAATGGTGTTTTTTTTTAAAAAAATCACGGATGCGTTTGCCGCCCTGGGCTCCTTTGGGAGGAAGGGCAAGATACAAATTGAATTTACCTGAATTTTAGTAAATTTCTGGCAATCATCTTGCAAGAGAGGGGAGTGCCCAGCTGCATAACACAGTCTAAGATATGGCAACCCCACCCTTGTGTGGCAACCCCTGCAGGGAGAGAGACCCAAATCTATCCACCCACTGCAGATCTCTGCTCCTCCTGCAGCAAACCCAGAGAGTCCCGTCTTTCTCCTTTCCTTGTTAGTGCCTGCAGAGGCAGAGACGCCCCCACAGGTGTTAGGGTGATTATTTGCACATGCTGTGGATTCCCCCCCATTCCCCAGCCCCCCCCCTCCACGGACCCTGTGGACTACACACAATGTGCTTCAGGACAGCAGCAGCAGCGACAGCATCACAGAAAACAGTTAGTCTGTTAGGCTACGCAAGAGACACACAGCAAGGCAACATTCACAGTTAAGGCAGAGAGAGAGAGAGAGAGAGAGAGAGAGAGAGAGAGATACACACATGGTGGGGGGTGAAGGGGAGATCCCCCTCCCCTTAAGAAGGCTGGCAAAGGGATCTGCCCCAGCCCACAGGATGCCACAACACACCTCCTCTGGGTCGGAGTCTCCCAGATGCAGAAGGTCACCTGACCTGAGGAATGCACCTGCCCCAGCATCACCTGCTGGCCACAGAGCACACCTCTCCTGCCCTCTGGCCAACCAGCAACCAGGCTCTCTCTCCTTCTCTTGCATTGTGGGTAAAGGCAAAAGGAAGGAAGTTGGTGGCGTCCTCCCCAATTTAGCTAGAAGCGGTAGAGTTTTATTTGGGGGTGTGGATTTGATCCAACACGTTTCGATTCGGCGTGTGAAAGAAACCAGTCACTCGTAAGAGGGGCCTGTACCCATGAGTCTCTGTTCTGAGGCCAGTGAGTTGCACAGAGATGCAACGGGAAGCTTCTTCCAAGGTCAAATGATTCTAGTGTGCCTCTTCACTGGGAGCAATGGAAGGAGGCAACCCCAGAGCCTGGAAACCTCCAGAGCTGCAGCAGGCAGCCTCTTCTCTGAGCTCTAGTTGTTACCTACGTAATGCTGTTTCTCATGGCAAGTTCTGCACGGGCCTAGTAAGGTGAGGTGAGAATATTTGTGGGGGTGCAATAGAAAATAGCAGCCTTGTGCAAGATTGTGCAAGAGGAAACATCTGTTGACTTGTTTCCCCACCCGCCCGGGTCAGTGTCGAGCTGCTTAACCACAAAGCCTACGTGGCTGTCATGCTGTCTGGAGTTATGTCCTGGTAGAGAATAGTTATTATTAGATATGCAAACCCTAGCTGTTTCCACCCGTGTGCTACACGTGTATATGCAACATGATGTTATGTGCGCAAGGCTAATAAACATGCAAGGCTGCTATTTTTCTGTTGCACCCCCACAAATATTATTGAAAATGAGAAAATTCTCTGCTAGAAAATCTCCGGAGAATATTCTCCACACTGTAAATTCTAATGTCAGAACCAGTTTTACAACCCACTTTTAAAAAATCTAGTAAATTATAAGTCAAGCTGTGACATTGCCAGTGTAAGTAATGAATGATGATATTTTTTTTTTGATCCAGTTACATTACTGTCATTCACCATTGGCAGTTCTGAAATGTGAACTACAGAAAACAGGGTTTTTTTAATTTTAAAAATGCTATTCATTTAATTTGATGAACATTTGAATTTGTATGTATTTCAACTATATGTAATAACCTTTTTTCTATTTTGGTGTGACCTTATTCTTAGCAATTCTATGCCCTTGGCCATACAGTGTTTTGTTTTGTTTTTCTTTTTTTAACAGAAAGTATCTTTAACGCTTTATACACTTGAAGTACCTTTATACACTTAAAATTATGTGAGGTGGGCTTGATTTAAACAGTTGACATTTCTATATTTTTATTTAGTGCCAGTAAATAAATAAAGTTTTTGCAGTGCCATTCAATGGTACAAGGTGCCACTTACCAGAGATTGACATACTGAAATATATTATCATATAATAATACATTTAATGTTAATGGATTCTTTTTGTATGTATGCATATAGTTTTGTTTATCAACTATATTAGCTAATTATACCATTTTCAATTATTAAAATTATATCATTTTCAATGCATTAAAATGAATATTCTCCTATTTTAAATGAGTCTTCTCTAATATTCTCATTAATCAAGAATATTCTCCAAAAGATTATTCCCGAGAGTTTAACATCACTACATGGGCCTTGAACAACACTAGTGTGTCCAAGCCTGTGGTTTGGGGGGCATTTGAATCATGTCAAGGTTACAAATTTAAGCTGGTCTCAAGGACAGTTTTCTTTTTTTGCCAAAATGGTCCAAAGGAAATGGATCCAAGAAACGGCAGCTCTGTGATACGAACTACCTGACAAATCAATTTCCTGGATTATAGGGAGGTGGAGGGAGAAGGAAAGGAACCGTGACAGCAAATCAGCGCTCAGATCTGCTGCAGGGTGAATGTGCCTCAAATGTGGCAGCTTTAAAATATTAACAAAATGCCCCACAACTACCATAATGGAGTGGATTGCTGGGGAAAAGTTCTGGGGGTTGCAGGCCTCAGTGTGTATGAAATAAATCCTTTCTGGCTGAGTCTGGAGATCGTATGTCCCTATACATGTTCCCAAAATAGATATGATGTCTCCCATTCATTACTTTTATCATTAAGACCAAAGTGCCCCTGAACCAGGGAAGATGTGTGAGTAAAGGCACCGTTGACCAGAGGCAACAGACCATCTGTCACAATGCTGTCCCTTTCACAGTTAAAGGAGGGGTTTTTTTGGAAGGGGGCTATTAGTTTAACAGCAAAAAGTGTTTGCATAAAGGTTCTGAACCTCTCTGCCTGAAATCAGTTGCTCCAGAGGCTTTTCACCATTCCTTGTTGGGAAGAGAGAAGGGGCTGCTTCAGGCAGCAGATGGGCATAATAACATAAGAAGAGCCCTGCGGGATCAGGCCCATGGCCCATCTAGAGCAGCATCCTGTTCTCACAGGGGCCAACCAATTCCAGTAGGAAACCCACAAGCAGAACTCCGGGTGCAAGAACACTCTCCCCTCCTGCTGTTTCCTGCAGCTGGTATTCAGAAGCACGGAAGTGACAGAAGGGCATTGGAAGGGAGAACAGCGTTCGTTCCCCTTGCGGTGGAGAACGATATGCAGGAAGACGCCTTACACTGAGTGAGATGACTGGTCCATCTAGTTCAGTATTGTCTACACTGACCGGTAGACTCTTCAAGGATTCAGGCAGAGCATCTGTCCCATTCCTACCTGGAGTTCCCCAGAACTGAACCTGGGACCCGCTGTCTGCAAAGTGTATGCTCTACCGCTGAGCTATGGGCCTTCCCCAAATGGTATCACCCTGTCGCCCGGCCAGCTTTAACCAAGGGGACGCTACCTCGCCCTTTGCCTTGCAGCAACTCAACTTAGAGGGAGGGGAGCCCTCGGAAGATGGGGGTCTTCGGGAGTCACGAGGAGCCACTTGATACAGGAGCATGTGGGAAAGCAGCACAGTCACATCTAGCTGGGCCTTGACACAAAGCCGCCTGCCCCCCTCCCCCAGCGATGAGGGTGCTCCCCTCCTTACCTCTGCGTGTCAGAGATGCACCACCAGGCCCAGGCCCAGCCCCCGTAGACATACTGCTTCTCGTCCGAACCGCAGCAACCACCTGCAGAGGAAGCAGAGAGAGCGGTTGGGAACGGGCGCTTTATTTCGTCTATTAAGGATGGCCACCGTTCCAAAGGAGAAGCATTTCCAGGGCAATCAGCAAAGTAGTGAAAAGCTAAAGGCAATGGTATGACCAATATGATGACAACAGAGCCCGGATATGTCAAACTGCTGCACACCCGCTCGCCTGTTTAAACCCTGCCTCCATTTCTGTTCCCTTCCATCTGCCTGCATTTCCAGATTGTAAGCATCTCTCTCTTTGTAAATCGAAAAGGGTGTAAGGAGAGCTTGAGAGATCAGGCCAATGGACCCACTAGACCAGGATCCTGTCCTCACAGTGGTCCAAAGAGATTCCCCGGTGGGAAGTCCGCAAGCAGGACTTGAGCACACCAGAGCCCTCTCCCTTGCTGTTCTAAGATTCTAGTCCTCATGATCATAAATAAAGGAGTGGTTTAATTAGGAAAATAGGAAGCCGCCTTTTTGGAAGCCAGTCCAATTGGTCCATGGAAGGTGGTGGACTCTCCTTCACTGGAGGTTTTTGAACACAGGTTGGAGGGTCATCTATCAAGGATGCTTTAGCTATGATTCCTGCATTGCAGGGGGTTGGACTAGATGACCTCTGGTGTTCCTTCCAACTCTATGATTCTATGACACAAGCACCAGAGTTCTCTCCCCTCCTGCAGTTTCCAGCAACTGATATTCAGAAGCATTGCAGTCTCCAGTTGTGGAGACAGGGCACTCAGGCTAATAGCCATCTAGCCCTCTCCCCCATGGATCTGTCCAACCACCTTTTAAAGTCATCCAAGTTTGTGGCAAACATTGTTTTTCACAGTTGAACTACGTGCTGTTTGAAGCCCTTTCTTTTCTCTGTCCTGAATCTTTCAACATTCAGCTTCATGGGATGCCCACAAGTTCCAGTCTTATAAGGGTGAAAAGCTCTTCTCTATCTACTTCCTCCCTGCTGGGCATAATTCAATAAAATATAATTGCAAAGGAAGAGTATACATGAGTAGCCAACAGTTGCAGGGAGAAGGTCAGGCAGCCAAAGCTCAGAATGAGCTCAGGCTTGCAAGAGAGGTTGAAAATAATAACGAAAGGTTTCATTAGCTATGTCTGAAGCAAGAGGAACAGCAGGCAAGCGGTAGCTCCTCTGCATGCAGAAGATGGAAAAAAGCTATTGGGTGAAGGTGGAACAGTTCAACACCTACTTTGCCTCTGTCTACACCCAAAAGGAAAGCAGTGCCCAATCTGGGGATAACAGAATAAACAATGGAAGGAGGGAGCTGCAGCCCACGATAGGAAAATAGGTAGTGAGGGAACACCTAGCTACTTTAAATGAATTCAAATCTCCAGGGCCTGATGAGCTGCACCTAACGATACTAAAGGAGCGGGCAGGTATAATCTCAGAGCCTCTTTCTATAATATTTGAGAATTCTTGGGGAATTATCCCTGTAGATTGGAGGGGGGCAACTGTTGTCTCCATCATCCAGAGAGAGGAGCCATCCCAGTTGTAAAGGCTGGCCTCCAGGCGCCTCTGGGGCACAGATAATTAAGCAGTCGGTGTGTGACCACTTAGAAAATGGTGCAGCAAGAGTTTCTCACAGACAAGTCATCCAGACAAATTTCTTTCTTTTTTTTAACTTTAAGCTTCTCTGTTGGGGGGTGCACAACTGCCTGCAACTGCCCTTAATTTTCTCATTGTCTCGGCAGCCATAGGAGAAACTTGCTTTCCACTTTTTAAAAAAAATAAATTAATTAAAAAGCAAGTTCTCAGAACTTCAGAAATAGCCATATGCAGCTTAATGGATAAGAAACAGGAGCAGGTGGGGGCTGGCACCATAGGACACTCCCCCCTCTATCACACACACTCCCACCCAGGCCCAGTGCAATTTCCTGCTGCAGCTGTGCAGGAAAGATTAAATCAGGAGAGGGAGCCAAGAGATCACCTATGACCGAATTGGTGCACAGCCATTCAGAAGCTCTCCTCCTCCTCCTCTGGCAGGCAGGCAGGCAGGGAACTGGGCCAGTTCCCATTCCTCTGCGCGTGACCCACGCCTGTGACTTTCTCAACCTCAGGGCTCTGCCAACTGTGTTTTGCAGCACACCGCCCTCAGCAGACGGCCCCCCACAGCTCAGGAAGATTTAGGAAGCAGAGGAGGAAGGAAGCATTCTGGTCCCTACCCGGCCCAGAAGGAGCTTTTATTAGATCGTTTGATTGTAAAACGAATATTGTATTCCCCCCCCCGCCTTTCCACTCCTGCACTTCCGTCAAATCTCCAACTCCTTGAACGCCTTTGTGAATCAATTCTGCCCAATCGTTCAGATTGATTGCAGTCGTCTCTCAGAGGAAAACCGAAATAAAATATATTCAGAACAAGCAAGGAAACCAATGGCAAACAGTGAACACCCTGTCCCTTCAGAGCTGTTTGGAATTAACACACCCCTCAACAGGGAGCTCAGAATTATCCCGGAGGATTCAGCCCAGAAGCACCTGTGGGAGATGGGGAGGCACCTGGGTGCTTTAAGAGTCTGAATGCCAATAACCCACCGTGGCAACAGAAGGGGCCTGGAAGAACCAGTGGTTTCACAGCAAGCCTGCCCGCTCTCAGGGACTGCAGGATCCAGTAAAGGGGACCTAGAACTTTCCAAATCCCTGAGAAAAAGCTGAAAACTCCACTGGGCCTCCAAGATGTCAGCGGCAGGGCACCTGCGGTGCATGAGAGAGGTGCCAGTGGCATCTCAAGGAAGGAGACCCCATGTCTGAAACCCTGGAGAGCGGCTGCTAGTCAGTGTAGGCTATAGTGAGCGAGAGGGACGCGTGGCCTAGCTCAAGGGTTACACAGAAACATGAGGACTGGAGTCTTACTTTAGGGGAATGGCTTGTGCAGCTCAGCGGCAGATCACCTGCAGAAGCTCCAAAGTTCAATCCCCGGTGACATCTCCAGGCAGGGTTGGGAATGGACCCTGCCCGAAACCCTGGAGAGCCACTGCTGCCAGCCAGTGTAGACAACACTGAGGTAGGTGGACCAAAGGTCTGACTCAAGAGAGGGCAGCTTCCTCTGTTGCTCATTAACCAGCCACTTTCCTTCAGCACCCACGACTCTGTAGCTCCCCTTGGCTGTTCATTCACTTGCAAAAAACCCCCCACCATTGCCAAATGCAGCCCTGCAGGCAAGAACTTCATCTCAGAAGCAGGGGTGGGGGCTAGTTCAGAAGGCGAAAGCAGCCAGAATTCAGGTGGAATGGTTATTCTTCCACCCCAAAGCAGAAAATCTTGCTGGGGGGTGTAGTAGCAAATGATGATGCTATTTTGGGGAGGGGAGGGAGGTGGAGAGGAAAGGAGGACTGGCACTGAGAAAGGCCGACCAGCCACACCCGCTGCTGTTTTCCTCATTGTGCCTCAGGGAGGTCCCTGCTGGCTGTGTAATCAGATTTGCTCAGATGGAAGGAAAAGTGCAGCCAGCAGGCGAGATCCTGGGAGACAACGTTAGAAACAGAGATATGAAAGCTAGGGGTTAAATGGCACCTTAAACCGAGGTTATGGGCGCAACAACGGAACGTCTAGGTTCCACCTAAACATTAGCAAACAGTCTGTGAGCACCTAGAAAAGAATGCTGTGATCACCAATAGTCAGCATGGATTTCTGAAAAATAAGTCATGTCAGACTAACCTGATCTCGTTTTTTGACAGAATTACAAGCCTGGTAGATGAAGGCAACGCAATGGATGTAGCCTACCTTGATTTCAGCAAGGCATTTGACAAGGTGCCCCATGATACTCTTGTAAAGAAGCTGGTAAAATGTGGTCTTGACTATGCTACCACTCAGTGGATTTGTAACTGGCTGACTGACCGAACCCAAAGGGTGCTCATCAATGGTTCCTCTTCATCCTGGAGAAGAGTGACTAGTGGGGTGCCACAGGGTTCTGTCTTGGGCCCGGTCTTATTCAACATCTTTATCAACGACTTGGATGATGGACTCAAGGGCATCCTGATCAAATTTGCAGATGACACCAAACTGGGAGGGGTGGCTAACACCCCAGAGGACAGGATCACACTTCAAAACAACCTTGACAGATTAGAGAACTGGGCAAAAACAAACAAGATGAATTTTAACAGGGAGAAATGTAAAGTATTGCACTTGGGCAAAAAAAATGAGAGGCACAATACAAGATGGGTGACACCTGGCTTGAGAGCAGTACATGTGAAAAGGATCTAGGAGTCTTGGTTGACCACAAACTTGACATGAGCCAACAGTGTGACGCGGCAGCTAAAAAAGCCAACACAATTCTGGGCCTCATCAATAGGAGTATAGCATCTAGATCAAGGGAAGTAATAGTGCCACTGTATTCTGCTCTGGTCAGACCTCACCTGGAGTACTGTGTCCAGTTCTGGGCACCACAGTTCAAGAAGGACACTGACAAACTGGAACGTGTCCAGAGGAGGGCAACCAAAATGGTCAAAGGCCTGGAAACAATGCCTTATGAGGAACGGCTAAGGGAGCTGGGCATGTTTAGCCTGGAGAAGAGGAGGTTAAGGGGTGATATGATAGCCATGTTCAAATATATCAAAGGATGTCACATAGAGGAGGGAGAAAGGTTGTTTTCTGCTGCTCCAGAGAAGCGGACACGGAGCAATGGATCCAAACTACAAGAAAGAAGATTCCACCTAAACATTAGGAAGAACTTCCTGACAGCAAGAGCTGTTTGACAGTGGAATTTGCTGCCAAGGAGTGTGGTAGAGTCTCCTTCTTTGGAGGTCTTTAAGCAGAGGCTTGACAACCATATGTCAGGAGTGCTCTGATGGTGTTTCCTGCTTGGCAGGGGGTTGGACTCGATGGCCCTTGTGGTCTCTTCCAACTCTATGATTCTATGATGTGTACTTTTTAATAACAAGAATACAACGCTGAAAATGAATGAACTGCAGCTAAAATATTTTGTTCATTTTTCACATGGTCTAGTCCTTCCCCTGCCCACCCCATAATATTCTTAAGAGGGTCTCATCTCCAGTCTTCAGGGAGTAGCTGGAAGCGGGGAGGAAGAAAAAGGTCCTCCTTTCCTTCCACTCCACAGTTTTAACCTGAAATATTAGGTGCAGTTCTGTGCCCAGAGCTCAGGAACCCTCCCCTGGGGACCACCATGAGCAGATCATCCCAGTTCCTTTGCCATTTTGGAGCACTGATGAGGCGCTCTCTCTCTCTCTCTCTCTCTCTCTCTGTTTCTCTCTTTCTCTACTACTATTTGTATAAATTTAACAGGACTTTGCAGCTCTCTGTTTGTTTTTTATAGAGTCACACACAAGCACAGCAAGGTCCACATTCACAGAATGTCAACTAACTTCCTTATGGAAAGACATTCTGGATTTTTTAAAAAAATATATACCTTTAAATCTGTGAATATTCACAGGAGAACTATGATTGCGACTGTGACTTTCACATACGATGAAACGCTTGAGACCATGTACATTTTTCTTTATTACAAGCTTATGGGGTCCTTCTTATATCCTTCTCTTTTGTATTGTTTTGTTTTGAAATGTATTTAACTCTCTGTTTCCCTTATCCACTTTATAGGTATTTGTACCCATTTTCCTGCATTACAAAACTGTACTAATATATATACATATTTATACTTTGTGATATATCTAGTATACAGTATTGCAATGTTTAGCTGGTCAGGTATCGCCCAGCCCTAGGCCTTACAGTGGTACCTCGGGTTAAGTACTTAATTTGTTCTGGAGGTCTGTTCTTAACCTGAAACTGTTCTTAACCTGAAGCACCACTTTAGCTAATAGGTCCTCCAGCTGCTGCGCCACGACCGCACGATTTCTGTTCTCATCCTGAAGCAAAGTTCTTAACCCGAGGTACTATTTCTGGGTTAGCGGAGTCTGTAACCTGAAGCGTATGTAACCCGAGGTATTACTGGTATTACTAAATGCAACTCTGAAAACTCTTCTCAAACAGGGTGACAGTAAAGGCTTAGTTGTAAACCTATTCGTACTAAATTGGCACCGTGGTGGAATCTGGGACTACACAAGGGGGGGGGGGTGACCCGCTTGTGATCTTCCAGAGGTACCTGAACAGCTGCTGGAAAGAACAAAGCATACTCGCTTGATGAAGCAGCAAGGGTTTCACCTCCTGGGTTGAAAATACTACATCTCCTAATTACATGCAGCTTGACATGTAAAGGAAGCAGAGCACGGCTTGGAGAGGAAGCCCCCCCCCGCCTAGAGAGCTCTCCCAAACAAGGGTTTGGAGGGGGAGAAGGGAAGCAGAGGAAAACAGAGGCTGCTCCTCCCTCTCTGCTGCTAAGTCTTGGCAAAAGGAATCCTGATTCCCGAAAAGATAGCAGCTGTTGGAAAGGAGCCCACCTCTCTCCAGAGAAAGGCTGTTGCACAACGGCCTGTCCTTCCTTACAAGCTAACGGGAAATTTTGCAACAGGCTGCCTGCACAGACGCGAAAGTGGGTCACGGGTTCATCCACCTAATCTCATTTAGACACGAGAAATAAAGACAGGCAGTGCTCATGCTGCGTCTCTGGGCAACTGCAGGCTGGTGTGCCAGTTTAAGGGCTAGCCAGCAATTTTGGCAAACAGTCCCCTAAGCCACCAGCAGAGGCACAACCCACACCTCAACAAAAGCAGCAAAGCAAACACAGATTGTTTGCTTGGGAGTTAAAATAGAACAAGGCAGCACGAACAGTCCAGCTGCCAGGTTATCGTGGACTTGTCTCGGGGGCTTGACATTCCCTGCAAACATCGGAAAATGCTGGACACAAACACACACACACACTCCACTGCAAGACTTCATGCCACAGGTGGGCTGCCGATTAGTAAGGGGGCCTCAGTTTAAACCTAGTCCAGCCTGCCACAAAAACTTGCTGGGGAAGCCATTCCCTGTCACGGAAGGAAGCAATTATTCCATCCTAATAGGTTAGTTAGTACCTTGTCAGCACTGGGTGAATGCAACTCTCACCCTGATTATGATGCTTTGGGGTAGGATTTAAACAAGCAAAAATCCTCCAGAAATCTTTCCCTGGTAACAGTTCTCCTGGCGCCACTTGCTAGTTAGGTGTGAGTTTTTTATATTCATTGGTTATACCATTGGATTTCTTGAGGAAGAGGTGCTGGGGCCCAGCCCTGGCCAGAAGTCACAGGACTCCCGTAGCGGAGTCATGGGGCCTTATCCAAGATATGGAGGGCCAGGATGTGGTTACTCAAATCAGAGGCATGTTGATTACTTCATGTCCTCATTGCAGAGAGAGGGCAGGGTGGGATGACTCTGGCACTGGAAGAAGGTTCGGGGGTTTCGATTTGATTAAGTCTTGTGCTCGCAAGGCTCCAGGCCTCCTGACACGCACAGGAACACAGCCTGCATTCATCTGCTGCTGGACACGGACCAACCCTGCAGTGCTAAGAATGCTTCCCATTTCAAAAAGTGCCCAGAAAGCAGATGGGAAATGCTGTCCAGTAACACCATAGACCCTTGGACCACCCTTTTCTCCTATCGAGGGCAGGCTGGCAACACAACTTGCGAACACAGCCTGCCTGCCTGCCACAAGACTGGGGGAGCAAGAGGGGAAAATCCAGGACTGATCATGCCTCTTGAGCATGCAGACAACGCAAATGTATGCTGGTAGGCCTGTACAAATTCACACAAGATTATTGGGGTCAGCCTTGTTACTCCTATGCTGGAAAATACCAGCTAATAACAATAATTTAAACAAATACTAATTTTATTATCTAGCTGTTTTATTATCTAGTTGTTTCCTGGTTCTGCTGGATCTCTCAGCGGCCTTTGACACCGTCGACCATAACATCCTTCTGGACCGTCTAGAGGGGCTGGGAGCTGGGGGCACTGTTATACAGTGGTTTCGCTCCTTCCTCCTGGGCCGTGTTCAGAAAGTGGTGGTGGGGGATGAGTGTTCAGACCCCTGGGCCCTCACTTGTGGGGTGCCTCAGGGTTCCGTCCTCTCCCCATGCTTTTAACATCTATATGAAGCCGCTGGGAGAGATCATCAGGGGATTGGACTGGGTGTCCATCAATATGCAGATGATACCCAGCTCTACCTCTCTTTCAAATCAGAACCAGTGAAGGCGGTGAAGGTCCTGTGTGAGTGCCTGGAGGCGGTTGGAGGATGGATGGTGGCTAATGCATTGAAGTTGAATCCTGACAAGACAGAAATATTGTTTTTGGGGGACAGGGGGCGGGCTGGTGTGGAGGACTCCCTGGTCCTGAATGGGGTAACTGTGCCCCTGAAGGACCAGGTGCGCAGCCTGGGAGTCATTTTGGACTCACAGCTGTCCATGGAGGCGCAGGTCAATTCTGTATCCAGGGCAGCTGTCTACCAACTCCACCTGGTACGCAGGCTGAGACCCTACCTGCCCGCGGACTGTCTCGCCAGAGTGGTGCATGCTCTAGTTATCTCCCGCTTGGACTACTGCAATGCGCTCTACGTGGGGCTACCTTTGAAGGTGACTCGGAAACTACAACTAATCCAGAATGCGGCAGCTAGACTGGTGACTGGGGGCGGCCGCTGAGACCACATAACACCGGTCTTGAAAGACCTACATTGGCTCCCAGTACGTTTCCGAGCACAATTCAAAGTGTTGGTGTTGACCTTTAAAGCCCTAAACGGCCTCGGCCCAGTATACCTGAAGGAGCGTCTCCACCCCCATCGTTCTGCCCAGACGCTGAGGTCCAGCGCCGAGGGCCTTCTGGCGGTTCCCTCATTGCGAGAAGCAAAGCTACAGGGAACCAGGCAGAGGGCCTTCTCGGTAGTGGCTCTGTGGAACGCCCTCCCATCAGATGTCAAAGCGATAAACCTGACATTTAGAAGACATCTTAAGGCAGCCCTGTTCAGGGAAGTTTTTAATCTGTGATATTTTACTGTATTTTTGGTTTCTATGGAAGCCGCCCAGAGTGGCTGGGGAAACCCAGCCAGATGGGCGGGGTACAAATAATAAATTATTATTATTATTATTATAGCTGGGTTTCCCAACCAACCTGGTCAGCTTCCAGCACATATAAAAAGATAACAAAATGTCAAACATTGAAAACTTCCTGATACAGGGCTGCCTTCAGATGTCTTCTAAAAGTTGTGTAGTTCTTTAGCTCCTCTGCATTTGATGGGAGGGCATTCCACAGGGTAGATGCCACCACCGAGAAGCCCCTCTGCCTGGTTCCCTGCAACTTCACTTCTTGCAGTGAGGGAACTGTTAGAAGGCCCTTGGAGTTGGACCTCAGTGTCCAGGCTGAATGATGGGGGTGGAGACGCTCCTTCAGGTGTAATGAAGTTTAAGAGGAGTGCAATTATAAAGCATCAAATTAAACAGGTATTTGTACAGCCTAAGGTTTTATTTTCCATGTGAAAGAGGCTACTAGTGGGAAGTTAATGTTCTACGGAAATATGTGAAATGAGGGAAGCCTCTGGGTCATGAACTCACAGAGCATCTACTCAACTCTCAGTCCCCACGTCTACAATTTGGGAGAATTGTACTGCTCTACATTACAGAACTATTGGGAGGATTACAAGGACTACATACAACACGTTGTTTGAGTGCTCTGGAACATGGTATATAAAATGCTAAAAGCTAATGCTGGTGTATTTCCATCCCACTCTGTTCCCGTCCGAAGTCTAGGCAGGGGTGGGGTTCTCCCTGCCTATCAGAACTTCCAAGCAGGCAAGGAAGGACAGTAGCTCAGCAGCAGAGCACCTGCTTTGCCTGGAGATGGTCCCGGGTTCAATCCCCTGATTCTCCAGTTAAAAACATACCAGGGAGCAGAGAGAGTGGAAGATCCGCAGTTGCCCAAGACCCTGGAAGAGCTGCTGCCAGTCAGAGTAGACAACACTAGGCAGAGGATTAGTGGCTTGACTCAGTAGGCAGATCCTCATCTGCAGAGGTTGGATGGCCACCTGCCAGGGATTCTTTAGCTCTGATGATTCCTGCATTGCAAGGGGTTGGACTAGATGACCCTCGGGGTCCCTTCCACCTCTACAATTCTGTGATTCCGTGTCTGTAACAGGATTAACCTGCACAGCCAAGGTTCATGGAAGACACACTCTGCCCATGTTCATGTTATATTCCATATTTTCTTTCCAGACCACTCGAGGCCATTTCCTTCCCAAACAGAAAAAAGCAGGAGGGTGTGGTGGTTATTAAGAGCGCTATGTTTTCCCCAGAATGATTTTCCATCTACTGCAGTAGCTTTGGCTACACTGAGACAGTAATAAAAGGGAGAATGGAGGTTCTCAAGGGAGGTGGAGGCTCCCACCACCAACACACACACCCTGACCGCTTTTACGAGCTGAACTGGCCTCTTCCAATTGTAATCACAGCAGCTCACACCTTCTTTTTCCTGAAAATAACTTACTGGGCTACAAATCACGTATTTTGCCTTGGAAGTATGTTCCTGTAAAGCTCAGATACCTGGCAGAGAACACATTCAGAGGCACCCCCATCCTATTAACTGTAATATCATACCAAACCGCGGTGCTGGAAAATGATAAGTGGGTTGCAGGATCCTCATGAAGCAGGAAGAAAACATTTCAGGAGATGCACAAATACAATCAATCTAAGTTGCATTTTCATACAGCTGTTTCCCATCAAGCAAAAGCACCTGCCCACTTTAATACGCCTCAGATGAAAACAGGAAGCATTCAGCACCATTTTCTTAAGAGAAGTTCAAATCACTGAGAAATGGATCTCTAACTAATTTTGCAGTTTGTGTCAGGAGCGGATGGGAGTTTAACTGAATGCAAACCAGCTAATGCTCAGTCCAAGCGCTATAGACCCGGTGGGACACATTGTGTCACTGTTGTGATTATTATTCATAAACAAAAACCCAAGGCCTTATGGGGATCTCCATGCTGTACAAGGTGGGTTGTGTGTGTGATATTATTAAGGCTAATTTCAAATTTCTAAAGAACTGTACACTTTTTTTAAGACAGAGACTAAGTGGCAGGGAAAATATGTGTGCATGTTTTCCAGAGACACAGGCTGTGTTCATTTTTGTTGCAGCAAAACCAACAAATAATCTTATGCCATAATAAGAGTTGTTGGTCTTTAAGGTGCCACAAACAAGACTTCTGTGTAGGTTGTGGGTTGTTTTTCTTCTCCTCCATATTAGGCGGTATATAAATGCCACAAATGGTGTCTCCCTGTGTTAAAAGAGATCTCTGCATACTTTTGTGTTTATGTACATGAGTATATATTTATGTGGAGGGGTGTACAAGAGAGAAATATATTTGCATACGTGAATAGCACACTTTCTGTGGCTGCTTACATAGAATATATACGATATAAATAAATGTGCACAGGAGAGATGTTATATACCTATAGGTGCATGATATATATATCTGTGAACGTGTGAAGTACGTGTAAGAGAGATATCAGTGTGTGTCTGTAAGAAAGATGTGTTTGCAATGTGTGTGCAGGCATTAAGAGAGAGCTCTGTGTGTATGGGCGCTATGTTGTTTGCATAAGCAATCTCTGCGTGTGTTCTGTAGGTGGGTGCATAAGAGACATCTCTGTGTAAACGCGTGCTGTGCTGTTGGCGCGAGAGATCCGTGTGTGCCGTCTACCCATCCGTGTGCAGGCGTGGGAAAAATCTACGTCTCTCTGTGCGAGAGACACCTGCGCATTTGTACATGATGTGCCGTTTGTGTAACAGGGAGATCTCCGTGTGCCTGGGATGGATGCGCGTGTGTGCTTGTGCAAGAGAAATCTCTGCGTACCTGTCCGCTCCCGTGTCAGAGAGCGCTGTGTGCATGCAGGCATACACGTGTGTGTGTGTGTGTCCTACATGTGTCCCCACAGAGGGGAGGGATAAAGCCCCCCCAAGCTTCACCCAATTCAAGGAGGAAGACCCCCCCCCGGGAGGGAAGGAGGAAGGAGAACAGCAGGAAGGAGGAAGAAGAGGGCGAGGCAGACGACAAGCTGCGGAGGGAGGGGGGGCCTCAGCGTCCCTCCCCCCCCTTGAGGAAAACAAGCCCCCCCCCTCACGCTCCCCCCCTTGGTCTCCTTACCTGACACGACGAGGGCCTCGTTGGGCCCCACCGTGTGGCAGTTGCCCATGGCGACTCGACCCAGCCAACGCCAAGCAGCAGCCCGCCCCCTCCCACCGACCACCACCACCACGGCGCACGCGCACTGCGCTCCGCCCGATTAACGGGTCGGGGGGAATCTTCGGGAGGAGCGGCAGCGGCACCGCCTCCTTCCTCGGCCCCTCCCCCGCCCCTGAAGGCTCCGCCCACAGGAAGCGCGTCCGAGGCGGGGGGGGAGAGAGGGAGAGCGTGGGCGGGAAAAGGAAAGAGCGGGAAAGGGGAGCGGAGGGTGGAGGAGGAAGAGGCCGCCGCCGCCTCCGCCTCAGGCCGCCATTTTGGGCGGAGGAGGAAAGTGTGAGGGGGGGGAAAAAGGAAAGGATAGAATAAAGTGCACCTTTAAAGTGCATCGTCCTCAGAACACGCGCCCTTTGTGAACACACGTCGCGTTGTTTGGTTTTCGTTATTATGTTATGTGTTTTCGCGTTTTCGCACGAGATCCTCCTGCAGAGAAGGGCAGTGTATAAATAAACAAAACCCTCAGAACTCGAAAAAAAATTACTATCCGGACGGGGCACAATAAATAAAAATATAATTTATTATTGTTGTTGTTGTTATTAACACACCACACACTCCAGGTCCCAGGTGGGGTACAATCAATCAATCAATCAATCAATGATGGTAAATATCATTCTTGTTGATTCTTGTTTAGTAGCCCTTCACCCCAAGGTCCCAGGGTTGGGTACATTTAAAATATAATATAAAAACAGTTTTAAAAACAGCTTGCCATTGCAGAATCAAGGCAGGTCCTAACATCCTACATCTGAATGGTCCTCCTTGTTTTTTAAGGGCATCTTCCCATTTGTCTCCTCTCTCCCTGCATATATTTATTCTGTGATTAGCAAGAGTTTTTCTGCCTCCGTTTTTTCAAAAGACCATCCTTGAGACCCCCCCCCCCAGCCCAACATAGATGCCCCCTCAGCCACTCCAGTCTTGCCCAGCTGGCCTCAAAATTACAGCTGCCACTTTATGCTTTCCCCCTACTTGCTAAGAAAAGCGTATTTTCATGTGGGAGCTCCTATAATTTGGACTCCAGCCGCCTTTGCTCTTTTTTTTAAGTCTCTGCTAAAGACATTTCTGTCTGGGAAAGCCTATCCAGACACACCAACAAGCTGCCATCTGTTTTAATTATTACTAATACTTGTATTGTTTTAGGTTCTAAAAAAGATTTCACTGATAATTTTGCTGTTGTTTTTTTTTCCTGGTGGTTTAGTCAGGTGGCATATAAACATCGTGGGGAGTGAAGTAATATGTACCTAAAATCGAGTTTCATTTTTAACATTTCAGCTTCTGCCACAATCAGCTGCTCGGATAAAAATGAAAGAATTGCGCTGAGAGTTCTGCATTGCAGGGGGTTGGACTGGATGACCCCGAGGTCCCTTTGATATAAGAATTGGAGACCCCAGGTGTACATTTTTATTATTTTAATAATGTTTCAGTGTTTCGCTTTAATTGCATTTAACCTTTCAGAAGGCATTAGACTTGATCTTTGTGTGTTCTGCATTTGTGAGTCTTCCTTCTCCTAAGCTGCTCTCCTCTCCCTCCTTATCTACTCCTGAAAATCGTACTAATGGCAGGAAGATGTTTTAACACCAGAGTGAGAATCAGCTATCCTTGAAGCTATCTGAGACTCAGGAAGAGGATTTTATGATGCTCTTCCCGCTCACCGTAGGCTAAGCTGCCAGGGTAATGCTGGATATCTGAGACCTGAAATGGTCAAATGGCCTGGGCACATCAGGGCCACTCCAAGGCGACTGCAGGGGTGAAGATGCCAGCATGAAGCCGTGCATGCTTTACTTCTCATGACCTGTAATCTTTCCTGATGTATGTTTAAGGATGTCTTAGGACTTTTGGTTTGCTATGTTTGAACTACTGAATTACTGAACTACTGAACTACTACTCAGGGCAGACCTTCTCAACTAGCACGTTGAGTCGAGTGAGCTCTGTCCTATTGCAATAGCTATAATAAAACTGGGTCCCTAAATCTGGATGCTGGACTTGGAAATAGTTTCCTTGGTTCTGTGGTTTATGCAAAAGGTGGTTTTTCCTCACCTGGGTAACAAATAAAGTGGTGCAGAGGTGAATTCTTACCGTACCTTCTAAGTCTATGATATTGCCAAGATGGTGGGTTCTGGAGTTTTGAGACTGGAGGGATGCTCAGAAAGTCTTCAGTTGCTGCAGCTCAGTTATAAATGGTACTATTATTGGTGAGTGCTGCACTTTAAGCCACTTATTAGCAATCCTGGCTTTCATCCTTGTACTTGCATTGTGTATTGCCTACACTGACTGGCAGCAGGGGCTCTCTCCTGTTTTTCAGACAGGAAGTCTCTCCTAGCCTGAGGATGAAACCTGGGATGTTTCACACGCAAACCAGGTGCTCTGTACTATTGCTGTGTGACACAAAATGCCCTTTTTTTACCTGAGAACCTGGAGAGCAGCTGCCAACCAGAGTAGATTGGACTATATGGACGAAGAGTTTTACCTAAGATAAGGTAGCTTCTTTCCCATGTTCCTATCACACAGCTATTTAGATATCCCTATGTGTTGATTGGTGCCTTCCATTATTATTGCCTTTTATGGTTCGTGGTGGTTTACAAAAATCGGGTGTCTCCCTTTCTCTGCAACACACGGGAATTCAGGAATCTCAGCTAAAGTGTCCATGACAGATGCCATCCAACCTCTGTTTAAATCCGAAACCTTAAATGTCAAGATTGACAGACAGGTCTGTTGACACTGCAATGTTTGGAACTATTTCAACAGTGGTTGATGCCATGCTGACTGCTGTTGATGCACTAAGATCAAGATCCCTGCATCTTCCTCAGTGAAAGGCCCAAGGCATCTATCTCCATCTGATGCCCTAAGACACCATCCAAGCCCTATCCACTAGCCAGCTATCATTCAAAGATGCCTCCAGTTTACGAAAATTAGAAGTGCTATTTCCCCTTTAGAACCCTGGCATGTGATGCCACAAGTTCATGGATGGTTCTGCACAGGCACCCGTTCTATGGAGGTGAGCCCTCTTTGAAAAACACTGCAGCCTAGTTCACCAGCCCCGCCATCCTCTCGCTGACTTCCCAAAGTTTCTTGGCCACGGCGTCGTCCCGGGCATGTGGCTTGGGGTCATGCAGCCTGCAATTGGCAAAATAGCGCCCGCTGTATTTCTCAATGCCTTCCTCAGTGGCACAGTAGATGGACGTCTGAGCTCCATTGGTCGTGTCTCGGAAGAAGAGCCAGCAGATGGGGAGGAAAAGAGGCTTCAGCCAAACCGAAATGTGACGGAAAAAATCTGATTTAACAAGCCCTGAAAGCAGAAAGATAGGAAAACATCAGTTGCCAGAACTGGATAGAATAAGAAGAGAGCCCAGCTGATGGACCAGACTTCAAAGGGGGTCCATCTAATTTAGTATCCACTTTTCCACTGTGGCCAACCAGATGCCCCTTTTTGCAGAACAGAACAGTCAACAGTCAGGGAAAATGGGAGCTGGAGTCTAATAACATCTAGAGGACCAATGGAAGCTGGTCCATTAGGGCAACCTCAGTCTGCTAATCAGACAGTCCCCATCTGCCACCCTTCCTACTTACAACCAGCCCAGAGGGTGGTCCTGCCCCTCAGCTTCCTTCTCTTCCATAGTCTCAGTGTTGACCCTTGTAAATCTCTGCAGGGATAAGGATGAGGATGGGGACAGAACCTGCAATTGACTCTGTCTCTGCCCTTCACTGGTTCTGGCTCTGTCTATTGTTGGGCTCCCTGCTTTCTGCCCCTCCAGTCCCCCAAGGGCACCAGCCACCACTATAGAGGGTCCCAGGTTCAGGAGCTGAACTGAACCTGCCACCTACCTGGATGGACAGCGTAGCAGGTAACATTCGTCCCTTCCAGTCGATTGGCAAGCTCCCGGGTGTACAATATATTGGCCAGTTTGCTGTTGCAGTACGATTGGAACCCTGCCAAGTGCCCACCCACTGGCTTGTGGATGTTCTGAAAGTCAATCTTCCCCGTTTGATGTGCTTTGGAAGCCACCACCACCACACGGCTGGGCGCACACTGCTTCATCCGCTCCAGGAGGAGGTGGGTCAGAAGGAAATGACTCAGGTGATTCACCTGGAACACCAAATTGAAGCCGTCGCTGCTTCGGCTTCCAGACCCGACACCTGCCGGAACACGAAGCTGGATTAAACAGGTGCAACGTGGAGGCAGGCCTTTTCACTGGTGGCACCAGCCCTGTTGAAATATGAGAGGCCCCCATCACTACTGGCATTCTGCTGTCTCTTGAAGACACACCTGTTTAGGCAAGCATAGTCCATATAAGTTTATTGTTCTATCCCAGGGGCCAGCAAACCTTTTCAGCAGGGGGCTGGTCCATTGTCCCTCAGACCTTTGAGGGGCCAGACTATATTTTGAAAAACATAGAGATTCATTTTAGATAAAAGGACACAGCATTCTATGCAAGAGCTCCAGGCAGGCCCCACAAATAACCCAGAGATGCATTTTAAATAAAAGGACGCATTCTACTTGGGTAAGCCACGCCCCCCATGACTCTCCCTTCTCCACAGCAGCGGATGAGCCCGGTGGCTGCATACCTGTGTCTTGCGAGTGGCAGGGGCTGGCGATGGTGGGACGATGAGCAGTGCGTGAAAGGGCTCTGGAGAGGGGCTGGCAGCAACAAAGCCCAAATTGAGCCTGCTTACAATGGCAGCTGCTCAAGCGCTAATGCTGCTACTGCTGGCACCAACAAAGCCCAGCCCACTTCCTCTCAGCCTCCAGAGTTTCAGGCAGGGGACATTCCCAGTCCTACCTGGGGATGCCACTGGGGACTGAAAACCTTGGACCTTCTGCATGCAAAGCAGCTGTGCCCCTTCCCCAAATCTCACCTGCATTGTTGATGAGAATGTCAAGGCGGGGCTCAGATTTCAAGAAAGACGCTGCAAAAGCCCTCACTGACTTGAAGCTGGCCAAGTCGAGGCTCATAAAGAGAACTTCATTGTTCCCACTTTCCTGCAAACATTAATGGGGGGGGATATGGTGGGGAACAGCATAAAGAATAAGCAATAAAACTACATTCCTAAAACAAATGCAAAATACATAAATCAGTGGATTAGAGTAGCAGATCAATGGAGCTTGTTCACCACCACCCCCATCCCAGAAAAAACAAGCGAGAATGGTGCATGGTGGGAAAACATCCTCCGTGCACCTGCCCCAATGTTATAATACCACTAGGGTAGACTTTTCTAACCTGGTGCCTTCCAGATCCACTGGACTACAACTCCCATCAGCCCCAGACAGCTGTGTGATGCTGAGGCTGATGGGAGACTAGGTCCAAAACATCTGGAGAGTGTCAGCTTGGTGAATTCTTCTAGAAAGCTAGACCTCCCTCCTGCCAAGGAAGGAAAGGTCAGCTGTTCAGAATTCACTGGAACTCCCTGCCGACTGGTATCAGGCAGGTGCCTTCACTGTACTCTTTTCAGTGCCTGCTAAAAACACTATTGTGTAGACAAGCCTACCTGGAGGTTAGGAGAGTTGATGTGAGTTCCCCCAGTCTACTCTGATTTATTTATATTTTAAAGTTTTACATTGTTACATTTTTCTTGCTAATAATTTTATTGATTTAGTTTTCTTTGTAAACCACTTTGAGGGTGTGGGTTTTTTTTAACAATCAAATGGGGTATAAATTTTATGAAGTGAATATATTAGGCCACGTTTTTACAGTGGAATTGCTTTGAGAAGTGATTTTAAAATGGATCATAAAGGCTGCCCTTTCGAAGGAAGCGGGTGGCTCACCCTCCTGATATCATAGACGGCAGATTCTCCTCGCCTTCTGTCACGGCAAGCCAGGATGATGCGGGCTCCCCTCCGGGCCAGATCCAGAGCCGTTGCCTTTCCAATCCCAGTGTTTCCACCTGGAAAAGTTCAAGGGGAAAATATTATTTGCTGGGGGTCTTGGCGGACCGCAGAACAATTTTTCTGGCAATAGTAATGAGCTGTGCTAGATGCTGTATGGTTTTAACCGCATTTTCACTATATCCTTTATTTTTACAGGTTGCATTTTGTTGCATTATAATTTGATTTCCAGAGAGTTTGTGGTCAGAGGCAGTACATGCTTCTGAATGTCTGTTGCTGGAAACAGCAGGAGGGCAGAGTGGTGGTTGTGCTCAGGGATCTGCTTGCTGGACTAAGTGGGTCCCTGGTCTGATCCAGCTGGACTAAGGCTCTTCTTAAGAGAACTCAGAATGCAATACAATACATACCAATATTGAATGCTATGGATGTGCTGTCTCTCATCTTCCACTACAAACCCTCAGACATGTCACACACCACCTGAATAAAGCTCTGAAGCCCTCTGCCAGATGCTCTTGGACTACAATTCCCAGCATTCCCAATGCTGAGGAAACATGAGGGGTGGGCGGGCTGGAGTGCAGGCACACCTGGAGAAAGGTCACCGGTGCAACCCTATAATAGGTTTGCTGAGAAACATGCCCCATTGGCGCTCCAGGGAGCTGCCTTCTAAGTCAGCCTGCGCAGGATCGCAGCCGGGGAAATGCGCTCAGTCTCGTCTGAAGTTTTTTTCCTGGAATCCCGAAGCAGGAAACCTCGAAGCGGGAGCTTCCGCAGACTCTCTTCGGACGCTCTAACCACTGCACCACACTGCCCCCCGTCTTCCGGGGGCGATTCTCACCTGTGATCAGCACCGTCTTGCCCCGCAGGCTGGTCTCGTTCTTGCACGTGGCCCCTTTGATGAAGTTGTAATAGAGCAAGGCGTAGAGGCCCAGCGCCAGCGCCACACCCGCCAGCGCCTCCGCGGCGGCCATCGCGCGCTTCTTGCGCCCGGAGCGCAAAAGGGAGGAGGAGGAGGGGGCGGCAGCGGCAGCCTAGGCGCGCATCTTGCGCCCGCGATCGCCGGATCCTCGCACTGCTGGTCGGAGGAAGAGGCGGGCGCCGCTGATCCTCCTCCTCGGGAGACAGGCTCCCAGCAGCCAGACGCGCCCCGGATCCTTCCTCTTTCTCCCGCGGACCCGTGCGCAACGCTGCGCGCCCTTGCGCTCCAAGGCGTGCCAAGAACGGAGCCGGAACCCCTGGCCGCTTGCAGAGGTGCGCGTCACGGTCAGCTGTATCCCGGACCGTGTGGGGGGGTGGTGGTCAGAGCTCCGCCCCATAGCAAAGTCCGTGTCCCTGGCCCCGCCCCGCCAGGAGGGTCCAAAGATGCAGGCCGGTCGCCTTGATCCGTTGCTGTTCTTCGTTACGCGCACGTCCCATCCTCGGATAGATGGCACACGCATGAGTGCAATTTCAGGGGCTCCATGATCACTGCAGATGGTGACAGCAGTCACGAAATTAAAAGACGCCTGCTTCTTGGGAGAAAAGCAATGACAAACCTAGACAGCATCTTAAAAAGCAGAGAGATCACCTTGCCGACAAGGGTCCGTGTAGTTAAAGCTCTGGTTTTCCCAGTAGTGATGTATGGAAGTGAGAGCTGGACCATCAAGAAGGCTGATCGCCGAAGAATGGATGCTTTTGAATTCTGGTGCTGGAGGAGACTCTTGAGAGTCCCATGGACTGCAAGAAGATCAAACCTCTCCATTCTGAAGGAAATCAGCCCTGAGTGCTCACTGGAAGGACAGATCCTGAAGCTGAGGCTCCAAGACTTTGGCCCCCTCATGAGAAGAGAAGACTCCCTGGAAAAGACCCTGATGTTGGTCAAGATGGAGGGCACAAGGAGAAGGGGACGACAGAGGACGAGATGGTGGGACAGTGTTCTTGAAGCTACCAGCATGAGTTTGCCCAAACTGCGGGAGGCAGTGGAAGACAGGAGTGCCTGGCGTGCTCTGGTCCAGGGGGTCACAAAGAGTCGGACACGACTAAACAACTAAACAACAACAACAACCCTGCCCATCTGGCTGGGGTTAAATTTAATTAAATTAAATTAGTTAAATTTGTTAAGTTAAACTAACTGAAAATAGCTTGCAGATACATAATGGGCTTAGGATTTTATTTATGTTAAGTGATGAATTAATATGTTTAATTCCATAAAGTGAAGATTTAAGGATGTTAATATTTAAGTTAAATTTCATAAAAATTGGGATTTGGAAAACCGTTAAAAAGACATGCAATGATATTCAACCAAGGGGAAACAAGGAAGTCACTTAACAAAGTTAATAACTGTAATTTTCAATAAGGCTATGATTTATGTTTGTTTGTATTGTTTGTTTGTTTGTTTGTTTATAATATTGTGAAAACTAATAAAAATTTCAAAAAAACCAACAACAACTTGAATAAAATATTGCGGGTGGGGGCATGATCAATCACAAGACGTGACGTACCTTGCAGTGCCGGATTGGCAGTATATGTGAAACAAGCTATAGCTTAGGGCCCCACTCTCTTGGGGCCCCCAAAAGAATTTAAAGGAAAAAAAAATCTATATGTTTTCCAAAACATTTCCAAAATATCAGATAAAAAATAAAAATAAAACCTACATACAGCAACAGTGTTTTGTGTTGTGTAGGCTCCTATGATGTAAGTAATGCTAGCCTGCTCCCTAAAATATCACTGGTTTGCTCATTTCTATATCCATTACTTTGATCAAATACATATTTTGTTATGTGCAAATGGATTTAGATTCCTATCAGGTCCATAAATTACCATATAGCATATATTCAACACAAAAAACAGCGACAATTTGTCGTTGACAAAGGACAGCTGGACATCTTCAGTAGCTTAGGGCCTCATCAGAATCCGGCCCTGCATGCACGCCATTTGAATGGCAATGATGACCATCAACTTTTTTGGGGGGGGGCAGCCAGGCCCCTCAAATATTTTATTGGGGGGGGCCTAGCCCTAGAAGCTGGCTCCTATGCTCAGTTTTCTTCTTTATTATTTATGAAAGCTGTATGCTGCACGATACCCACCGGTCTCAGGGCTATTCATAGGATAAAACCCACAACAACAAAAACACAAAATACATAATCAAAAGAAAAACAACCCAATATCCCCCTCCAATAAAATTAAAAACCCCACATTTTAGAAGGGCACTGTTTTCTGAAAGCCAGCTCTGTTAAACTCGGGCGTGCTTGCTTCAGACAGGTTGCAAAGGCTTGGCAAAGGTTTGACAAAAGGCTTTCGGCCCCTTGAAACGCCGCCTTCCACTGGAAATAATCCTGCAAAGAATTTCAACTGCGGACATGGACCAGGAACCCCATTGAAGGAAAGCGAAGAAGTCTCACCTCCTTAGGGAGAGAGAGATTGGCAACTTTCAGAAGGGAACCATTTTTTGAGCCTGAAATTCCAGCTCCACCATAGTGGGTGGGGAAGGAAAAAGGCGGGAAAACTCCCCACCTCAAGGACAACTCAGAACCCACAGAATTATCATCATTATTAAACTTTAAAACCACCCTTCATCAAGAGACCACAGAGCGGTTTACAACACAGAACACAAAATTAATAATGACAAAAATATTATAATAAGCAGTACCTCCCTCCCACCACCACATTTTAAAAGGCCACAAATTGATTAACAGCCAAAGGCCTGGTTGACAAGGAATGTTTATGCCTGATGCTTCCCCCAGAGGCTGTTGTGGGGTGTGTGGGGATTATTTATTTTCTTATTAATGCCTGCCTTTCGCCCAAAGATCCTAGGGTGGGGTCACAGCATTAAAACACATTATTCTTTTTTATAAAAAACAAAACAAAGCCACACACCTCAAAACAACTTAATTCATTCTTTATTATTGATTTCATAAAAATTATATACCGCTCGAGTGCAGAAAAAACCCTCCAAGCAGTTAAAAAGACTGCTCAGCAGCTGTGACACCCATGTGGCTTCTCTTGCCTTAAAAAGATCCGCTAGTAAAAAAAAAAAAAGAGCGGGAAAAATGAAAAAGGAGGAGGGAAATGGCGGCCCGCAAAGTGACAACAGCAAATATTACACCGGACACTTGGTACCACACACTTTCAAAAATCGATAAAATGGAGAAAATTACACATCATTTGAGACTTCAACAGGGACTAGCGCCTCCAGGCACTTTTGGTAAGATTTGGCGTTCCTTTGTGACATTTGCAATGGGCCACTTTCAAGGCAACCCTCCTCACAGGCTTGGCAAGTCTGGAACCAGACCTGTTGATCTGACGACACCAATAGCCTTGACTTGGACTTTGCTGTTTTGGCCCCCATGCAACTGTACCGTTTTATAGTTTTCGTTTTTCATCTCTTCATTTTCCTCGTTGCCACTGTTCTTTTTCCTTTATATACATTGTAAAATGCCCCCCCCCATTTACCAAAAGAACACCCTTTACCAAAAGACACCCTTTACCAAAAGAAAAAGAGAGACAGCTGCAAAGATCGCCTGCTATTACCCAACCCGCTGTGATCACCAGGGAACAAAAAACGAGAGATGCCGTGGACAACCTAAGAGCGCTCAGGGGAACACGGCTCAGAGATGAGGTGGTCAGAAAAGCTTGGATGCTCTGCTTTCCCCACCGCAAACCAAAAACCGGCCAGCAGTACGCAAGGGAGAGGCATGGCAAAGGTGTTCCTGCTCAATGGGTGCTGTGGGTCCCAGGACACAAAGAAAGGTAAGTTACAAAGGGGTCCTGCATGGGGTTAAGAATTAGGGACTTCCAGATTCCCAGTCTCTCCAGGCATCCTTAAGCTCTTGAGCTGACCTCTCCGTCTCTCTCTCATTTGATATTAGACTAATATTCTCAGGCTGCATCCTGCCCTCCACTTTCTGCTCTCGGACCCCAAGATGAGAGGTTGCCCTGAAATTTAACCCTCTGCAAGGAGCCAGTGTGAGCTGCCTTGTTCCACTCCAGACTAGAACTAGGAACTTTTCTATCCAAGTTATAGATTTCCTGCAATGAACTGCTTTGTAATTTTTCTTACCTGAAAACATCTCTCTCTCTCTCCCCCCCCCCTCTCTCTCTCTCTGTGTGTGTGTGTGTGTGTGTGTGTGTGTGTGTGTAACAGGTAAAATTCTGCTCTCTAACCAAGATTCTCATCCTTAACACTGCATTACTCTGCTTACTAAAAGGGTTTTAAGCAGGTGGTTGGAACCAAGCAACTCTAGCAGCTTGCCTGGACTGGTCTGTTGGTGTTGTGACATTAAGGGCTATTCTGATGGCGGTTGCTGCCCTGCGGACTCTGCTGCAGAACCGTTAAGATCAAGATCATTGTCACCCTCCAGCTGTGTTGGACTAGAACTTCCATCAGCCCCAGGCAGCATGGATGAAAAGAGGGGAAATAGCATCACCTCCGCCTTGGGGCGGATCTAGGAATCCCTCCATGACACACCTATCCAAAGGGCAGGTGCTGTCTAAAACCTGCTTTCCCCTTCTGAATTCCACTGTCAGCTCCTGGGTTTGCCTGCTTAAAAGGATCAGAGAGCAAACGATGAGAAGGAACCGTCTCTTTCTCAGATCCTGTAGAGTTGCTGCCGGCCAGAGCAGACAATGCTAAGCTAGGCAGGCCAAGGTCTGGTATAAAGCTGCTTCTGATGTGCCTCAGCATTTTCCGCAACTTGCATTTCAGAGCCTGGATCCCCAACCGCATGGCTAAATAGAAGGTGAGTTTCTTCAGGGCAGGAGTGAGGAATCTCTGGTCCACAGGCCAAGTACAGCTCTACAGCCTTCTTCCAGCCAGTCCTCAGGACTTTCCCCAGGCGCTGGCCATGCCAGTCACTGGCATGCAGACCCCAGAAGATTGCCTGTGATGATGAAACGCAGCCCTCTGGCTGAAAACAGTTCCTCACCCTGGCTCTAGAGACAATTCAAGGTATGGGAGATGGGCTGCAATGGAGGAAAGAGTGAAGAGCTCTGTACATTTGATTGCAAAACTCCATTACCTGGAGACCCACAAGGTCTCCCTGTGGATAAAGTACACCAAGCAGAAAAAGTAATGTTCCCAGAGCTCACCAGACTCCCAGCCTTTTCACATTAGGGGAGGCATCTATCTCCATCTGATACCCTAAGACACCATCCAAGTCCTATTCACCGGTCGGCTATTATTCAAAGATGCCTCCATATTACGAAAATGTGACGTGCTGCTTTAGGACAGTGTTATTTCCCCTTTAGAACCCTGCCATTTGAGGCCACACTTTGAATTAAAAACCTTCCTCAATTTCATGGATGGTTCTGCACAGGCACCCATTCCATGGAGGTGAGCCCTCTTTGAAAAACACCGCAGCCTAGTTCGCCAGCCCCACCATCCTCTCGCTGACTTCCCAAAGTTTCTTGGCCACGGCGTCGTCCCGGGCATGTGGCTTGGGGTCATGCAGCCTGCAATCGGCAAAATAGCGCCCGCTGTACTTCTCAATGCCTTCCTCAGTGGCACAGTAGATGGACGTCTGAGCTCCGCTGGTCGTGTCTCGGAAGAAGAGCCAGAAAAGAGGCTTCAGCCAGATCGACATGTGACGGAATAATTCAGTGTTAACAAGCCCTGAAAGAGAAAAAAAATCAGTAGCTAGAACTGAATGGAGGTCCATCTTGTTTAACATTCTCTTTTATGTTTGGGCCAACCAGATGCCCCATCTGGGAAGCCTGACATGAGCAGAACAGCGCTTCCTCAGCAGCAGCAGCTGGTGTTTAGAGGTCAACTTCCTTTGATACTGGAGGTTCCATCTAGCTAGTATCCACTAGTATGACTGGAGCTGATGGCAGTCGTCATTCAAAGCACCTGAAGGGCATTGTAGTGATCTGATGGGATTACGATGAGGAATTCTAAAACATGCATCAAGTCATTGTGTCCGCTATGAAAGCATTGTGTTGACTGGGTTTGATTCATTGACAATAATTTCTGATCAAATCCCACAAGCCTCTCCATCTCTACCATGTGTTCTCTATACACCTGACAGGCACGTATAAGCATTCTAAATACACAGGCCAGTTGTTCACTGGGCATCCACACTACATAAAGATAGTAAGTTACTTTGATGTAGTTTAATCTTTAGATAGATCATAAGAGTTCAGGAAGAGAGTTCACAAAGAGATGGTAAATACTACCCATCCTTCCTCTCCTGTTTACTCCTGTTTATGACCTCCGGGGTTTTCCTAAAAGCATTCCTCCTTGCTTCCTCTTTTATTTACTCTGGACTACTATGTATGCTCAAATTAGCTCTTTGTAGTTTTAACTTTTAACTTTGTCCCACGTGGGGTTTTTGAAATGCTCAGAGGAAATCTGATTGGTTCTTACGAACACTGTGTAAAAAGTTCTTACGTGAATAAAACGACCTGGGCCGAGGGGTGGACAGGAATTATTATTGGCACCTCCTCCCAGAGTCTTGCTGGTCAAGGCTCATGTGTATTCTATTAATCAGGGTCCAATCCTTCCTTGTTTTGGGAAGGCTACAGGTATCAGGTTGCCAAAGGCTAGTCTAGTTGCAGATGGCAATGACGACCAAGAAATTTGCAAAAGGAATGTATGTTCTAGGGCGATGAATGAAAAGGTGAGCTGCACAGGAATCTCTGGAGTTACTGGCCCTCCAGATAGCAAAGACCCTGTCCTGCAGATGTTGTAGGACCCCAGTTAGCTCAGTCAACGGTCAGGAATGATGGGAGCCCAACAGCATCTAGAGGACCAATGGAAGTCTGCTTCTCAGACAGTCCCCATCTGCCACCCTTCCTACTTACAACCAGCCCACAGGGTGGTCCTGCCCATCAGCTCCCTTCTCTTCCATAGTCTCAGTGTTGCCCCTTGTAATTCTCTGCAGGGATTCTCTGCAGGGATAAGGATGAGGAAGGGGACAGAACTTCCACCTGCAATTGACTCTGTCTCTGCCCTTCCCTGGTTTTGGCTCTGTCTATTGTTGGGCTCCTTGCTTTCTGCCCCTCCAGTCCCCCAAGGGCTCCAGACCCCACTATGGAGGGTCCCAAGTGGAGGCAGGAGCTGAGCTGGACCTGCTACCCACCTGGATGGACAGCGTAGCAGGTAACGTTTGTCCCTTCCAGTCGATTGGCAAGCTCCCGGGTATACAGCATATTGGCCAGTTTGCTGTTTCTGTAGGATTGGACCCCTGGCGACTGCCCATCCACTGGCTTGTGGATGTTCTGAAAGTCAATCTTCCCCCACCGATGTCCACTGGAAGCCACCACCACCACACGGCTGGGTGCACACTGCTTCATCCGCTCCAGGAGGAGGTGGGTCAGAAGGAAATGACTCAAGTGATTCACCTGGAACGCCAAATTCAAGCCGTCGCTGCTTCGGCTTCCAGTCCTGACGCCTACCAGAAAATGAGGTTGGATTAAAGAAGTGCGGCATGCCTCTGGTGGCCCCATTTCTGTGGGAGGCTCACCCTGCTGAAATATAAGAGCCCCCCATCACTACTGGCATTCTGCCAGCTCTTTGAGACACACCTGTTTAGCAAGAAGACCCAGGTAACTACCAACCATGCCAGGCCCCAATGTCTTTATAAATGTATTTAGAAATGTATTTATAAATGTCTTTATAAATGACTTGGATGAAGGAATTGAGGGGATGCTCAACAAATCTGCAGATGACAGTGAAATTTTTTTGGGAAATGATATACAGTTAATTGAAAAAATGTTTAAAATGACATTTGAAAAAAAAACCCAGAAGCATTTCTGTTAGGGATTGTAGGACAAGATCTTCCAAGAAAAACAAATAACTTATTTATGTATGCTACAACAGCGGCAAGAATCTTGATAGCACAAGGATGGAAGAACCAGGAAATCCCAAGGAAAGAACAGTGGCAAGAAAAATTGATGAGCTACGCAGAACTGGCTAAATTGACTTATAAATTGCGGGACAAGGACAACTGTGACTTTAAGGAAAAATGGGAGCTTTTTACAAATTATTTTAAAAGACAACAAAATGAACTGGACTCCCTGGCAAATTTTGAGTAAAAATACACAAATTTATTGGTCGATAACAGGGTAGATAATGTAAGGACATGTAACATGCAGAGAACAATATGTCCTGAAAAATCAGAGAGAGGAGCTAAGGGAAGTCTCTGGGGAGGTAGGGTTTGAAGGGGGGATATGGGGAAAAAGGATGGGGAATAATGAATATGATATGTTTTGATAGTTTGTATGTTGAAATTGTTAATAAAAATATTTCTTTAAAAAAACTGCAGATGACACCAAACTGGATGGGTAGTGAATGCCATAGAAGACAGAACCAGGATAGCTCTGCTCTATTCTGCCTTGGTAAGTCCTACTTAGAGATGCTGTTGGGAACAGAACTTTAGACCTTCTGCATGCAAAGCAGGTGCTCTACCACTGAGCTATAGCCCTTCCCCTAAAAGTAAAGCAGGATTTCAGCCCTCGTGGTTTTGAAGAAGAAGAAGATTTAAACAGGAACACAGGAAGCTGTCATAATAATACACAATCAGATCCAACTAGTTCAATATTGGCTACACTGACTAGCGGTGGGTTTCCAGAGTTTCAGGCAGGGACATTCCCAGTCCTACCTGGGGATGCCATTGGGGACTGAAAACCTTGGACCTTCTGCATGCAAAGCAGCTGTGCCCCTTCCCCAAATCTCACCTGCATTGTTGATGAGAATGTCAAGGCGGGGCTCAGATTTCAAGAAAGCCGCTGCAAAAGCTCTCACTGACTTGAAGCTGGCCAAGTCCACGTTCATAAAGAGAACTTCATTGTTCCCACTTTCCTGAGCAGGGGGGTAAAACACAAGGAGCGTTTAGCCCTAGCAAGAAAGTTTGCCCCCTGTCCCGCTCCCAGAGCCAGGCCACAGCCAGGCTCCCTTTGCTATGCCACACCATGGTCTTGCTCAGAATCTAGGCCTGTTTCTCGAAGCTGCAGGAGAGTTGGGCTTGTGCTCAGATCCTGCTTATGGGCTTCCCACAGAAGGCACCAGATTGGCCACTGTGAGAAGTGGAGGCTGGGCTAGAATAATAATAATAAATAATAATAATAATAATAATAATTTATTTATATACCCTGCTGTGGCAATTGTAATGAGATGTGCTAGATGATGTATGGTTTTCAACTGCGTTTTCACTACGTCCTTTGTTTCTTACAGGTTGCATTCTGTTGCATTATAATGTGGATTCCACAGAGTTTGGGCTCAGAGGCAGTACATGCTTCTGAATAATAATAATAATAATAATAATAATTTATTATTTATACCCCGTCCATCTGGCTGGGCTTCCCCAGCCACTCTGGGAGGCTTCCAACAAAATATTAAAATACAGTAATCCATCAAACGTTAAAAGTTTCCCTAAACTGGGCTGCCTTCAGATGTCTTCTAAAGGTCTGGTAGTTATTTTTCTCTTTGACATCTGATGGGAGGGCGTTCCACAGGGCGGGCACCACCACCGAGAAGGCCCTCTGCCTGGTTCCCTGTAACTTGGCTTCTCGCAGGGAGGGAACTGCCAGAAGGCCCTCAGAGCTGGACCTCAGTGTCCGGGCAGAACGATGGGGGTGGATCCAGTGCCTGATCCAGCAGCCTGGCTCTTATGCTCAGGTTATCTGAAGATTCACATGCCAATTAAGCTCTGGAAAAATCAATTTGTCCCTTGGCACTGGGATATTCCCAGGAGAACTGAAGGAGACAGTGGTGCGCCCGCTCTTAAATAAAACATCATTAGATCCCTTAGATCTATCCAATTACCGCCCGGTTTCGAATCTTCCATTCTTGGGTAAGGTGATTGAGAGAGCGGTTGCTGAACAGCTTGGCAGGTTTCTGGATGAAACATCGGCTCTGGATCCATTCCAGTCCAGCTTCCGCGCTGGTCATGGGACCGAGACGGCTCTGGTTGCCCTAACAGATGATCTCTGCAGGCAGCTGGATCGAGGCGGGTCGGGGCTGCTGATTCTTCTAGACCTGTCAGCAGCCTTCAACATGGTCGATCACGAACTCCTGGACCACCGCCTTGCTGACGTGGGGATCCAGGGCACAGTCCTTCAATGGCTGTGCTCATTTCTCTCTGGTCGGGGACAGAGGGTGGCGCTTGGGGGTGAATTGTCATCGCGCCACCCCTTGGTGTGTGGAGTTCCTCAGGATGCGATACTCTCCCTGATGCTTTTTAACATCTTTATGCACCCCCTCACCCAGCTTGTCTGGAGTTTTGGGCTGGGTTGCCATCAGTATGTCAGTGACACCCAACTCTATCTGTTGATGGATGGCCATCCTGACTCGGCCCCAGACACACTGACCAGATGTCTGGAAGCTGTGGCTGGATGGTTACGTGGGAGCCGGTTGCAGCTAAATCCTTCGAAGACAGAGGTCCTGTGGCTGGGACGGGACGATATGGGATTGGGGGGGCAACTCCCATCTCTTGCGGGGGTGCAATTAGTGCCAGCACCGTCCGTTAAGAGTTTGGGTGTAATCTTCGATACCTCCCTCTCTATGGAGGCGCAGATTACAGCTATAACAAAGGCGGCATTTTTTCATCTCCGCCAAGCTAAGCAGTTGGCTCCTTATCTCTCTCGCCCTGACCTAGCCACTGTGATCCACGCAACGGTCACCTCCAGACTGGATTATTGTAACTCGCTCTACGTGGGGCTGCCTTTGAGACTGACCCAGAAACTCCAGCGGGTGCAGAATGCTGCGGCGAGACTCCTTATGGGGTCTTCGCTGCGAGACCACATTCATCCGGTACTATACCAGCTGCACTGGCTGCCGGTGGAGTACAGGATCAGGTTTAAGGTGCTGGTTTTAACCTTTAAAGCCCTATACGGCCTAGGACCCTCGTACCTACGGGACCGCCTCTCCTGGTATGTCCCACAGAGGAACCTACAGTCTGCAAATAAAAACATCCTGAAGGTCCCAGGCCACAGAGAGGTTAGGCTGGCCTCAACTAGAGCCAGGGCTTTCTCGGCTGCAGCTCCAATCTGGTGGAACGCTCTGTCACAAGAGACTAGGGCCCTGCGGGACCTGACATCTTTCTGCAGGGCCTGCAAGACAGAGCTGTTCCACCAGGCCTTTGGCCAAGGCACAGTCTGACTCCCTCCTTTGGCTATCTGCACACAAGTTTTGCTTAATGGTTGCCACCAATTTGATTTTAATCAATTTTTATAATGAAATGTTTTTTAGAATGTTGGATTATTTGATTGTTGTTAGCCGCCCTGAGCCCGGCTTCAGCTGGGGAGGGCGGGATATAAATAAATTATTATTATTATTATTATTATTATTATTATTATTATTATTACGGCCACAGATCCAGACTTCGGATTTATTTTCTTATTTCTTTTGCAATTTCCTTTCCCCCCAGACGATCAACAATAAGGGGGAAAATATGATGGTGGTGAATGGCATAAAGCATAAACAATAGAACTACATTCCTAAAACAAATACGAGATACATCATAAATCAGTAGATCAGATTAGTAAATCAGCAGTGGAGCTGCTTCACCACCACCCCCATCCCAGAAAAAGCCAGGTGAGGAGGTGAGTTTTAAGCAGGCTCCTAAATGCCAATGCTGTATGGGGCAACTTGATATTATTCCCTGCAAGTGCATTGTGGGAAAACATCCTCCAAGCACCCCCACCCCAATGTCATCATCATCACCATCATCAACATCATCATCATCATAATTAATGGTGGAGGATAGTCTGACTTCCTTAGGACCCAGGACCTCTAAACTATGATTATTCATGGCCCGTAAGGTCCTCTGTGGGGCAGACCAGGAGTGCCGGTCCTGTAAATACGAGGGCCTTAAGCCACAAAAGGCTTTAAAGATCAAAACCAGCACCTTAATACCACTAAGGTAGACTTTTCTAACGTGGTGCCTCCCAGATCTTCTGAACTACAACTCTCACACAGACAGCTGTGTGATGCTGTTGGGAGAGCGGCAGGTTGGTGAATTCTCCTAGAAAGCTAGACCTCCCAGCTTTCTAGAAGGAAGGGCTGACTGTTCAGATTCCATTATGACATGATTTTACTGTGAAATCGCTTCAAGATAGTTCAAGGGAAGTGATTTCTAAGTGGAGCCAAAGAAATAAACGCTGCCCTTTCGAAGGAGGCAGGTGGCCGGTACTCACCCTCCTTATGTCATAGACGGCGGATTCTCCTCGCTCTCTGTCCCGGCAAGCTAGGATGACACGGGCTCCCCTCCGGGCCAGATCCAGGGCCGTTGCCTTTCCAATCCCAGTGTTTCCACCTGGAAAAGTCCGGGGAAAAGAATGATCTAGAGCAGTGGTTCCCAAAATGTGTGTTTGGTGGCGGCGGGGCTTACTGGCTGCTTGAAATTTGTCGAGGGTCTTGGCGGACCCCCGAATGATTTTTCTACCTGCTGTGGCAATTGTAATGAGCTGTGCTAGGTGCTGTATGGTTTTTAACTGCATTTTCACTACATCCTTTATTTCTTACAGGCTGCACTTTGTTGCATTATAATGTGAATTCCACAGCAGTACATGCTTCTGAAGGCCAGTTGCTGGAAACAGCGGGAGAGGGGAGTGGCTCCTGGGCTCAGGCCCTGCTTGTGGGCTTCCCATAGGGGCAGCTGGGCGCCCACCAGAACAGGAGGTTGAACCAGATGCGCCATTTGCCTCATCCAGCAGCCAGGCTCTTTCCTTACATTCTTAAAAGGTAAAAGGTAAAGGGACCCCTGACCATTAGGTCCAGTCGGCTGCGGCGCTCATCTTGCTTTATTGGCCGAGGGAGCCAGTGTACAGCTTCCGGGTCATGAGGCCAGCAGGACTAAGCCGCTTCTGGCGAACCAGAGCAGCGCACGGAAACGCCGTTTACCTTCCCGCTGCAAGTCCTAGGCTCTGTGGTTTAACCCACAGCGCCACCCGCGTCCCCCTTACATTCTTAGGAGAGCTCAAATTGTAGCAGAATACAAAACAATACATACGAATATTGAATGCTATGGATGTGCTGTCTCTCATCTTCCACTACAAACCCTCAGGCACATCACAGACCCCCTGAATAAAGCGCTGGAGCCCTCTGATGGGAGCTGAAGTTCAACAGAGGGCCCCCATCTCAGGGCCAGCTGCCAGGTGACCAGGGCACCATTATCAGTCCCCTGATAATATACAGTGGTACCTCGGGTTACATACGCTTCAGGTTACAGACTCTGCTAACCCAGAAACAGTACCGTGGGTTAAGAACTATGCTTCAGGATGAGAACAGAAATCGTGCTCCGGTGGCGTGGCAGCAGCAGGAGGCCCCATTAGCTAAAGTGATGCTTCAGGTTAAGAACAGTTTCAGGTTAAGAACAGACCTCCAGAACGAATTAAGTTCTTAACCTGAGGTACCACGGTACAGTGGTACCTCGGTTTAAGAACAGTCCGGTTTAAGAACTATTTGGTTTACAAACTCCGCAAAAGTGGAAATAGTGTCTTGGTTTGAGAACTTGACCTCAGTCTAAGAACGGAATGAGTTTGACCAAACTGTGGGAGGCAGTGGAAGACAGGAGTGCCCGGCATGCTGTGGTCCAGGGGGTCACGAAGAGTCAGACACGACTAAACAACTAAACAACAACAAGAACAGAATCCAAACAGTGGAAGGGCACCGGCGGCAGGAGGCCTCGTTAGGAAAAGCGCACCTCAGTTTAAGAATGGTTTTGGTTTAAAAACAGACTTCCAGAATGGATTAAATTCGTAAACCGAGATACCACTGTATTATATATAATAAATTTATATATAACCAACCTGTCACCTCTGTGGGGCGCCTCTTAAATGCCAACCCTCTTCTATTTCATTTCCAGCTTGGGTTGGAAATGGAGGAGCTGTAATCTTCATCCTGACTGAGCCATGCTGCCTGGGGCTTCTGGGAGTCCCAGAACAGGAAAAGCGCCACAGGTTTCTCCATCTCTGGGTGTGCACCCTTACTCAACACATCATAATTACCCAAGCCCTCCTCTGCACATCTCTGCTTGGCAACAGGAGGGCAGGTTTGGCCCAGCAGCCATTAGCTGCTCATCCCTCCTGTCAAACCTGATAACTTTTTTGCCACTGACCTGACCCACTTTGCCTCTAGTGTTTTGTTTTGTTTTTGACACAGGGAGTCCCCTCGTATATATCTTTGCACAAGGCTGCATGTTGCTCAGGCTGATCTGGAGTTTTTTTCCTGGGGATCAAGGGACAGGAAACCTCAAAGCGGGAGCTCCCGCAGACCCTCTTCGGACGCTCTAACCACTGCACCGCGCTGCCCCCCGTCTTCCGGGGGCGATTCTCACCCGTGATCAGCACCGTCTTGCCCCGCAGGCTGGTCTCGTTCTTGCACGTGGCCCCTTTGATGAAGTTGTAATAGAGCAAGGCGTAGAGGCCCAGCGCCAGCGCCACACCCGCCAGCGCCTCCGCGGCGGCCATCGCGCGCTTCTTGCGCCCGGAGCGCAAAAGGGAGGAGGAGGAGGAGGGGGCGGCAGCGGCAGCCTAGGCGCGCATCTTGCGCCCGCGATCGCCGGATCCTCGCACTGCTGGTCGGAGGAAGAGGCGGAAGCCGCTGATCCTCCTCCTCGGGAGACAGGCTCCCAGCAGCCAGACGCGCCCCGGATCCTTCCTCTTTCTCCCGCGGACCCGTGCGCAACGCTGCGCTCCTGCCGCCCCTTGCGCTCCAAGGCAAGAACCGATCCGGAACCCCTGGTCGCTTGCAGAGATGCGCGTCACGGTCAGCGGTATCCCGGACCGTGTGGGGAGTCAGAGCTCCGCCCCATAGCAAAGTCCGTGTCCCTGGCCCCGCCCCGCCAGGAGGGTCCAAAGATGCAGGCCGCTGCCTCCTCGGGAGGCGGGTTCTCAGCAGCCAGACGCTGCCGGATCCCTCCTCCGGCTCCTGCCTGCCTCCTGGAGACGCGCTGCAACCACAGGACCAGCCATCTCTCTTTGACGGCCAGCGGGAGCAGAGATGGGGAACATCTGTGACCTTGCAGATGCTGTCGGACTCCAGTTCCCTTCTTCATCGTCCCTTGAGGCAGAGCGCCTCAAGATTTCCTCCTCGCGGGGTTTGCAGCCATCCGCCCTTGTCTTCTGGGAAGCCCAGTTGCCAAAGCTCTCCTTCGCCCATCACTGTTTGGCAACAGAGCAGGCCAGATGTGGCGCCGAGGCCCCCAGCTGCGGATGTCTGCCTCCTTCAGCCGAGACCTGTTCTGCCACGGAAGCGATTCCCTTTTGCCTCTAGGCCAAACAGGCCCTTTTCCACGCGGGGCTGCGGCTCCAGCAGCTGCATCGTGAACTTCCAAGAGCCTCACCTTTTAAAAAATAAAATAAAATAAAATAAAATAAATTTTTTTTTTATTAATTTTTGAACATACATACCACAAAACTTCACATCTTATATAATCCTTTTGAACTTCCATCAGCACCTCTGATGATCCACCATTTTTATCATTTCTTCTGCATTTCTTAAATTCATATTGCCTTTAATTATCTTAACTAAGAATCCTCCTCTTTATCCAGTTTTGCAATAATTCAAATTATTCACCTCACAAAACTTATTGTAAACCTACAAACGTAATCTGATCATCACAATTACTTTTCAAATAGTCCGTAAATTTACACCAGTCTTCTGTGAATCTCCAAGAGCCTCACCTTAACACGTGGCTGTGCCTGGAGAGTCTTGTTCGTGCGTGATCAATGCATGCGCCCCCAGCATCTCTAGAAGGGGACGCCTGTCCCAAGGATGGTACAGAGCTCAAGCCAGGCTTTGCGACCAACTTTGCTAAATCTTGAAGTTTCTACAAAGGTGCAGTTCTCTTGCAGACTCACTACTGAACAAGTCGGGCCCTCCTGCCAATAGAAAAGCCTGGTCTCAAGTTGAAGAGTATTTGCTGCCGTTTCTACGGGGATATACACTCAGTATTTATCACTCCTGTTCTACAAAAATCTCCAGATGGGTCCAAACATCAATGTCTAAAACTCCTGGTAGAGGACAAGGATCTAGAGATCTCTCTAAGGGTGGCCAAATTCTGTGCGACTGCCATAAAACTTTGGGAACAAGCTGTACTACCAAAATGATTAAGGTTTTAAACGGCAATTTTAGGTTATATTTTAATGATAAAGTTTTAATACATATTTTTAACTGCCACTATATCTGAATTGTCTCTGTTATACCCAGTTGCAATCCAATGTATTCCTGTTGTGTTTTATGATTTTTCTGATATTGTAAGTGAGCCGAAACTGGTCTGTGACCATAATAATAAAATTCAAAGTATTTGCTCTGTTTGCAGAAGGTCCCAGCTTCCATATCCAGACAAGGCTGGCAAAGGAAATGCACCCCCATCTGAAACCCTGCCGGTCAGTGCAGACAGTGCTGAGTTAGATGGAGCAATGGTTTAACATGGTATAAGGCAGTGTTCCTATTTAAGCTGGCCCTTTATTTCTTGACTAGAAATCTTATTCTATTTTTTAGGGAAGTTGCCCTAGGAAGCTCAGTGGTGGGACACCTGCTTTGCATGCAGGAGGTGTCAGATTTGAAACTCTGGAACTGCAAGGATGCAAAGACACCCGACTCCTTAAAAATGGGAAACCCTGGAAGGCTGTCAGAGGCGGATTTAGGGAAGTACAACCAGTTTGCCCACCCTGGATGCTGAGCTGAGAGGACACCACAATGACAAACAACAGAAAGCAGGGGGTGGGGCAGCAAATTTTGGTGTTGCACATGGAAATTTAAAAGCACAAAGTCCGCCACTGAGGCTGCTGCCAGTCAGTATAGACCAGGGTTTCCCAAGCTTGGGTCTCCAGCTGTTTTTTGGACTACAACTTCCATCATCCCTAATTAGCAGGACCAGTGGTCAGGGATGATGGGAATGAAGACCCAAGTCTGGAAAACCCTGGCGTTGACAGTGATGCACTAGATAAGACCGAGGATCTGACTTTGCATCAAGGCAAAGTCTCTAGCTCATGGGTAGGCAACCTAAGGCCTGGGGGCCGGATCTGGCCCAATCGCCTTCTAAATCCGGCCCGGGAATCAGTGTGTTTTTAAATGAGTAGAATGTGCCCTTTTATTTAAAATGCATCTCTGAGTTATTTGTGGGGCAAAGGAATTCATTTACCCCCCCCCATAAGGTCTGAAGGACAGTGGACTGGCCCCCTGCTGAAAAGGTTTGCTGACCCCTGGGACCCACCCAGCCAGCCTTTTCCCCTTCAGCATTTTATCTCAACAGCGGCAGACCCCACGGAGCTGTTCTGATCTGGCAAAGGCTCTTCGAAAAATGGACACGGAGGGAAACGGGTTGCAACTGGCTTTTAGAATCATAGCGCTGGAAGGGACCCCAAGGGTCATCCAACCCAACCTCCTGCAAGGCACCAGGAAGCTCCCAAAAGCTCTTTAGGCCAGCCGCTACCAAGGATTCATAGGAAACAAAACACCAGGGGTCTAGGAATTCGGGGGGAAGCCTTGCTTTAAACCAGGTATGGAGAACAGTTGGCCCTTCAGATGCTGCTAAAATGTCTGTCAGCCCCAGCATTGCAAGCATGGCCAATGGCCAGAGGTGATGGGAGTTGTAGTTCAGCACCATTTGAAGGCCCAAGGTTCCGCGCACCTGGCTTAAGCCAAGGCCCTGGGACCCTCAGGTTGCACCGGATGGCTTCCCAACTCCCATCATGCCTGGCTCTTGGGCATCCCTGACTCTAAGGCTCATGGGAGTTGGAGGCACCAGTCCCTGAAATCATTCCCCAAGGTCAAACAGAAATTGAAGTTGTGCAACTGGTTTTCCTCGTTGCTCTGCCCTCCCCTCGTTGCCAACATTCACATCTTGTTGCCAACATTTAGATTAAGTTCTCGAGGACAGAAACTTGTCTTTCGCAAAAGAAAATTTGTTTGCAAAGTACACCATGCCTTTGTTGAGAAATTTTAAGTTAGCTTGCTTTTTCTACCTTTGATTTTATCAGTATTTTAAAAGGGACATTGTGTGATCCAAGGTTAAACTTGATTAGAAGTTATGAATGATCAAAGCAGTATTATACATGCAGTTAATTATACAGTAATAGCGACTGAGGCTGGCTGCGGCAATCTAGACTCCCCTTAGATAAGCACAGCATCTCAGCTCAACAGGGAATGCTGGAATTGAATATGTTATTGGTGAGGGTGGAGGAAGTAAAGTTATTTAACTGATTTCCGCTGAAGAATGAACAGGTGGCTGGCCAAGAGGGGAAGTTCAGCTGACCAACAAATACAGGAACCTTCTGCAGAATTTGACCCCTGTTCTCAGCTGGTGGGCTTAAGAGGCAGTGATTCTCCAGGGCAGGATGGAGACTGTGGTCTCCCCAGGTTGCTGGATTAGACAAAATCATGGAGGAGGGCTTTCCATTGGGGCATCTTGGCCACTGTGAGAACAGGATGCTGGCCTAAATGGGCCATTGGCCTGATCCAGCAGGCTTCTTCTTCCAGGAGCGAATCCAGCGACATGTGGAGAGCAGCAGATGTTCCCCATCCCTGCTGGCAGCTTTGGGAAGGCCACAGACTGAACCAGCCACCTGCTCCATGAAAAGCATGAGTTCTTAGGGGGAAGATAGGAAGTGTCTGGTGCCCATGATGGTGAGAGATGGGCGAGGCAGGAAACTCAATGGTAGAGCCAATTCTTTCCAGTTTGGCCTCTGTCCTCCATTTCTCCAGAGTTCTACAAGGGGCAAGATCAAGACTTAGGAGGGGGAAGCTGAGGGGAAGAACCACGCACCCCACTGGCTGGTTCAAAGAAAGGCAGCAGGCAGGTGGGGCAGGCCAGTGCCCCACAAGTCCTAATGCAATTCCAGGGGTTGGGTGATCCTTTGGATCACTTCCGACTCTCTTGTTCCACGACCGGCCGCCTCCGCAAGTGGGAGGGAGGAGAGAGACCTGGCTTCCCAGCGAAGGAGCCCGGCTCCATCTAGGAAGGGAACGTGGGCGATGACAAGAATGAGAGCAAAGGAATTCTTTTAAAAAGAATTGGCACGGCTTGGCACAGCCCCATGATTTTTAAATAGTAGTATGTGAGTTTATTAATACAGACTTAATGCCATTGGAACAGTCATGAAATCTTTTCCGTTTTATACAAAAAAAAAAAAAAAAAAAAGGTTAAGAATTTTTTCCAGATCCAAACCCCCCCCCCAAGCATTAAAAACATTTTAAAGAACTCAGCAGATCTCACCTCCAGGATGGAGTGAGTCGAGGCCAACCGGCGGGAATAATTTTTTCTCCCCCCCCATAACCCCCCCAATATAGCCTCTGGGTGCCAGAGGTGCTGTTTTTGTTCCACAATGCCCTACAAGTATATACCCTGTTGTGGGGGGGGAGGGAAGGGGCACCCTAAGTTGGCACCCTGTGCACAACCAGGAACGGGGAGACAGTCCTCAGATCCCACTTTTGGCTGAATCTTCACACAGTGAAGGAGAAGCGGTTGGCTTCCGTCTGACAGCGCAGGCGCAAAAGGAGACCCACCTTGTGACCCGGGGGTGGGGGTGGGGAGGAAGGAAGGAACCCCCCCCCCACAGGGACATTTGCCTACAGGAACCCCCAAAAGCCGACGGAACTTTTCTTGCTGATGGCAGGGAATTTCCAGAGACAGGCAGACAGCGACGAGTGCCATAGTTTTTGTTTTATATACAGAATACAGGAGAGAGGAAAAAAGTTTCCGTAAAGCCTAAAACATAGCAATTTACTTCTGTACATCAGAACTTAGCTGCGGGGGGGTGGGGGGGTGGGAGGGAAGTTTCCGGAACAAAAGGGAGGGGAAAAGGAGGCTTACGACAAAGAAACGCTTTGCTACAATTAAGACAACTGGAGGAAAAACGTCATAACCCACACGTACACAGCTTAAAAAACACAGTGGGGGGGAGGGGGGTGGCGGGGGGAGAGAAAAACGCTGTCAGTGGATGTATTTACACAGAACCCCAAATACTTCTCCATCATCTAAAAGGGGGGCGGGAACGAAACAGGGTGGGTGGCAGGAAATCGGAACTCGCTTCCTGCCACACACACAATACGCAGAATTGCAACTGCAGCAGGAAGGGGGAGAGAAGGGGGGGCACAGGAGGTTGGAAAGGGCGGGGGGAAGAAAATAAATCTTGCAGGACGATAGCGCACCTTTACATTAAATAAAACAATGATAATTGAATAGATTTTTGCTGTATGAAAACTGTATTTCTCTTTTTCTCTTTAATATAAAAACTATTGTCACTGGCACAAAATAGAACAGGTTTTTTTGGGATTATTTTACAACTGCAAAGGGGAGCAGGCTTGCCTGGGGGGCAATGTCAACGACCCCCTCCCCTCCCCTCCCGGCCCCCTCTCGCCGGCTCTGCCCCAGCACGGCCTCCCAACACGCTGCAGTTAATTCCTTTCCTTTTCTTTTTTTAAATGAAATGTATAGTACAAATATATGTGCAAATGCCCCTAAAAACTTGAGCAAACAATAATAATAATAATATTAATAATAAAAATTAAAAGTTCTTCATCTCATGCAAAGGGCGTCAACAGTCTGTGGCCCACGTTGAGGGTTGGGAATCCGGACAAGACATGGTTCGTGTACATCAAAGGGAATCCTGTGCACAATGTGTCTGCGAGAGAGTCTCTCGATCTTGGGAGGGAGGATTTATTGTTCCTTGTCCAACCCCTCCCTCCCTCGGTCCTTGCCTCCTCCTAGGGCACTGAATTTGAGCGCAGCACAGGGACCTGCTGGGCCTTTGGGGACAGCTTCTCCTCCAAGTCCCTCTCTTGTGCTAAGGCCGCGGCGGCATCTCCTCCCCTGGGCTGTTTGGTCGCAAACTCCGTGATGCTGAAGACGAACTGCAGGCAGCCCAGCTTGATGTAGCTGCCGTGGTGCAGGAGGGCCGTCCCCTCCCAGCCGGCCCCGCTGCCCCCAATGAGGCTGGAGCTGCTGGCTTTGCAGTTGCAGGGCTTGGGGGACGGGCCCTGGGCCTGGGACCGCATCACCGCTGCCTCTTCGCTTGGGGGCTGCTCCTCCTCAGGGGGCGGCGGCTGCAGCTGCTGCTGCTTTCGGCTCTTGTGTCGCTCTGGAATACAGGAAGAGAGGCACAGTGGGCAAAGGCGGAAAGGGCCGTGCGAGAGATTGAAAACAAAACTGCCAGCACCATAATGCCATTGCACAAATACCATATTTTTCGCTCTATAAGATGCACCAGACCATAGGATGCACCTAGTTTTTGGAAGAGGAAAACAAACAAAAAATTCTGAATCCCAGAAGCCAGGACAGCAAGCGGGATCACTGCACTGCGATCCCGCTGGCTGTCCTGGCTTCTGGCTTAGCCATGTGCAGCCTCTCCCCAGCAATAGGAGCCTTCATCTCCTGCCGGGGAGAGGCTGCGCGCGGCTAAGGCTCCCCCAAGAGCCGCGCTCCCTTTAAAGAGCATGTGGAGTGTGTGTGCGGCTCTTTAAAGGGAGTGCTGAGCAGAACCTCCTGCCTGCATTCGCTCCATAAGACACACACACATTTCCCCTTACTTTTTAGGAGGGGAATAGTGGGTCTTATAGAGCGAAAAGTACGGTATGTGGTGCCATCGCCTTGGGAATCCTGGGCACAATCCTGGGCACCTTGCTTCAAAAAGGTGCTGAACCTCCCATCCCCACCACTCCTCAATACCGGATTTAACCATCCCTCTGGCTTCTGATTTTTAAGCAGAGCAATGTCTACACACTCACACCAGTGCAGCCATCTAAGGACTAGAACAGGCTTCCTCAGCCTCGGCCCTCCAGATGTTTTTGGCCTACAACAGAGGACAGAGCTGTTCCACCAGGCCTTTGGCCAAGGCACAGCCTGACCCCCTCCTTTGTTAATTCCTCACAGAACTCTAGCCCAATGGTTGCCATTAATTTGATTTGAACTGATTTTATAATGCTGTATTATTTTACTGTTGTTAGCCACTCTGAGCCCAGCTTCACTGGGGAGGGCAGAATATAAATAAAATTTTATTATTATGTATTATTAACTCCCATGGTCCCTAGCTAGCAGGACCAGTGGTTAGGGATGATGGGAAACATCTGGAGGGCCGAGGTTGAGGAAGCCTGGACTAGAAGCAATGCTTGTGTAAAAGAGAGAGAGAAAGGCATGCAGACTGGGGCTCTCCTGCCTATGCAAGTTGCCCTTGTGTGGGATTCTGGTATTGCTTTGTCTCTGGTGCTCAGGAGAGGCTGCAAACTTACTGATCACGCTCTGTACTTTGGCAACCATGCTGCTGGCCGGGACGAGCGCCGTCTTCTCAGAGAAGTCGCAGGAATACAGGACGTTGTCCACCGTTGTGCCGTGCTCGCTGTAGTTGAGCAGCTCGTAGTGCTTGGTGTTCTGGGGCAGAGGGAAAGGGAGACAGAGTCACACCCTGGACGGGAAGTGTTGGTGGCAAGGATGCCCAGAAGGCCGCTTCCTCTCTTTCTCTCTCTGCTCTCTACCTGCCTCCAAATCAAGCCACTCTCCCGGGCGGCAGCACTGCGCGACTCACCTCGTCGTAGAAGATGCAGGCGTGCTTGCCCGAGACGTAGTTGCAGTGACCGTAGTTTGTAAGGCACACGTCCATGTCAGCTCCTGCGCAAAGGAAGGAGGGAGACAGAAATTCTCTTGAGCGTCGGCGGCTCGGATGCAGCCAGACCTCCACCAAAAGCCACAGGAAGCAGGAAAGGACCACGGCAGAAGCTGAGATGAAAGCACACCCACTCCCAGAAGGCTCAGGGTTACCCCACCACCCCAGTTACTAGCTTCCGGTGAGAGCAGCTGCAGCAACTTGCAAGCGGACCCCGCTTCCCCAGCCAATTTGGCAGCCAGGAGGCTGCTGAGCACACACGTAGCTTCTCCCCTCCCTTGGTGGGAGGCGAGCTAGTCCCCCAGTGAGTTAGCCCTTGCCTGTCCCAATGTAGAGGGTCCTGTAGCACATGTTCACCGCACTGCCCATCCCCAGCAGAGGGTAGAAGACGGCTCGGGCCTGCACCTCCTTCCTCTGCCCTGGAAGACAGAAAGACGGAATTCATCGAATTGTAGAGTTGGAAGGGATCCCCCAAGGGATTCACAGCTAAAGAATCCCTGACAGGTGGTCTCAAGATCGAGCGCTGCCAAGAGCAGAGAAGCCCCCTGGATTTGAACACACCCATGCACCCCCCAAAAAAACCTCTCCACCAGCCATGTTCTTGCCATTTTTCATTTTGCTTTGAGGTCCCTAACCAAAGGGGGAGGAGAGGCAGAGTGAAGGTTGTCATTTGCCTTCTCACTCCCCATCCCACCAAGCCGCATCTTTTGGCCAACGCTTCTTGAACAAAGCATCGCAGGGCCTGGGTCAGCACCTGAGCAGGCGTGTCACCGAAAGCGAGGCAGTGAGAAGGCATCTGTGCTCCCAATGCCAGTGGGAAGGAGGTCCCAGGTTCAAACTCTGGTCAAAGGGCATCGGGGGGGGGGGGGAGGCAGAGACCTTGGGGAGCAGCTGCCAGGCAGAGTGGACAACAGAGGGCTAAATTATCTCCCCTTGGCTGAGAGGTGGGGTGGGCAAAGGGCTTTTCATCAAAATGCAGATCTGCCCCATTATTCCAGGTGTTTTCTATTTGGGGGAGGGCTCAGTGGTCGGGCACCTGCTCAGGGTTCAACCCCTGACAGCATCTCCAGGAAGGACCGGCAATGTCCGCTCAGAAACTCTGGAGAGCCACTGCTGCCAGTGTGGACAATACTGAACTAGATGGACCAGCAACGTGATTCGGTATAAGGCAGCTTCCCGTGTTTCTATTTCAAACCTTTATTCAGAACCACGAGGACTAGAATCTTACTTTATTTTTAGGCTGTAGAAGGTCCCAGGGTTGTCCTGGGGGAGTTCCCTGCAGAAACCCTGAGAACCACTGCCAGTGAATGCGAACAATACTGAGCGAAATGGACCAACCATCTAACTTCCTATGATCAGGCCAATGATGCTCCTGCGTTCTGCCAATGCCTAGAGGAAACTCTGGTGCCGCAGGAACAACTCGGGGCTTTCTTCCTCTGGTGCAGGCCCTTCCCAAGGAGCCTGCCTCTCCTACTGCTGGCGCAGACACTTGTTTGCCCTTCTGCATTTCAGCTATTGGGGAGTGTGTAGCAGAAAGGCGACTTATAATTTTAAGACTGTTGTACCCCCAAGAGCAGCGGCGGAGAAGAGGAAGAGGAGGAGAGAGTGCCCGAGTCAACGTGGGCACGGGCCTACCTTCCGCATGATTTCCCCCAGGACTGGGCTGGTGGGGACCAGCGTTGCCTGCAAAGGGCTGGACCCTGGAAGCAAACAGCTGATGTATTCTTTGCAAGGCCAGGAACTTGATCAGTTTCTCATCCAGCATGTTTATCTCAATCTCTGCTGACATAAAAGAAGAAGAGACGGTGCTGTTAAGGTGAGGTGCCTAAGGGAATCAATGAATTAAACCTTGCGGCATTGTCAGGAGCAAGATACCCTTTCTTATGGTGCTTTCCTGATAGGCCTAGGGCCACAGAGACACAATACAAGAAGACCTAGCATTTACCATGGGTCCAGCTGGGTCACGATCCTGCCTTCCAGGCCTGGGGGTGGGGGCAAGAGGCAGGCAGGCGATCTAAATGTTAGGATATAGTTCCATTCCACCTCAAAAGGGTACAGGCATGACGTTTGTGTATCACATGCCTGTTTACTCCCAGCACTGTCTGCTGGGAACTTCCGCTGTATGTTGCTTTTGCTATACTGCTGTTTTGCTGGAGACGAAGGGATGCAGACATGCTTTCCTTTGTTCCTGAACTATGCTGAATAAATGCTTACATCTGCCTCTGTCCGCCTCATCTGCTGTGTGGAGATTTACACACACTGCTGACAGAGGGTGCACGGGTCTGTAAGCGTATCTGAGGCTTGTGTCGCTAACTGACTGATGCTGTTCCATGGGAGACCGGTGATCGTCTGGAGCCAGCTGGGGGCCTGCCTGATGCCCTCGTCTCCCCAGCAGTATCCCAACACTAAATGCACCTCTGGCATCACCAAGCGGGTGCAGATGCCTTCATCAAGAGGGTGGCAAGGGGGGGGCACAGCAGCTTGGTCAGAGAGAATCGAAAGGGCCACTCAGGAAGAAGAAGAGTTTGGATTTGATATCCCACTTTATCACTACCCGGAGGAGTCTCAAAGCGGCTAACATTCTCCTTTCCCTTCCTCCCCCACAACAAACACTCTGTGAGGTGAGTGGGGCTGAGAGACTTCAGAGAAGTGTGACTGGCCCAAGGTCACCCAGCAGCTGCATGTGGAGGAGCAGGGAAGTGAACCCGGTTCACCAGATTACGAGTCGACCGCTCTTAACCACTACACCACACTGGCAGGAGGATCACTGCTGAGTTAGGAGGCCCCCTGGGGACATCTGCGGATGTCGTCACCCCAAGACCAACAAGAGGAGCTCCCTGCCTGCTTGCCTCCCCCCTTCCTGGCACAGCAAGATGCCTTTGTGCAAGGACTCACCTCCGCTGCTGTCCATTAATGCTTTCAGGGAACTTGCGAGGTCCAGCGTGGCTGAAGAGTTGGGAGGGAGCAACGAGGGGGTGGTTAAGATACTTCCTATGGATAAGGTGCTCGGGCTGACCTTGCCGTCTAGAGGGAGGAGCAAAAAGAACTGCTGGGTCAGGATTCACAGGCACCCCCCAAACATACCTATATATACATTTATTTATATCGTGCAGAGTCAAAACACATTGGCTTCAATGGTGGGTGGGATTTGTCAGAAAGCTGATGGAAGTTTTGCTTTTAGTCTCTTATTTTAGCTTTCTGGAAGTTTTAAATTATTGTTATTAAATTTTCTTATAATTTCAGCTTTTTATATTTCTGCAAACTGCAGTGAAGGTTTTCGGTTTTTAACCACCAGGCAGTGTATAAATTTTATGAATAAAAATAAATGAAAGTGGCGGCGTCCCCCAGGACTCAGTCATTCCCGCTGCCCCTTTTAAGGCAGGGCTCCCAGAGACCCCCGGCTGCCCTGAAGCCCCCACACTCTCACCTGGAGGCGGTGCTGGTGAGCAAAAGCCATGAGCAGCTCCGATGGCAGAGACCCCGTCACCCACCGCTGCCGCTTGGGGAGGGGTGAGCGCCCGGGTGGCAGTGAGAGGTGAGTCCATCGCCCCCAGGTCCGAGGCCAGCAGAGGCCCAACCTGCATCTGCACGTTCTTCCTCTGCAGTGTGCTGGCAGCTTCCAGGCTGGCGCAAGAGTTCGGGATGGAGGCCGGCATGCCTGCTGTTGGCACGGAGCCCCTGTGTGTGCATGAGATTGGCCCCACCGCGTTCTCTGTCTTCACGACAGCCCCCGCCACCATGTGATTGAGGAGCCCGCAGGCTACCGGTGGGGTGGCAGGCCGGGGCCACGGCTGCTGCCGCTGGGACAACCCCGGGAGGGTGCTGCTGCTCTGGCCACCAAGCCTTGGGGAGTCAGTCAAGTTGGCAGAAGCAGAGTCACCGTATAAATGCGGCCCGTTGATTTTCACCTCCGTGGGGGCGTTGGGGCCGTTGGACGTCGCGCTGCAGGGAGACACTTTCTTGGGCCTGTCCGTACACGAGGCGTAGTGGGCGTCCTCCTGCAGGGAAGACCCCAAGGAGTTCTGAGGGGCAATGCCAGGTGGGCAGGGTGCAGAATAGAGGGGAGGGAGGCTGGCTTTGTCCGCCACCTGGTAAGGGCTGGCCAGGGAACCGTCAGCTACGATCACCGGCTTGACGTCCACCTTGTCCGCCTGCTCAGAGTCCCAGAGCGAGGGCATCTGCTTGGCAGATAAGTGTCTCAATATGCTGCATTGCAGAGCGACGACGCTGCACAGCCACTGGAAGGAGAAAGGAATACGGAGTGAGACACTTAGGAGAGGAAGTCTGCAACAAGCGCAACGCGAGATCCTGAAAAAGGACACCTGAATGGCCCTGCTGATATGGCTAGTGGCCCAACCTAGTCCAACCTGATGCCCCAAAGGGAAACCCACAGGCAGGACCCAAGCATGAGAACAGCACTGTCCCTTCCGGCAACTTCCAGCATCCGCTATTCAGAAGCACTGTTGCCTCCGACTCTCTGGAGGCAAAGCAGAGCCATCGTGGCTAGTAGCAATTGATAGCCTTCTTCTCCATAAGAACATCAGAATGGCCCTGCCAGGTCAAGCCAATGGCCCCTCTGAGTCAAGACCCTGTTCTCACAGCGGCTGGCAAGATGCCTGTAGCAAACGCACAAGCCTAAGGTCTAAGGCAGGCAAGGAAGATGAGCCAACGACCTCATGGGGAATCCTGGAACTGTCCTGCGTATTCCAAGCAGGCTGCTCGCATCCAGCAAAGTCCCCTCAGGCTTCTCTGTCTACTGGAAGGATGTCCAACCCACAGCTCCAGAGGGAAACAAAAGACCTTTGCCACGGGAAAAAGACTGAATCCGCAAGAGATCTGCACAGCATGGATGCGAGACGAGTTTCCCAAAGAGGTTATCTGCCCTGCTTCCAACCCAGATGCCAGCTTGGAGACATCTAAACAGGCAAGAGAGAATGCCTAACAGACCACCACAAGGTGCCTGATGGAGAGGTGCTCAGGGCTGCTCTCAGCAGAGCCAGGGCCAAGCGCAGCCAGCTGAGAGTCTGCTGGCCTCAGAAGGCAGCATCCCTCTATTTCGAAGCTGGGGGGGGGCGGGACCCTCCTTTGGCAGGAGTGCAGCCCCTCCTGGAGAGAGGCCTCCGCCCCGGGCCTTTACCTCTTGCTGCTCTGACTGGGTGGCTAAGTGCTCCGGGCTGCAAAGGTGCTTCAGCGAGGGCTCCTCAGGGACCCCGTTGCAGATGAGCTCCCCATCTCTGATCGCGGCAGGGGCCAGCAGCGAGGGCGGGATCCGATACTGGGACTTGATGGCATCAGGAACCTGAGGGAGGGCATCGGAGAGAGAGGAGGGGCAGTTAAATCTTCCCAGCCTTGCCTCTCGGTCAAGCCCGCTTAAAGAGCAAGCCGAGGCCTGCAAGCTTCAAGAGGAAAAGCCGCCTCTGCGCAGGCAAGGCTGCCACCTCCTGGTGGACTCACACAAGGCAGCTTCACCAAGGAAAGAGCCTGGCGCCTGGAAGTCCGGAGGAGGCTCAGAGGCCAGCCCAGCCTCCCCTCAAGCCCTCTGCCTCTCATTCAGAGAGACAAACACAACCCCTTCCCCACTGACCTTCAGCCCCTTCCTCTTCATGGACTGCACCACGCGGCGGTTGGGGGGGTGCTTCTTGTGGACCCGGTTGAGGAAGTCCACCTTGACCACGTGCTGGGAGATGGTGTCCTGGAAGCGGTCAAACACTCGGCACCGGTTGCTCAGGGTCATGTTCTTCTGGTTCAGCTGGAAGAGAGGGCGGGGGGCGCTCATTACAATGCCCCCAGGTCACAGCAGCAGCAGCAGCAGCAGCAGCAACATGGGAGCAAAGCAGGAGGGGAGAGGCTCTGCAGGCCCCGGAGGGGAAGGCCAACTTACCACCACGTGCTCAATGTGGTTTGGACACATCCAGCGGCCCAGGGGCATGGCCGTGAGAGGGGGCTCCAGGCAGTCCATGTGGAAAAGCAGTGGGCAGTAGTCGCACTGGATGAGTGGGGCCACGCGGCAACTCCTGGAAGGGGGAGGGGAAAGCACCATCACTACACAGAGGAGCGAAGAGAAAGGGAAGTGGCGGACGGCAACTTCCATCTGCCCCAACATCATGGCTGTGCTGGCTGGGGCTGATGGGGGATTGTAGTCTAAAACCCCATCACAGCTCCAGGTGAGGGAAGGCAGGTCTACTCTGACTGGGGTCAGCAGGTCCCCAGGGTCTTGGGCAGGAAGAGGTTATCTCCCGTTGCCCTTTAAACTGAAGATGAATGGGGAGGGGGACTGAGCCTGGGGTCTTCTGCATGCAAAGCAGGTGCCTGGCCCCCTGAGAAGCACTTCCCCTGAAGGAGGATGTGCCCAAGATCCAAACCCATGACCTCCAAACGCCTTAAGTGGGAATCCTGCCACACCCTGCCCGCAGCTGGGGAAAGGGTCGGCGTTCCATGTGAGGCCCTGGGCATAGCCGGGCCAAGAGAGAGTGCAAGAAGTCCCACATGCCTCCCACGGTGCTGCCTAAGTGGAGACACGGCCTGCTCTGACTCCCATCTTGGCCAAGAAAGCTGGCACAGAATGCCATTACAGCCCCCTGCCCAGCCCTGCTCGACACACCCATACCTGCTGCACGTGAAGCAGACTTTGACTGGCAGGGGGACCAACCCATTGTGGTCCAGCTCATGCTGTGCTTTTTTGACGTTCTTCCCAGTCGTCTCCTCCTTTCTCCTCCTCTTACTAGTACCTGGGTGGGTGGGAGGCGGGAAGACAAATGGAAACGGCCCTGTTATTCCTCAAACGGCTAAGCCAGTGGTTTCTAAACCTTTGTTGCATCCCTGCCCCCTTGGTTCCATAAACTGATTCCCATTGCCCCACGCTACCCTACTAAAAATAATGACTCAGAACAGCCACTCAGCTAAGGAAGATTAACAAGTGACTGCACTTTTATTCAAAGTCCAAGCAAAACTATTTGGTTTAATTAATTCAAAAAAACCTGATGAACTTGATCCAGTGATACTAGCTTTTCAACATCTCATTTACACCTCCATCAACCCCCTGCGGCCTGCTTGCCTCCTAAAGTCCCAATGCGCAAAACCCACCGCCTCTGGGAAAGACCTGCCCACTTTGGGAACCGCTGAGCCAAACTCCCAGTCATGGAAGGACATGAGAGTCTTGATAGGAAGAAGCCCTGCCCAAAGGGCTGATGGGCCCCAACCTGTGCTGGGCTACCCATGCAACCAGGCATGGAGTCGCAAGGAGTTTGCAATGGCAATGCCCACAAGCTAAGCCAAGCAGCCCAGGCTGGTCCAGCCTCTTCTGGAGTCTCTGGGTCCAGCTTCTCCCTTCTACTGGTGCCTGTGAAGAAGGGGTGGGGTCTGCTGCTCACCTGGAAGTGCGGTGGTGCAGGTCAGCTCGTTGGGCAGCTGGAACTGGGTGGGGTTCCTCTCCATGGCGGCGGCGATTAGCAGCTCAAAGGGCCGCTTCAGATGGGGCTGCCCGCCGTCTGCCTCTGCTGCGGTGGCAGAGTCATCGTCCACGTCAATGATGTCCTCATCCACGTCGTTCTGCTCCGAGTTGGGGGTCTCGGTGCTGGCGCTGGAGGTGGGCGTGCCGGGCCGGCTGGCCCTCCGCTCTAGGAGCCGGGTGTGGGAGAGGGTCCGGAGGACGCCGCCGCTCGCCCGGTCCAAGAAGTCCGCTGCGTCGCTGGTGGGGGACGTGGTCCTCTTCCCGGACTTCTCCACCAAGCCATTGACGTGGCCCAGCTCCTTCTTCTGCTCCCGCTTCTGCAAGGCACAAAGCAGGCAGGCAGTCTTAACTCAGCAGCCCCAGAGCAGCCGGAGGAAGGGGAAGCATCACCTTCACTGGACAGTCCCAAGCAGCGGTCAGTGGCCAAACAACGCCCCCCCCCGGACTCTCTTATCTGGTCCCTGCAACTTGCTTGGGGCCACACCCCAATCGCCTGCCTGGAGATGTGTCACTGAACTCTGATCATGCCTCTTGCTTGGATGGAGGACAGAGAGGGGTACTGTACAAAGGTAGAATTTATATTTAATCTTCCGCTTGCTTTTGCCCTTGGTCCTGCCCAGGACTGGAATCTGGTGCTGGGAAGGTTGTCTGGAAGGGAAGGGGACCCCTCAGGCTGAATAATGACATGTCTTTTATTGGCTTACAAAGTTGGGCCTACTCAGACTCGGGTCCACTGAAATTAACAGATGTGACTAACTTGGGCCTATTCTTCTCAGTGGGTCTCTCAGGAGCAGAACTTAGCTGAACGCAACCCATTATTTCTGCTTGTGTCGAACTGATTGGGGTGCCGTGTGGGGAGAAGCCTTGCAGGAATAAAACTACTTTGACTGCTTGAGATTTATTTTAATGGCTGCATTTATATGCCACTTTTCCCTCCAAGGAGCTCAAGGCAACGCACCCAGTTCTCCTCCTCATTTAACCCCCACAACAACCCTGTGAGATAGTCACTGACTCTCAGCCTAACCTGACTTCCAAGGCCACCTTGCTCCCTTGTCCTGACAAAAGGATTCAAGTCATTTAAAGGGGAAAGGGGTCCGTGCTATTCCTGCCTCAGCAGAATTCCCTGGAGTGGCATGGCCCTGCCGTTTGGCGAGTTGCAAGCCTGGCCATTCTGAGCTGCCTGCTCGGCTCAGCAGCTGACCCAGTGGGCCAAGGAATGAAAGGACAGCAGGCAGGGGTGCTAGGTCAAAAGTACCCGCCTAAATACGGGGAAGCAATGGGTGGCTACCTAGGCCCTGAGGAACACACAGCAAAAGATCAAGCCTAAGAACCATAGGTCCTATCAGGTCAGGCTCTTTGCCCATCTAGCCTGGCGTGGTCTCCTTTGACTGGCAGCAGCTCTCCTGGGCCTCCGGCAGAGGTCAGCAGCTGCTACTTTGGGGGTGGCGATTATGGGGCTGCCCAGATGTTGCAGCCCCCAGCTTCCTCCATCGCCAGCCATCATGGCCAATGCACAGGGAAGATGGGAGTTGGGAGTCCCACATTTGAAGGGCTGCGACAATCCCTGCGTAACCTGATGCTTTTAATGGGAGATGCCAGCGCTTCTGCCATGGGCCCTTCTGTCATGCATAAGAACATAAGAAGAGCCCCCTGCTGGATCAGGCCCATGGTGAACGTAGTCCAGCATCGTGTTCTCGCAGTGGCCCTCTAGATGCCTGTGGGAAACCCGCAAGCAGGACTTGAGTGCAAGAGCACTCTCCTTTCCTGTGGTTTCCAGCAACTGGGATTCAGAAGCACTGCTGTCTCCAACTGTGAAGGCGAGCACAGCCATCATGGCTAGTAGCCATCGATAGCCCTCTCCGTCTTAAATCTGTGCAGTCCTCTTTTAAAGTCAACTAGGTTGGTGGCCATTACTGCTTCCTTTTACCACACTGGTTATTTTTTTCTTTTAAGAACAGAAGAAAGGCAGAAGCTGGAAATCCTACACTTGGGGAGGGTGGGAAATCGCTGGACACGTGAGAAGCCAGAAAATCCCTGGACTCTGAAATCTCTCTCTCTCTCTCTCACCCAGCCCTGCCAGCAGCTCTTTCCCTCTTCAAGCACACCCTGAAAGCTGGCAGCCCCAGGAGTCAATATTTGCATTCAGCTGGGCCGCCCTGTTAGCTGCAGGAAAGGGCAGGCATCTCTGATGACAAGTTGGAGCCTGGCCCAATAATCACCTCCCTAGCTTTGGCGGCGGGGGGGGGGGGAGCATAACTCATCACTGCTCCCCCCCCCCGCTGCTATGGAAACAACAGGAGGTCATTCCATTCTCTCCTCTCCCAAGCTAGCCGGAAGGAACTGGGGAGGCTTGGCAATGGGAGCAGCTGGCCTGAAAGAGGGAGAGGCCTGTGCCGTCACAGCCAGCTCCCCCCCTCCACCACCCCCTGCAAGCAAGCAAGCAAGCACACACACACACACACACACACACACAACCTGGAATTGGCTTAGCAAGGCAGGGAATGTGGCTCCACCAAATTAGCTTGTCACAGCTATGCCAGCGACTTGCACATTTGGCCATGTTCTGGAGAAGCAGGTAAAGAAAGGAATGGCTTTCTCATCACCCTCCCTGCCAGGCTCAAAGCATGAATTAATTTAATCTAGCTTTTCCCGAAGATTTGTGAAGCATTCCCCACAGCCCCGCTTGAGAAAGACAGGTGTTCATAATGCGTTGGGAATTATAAAAGCTATTTTTTGGTCTGTGGCAGCTGTATGTCCTCACACCCGCCCCTCCTGAGCAAATCTTTCCCCACAGCTGTTTGCAACCCTTTTGTTCTTTCCAGAGAAGGAAGAGGAGGAGAAGAGATTACATCCGAATGCCCAGAAGGTCCGTTCACTCATGGGCGGAGGCGTCTTTACCTTCCGGCGCACGGTGCAGCGATGGCACATCCACTCCCCGGGAGGCAACATCTCCTCGCTCAGCGGAGGATTACTGGGAGGAGAGAGGGAAGAAAAGGAGGCAGTTATATTTCCAAATGGCAAGAACATGCAAGCCACACCTTCCTTCCATTTAGGCCGGTGGTGGCTGAGAGCCTAGGGCCCTACAGATGTTGCTGGACTGCAGTGACTAGGAGCCAGCCATGGCCAAGGGCCAAGCATGAGGAAGGGAGTTGAGAGTCCAGCAGCACCTGCATGAAGGACACAGGTTCCTCAGCCACGTTTCTTTCACTTATTAATTAGTAAGAATTATATACTGCTTGCTTGTTAAGGAAAACAACACACCTCTAAGTGGTTTACAAAAATATGAAATTAAACATTAAGAGGCTTGATTATAAACAGGTATTTTAAAGTATTCGAAAGATAATTTGAAATCAACAGGAGTTAAAAAGAGATACATGCAGTTTCAACGTATCTGGGTAGGCTTTGCTAAGCAAAAATATTTTGAACAGGTACCAAATACAGTGAATGTCAATAGGCAGGGAGTTCCAAAGTATTGGCACTGCCACACTAAAATATTGGTGTGTTTTTTTTAAACCACAATAGTGCCAATTGTGCAGATGAAAGCAGCCAAGTGGGTATTTTGAGGTATGGCAATCCCACAAGCAAAGTGACCCCACCTTGAACTTGGTTTGGCAGCAAATGAGCAGCCAGTGCAGATCCCTGAGCAAAGGTGTTCTATATGCTGGCTGGGTCTCACTCCCATCAGCAATTGTGCTGCAGCATTCTGCACCAGCTGACCCACCACACTGGCCCCTTTCCCCAGTTACTGCTAGAGCAAAGGACATTTTGCTGTCCGTGACAGCCTTCAACACTTTGCCACCTAGCTGACCAATGCAAAAGTGCACCCCCAGGATGATGAAGGCAGTCAGACATTGACAAGTTGCACCAAGGATGCATTTTCAGCAGTGTGCTTGGAAAGGAAGGTCAGCCTTTGCAAATGCATCCGGGTGCTGCCTATGAGCAATGTGGAACCTCCTTCTTTGTGTGAGGCCTATTTGCACGTGCAGCACGAACACATACAGTAATGACAGGTTGTGATCGGGCCGCACATGGGTGGTCCCAGTGGTGCTGCCCTGCATTTGGGGGTGGGGAGTCATGCATGATGGGGGGTAGGGAGAGAGAGATGAAGAAGTTCAGGGCAGGAGGAGATACAACAGTAGAAAGCCAGAAGTGGAAGGGGACAAAGATAATAAGGAAAGACTTTCAAGTGGGCCTCACGTGGAGGCATCAAGGTGGTTCCTCTCTGCCTGAAAAATCTCAAAGTCACCTTGAGCCACAATGCAGGAGGCCCCTCCAGCAGCCCCTTGTTCCCTCTGTGCTTCAAGAGCTGCTCTATGAAGAGCTGGCAGCCACCTACCATCCTGACATACAACTAGGTTTCAAATACACCAAAAGAAGTGAATTTCGAATACCACGTTCTGAAATTCTCTGCCACCATAAGTGACTTTAGTTGGGGACTTTGCAAAAGACAGCTGTACTTGCCTTTCATTACCCAAAACAGGGAGCCTTGCAAACACTGCCACCACCTTAAAAGAAGAACAGAGCACACACCACAAACACACACCGCAACGCGTTCTACTGGTCACAACAGAATGCTCCTTCCAAGCCTAATTTTGGCAGGGTGAGACAACGCTGTGGGCACCAGAGAAGGCCCTTGTGGGCACAACTGTGCTCAAGGGCACCACGCTGGTGACTCCTGCTGTAACCACACATTGTTTCTGTTCTTGATCGTTGCAATTTGATCACAATAATGTTTGAGTACCCTACAAGTGCTCAGCGCCCTTTGACAACAGCTCTTGGCTCCCAATAAAAGGTTGCCACTCTGCCTCAACACAGGCAAAGGGAGATGCTAGGCAGGGACCTTGGCTTACCCCAAGACAAAGAAAGAAAGAAAGAAAGAAAGAAAGAAGCCACCAGGTTTGTTGCAACAGTGAAAGGCGAAGGAGCAGCTGAGCTTCCTGAGTCCCCAACTTCAAAGATCACCACAGCCACAGATCGTAATGCTGGCCTCCTTTACAGGGCTGCTGTTCTAAACCGACAGAGCTCAAGTGAAACTCTCTGAAATGCAATGAAGTGCTCTGTAAATGCTGAGAATTAGGGCTGCTCCATTTGTTATTGGCCGGAAATATCTACATCCAGGCTTTCCATCTCTAAGGAGGCACATGCAGCCGGCTCTCATTTCATTATCTTCCTTTTGAACCCTTTCCTACCAGGGAAACCTATCCAACAAACTACAGTTCCAGGCTGAGGCCAGGCCTTCCCTCATTTGAGCCACATGCCCAAGTCCTTTCTCCACCAGTGGCTGTATCTTTTCCCTCTGCAATGGATCCATGCGGCAGAAAGAGCAGGGTGGGATGGTGTGTTTTACTCCTGGTGGGCACACCACCTAGGCTGGGCTAGTATTTGTGGTTCTGCTGCCAGTTGCAAAGGAAAGTGAGAGACGGGACTGAGAGAACACTGAGCAGGAAGAAGTCAAGCCGGGTCTGTGGAGCGTTTGCCTTCTGCACCAAGGCTGTACCGGAAAGCTTTATAGTCTTAAAAACTCACAGATATGCTTCTCTGGAAACTGGTCTATGGATACAGAGACACCTACGACAGGAACCTGGACCCAGCGTACCTCCTGCCTACACCAGATCTCCCAGAAACTTCCTGCTTAGAAATCAAGACACATGAACGAGGCAGGCAGCCATTTTGAGAGCACAGCTCAGGAATCAGGGAGGCGGCAAGTGGACTCTAGAGTGTGTGATTGAGGCAGTCTCAAGAGCACAGTGGAAAATCCACACATCAAACCATTTCTTGAAAGAAAGAAAAAACCAAAACCCACACACCACAGCCGGAGGGCTGGAAGCAGTCACAGATGGCCATGCCTGGCTACCTAACCTCCCATGTTCGAGTTTCAAGCAAAGATGCAACAAAACCCCTCACCCCAAACCACAATAAGCCTGGTAGAGAAGGCGCTGGGAACATACTAGGAGAGAGTGAGCTGCTTTTAAAAAATAAGTTTCAAAAGACAGCTGTAGTAGTTCCAGTGAGCAGCTGCCCCCTGAGGCTTGAAGGGCTTGCCCGTTTATCTGTGGGCCTCAGGCAGATTTGGGTGGTTGGGAGGGGGCAGCGAGTCATGATCAGAGACTGAAGGTTGCCAGCAGCGCTGAAGTTGTTCCATCCACCCGCTTGGAGGTATGACATTGACATTCCAGAGCACGGGGGAATAAAATGCAGCCAGGTAAGAACAGGATCCAGCTTGCAGGAATTAGGGAAAACATCATGCGCCAACACACCTGACCTCCGCAGTTACAGACCCCCCCATGCACATAATAAAAAGGGGCCTGCTGGGAGAGAGCAGCCAACGCAGTCCCACAAACTCAGCACCTCCGGCATTCGGTCCACGAAGGCGGTCCAGCTGCAGGGTTACCAGCAGAAAATCTTCCCATACTCCCAAGGACCAGCGGTCAGGCACCATCACCCCACAAAGACCCATACGGAGGAGATTTTCAAGATGTCTGCATAGGTGAACTTTATTATAGCAAGCACCTGAGCTACCCCAACATCTCTGCTGTTTGGGGATGGGAGAATGGGAAACGGCTCAACGGTTCTGTTTCAAGATTTAGGACGCTGTGGTGCATTTTGCAGGCCTGCCACCAATAACACCAGGGGAGAAGTGGAAAGGCTCATTCAGACCTCTCATTTCTAAGCCAGGCTACAGCACAAGAGGCCTCAGGGGCATTCCTGGCTCTGTGAGCGAGTAGCAAACTCAGCTTCTTGCAACTGAGACCCACTGAGAAACACGCAGATATTGGCAAAGTTTCCGTTCTGCAAAACAGCTGTGTGGCACCCGAACCTCTCTTTGCAGCTGCTCCTCAGAGCCTTCTGGGGGTGAAAACACCTGCAGGCAATCTAAACTGGCCACAATCGATCCCTACCGCGAAGCAGCCACCATCAAAACACAGCCACTCCGCCAGTTTCGCTGGCAGACATTTTTCCAAGCTGCAGCTCCCTGCTGCTGGCTGTGACCAGAGAAATGGAGCATGCACATCTTTTTCCGAGAGGCAGATTAATGATCAGGAAACGGCTCCCTTCCCTCCACACAGTGGTGCTCTTTGTCAGGATCCTGCTGGCACAGGGGGGTGGGGAGCCAAGGGAGGAGGAAGCAGCGGTTGTGAGACCTACTGCCTCTCCAGTTTGGTCCCTGAAAAATCCACCTGCCCTTTTAAGAACAACGCCACAATTATGGTGTGCTGAAGTCAGGGCTTGCAAAAGCTTCAAAATGGTCCCTGGAGCAAACACAAAAAATAAACAAGAAAGGGGGACACCACTGGAAATCAAATGCAGCTGATAAGACGTTCTTGCAAGGAGGCCAAGCAGTTCAGTCTTCTCAAAGTTCAGCTCTTCAGGAAGGCCTCCATGCAGAAAAAAACAAACACCTTATCCCTCTGTCTCATCTCAGGGGAATCCCAGTGCTGGTAATTAGCAGCAGCTTGACTTAACCTGGCCTGCCTGCACACCTTTGCCCCTCTGGCCTAACTGGCTGAGGCGTTCCTGAAAGCTAGCAAGGGTGGCTGTGTTTCACCTGCTCTGATATGGCCATCCTCCAAAGGCTAAATATAGGCTGCAAACCGACACTTTGGGGGGGATGAAAGGCAATATTTAAATGAAATGCAATATGCCATTGCTGTCTGTGCGGATTGAAAAACCACAAACCTTTCAGAAGCATGCTGAAAGCAAGAAGGCCGGTACATCAGATACCTTCCCACAACAAACCACTACCTAACAACCAAGCAGGCTATCAGCTACCCTGAGTTTCATGCTGCCAGTACCCTGGCATTTACTAACAGTGTGCCTCAATCTTTCTCTCTCGCCTCTGGCCTGCTTTCAAGTAAGGCACAGAATTCCCCAGGGCGATCCAACCAAGCTGGGTGGTTCTTCATTCTGCTAGGCCGCCTTTTTTACTTCTTCGTTCTGCTAGGCTGCCTTTTTTACTTCCCAGGAAGCAAGCCTTTCCTCTTCCCGGCTGGACACAAAAGAGTTCCTGAAAGAGCTGCCCAATACTAAGCGCCTGCTTTGCAACCAGACCACAGCAGGATGCCACCTGCCAGGCAATCCAGGAAGTACTGCTGTGGTTTTGTAGGGAGGGGACTGCACCCTTCTGCTCCCAGGCTTCACACACATACCCCTACCCCAGCAATTTCCAGTTCACTCTCAACAAGTGGGAAAAGGGCAGTACAGGATACCTGACTTCCAATCTGCAGCTGGAAGATTTGCATTCTTTTTTTTTAATGGCATGATTAACGTGTGATGAATGCTTCCTGGGAAGTCCAATGTTTCCTCTTCCGGCACCTCCTTTGGCAAGCTTTTTACCAACAAGAACTATTTGCACAGCACTACACCTCCTTTGGCAAACTTTTTGGCAACAAGAACTACAGCACAGCACAGACATTATCATACATCCTGCCCCAAACATCCACCCACATTTGCTCCAAGCCCCACAAACCATAGGTTCCAAGCAGGCCGTCCCATTCTGCCCTCGGATCTGCGACAGGCCCGTTTGCCACAGAGGACTCAGCCCATGGGCAGCACAGGGGATCTTCAGCAGGAAGCAAAAGTGGCTGTGCTGCGCTGGCCGTGCCAAGTTACCAAGTCAAGAGCACAGATTCCAGAGCCTCTACTCAAGAGAGATGCACACAGCCAAGCCAAGAGCTCAACGTGGCAAGACTCTGCTGCGCAAGGGAGGCTTCCACCCTGGGATCCAGCATCCTGTCCCAGAACAAAAAAGTGTTGTTATATGCTCTGAATTAATTGAACCTTTTGCCAAGCCCAGTTTGGCCTTTGTGGTCGGGGAGCCTGCCAAGACTGATGCCTCAGTTTGTGTCCTTTTTTGCCATCGTTAAATTCTCACAAAAATCTTCTTGGGGGCTATTGCTCGTCTCTTCCCTGAAGGCTTCCATTATTCTGCAATGGGTGGGTTATAACAGAGGACCACGGGGTAAATGGAGCAGTCTGCATTCTGAATGGTGCCCAGCACAGCCATGATGCTCACCAGCCCAGCTCCTGTGGGCTAAGGGACTCTATTAAACTTGGAGAAGTGCCATAGCTCAGCAGCAGAGCATTTGCTTTGTGTGCAGAAGCAGTGTTCGAAACTCTCATTGTTCTAGGCGCATTTTGTGACAGGGAATTCCATTAGTGCGAGCAGTTCCTGAGCTCTGGGTGCAGTACTGCGCCTAAGATTTCAGATTAAAACTGCAGAGTCGAAGGATTTTCTGCCTCCCCACTTCCAGCTACTCTCTGAAGACTGGAGATGAGACCCTCATAAGAATATTAGGGGTGGGCAGACAGGGTAAGGACTAGACCATGTGAAAAATGAACATAATATTTTATGATCTGGTATCTGAAGAAGTGTGCATGCACACGAAAGCTCATACCAATAACAAACCTAGTTGGTCTCTAAGGTGCTACGGGAATTTTTTAATTTTGTTTCGACTATGGCAGACCAACACGGCTACCTACCTGTGACTAGAACTATGGAAGGCACCACATTGAGACGCATGAAGTGGAAGTCCACCAGTTATCTGAAGAAGTGTAACTGGAAGGAATTTTTTAAAATAATATTTTAGCTGCAGCTCATTCAGTTTCAGCTTTGTATTCTTGTTATAAAAAGTGCTCCTAGGCATTCCGTTGCTGTGCCCATAGGTTTAAGGTGCCATTTAGCGCCTAGCTTTCATATCTCTGTTTCAATCCCCGACAGTTCTCCAGGTAGTGCTGGTGAAAGTTCCCGTGCTTTAAACCCTGGAGAGATGCTCCCAGACTGAAGACAATTCTGAGCTAGATGGGCCGTGGGTCTGATTCAGTGTAAGGCAGATTCTTAGGTTCCCAACACCTAATGAGACAGACAACTCACCTAACACAATATGGGATTCCCTGCACAGAAGCAGCTCTTTGGGGGCTTCCACGCTGAGGTCAGCAGAGATCCTTTAACTGTGGGTACTGGGAGCTGAGCCTATACCAATGATGGAGAACCTGTGGCTCTTCCAGGGGCTACTGGCCTCCATCTCCCAGTAGCCAGCATGGCCAATGGCCAGGAATGATTGTGGAGTTGTAGTCCAGTAACATGTGTGGGCAGGGGCCCACAGGCCCTCCACCTCGGCTCAGTAGGCAGATCATGTGCTTTACCACTGAACGCCAGCCGCGCCTCAGAGACTGTTCCCTGACATGTGCCTGTACGTGCTTTGGACTAATTTTGGGGGGAGCTTGTGAGGAAAAGGGGGCTCTTGAGAGCTGCAAGAGGACATCCGACGAAGCACCAGGCACGGTGGACTCCTGCCCCCGCCCCCCAAAGAAGGCGGCCGAGGGTAAAGAAAACCCGGTTCAAGTTACAGTGAGCCTGGATTCTTAATTGCAACCACTCGCTTCCAGAGGCCCAAGATGCATGCCGGCGCCAACAGACCGACCTGGGTGCTTATCCGATTGCCCAGCCTCAGACAGGGCCCTTTTGTGCTAAGTTCCGCTTCTATACAAGGCTTCTGAAGTTACACATTTTGCTTTTAGCTGCAGTTAAATGATGCAGCTCTCAGTCCGTTTGATTCCTTTTACCCACAGCCCGTAAACAAGAGTCAAAACCCACCCTTACTTATTATTTTTAAACCAGAGTTTATGACTTCTGGAAGCTACAGAATCCTTGGTCTTTCACCTGCCTTGGACTGATTTAATCAGTTAGTCCTCCAAGGGCTTCAAGTATGATAGGATCCCCTCCAACCCTGAAGCGAGATGGGAACAGAACCCACAAAATGAAGTCTCCCAACACATGCGAGTAAACAAGGGCAGCTTTCAAACATGGCTCTTCTCCTTTCCCACAGCAAACTTCACAAGAAGGGAGCTTGCTTTTGTAACACTCACGTAGAATAACTTCACTCAGTTTGCCCACGAAAGCATTTCGTTTTTGCACACACAGTTTGCAATCAATAAATGGCCCACACATCTCTTGATCAATGACCAGCCTGAATATGTCAACTTGCTTCACTGAAAACCACCACGGGAAGGAAAAACGGAAGTCGCCACTCAATAGTCACGGCGATGGCCATCACCAACCAAGTCTGTTCATGACCAAGTAAATTTCCAGGCTTGATTACTGTAGCACACTCTTTACCTGGGCTGCCCTTGAAGAGTCTGCAAATATTCAGCTGCTGCAAAATGCAGGTACCAGATACTGGCTGTGATTGGATGCTCAGGAGCATATGACTCTAGAAATGATGTGAGATACACTGGTTGTTGCTTTGTTACCAGACTCAATTCAAAGTGCTGCTCCTTGCTTATAAAGACCTAAATGGCTTGGGGCCTAGCTGCTGGAAAAACACTCTGTCCTGCAACACAGCCCTCACATTTAACAAAGAGGGGCTGCTCTAGGTGCCCTCGTCTGCTGATTTCTGGCATGAATTTACGAGGAGCAGGGTTTTTTCAGAGGTGACACCAGCTCCGTGGAATGCCCCCCCCCCAAAGGGAGGCTCGCCTAGCTCCAATACTATATTGCCTTCAGGTGTCAGGTGTGAAACCTGGCATTTTCCAATACGTTTTGAGATTGGCAGAGATTGTGATTGATATTACAGTAATTTCTTTCTGTGTTGCCGAGTACTGCTTCTTCTTTTCTGATTATTTATTTTGTTTTATATGGCTTCTGGCTGTGTTTGTTAATTGATGTGCAGAGTTCATTTATGAAGAAAGGGTGGAGTATTCTTTTTATAACTTACATTGATATAACAGAGTTAAAGCTGCATTTGAAACAGATACTTGATGAAACTCTGTCTCTAAGGTGATATAACAGCAGACGTTACTGTGAACCCAGAAGGTTATCCTTGTTCAAAACTGTTCCCTTTAACGCTGTGTGTGTATAACTAATAGCTGGCTCTTTGCAGGAATGATTCTGCATGAAGGCTTGATCACTATAGGAGAATATGCAACATCACTGATAGGAATGATATAGAGACTGTGAAACCATGAAATCAATGTGCATTTCCTGCCACCCTTAACTCCTATGCACAACTTCTCCTTTCCAAAGGCTCCCCTATTACCATCACCAGTAGCCAATTACAAAAGCCTTCCCAGATCTTTCTACTTCCTCCAGCCTTTGCCCCCTTTGTTTCTCTATGGGCCCTCCAGCCAGGCTTGCCCTTTTCCTGGGATTCTAACAGCTCACTCAGCGCCTGCCAAGGAATCTGACTGGCTTGGCCAGGGACCCTCCTGCCTGCCACAACAAGCTGTGACATTAGGCAGCCCAGCCAACCGCTTCCAGCTTCAAAGACACAAAACCCCCTCACTGCACCCGCCATATATATTACTGGTGTTAACAAAGAGGAAAACTGAAGATGCAAAGCTTCTACCTACCACAGCTCCATTCAGTCCAGAACTGTCTATTCTGACGGGCTCCCGCTCTCCAGGGTCTCTGGCAGAGAACCTTCCCAACACCTGCTGTCACAATCCAGGAGCCGAATATTTGCTCCACAACCAAGCATACAGCCCCTCCTAGCAAGCCGAAAACCATAAGGAGTCATTAGATGACAGCCGCTGATGTTAAAGGAATCTGCACATTGAAGAGCCTCAAGCAGGCGCCAGAAAACCATTTGGGAAATGCTTTTCCCTATACACACCTGGAGCAGTGCCCTGTGTGTCACACTACACATTTGAAACACTGAGAGGAGGAGGTGGAGGAGGAGGAGGAGGAGGAGGAGAGTGGCAATAAAATATTCAGGCAAGTCTGCTGGATCAGGCCAATGCATCCTATGCTCACAAACAGTTGCCAACCAGATGCCCCAATGGGAAGCCCACAAGCACAACTGGAGCACAACAACACTTGCCTTTCCTGCTGTTTCCAGCAACTGGTATTCAGAACCATTGCTGCCTCCAACCAAGGTGGCAGAGCAGAGCCACTGTGAGCCATCATAGCCCTCTCCTCCATGCATTTCTCTAATCTTCTTTGGTATTAGGTAGGGCTGGGAAATCTTCTGATTTCCCACTGCCAGCCACTGCAGACTAGGGGTGGGAAACCTTTCTGGCCTGATAGGCCAGATCCTTATCTTCCCCTGCAGGGCAACCCACCTATCAATCACCTGACATCATAATGGCACCAGGTGACTGACACTTCTCAAAGTCCCCTGGGCAGGACTTCCCAAATGCCTGATAACCAGATGATATGATGTCAGGTGTAGGGCAAGCAACTGTGGCTTGCCTGAAATGGCTTGATGGGCCAAGTGCAGAGGCCTGGCGAGCAGGATTAGGCCTGTGGGATGGAGGCTCCCCACCCCTGGTGTAGACAATGATGAGCTAGATGGACCAATGGCTCAGCATAAGGCAGCTTTCTATGTTCCTAGGGCCAAATGACAGGTTAAAAAAACAAAAACAAATCAGAATCATAAAGTATTAATAAACCTGTCAACGCTGCTTCTATGTGACGACAGGAAGAAGCGAAGACCTTCTTCCAGGTTTGTATAAAGAATGGAATGGTGACAGGCAGAGTGAACAGTAAAGACAGAGGCAATGAACTCACATGAAGGCAATGAACACCCAAAGGCTACCCTAGGGAGGCAAGGAGAATGCCCAGTCCGTTTGAGGCAAGGAAATAAGTTATGCTATTTCAAACCACTGCAGATGGCACAAAAAAAATAAGCGCACGCTAGACTCTGCAGTTGCTTTGCTAGGTCTTCATTTTAAGAGAAGCTCACTCTAGCTCTTTAAAAACGACAGCCCTATATTGAGGCGCTGAGTCAAAAAAGCAGACAGAGGAGGCTGATCCTGTGCCCTCAAAGCAGTAACCTGAGAAGCTAGCATACAGTCCCCAGAAAGGAGACAGAATCACAGAAATAATTTGGAATGGAGACACATTTAAGTTGGTGGGGGAAGAACCTGGGCATGACCATTTAAATTATCTTACACTATATTCACTTTCACCATAGGCCTTGCATTGCTATAGCGATCCTTACTTGTGAGCCAAACAGGAAGCTATAAATGGGATTTGACCCAGATGGATAGCATGGTTCACTAAATTCGGAGGAGGCTTTTACATCCTGGAGAAAAGCCAGTTCACCTGCCCCGCATTCTGCAACTGCCACTGATTTATTTGTTTGCTAGTTACCTGTTTTACACAGAAAACCACCTTCCCTTCACTGACATTCTTGTAATTCCTCAGTGAAATCACAGTCGGTGGTCATGAGGGGGACGTGGCCTTTGGTGAGCTGAGCTCCACCGCAAGATTATAAATTCACTTGGGAGCACAGGGAGGGAAAGGAGGGGTGTGTGTGTGTGTGTGTGTGTGTGTGTGAGAGAGAGAGAGAGAGAGAGAGAGAGAGATGATTTAAGTGGGGAAAAGGAGACTAGATGTGTATAAGCAAAGGTTTGAGTGGGAGGAACAAAATAAAGTTCCAGATAAACAGCTCCTACTAGGTATTTTTAAAATATGCTACTTGTACCTCCAGATGCAGTTCACCTGAGAGGGCCACAAAAGCATGCATGTACTGCACTGTTTACTAGACCCCACTAGCTATTTGCAAGCAGGCTGGCCCAGGCATGCACAAAAAGCTTAAGATTAAACAGCAGCAGCAGAATGCTCTCAATATATAAGAGAGTATTTTAACCAGCTTGAGCTAAGAGTGGAGTGAATGTAAGGAGAAAACAGATGAGGTGGAGATGTGGGAAAGTCTTTGGTTCAAATTTCCAAGAACTACAAAACAAACTGGGTTCCCTCTCTTTTTCATCCTGGTCTACCTCACACGGTTATTGTGAAGATAAAAAAGGTAAAACATTCAGTGCACTAAGCAGCACAATGCAAACTCCTGACATTTTTGCATAGAAAGTTTGGAGTACCTAACACAAGCAGAACACAGTCTGAGCCGAAGGGAGAACTATCAGTGCCAGAGCTCATTCCCAACTGTAACCCTTCTGGTACAAATTAAGCCACAGAGGACAAGCCAGACCCCACAGCCCATCTGCGTGAAATCACAATGGGAGACCAGCTCAACTCCAGGTGGAAAGAGCAAAGAATGACAGACAGCCCCCATCTCTCTCCCATGGGCACTCCTAATGCTTAGAGCTGCCTTTGACAACCTGGTGCCCTCCAGATGTTTTGGACTACAGCTTCCATCAGCCACAGCCATCCTGGCCATGCCAGAAGGCACCAGCTTGGCAAAGGTTGTGTTCAAATGCCATATATGTTGCATAAGGGGCAAGACAGACTCTGAGACAAAACAAAACACTCATGCCCTCATTTTCCAGATGGTGCAACTACCCCTCCCTTGCATCAAGAGTCCACAAGTTTGCTCACCCTGGTCTCTTTCTTCTTTTTCTGGAAATCAGCCACAGACTTCCTCCTGGGCTTGGAGCTGGAAAGGGGAATTACCCCGTCCTCCCAGGCTGCATAAACACTCCAAACCCCTCCCAGCCTCACCATGATGTCCACTTCCCCCTTCAATTTATTTATTTTCGAAGGAGTGGGTGAGGGTAGAATCAAAATGACCTCAAATTTTGGCTAGTTAGAGCGAACATACTTTCCCCAAACCCATTACTGCACTTCTCTCTCTCTGCTGCCCCTTCCAAATTTGGGTAAGGTTCTGAAGTCCAGCTGCCTACTGCTCTTTGCTACAAGAGGACACCCAAAAGGAACTGTGGGATTCAAAGGCAATGGCTCAGTTATTTCCAGTGCTTTAAATGGAAAGATGTCTGCTTGAACTTGAAAGCAAGGAAGTGCAACAAAAACAACTAATCCATTTGCATCTGAGCATGGAGGGAAATAGGCTCAACACCCACGAATGCAGGAAGTTTAATAGTTTAATGCCACAGAAAGGAGTATCGAAGTAAAACATATACCAGACAAACTGCAAAAAATCCAGTGCATATGGAAGTGCATAAAATCCGGGGGCGGGGGGGGGGGAATAAACAGAAGCAAATGATAAAGATGGCTGCACCCACCCCCAATTCAGTGTAAGAGCCACACACTTTCAGCAGTGGAAGCTCGCAGCAGTCTTTAACCATTCCTAGTGAAGTGACCATGATGGAGACAGACATGGATGCAAAGCCTCAAGCATCTTGCTTGCCAGGAGGCAAAATGGCTGATGCACACGCAAAAGTACAAGGCAAACTAGTCTCGGTTCACCAACAGGAAGGCCGCCTGTGCTCTGTTGACGGGGTGTGTGTGTGTGTGTGTGTATTCCAATGAGGAATCAAAAGAATCCACACCACTGCTATTAATTGTAGAGCTGTCTTCCTCAGAGTAGCCTATCAGCAGCATAAACAGGAGAATTTGTCCTAAGATGCCTTTCTCCCTTCCCTCCCAGTTGAAGGGTGGGACAGGCTGCCATACCAGGGCAACATACTCACACACTCCCCCAGAAACCTCCAGTCTGGATAGGGGCATGGCTTCCCCCTTGTTTAGGAGCTCAGTAACTTTTGCCACATTTGCTTATGAACCTCACAAACAGCTTTCTCCCCCTCCTTGATCATTAAGTCAAGATTGTGTATATAGACACAACAGCCCCACAATACAGAACCATCCAATTAATTCAGTTCCAGCAGTGAACCATTAAAACAAATGAAGAAAGCAAAACGCAGCAAGAGTTAAGGATTCCCCTTTGCCAGCCTCTGCGTTTCCCCAAGCGCCTTCAAGGTTTTGCCAACAAGTGAGATCCTGAAGCACACGGAAGAGTCCTTTTATGGACACCCACTTCCCTTTCCTTATGCAAGAGAGAGAGAGAGAATAAAAATAAAGGTTAGCTTGCCTATGGCAAGCTCCCCAGGGCCTGAACATCCTAGCCCAGAAGTTAACAGCTAACCAAACAGACCACAAACACACCGTCTTTCCCTGGGCCTGAATTACCAAGGGCTCAGGCCTAGCAGCCACTGAAAAGACGGAGGGGCTCCCCAGGGCTGGAACAATGGGCTCGGAAACCTGCAAAGCAGCTCTCCCCACAAGCATCCCAACAATTTGGCAAATCAACAAAAGATGCGGAAGGAGGGAGGGAAGGAGCAGTCCGATCGTGAGGGGCCCCGTGCCTGTTTCCTCGGGAGGAAGCTTGCACGGAACTGCAGCAGGCACGGAGCCCTGCCCTCTCCAGGGTGGCCTTGGTAGCCTGCCCCCCTCCTCTCTCTGCTGCAAGGCAGCGATCACCCAAAAGGCCGGGTGGGAGCCAGGCGGAGAGAGCGAGCGAGCGAGCGATCGGCCGGGGGACGGCCGGGAAAAGGGGGCTCGGGCCCCGATCGCAGCATGCAAAGGGGGCGGGGCGGGGGACGGACGGCGGCGGCACCCGAGGAGACCAGATGGGCAAAATGGCGCTGGGAATAAAATGCAACAATTTCAGGCAGGTCGCCATGTTGTCAGGAGCAAAGCGGGGCCCGGCTGGGAGAAAAAGCAAGCCGCGAGCGAGCGAGTCAGCGAGGGCGGAGCGCCGGAGCGCGTCGCCTGTGGCCGGCGGGGAGGGAAAAAAACACTACCGCCCAGCAACAACAACAGGAGCCGATCGGGCCCGACGAGTTTCCGCCCGCGCAAAACACACAGAGAGAAACGGCCAGCAGCGCCGCACGAGAGATTATAACGGGACTTTTCCGCGGGGGCGGGGAGAAAGCGGAGCGCGGAGGACGCGGCAAGCCGGAGCGACTCCGAATTGGCGCAGAGGAGGAGAAAAGGAGGAGACTCCGAAATCGTCAAGAAACAGCAGGGCATGGATACTACGGGAGGTGGAGGGAAGGGAGATTTGGAATGACTCCGGATCGGGAAAGAAAAGTAAGCGGGGTTTGCAGGGAAGATGGCATGCACACGAATGGATGGAAGGAAGGGGCAAGGGAGAAGGGATGCATCATGCGAAGGCGGGGATGGGTGGAAGGAGGACCCGGAGTGACTCCAAATCGGAGGCGGGATGGGGGGGGTGCGCGTTTCTCTCTCCTCCTCCCTGTCTCTCACCAGCACTGGAGGTGGAAGGCGGCGGGGCAGTGGTCGCAGCAGAGCAGGTCGCCGCCTTCCTTGCAGCTGTCGCAGCTGTCGTGGTTGGTGGCGCGGCCGCTCCGGCGCTGCTGCTGGGCCGAGTGATGATGCTGGTGCGCCGGGTGGTGCTGCCGGTCTCCGCCGTGCGCGGGGTGGTGGTGGTGCTGCTGGTGGTGCGCCGGGTGGTGGTGATGGTGCGGCGACGCGTGGTGCTGCTGGTGGTGATGATGCGCCGGGTGGTGGTGGTGCTGGTGGTGGTCCCCGCTGCGGTCCGGCCGGCGGCTCCGCTTCTCGCTGCCTCCCGCGCCGGCGCCGTCGTCGCTCCGGGGAGGCGCCAGCAGCGCCTGGATTTGCTGCCATGTCGGGGAAAGAGGAAGAAAGGGGTGAGCGGGATGGAGACCGGAGGAAGGGGAGCAAGAGGAGGGAGTCGGGGGCCCTCCCGCCGCCGCCGCCGCGCGCCCTCGCCCTCCCGCTCCGCTCACCTCCATCAGCCCCCCGGACGTGTCCAGGTCGTAGACCACCGTCTTGGCCTCCATCCTCTCCCACATCCAACAGCGGCGCCGCGCAGGGCCGGCGGCGGCCCCGGCGGAGGGCGGGCGGGAACCGGAGCGGGGGAAGGGAGCGCCGCCGCCGCCGCCCCTGGCGCTGCTCCTCCGGCTCCTCCCGGTGGCTGACAGGCCGCCCTTCGTCCCCTCCGTCGTCGCCGCCGCCGCGTCCTGCTCCTGGCGCCGGGTCTCCGGTATTGCCGCCGCCGCCGCCGCGAGGGAGGCTGCTGCCCTGCTGGGCTTCGTCCCGCGGCCTCCTACCCGACGGGCCTGGCCGCTGCCGCCTCCGCCGCCCGCGCTGCTGCCCGGAGCGGCCCCGGGAAGGCTGAGGGGACGGCTGCCATGACAGGGGGCGGGGCCCGCGCTGCTCCCGCCGCCGCCGTTGCCTCCTGGGGCTGTTCCTCTTGCTCCTCGCCGCCGGCTCCTGAGGGAAAAGGCGAGCGGGATCTGACGGGCGCCGCCGCCGCCGCCTCCTCACTCGCAGGGCCCCGCCGCCGTAGTCGCCGCTGCCGCCGTAGCCACAGCGCTCGTCGCGCAGGCGCACAGCGCCCTCCCCGACGCCCCGGGAGCATGCGCGCGGAGGAGGGTGCTGTCTGCGCAGACGCAGGGAATGGTGGTTGGGGGGGGTGAACGACACTTTGGATGCCCTTATTTATTTATTTATCCCCCCTCTTTTCAGGCGTTCGACAGCCCGTCCTTTGCGCACGCGCAGTTTTCTCCTTCTTTTCTCGCACATGCGCAGTTCTCGCTCCCTTTTTTTTACGTATAGGCAATCGGTTCTCCATTTCTAAACACGCACTGTCCCCGCTCCCTTTAGTACGCATGCGTAGTCTTCGCTCCATAACCCCCCCGTGCGCATGTGCAACCTTATTCCGTGTTTCCTTTTTGTACGCATGCCTAGTGCTAAATACGTTTGCTTTCAACGCATGCGCAATCCGGTTCTTGTGTTGCCCTTTCTACGCATGCGTACTCAGTCGTGGGTGGCTTTTGCACTCTGCTTTCTGCGCATGCTCAATAACCGCTTTCTTCCCTCTGTTTACAGTGTTGAACTTCACGAAATCAAATGAAGCAACATTTTTCTAACAGTTATGAAACAGATTGTACACAGCGGTTTCTAGAAAAGGAATACAGCAGTCGTTCTTTTCTACGCAGCCGCAGTTCCGCCTCTCTTTTTTTCTCCCCCCCCCCCCCGCCTTTTGCTTCGACGCAGCGGCGGTCAAGCTCAGACGACCGCTCTCGCGCATGCGCACAGCATGGACTGCCTGACTGGAGCGACCGCCGCCACTTCTAGCGCGTGCGCGCAAAGGGCCGAAAGCGGCGGGCTGAGATTGCGCGTGCGCGTTGGAAGGGGAGCTCTGCAAGTGGGCGGGGTCCTGCCTCCTTTGCCAAGCGGCAGGTACAGCGAGGCTCAGTTCTTTTGTCCGCAGCCCGGATTCGCGGTTCTTTTTGAAGCTTTGTTTAAGCCCTCTCGCGGGAGTTGCAAAAGATCCTCACTAAGAGACAATAGAAAGTTATGGCTTGATTGACCCGGGAATCCTAGTATAGCTGGTAGGCATGTAGGAGGCCTTTCCCGGTAGTGATGTATGGAAGTGAGAGCTGGACCATAAAGAAGGCTGATCACTTGATGCTTTTGAATTCTGGTGCTGGAGGAGACTCTTGAGAGTCCCATGGACTGCAAGAAGATCAAACCTCTCCATTCTGGAGGAAATCAGCCCTGAGTGCTCACTGGAAGGACAGATTCTGAAGCTGAGGCTCCAAGACTTTGGCCACCTCCTGAGAAGAGAAGACTCCCTGGAAAAGACCCTGATGTTGGGAAAGATGGAGGGCACAAGGAGAAGGGGACGACAGAGGACGAGATGGTTGGACAGTGTTCTCGAAGCTACCAACATGAGTTTGACCAAACTGCGAGAGGCAGTGGAAGACAGGAGTGCCTGGCGTGCTCTGGTCCAGGGGGTCACGAAGAGATGGACATGACTAAATGACTCCTCAACAACAACAACATGTGGGAGGCCACCCCAAGTGGCATACACGTGGTTCTCTGCCTCTCCTCATTTAATCCCCACAACAACCCTGCGAGGTCGCCTAGAGACCCAAGGTCACCCAGTGAGTTTCATGGATGAGTAGGGATTTGAACCCAGGCCCTAGTCCTCCTCCAGCACACAAATTCCCCCAACCCCATGCATGGGCTCCCCAGCCCCCTCTCGCCTGGCCCTGCTCCTTGGCCACCTGCCAAGCACACATGGGCGAAGGATAAGAACATCAGGAGCTGCCCCTTAGCCCATCCAGCTCAGTAGTGCTGGCACAGACTGGCAGCAGAACCTCCCCAGGGTGCCAGACAAGGGCCTTTCCTACACCTGGAGATGCCCCTGGAAATTGAACTTGAGACCTTCTGCCTGCAAAGGAGATGCTCTGCCCCTGAGCTACGGCCCTTCATCTAAAAACAAAGTGAAGATTCTAGTCCTCATGTTTTTGAATCAAGGGCCAGTCACTGCCTCTCAGCTTAACCTACCTCACAGGGTTGTCGTGGGGACTGATTGGAGAGGGAGAGAACTCTGTACGCCAGCAGGACTTCCGGGGTGGCGCCTCCGGAAAATGGCGGAATTCCCTTCGGACTGAAGGGAACCCGCTGCACGGAGGCTTGGGTCCTGCCGCTACGGCGCAGCGGGGACCCGCAAAAACCACAGGCGGAAGAAGCCTGTGGACGTGGGACTCGGCGGGCACCGAGAGCGCTCTCTCCCCTTGTACAGGAGCCCGGTAACGGCTGTGAGTCGTCTGCTTCCTCCGTGCAGCAAAGCCGCACTGCCGTTATCGGAGAGCGCTGCCTTTTTCCTGGACAATTTGGCATCTAAAATATCTATCCGTGAGTACCTGATCTTGGAAGAGTTGAACCACTTTTAAGACTGGTGAATAAACAAATAATATTGGACTTGAAATTGAACTTAATTGGGACTCGGAATGGGAAGGTCTAAACAGGAAGTCGCCTTCCGTTCTTTTGTTATGTGAAGAAAGCAAAGACAAAATATACTAAAGCTTGAAAATTAAATTCTAAGAGAACTAGAATTCAACATCTAAGATTTCTGAACCCCCTTTGACTGCAGGAGAAGAAGGGGGTTGTATTTGGACTTTTCAATCCTGCGGAAGTGAGTTTAAAATAAAGCAATTTTCCACCGCCCTGAACCAGGAGCGGGCTGTCAGAATTGACGTTCTGAAGTTTATCCAGCTCGACAGTTAGTTAAAAGAAGGGTAACATTTTGATTCTACTGTTGCCTCTTGAATTTGGAAGGGGAATTTTGGATAAAGTGTTTCTGGAAAAAGAAAGATTGTTGCTGTTGCTTTTATTCCTATAAAAAAAAAAAAACTCCATCTAGTGGAATTTAGTGAAAGGCCACCGCAGAGAGATTAAAAGAGAAGGACTATTGGACTATTCTCGTGGGAAAGAATTTTCTTTGACCTTGAAGGACAATGCTAGTACAAAGGCTTGAACAATTGTTCCTGGAAGGTTTTTCAAAACTAAGTGCCCAGCTGGACCAGATGCGTCAGGAGACGACCTTGATGATGGAAGTTACCAGAGCACAGCAGCAAATAAATGAAATTCAGTTAAAGGCTATACAAGCATATGAACCTGCTGTAGTGACGGAGGCTTCAGAGATGGAGGGACCTTTGGACGGGCAAGATCAGCCTTTGAACTTGATAAATGAACTTAGGACAAACCAGATTCGGAAAGATGAAATGTGGTCAGATTTGGAAATGGGGGATGGATCGACCCCCTCCATATGGTTATTTGGACCTTCCGAGTCTGGTGATGGGCTATCAGAGGATTGGAGTAGCCGAAGTCTCCAAGCTTTGTGGAAATTTGAAGTGGTATTATTTGCTGTCTGGCTTGGGCAATGGGTTTGGGATGGACTTGCTGCAAAGGGTCAAAAGCATTTTCTTGCTGGAGCATCCACGACTGGAAAGGAATCATCAACAAGAGTGGCGAAAGGGGCAAGAAAGAGACTTGAGGGCCTCGGATACGAGACAACCAGGTTAAGGAGCCGGATTATCGAGGTTAAAAGGACTGACAATCCCGGGTCCAGGGGAGGGGAGGTTGGAAGCTGACTGGACTGAATTTGACTTATTATTTTTTCTTTTTTAATTTTTAATATTGGGAATGCTTACAAATGTTTGAAGGATGTTGAATGAAATTACATGGCTTAAGTAAGGATTGGTAAATGATTCGTACAAAGGTAATGATGCAAGAATTTGGTAAATATTGAATATAAGCTATGAGTTTTAAAGTTTTTATATGACAAGAGGGAAAATAGAATAAGGAAACGTAATGACAGATTGTTATGAAAAAACAGAAAGGATTTGCTGTAAAAATTAAAAATTAAGAAACAAAAGAGGGGAGGAGGAGGAAGTCTAGAAAGGAAGTCAATAGAGATTGTAAAGGACTTTATATTTTTGTTTTCTGTTTCTCTTTTTTTTTTCTTTGCGGCTGGGTTTTCTTTTCTTTTTTGTTTATGTACTATTTTTGTTTTTTGTATCCTTAAATTTTTTTTGGGGAAATTTTTGTTGTTATTTTTTGAAAATTCAATAAATATCAATTATAAAAAAAAAAAAGAACTCTGTACGCCAGCTTGAGCTCCTCGGAGAAGAAAAGGGGGATATAAATGCCGTAGATCTTACACGGCAGTGTTCAGAACTGCAAAGGGTCGCTTCCGGATAGTTACACATTCTCTCACACCCCTTTCTATGATTATACAACCTTCCTATATTATAGAATAATCTCATAGTGGTACAATGTTCTCATAATCATACAATAGTAATAATTAGGGCTGCAGTGCACCAGTCAGTGCAGATCTGATCTTTATTTTGGCGGTTGAATAGGAGGCAATCAACTGAATGGCACCTTTTATTATTGTGATTATTGTTATTCTCGTTTTTTCCTTAATTTGTTCGCATAAGCAAAATGGCTTTTACACAAGCCTTTTTTTACACCAGGGTAAGTAAACACACTGGTGGGCAATGGTGCTTATTGTAATGAGGCTGTTTGAAAGATGATGGGTTGTTCTTGTTTTGATTTTTATGATGTATTTTGTGTTTTTATATTGTGATTTTATGCTGCGAACTGCCGGGAGACCTGCGGGTATAGGGCGGTATACAAATTTAATAAAGAATAACAATAAAAATAATAATCTGTTGTGTGTTGCCTTTCAGCTAGATCTGTCCTTCTCTGCGCACCTAAGTTGTGTTTTCCTTGAAGTTCCAGTGCATGTACACCCCGTTCTCTTGAACCCAAAGCACTTGTGTTTTCCGTGTTCCTAAATGCTTAGGTTTGGCGCATGTGAGAGCCCGCTTGGCTTAGTGGCTTGGGTGTCGGACCAGGGCCAGGGAAAAAGGCCAGGGTTCAAATCTGCCACTCGGCCATGAGTCTCTCACCTTGGGCCAGTCACTGCCTCTGCCAGCCTCACCTACCTCACAAGGTTATTGTGGGCCTAGAACCGGGTGTGCCACATTGGGCTGCTTGGAGGGAAAATGTGGGGTAGCAATGCAATGCAATGAGTAAATAAATAAATAGCACAGAACTCCTCCCCTCCTCCTTTTTCCTGCATGCCTTCTCCAGAGTGACCCTAGGAGCCTATCCTCACCTTTCACACAGATGGGCTCCGATCAGCACACAAAGGGCAAGAAGACTTCATTTTACTGTACTGGCTAAAAAGCCCCCCTTTCACACCAACTGGGCAGCTCCAGGATGCTGGAGACAACAACCCTGCTGCAGAAAGAGTCGTGGGTCTCCGAAATATAACCCCAAACCATTGCACCTCTGATCCTGTACCATTTACCTATTTTAGCATTTCGAAACTGAAAACTACTTTGGGGTGCCTTGGCAGAAAGGCCGTGTATAGGCACGCTAAAGAAATAAACAGCAAGGAGGATGAATAGCAGGACATGGGCTTCCCTCTTGGGGCAGGGGCTTCTGCAGGGGTCCAGCTCCCAGATTGCTCCTGCCAGTCAGTGTAGACAGTACTGAGCAAGATGGACCAATGGTCAGAGTCGGTAGAAAACAGCTCCCTATTTTCCTGCTTTAAGAATAATGAGGACTAGGATCCTTTTTTCCTAGGGGAAGGGGCGTAGCCTGGTGGCAGAACACCTGCTGTGCTTGCAAGGGGTCCCAGATTTCAATCCCCAGCAGTGCATCCAGGTGGGACAGTGATAATTCCCCCATCTGAAACACCCCCTCACAGAACTACAATTTCCAGAGTGGTTTGACAGCCAAGCCCTCTTCCCAGTTCGGGGTGGGGGCAGGTCTCCTTACAACTCTCAGCACTCTGAACAGACTACAGCTCCCAGAATTCTTTGGGGGAAGTGCTATCATAGTGCTTTGATTGTATTGTGTAGACATGGCTATAGATCCCACTGAAAAACACTTTGCTTTTATGGAAAGTACACTGCCTTGGCCCATATGCACCCACTTGGCTGCTTCGATCTACGGAACCCATTCCTCATCTGTTTACTCTCAATTTTGTGTGTGGAACTTTGGAACTCCCTGCCTATTGAAACCATGCAGGTTCCTTCACTGCACTTTTTTCAGCACTTGCTAAAAATATCTTTCCTTAGGCAGGTCTACCCAGAGGTTTGGGAAGCGGATGGGAGTTTTCACCTGTTTTTGGTCTGTTGTTTTAACTTTTCAAAAGTCTCAAATTGTTGCGTTTAATATTTCTTAGTGATAGCTTTGTTTTCTGTAAACTGTTTTTGTTTTGTTTTTGCAATTCAGTGGGGTATAGATTTTATGAAATAAATAGTAAACAAACAAACAAGCTGGGAATTATAAGATGAAGGTATTTTATCTGGAACCCTCTGCTTAATCTGCAACCAGCACTGACACCCCTCACCCCCAAGAAAGGATGTTCCAAGATACATCAGGGCTGCCCACCCCCAACAACTGCAGACAGCACATCTTATTTTTTCAGCACTGGGGTACATTTTAGCGGGTGGGGTGTGTGTGAACAGCAACACCTCTGTCCTCTCGTAATCTTCATTTACCCCAGTTGCAACACTTGAGATGGGCGGCTGCTGGCGCCAGGCCTGTAGGACGCAATTCAATCACAGCACACCAGATTCTTCCAAAACACCAGTTTTATTCATTAAACAATCCAAAAGGTCGGTTCTTTCCCCCCAGCCCCCCACCCCTGTTTCCCCTCCTCACCCCCAAAAAACAGGCTGAACAACTGAGAATTTTTACTCTATTTTACACTCTACAGGTAAAAATCTTCCCGCATGGCTAGGGCAAGGGCAGCGAGACAAGACCCCTCTTCCCCAAACAGATGCCTAGTCCACCCTCCCACCCCCAAGAGCCCAGCTGGAAAGGCCCCTTCTCATAGAGAAGGGGTCCAGACATACCTGGTTGGCTAAGCAGACGAGGGGAGGCGAGGAGGGGCTCTGGGAGGGGGCCTTTCCCCCGAAACCCACCACCTAGGCTTGCCTTGGAGGGTAGTCACTACAAACAGAAGCCAAGGGGCTGCCCCATATCCCAGAGATCTAACGCTGTCCCAGAATCCAAGGTTGACGTAACATTCCCCCTCCCAGCCAGTTTCCAGAAGAATTTTGAGCCAGCTTTGCAGAAAATGCATCAGGGATGTGGGGTGGAGACTGGCAGCTCCCTGCTATTGCTCCCCCCTCTCCCCAGGTAAGAGGTAGGAAGGGAAGGGCGAGCTGGCTGTGCAAACGGAAGGTGCATTAGCCACATTCAAAGCCTTTCTGCCCAGGTCATTTCCCTTTCCTCATCCTTCCCCGTCCCTCTTTCCTTTTATGCTGCATCCATATATGTTGCACATAGACTCAAAGAGTTGGGTGGGGTCCCAAGGATCATCTAGTTCAACCCCCTGCAATGTAGGTATCGCGGCTATCATTAAATTAAAAAAAAATTCTAATTAAATACATAAAAGCGCCATGCCAGCAGCAGAACTCGATGAGGACTGGTGCGTTGTGCTGTGAAATAAGTGTGAGTGTGTGTGTGCAATATCCAGGCTTCCCATGCAGAAGGGGGAAATAATTGGACTCTGGGCTTATGCGGTGCTCTGTTTGGTGGGGAAACGGAATGAGCACAAACACTCCTGCGGGAAGGAATACCGTGGCAGCCGAGGGATACTTTGTGCTGACCTGCTGGACTTGGCAAGGGGCTGGTAGCCTTCAAGAGCCATCTCTTCCTCCATGAATTCATCCAATCCTCTCTTAAAGCCATAAAGGTTGGTGGCCATCACTACTTCCAGTGGGAGGGAGTTCCACAGTTTAACCTTGTCCTGAACGTTCCAACGTATATAATGTGTAATGAAGCTTCTGTTCTGTTTGTTGTGATCGCATGTGATGCAGGTGTAAGGAAGAGTAGGAGTCAGGGCCTGCGGGACCCTGGGAGCGCTGATAGGGGCTTTTGATAGATGGGTGGGGCAACCCACCTGTCAATCACCTGTACCACAGGACTGACAGGTGGGCTCACTGCCTGTCAAAGTTCACCCGTTGGGACAGGTAAAGATCTGCCCCTTTGGGGGGGGGAAAGGGGGTATCTTTCTTCCGGATCAATGTGACACGGGAGGAGAACAGTTTCCCAGCCAGAGGGCAACCCTTCTTTTAAAACATCTGCACTGGTTGGCAGTTCATTTCTGGGCCCAATTCACAGTTATCACGTTGGTCAGCCCTAAATGACTCCTGCCCCAAGTGGCTGAAAGTCTGCCTCCTTAGCCTACAGACCCTCTTGGGTGCTGAGATCAGCGGAGGAGACCCTCTGGGTGGCTCCTTCGCCCTCAGAGGCTTGTGGGTGGTGGTGGCGGCTCAGGGCAAGAGGGCCTTCTCTGTGGTGGCCCCTCAGTCATGCAAGCAATTCCCTCCCCGCAGAAGTGCACCTGTAGCTGTCGGCAACTGCTGAAGACGCACCTCTTTACCCTAGCTTTTGACACCTGACGCCTATGTCTTTAGGACCCAGTTCTCCAAATTTCCACGGTAGCTTGCGGATTCCACTTTGAAAGTCCTCATGAAAATTCATCAGCATTTCAGCACAGCTGCCTCCTGGTAGCCACATTTGGATATACCGTTTTGCCTCACGCAAACAGCTCAACAAAGCATCCCGCCCCCCTCAACTCGATACAATGCCCATTTGCATGTTATATGCCCTGGCAGCTGGCATGCGGACTTTGCCCATGTGTGTATATTTCCATTTGCATTTCTTGCACCCATTGCTCATCTGATGGAACCGCCTTGCAAAATTCCGAGACGTTTCGAATTTTTGAAGGGCTGCTGTTGTTTTCGGTTCAAAAAGTGTGAATTGTGTAGGGGCATCCAGAGTCGAGTTTCACCCCCATCTGGAATAAACTGACTTTTTCCTTGTGTGGCCAGACACCTTTGTCACCTGCCTAGGCTCTGTTCCAGCCTTCTAGGGCTGGCCCCTCCTGGGTCACAATTGGCCCACCCTCCTCCCCAATGACCCATAACCCTCCCACAACCAGGCTTCTAAGGCAGGTCTGGGAAACCTTTGCTTCCCCTCCACAAAGTGCTGTCAAACTATAACTCCCTTTTGCCCCCAGCAAGCATGGCTGATGGCCAGGGATTAAGGGAGTTGTAGTTCAGTAACATATGGGAGACAAAGGTCCCCACACTTTCTGTAGGGCCTCCTTAGAGGGCAATGTGGGAGGCAGAGTCTATGCCCCACTTGTTCAATCTCCCCCTCTGCCCCCCAAAAGGGAAGACTCACAAGTGGGGTTGGTGGGTGTTAAACATCGCCCTCCCCTATTCATGTTACCTTCTCAATTATTTTTTTTAAAGTCCTTGTAAAAATCCTGTGTGATGTTTTGAACCTTGAGTTGCTGGTCCTACCATTTGGGGGCTTTTCATTTTTCACTTCTGCTCATCTCAGGGCCTGGGGCCCAAAGGGTGGGCTAGCACCAGGGGCAAGAGGTTGGACCTGCAGTTCCTGCAAGGAGGGGGCAGGAAAATGCCCGTTCAATGGTGCAAACACCAGTCTGTGGAGGTGGAAGTGAAGAGGAGGCAGGAGATGCATCTGGAGCCCAGGCTTAGAATTTTTGGCATCCGAACGAAGTGAGGGCTTCAATGGCCATGGAGCCACCTCCAGTAAACCATGGCTGTGGAGCCGCCTCCAGTAAACCATGGTATTGGAGCCGCGTCCAGTAAGCCATGGCTGTGGAGCCGTGTCCAGTAAACCATGGCTGTGGAGCCGTGTCCAGTAAACCATGGCTGTGGACCCACCTCCCGTAAACCATGGCTGTGGAGCCACTTCCAGTAAACCAAGGATGTGATACCATCTCCAGTAAACCGTGGCTGTGGAGCCCCCTCCAGTAAATTATGGTAGTGGAGCCACTTCCAGTAAACATGGCTGTGGAGCCCCCTCCAGTAAACCATGGTTGTAGCTAAGAATGAGGCAGGGAGGTTTGAGAACGTGGTGTTGAGAATGGGATGGCATCCAATGCAGGCTAGTTGGTGGCAGGATGTTTGGGGGTACAGCATGCTGCAGGGAGATTTTGTCCCTGTTCCAGCGCTAGGCTCTGAGGGTCGGGAAGCCTTGGAATCGGGGAAGGGGGAAGGACAGAGAGAGAAAGTACGCCGGCCGCCAGCTCACACAGGACCCTGATGTTCCTCTCCCTGGGGGTCCGTCTGTAGGGCAGGGCGGGAGGTATTTACAAGTCTTTCTGGGTGTGGGTCAGCCAGCCACGGAGTCAGTCAGTCGTCGAAGGGAGGGCGGGTCGTCGTGGGGCGGCCGCAGTGGTGGTTCGGGGAGCAGGGCCTGCCCCTCCGGCTCCTCCCTCGTGAGTGGCGCCTGCCCTAGATGGAGACTTCATACTCCCGGACCTCCTGGAGAGAAAAAAGCCTGCAAAGGGTTGGGCACTTGGATTGATGGGACCAAGCCAGGCGACCCACCCACCCTGCCCCACACCCTCCCCTCGACTGAGGCTTAAGGAAGTGGGGGGCAGAAAATCAGGCCAACACACTGTTCTCATAGTGGCCAACCAGGCGCCCCAATGGGAAGGCCAGCAAGCGGGATTTGAGCCCCAGAGCCATTTCTGCCTCCAGAGTACCGTATATCTCCTCCTCCTCCTCCATCAATTTGCCTATCCCTCTTCCGGAGCCACCCAAGTCGGTGGCGATCCCTGCAATCTTGTGGGAGGGAGTTCCGCAGGTTAACCCTGCCCCGCCTGAAGAAGGGATTCCAAATTTCTTCGCGCTCATAAAGGGGAGGGATTTGGCACTTACTCCGGTCTCGTAGGTGGGGTTGTCAAAGGCCGAGTCCACCGTGATGTGATCGTAGGGGTGGGAGCCCGAGAGGGGCAGCTGCAGCGACGGCTTCCCTTGGTGTCTGGGGTGGCAGGGAAAAAGAGGCGTTCATCATCATCATCATCATCATCATAGTTTATTATTTATACCCCACCCATCTGGCTGGGCTTCCTCAGCTACTCTGGACGGCTTCCAGCAAAATATTAAAATACAGTAATGCACCAAACATTAAAAGCTTCCCTAAACAGGGCTGCCTTCAGATGTCTTCTCAAAGTCTGGTAGTTGTTCTTCTCTTTGACATTTGGTGGGAGGGTGTTCCACAGGGCGGGCGCCACCACCGAGAAGGCCCTCTGCCTGGTTCCCTGTAACTTGGCTTCTTGCAGTGAGGGAACAGCCAGAAGGCCCTCGGCGCTGGACCTCAGTGTCCAGGTAGAACGATGGGGGTGGAGACACTCTTTCAGAACCAGGAAGCAACCCTCCCCCGTGATGCAGTGTGTCCACACAGCCAGGAGAGCTCACCTGGAGATGTACAGGTAGACAGCGCCGAGGAGGAGTCCCACAGCGGCCACCGGCAGGAAGATGGCAAAAGCCACGTTGCTGCCCTGCAGGGGGTCTGCAGCGGGGGCCACTTTGGCCACGGCTGGGGAGGGAAAGAGAGGGAGGCGGTCAGTGAGAGGGAATGGGGGCCAGCCGAGACTCTGTTCCCAGAGGGGGAAGGGAGCGTTGGTAGGTAGGGCCCTGTTGGGACAGGTAAGGCAAAGAACCCAATGGTAGGCTGAACCAGAGGTAATAATAATAATAATAATAATAATTTATTTATACCCCACCCATCTGACTGGGTCTCCCCAGCCACTCAGGGCGGCTTCCAACCAAATATCAAAAACAATACAGCGTCAGACATTAAAAACTTCCCTAAACAGGGCCACCTTCAGGTGTCTTTTAAAAGTGAAATAGTTGTTTATTGCCTTGACATCTGCTGGGAGGGCGTTCCACAGGGCGGGCGCCACCACCGAGAAGGCCCTCTGCCTGGTTCCCTGTAACCTCACTTCTCGCAGTGAGGGAACCGCCAGAAGGCCCTGGGCACTGGACCTCAGTGTCTGGGCTGGATGATGGGGGTGTTTCAGGTATACAGGACCGAGGCCGTTTAGGGCTTTAAAGGTCAGCACCAACACTTTGAATGGTGCTTGGAAACGTACTGGGAGCCAATGAAGATCTTTCAGGACCGGTGTTATGTGGTCTCGGCTGCCACTCCCAGTCACCAGTCTAGCTGCCGCATTCTGGATTAGTTGCAGTTTCCGAGTCACCTTCAAAGGTAGCCCCACATAGAGCGCATTGCAGTAGTCCAAGCAGGAGATAACTAGAGCATGCACCACTCTGGCAAGACAGTCTGCGGGCAGGGAGAGTCTCATCCTACGTACCAGATGGAGCAGGTAAACAGCTGCCCTGGACACAGAATTAACCTGCACCTCCATGGACAGTTGTGAGCCCAAAATGACTCCCAGGCTGCGCACCTGGTCCTAGTTTTGTCCCCACCTTCCTCCTGTTCCTGGCTTAGTTCTACAAGAGGTAACACTGAGACTGCAGAGGAGAATCGGGAAGCTGTCAGCCCCAGAGACTGGCAGGCAGCAAGAAGCCAGTTAGGTGGGAGCTGCCATGGGGCGGATATAGGATTGATTAATTCATTTCTTTCTTTGCATTTTTCTTCTGTGTTCATACCGCAACAGGTTAGGCTGAGACAGTGACTGGCCCAGGGTCAACCCCAGTGAACTTCACGGAAGAGTTGGGGGATTTAAAGCTCGCTGTGGGTTAAACCACAGAGCCTAGGGCTTGCCGATCAGAAGGTAGGCAGTTTGAATCCCCGCAATGGGGTGAGCTCCCGTTGCTCGGTCCCTGCTCCTGCCAACCTAGCAGTTCGAAAGCACGTCAAAGTGCAAGTAGATAAATAGGTACCGCTCCAGCGGGAAGGTAAACGGCGTTTCCGTGCGCTGCTCTGGTTCACCAGAAGTGGCTTAGTCCTGCTGGCCAGATGACCCGGAAGCTGTACGCCGGCTCCCTCGGCCAGTAAAGCGAGATGAGCGCTGCAACCCCAGAGTCGGCCACAACTGGACCTAATGGTCAGGGGTCCCTTTACCTTTACCTTTACTCCCCCATGTCCTCCTTTGACACTCCACTGCCTCTTGGTGGGTTTTGCTCGAAGGGGCCATCCTCTGCTGGCAAAGGAGCTACGTAGGACCTGGGTGTAGGGGAAGGGGCGCAGGGGGCCAGCAAAGAGGTCTGTGGGTCGCTAAGAATACGGCCCTTGCTCTGGGGTGCAACAGTCTCCCTCCTTTCCCTTTGCAAAAAGAAGGCGACTCACCGTCCAGGTTGCGATTGGTATAAAACTCATCGTAGGAGGCTGCAGAAGGAAGGCGGAGAGAGGGAGAGGGTAAAGGGTAGAGTTAGGGTGCCAGAACTGACTGCTGGACTACTGCAGGGGAGGGCAGCCCCAGCGACCCCCCCCCTGCTCAGCTGTGCCACCCAGAGGGACTCACCCGCTTTGCAGAGTGGAGGGGAGCCGCTCCATTGGGAAGGGTGGCCGGGCACGCAGCGGAGGGTGGCGTCGCCCAGGAGCACATAACCCTTGGCACAGGAGAAGCGCAGGCTCGCCCCGGCCTGGTAGAGCCTTTTCTCGGGGTTCTGTGCCCCGTGGTCGGGGCTGCCTGGGTTGTGGCAGGGCTCGTAGACCTCCGCTGAAAAGTGCAAAACTCCTGTTTATTTCTTACCGTTTATATCTCACCTCCACGCCAGAAGAGCTCAAAGCAGCTCTTTCCTTTCCCTTCCCTCTCCTGGCCTTCCTGATTTTATCTTCCCAGCAGCCTTGCAAGGTAGGCCAAGCTGACAGATGAGCTTTTGTGTGGCTGAGCAGGGATTCAAACCCTGGTGAGGGGAGAGACTCCATCAGGCAAGGCCTCCTTCCCATAGCTGTCAACTTACAGATTTGAAAATAAGGGACCAGCAGCCTCGAAAATAAGGCATCAGCAGCCAAAATAAAGGATTTTCAGAGCACAGGTATGTTCAACTTCTGAGCCCCTCCGAGCCAAAGGCAGAAAGCCCAGCCAGCAGCCAAATGAAGCCTCAAGCAGTGGTTCCCACAGCGCAGCAACCCGGCAAAGGGGATGCAGCAAGGAAAACCACTGTCACCTCTCCGCTGGGAAGCGCTGAGCAAAGGCGAGTCCCCAGGCAACGCAGCCGATTTGATTGGCACAAGGCATGCAAGCTCCACCCCCCAGTCGTTCTTAGACTCCTTACTGGGTGAGCAACGCAGCCAAGCAACACAGTTGGAGCCTCCCTCCTCCCTGGCCGGCAGGGAGGGAGGGAGAGGAGCTGCTTCCTTTGAAACCCGGGAAATTTAAGGGACATCATCAATAAGGGACAGCAGCGGGACACGGCGCTGGGATAAGGGACTTTTCTGCCAAATAAGGGACGGTTGACAGCTATGCTCCTTCCACCTGCCTTGCCTCACCTTGTAGTCTCTGCTTCTCAAATTGTATTGTATTATTTTATGTACTGTGGCTTGCCATTGTTTTACTGATTATAGTTTAGAAATTATTTATTGTAACTGTTGAGTGGATTTCTGTTTAACTTTTATATGTTATTATTATTTAATAATATTATAATGATTGTTGAATGTTACTTTTTGATGTAGGTTGCCTGTTTTAAAGTTATGTTTTATTATCACATTTTTGTATTGCATTAGATTGTTATAAGGTGCACATTTTTTGTTTCTTCAGCTTGTAAACCGCCTTGAGGATTGTAAGATAGAAAGACGGTATACAAATTAAAAATGATGATGATGGTCTCCCAGGTCCTAGTGTGACGTGAAACTATTACACCACATAACTGTAGCATTGGAAGGGAGCCAAAGGGTCATCTAGTCCAACCCGCTACAATGCAGGAATTGCAGCTGAAGAACTGAACCACCACTGGCTTTTGGTGTGGGGACTTAGGACTTTGTACTGAGCTCTAGATGTTTTGAATTGGGGGAAAAAACGAATCTTCAAAGCTGGTTGCAAGGCGCCTATCCCCCTAGAAGCCAGATTAAAATGACAGAAATTTGCATATTATTATTTGCATAAAGTAGCACGCCGGTCTATTCTCTTCCTTCCTTTCATTACGCAGGAGAGAGAGAGAAAAGGAAAGCGGAAATGGCACAGCGGAGGGAGATAACACATACCCCAGGTGCAGCGTTGACGCAAAATTATTCACAAAATTATATCCGGCGCTAGATACTCGAGGCTGCATTGTGGGTGAGCCTGTCTTTGCAACTAGATTAAAATGCACCCAGTGATATCTTCTGCACAGCAGAGGAAAGTTTCGTTAACAACAGCTGGTCCCAAATCTTAACGAGCCCTTGGGCCGCATCCGCACCGTGTCTTTAGAGCACTGTGATGCCTCTTTAAACAACTATGGCTTCTTCCCCCAGAGCATCCTGGGAATGGTAGTTTTTTCAGGGTGCTGAGAGTTGTTAGGAGGCCCCTATTCCTCTCGCAGAACTACGGTTCCCAGAGTTCCTTGTGAGCAGGGATTGGTTGTTTAGTCACTCGGGGAGGAGAATAGGGGTAACAACTCTCAGCACCTTTAGTTCCCAGGATTCTTTGGGAGAAGCCATGACTCATTTTGCCTAAGCCATTGAAATGAAGGGAGGTGGTCTGCTGCTAGCCCAGAGATGGAAGGAATAATGGCAAACCAAGTTGACGGGCTGTGCCGAAATGGCAAAATTAACTGGGAAGCTCAGGAATCAAAAGGACAACAAGAACTTTAAAAAAGAAGGGGGAAAGTTTACAATCTCTTTACGAGAACGTTGTAGGCAGGCTAGAACATTAGCAGGCTGTTTTAACCACACTTGTAAACTAATGGAAAGTGTGGATAATTTGGAAGGATAAAACTTAGATAGTATTGATATGCCGCTGTAAAGATTATCATTAGGACCCATGGAAGGGATGGGGAGAAGTCAGGAGATTCAGAGTAATCTTGAAATTTGGATTTTGTATTTTTTGTTGTTGTATGTTTACATATTTTTTTTTAAATGAATAAAATTTTAGAGAGAGAGAGAAATTAATGGAGATGGCTGTTCTTGGCAGCTGTCTGTCCCGAGAGACAATGGAGTGTACCTCCAGGGTCTTTTAAGAGCCTATGAACATAAGAAGATCCTATTGGATCAGGCAAAAGAGGGTCCATTTAGTCCAGCATCCTGGTCTCAAAGGGCCCAACCAGATGTCTCTTCTGGTAAACCCACAAGCAGGATTCGAACGCAAGAGCAACTCTCCCCTCCTGTGGTTTCCAGAAATGGGGATTCAGAAGCAGAGACATCCTGACTAGTAGCCATCAATAGCCCTCGCTCCCTCCACGAATTTGTCCAATCCTCACTTAAACCCATCTCATTGGTGGCTATTGCTGTCTCCTGTGGCAGGGAGTTCCACAGTTTGCACTTAGAATCATAGAATTGTAGAGTTGGAAGGGGCCGTGAAGGTCCTCTAGTCCAGCCTCCTGCAATGCAGGAATCTTTCACCCCATGTGGTGAAATTAATGGACCTTAAGTGAGTGATGCCTGTGAATTTCGGCGGCTCTAATTTTTTGCACGGTAGGGAAACCAGACTGGGGAAGCCACGGAGACCCTGCGCAGCTTACGAATGCACTTGGGAAGACGGTCGCTCCACTTCGGACCCCCAGCCTGCCGGTCGTGGCAGGTGATCTCGCCACTGCCCGCCAGGGCGTATCCCTTGTCACAGATGAACTGGACGGTGGAGCCCACGGGAAACTTGTTCTCGGAAACCATGCGCCGGCTGTGGTCCACATCTCCTGGGTCCCGGCAGGTGGTCACTGGAGAGGAAGAGAATGGGGCAGCGTGGTGGGTGGCGAAGGGGCAGGGTAGCTCAGTGGAGAGCTGCTGCTGGTCAGTATCAGCACTGCTGAGCTCGAAAGACCCAGCTGATACAAGAGAATTTCCAGTGCTTCTGTTTAAATCAGCCTTTGAACCACGAGGATTGGAATCTTGGCAGTGTTTTGGGAGGCCAGAAGTTCCCAGGTTTGATCTCCGACAGCAGCATCTCAAGGTAGGGCTTGGGGGAAAGGCTCCCTGCCCAAAACCCTCTTGGAGAGCTGTTGCTGCCAGTCCGTGCGGACACTACTGGGCTTGATGGAGCCACAATCTGACTCTGTACGAGGCAGGAAGCAGCAGCAGCATCACAAACGCCAGCAGGGGGAGCTCTTGCCTCAGCCAATTGCAAATTCCAGTTTGGACACTTAGAAGTCTTGTGTGCTCGTCCGGAGAATAATTATGAAGAGCGATTTGAGAAATTAAAGCTGTCGTGTTGGACACTAGATGGGAAAGAGCATTCCTTCCAAGGAGAGTGGAAGGATGTAACTGGGATCCTCCTGCTTAGGTAAAGCTACAACTGACCTGATCTTGAAAATACGTTCCCCTGTTGCCCAGACAGCAGGATCTTTCCACTCCCTGACAGATGAGGCCAATAGATACATATTTTCATTTCATTTCACTTCATCTATACCCCACTTGATTGCAGAAAAAACCCCAAAACCTCAAAGTGCTTTACAAAACAATAAAACTATCAGTAAGAAAAATTACCAACAGCAATTGTAGTGTTTCCAAAAGTTAGAATATCAATAGACTAAAACACGTTAAAACTTGCATCAGTTTTCTTCAGACCTGAAAACAAGAACGTTTTTAGCAGTTGCTGAAAAGAGGACAGTGAAAGTGCATGCCTGATATGAATAGGCAGGGAGTTTCAAAGTTGTAGGTGCCGCCACACTAAAACATTGAGTTCTTGCAAATTTGGAACAGGGATTATGTGGCACCTGGAACAGAGCCAGCTCCACCAATTGAGGCATGTCGAGTGGGTAAGGCTAGTCCCAAGTTGTTAAAGGCTTTCTATCCTCATAGTAAGACCTTGAACCTGGCCTGGCAGCAAATCGGCAGACAGTACAGATCTCTGAGCAGAGCTGTGGTGTGCTGACAAGGCCTTCCTCCTGTCAGCAATCGTGCTGCAGCATCCACATCAGGAGGAGGGGAAGCCCCACATAGAGCGCATTGCGGTAATCCAGTCTTCCAGAAGTGGCCCCCTCTCCCCCTCACAAGGGAAGGGTTAGGCTGAGAGAGACAGCGCCTCTGCCGACACCACCCAGCTGTGGCAATGTTCAGGGAGGCAGGAGAGGATATATTGTTTATTAATATCCTTCCTAACTTGCGCTAGCAAGTTCCTTTACTTGGCAGAGTTTACATTCCCCTTTACACAGCACAGCAGATAGCTAGTTGCAGGCTCGTGTGAGCCTCTCACTATTATACAATTCAGTCTGTCTCAGATTGAATTGTATGTTCCTGATAAGTTCCCCTGAATCCCTCTTAAAAAGAATAAAGATGCCACAATATTTGTTGTTGTTGTTTAGTCGTTTAGTCGTGTCCGACTCTTTGTGACCCCCTGGACCAGAGCACGCCAGGCACTCCTGTCTTCCACTGCCTCCTGCAGTTTGGTCAAACTCATGCTGGTAGCTTAGAGAACACTGTCCCACCATCTCATCCTCTGTTGTCCCCTTCTCCTTGTGCCCTCCATCTTTCCCAACATCAGGGTCTTTTCCAGGGAGTCTTCTCTTCTCATGAGGTGGCCAAAGTATTGGAGCCTCAGCTTCACGATCTGTCCTTCCAGTGAGCACTCAGGGCTGATTTCCTCCAGAATGGAGAGGTTTGATCTTCTTGCAGTCCATGGGACTCTCAAGAGTCTCCTCCAGCACCAGAATTCAAAAGCATCCATTCTTCGGCGATCAGCCTTCTTTATGGTCCAGCTCTCACTTCCCTACATCACTACTGGGAAAACCATAGCTTTAACTATGCGGACCTTTGTCGGCCACAATCTTATTTAAAGTCAATAAAGAAGTAAAGTAAAAGAAGTTTACTTACATCAGTTTACAGTTGGATCCCTGAAGGCAGACTTAGTTACAAATATGTACATGTGGATCTATCCCATATGGGGAATAATCCCAGTGCCTCTGCTAGCTGAAAGCAGAGCAAAGCATTTCTGGCTAAAAAGCTGGTCCAACAAAGTGAAAAAGAGAGAGAGAGAGAGTGCACTGCCTGGCTTGTCCTTTTGTTACCTGGACAGGTAAGGTCACGCCCACTTTCTATCCCATGCAAAAGGAAGGATGCTCCAGCCAGGAGGAACAGGAAGTTTCAACTGGCTGGACCAAGCATCCCCTCGCATGTCTTCTCTAGGAAAACAAGGAATGTTGTACTTGACTGCTCTCATGGGTCACATCCCACAACAGCAAGCTTTGTGGCTGAGCAGGGGTTTGAACCCTGGTGTCCGGGGTCTTAGGCCAGCCCTCTAAATTCCGCAGTTGCAGGATCTGGCTGCCCACCTCCTCCGCACCCCCCTGGCTCACCTTGCTGGCAGGAGGGCAGGTCCCCGCTCCACATCAGGTCCCAGTGGCACATCAGGAGTTCGGTGCCCACCAGCTCGTAGCCGGGGTAGCAGTGGTACGTGACCACGGTGCCGTGGACCAGCTCCGGGTGGGACATGGTCTTCCAGCCGTTGGGGATCTCAGGGAGCTCAGGGCAGGTGTCGTTCCGGGGAACCTCTGCAGGGAAAGAGGCCGGGAGCAGAGGTCAGGGGAAGACCCCGGAGAGGTGGGCAGAGGGAGGGGCGAGGCCAGGCACTCTCCAGCCCTCTCAGACCAGCAACAAGTGCAATGGCATCCTCATAGAAGATGTATGTATGTATTTGCAGCAATTGTTTTTGTCCCTGTTGACCGTAAAATATTTCCTTAACAAAAGTGGAAATTTAGATACGATACTTACAGATTGTAAATGTATACACTTTCAACATGTTTTTTTATTTAGTTTTTGATCCGAGGTGCATAATTTTGGTTTTGAGATTATTTAAGGAAAAAGATCTGCCGTTTATTTATACAGTGGTACCTCGCAAGACGAATGCCTCGCAAGGCGAAAAACTCGCAAGACGAAAGAGTTTTTCGTTCTTTGAGTTGCTTCGCAAGACGAATTTCCCTATGGGCTTGCTTCGCAAGACGAAAACGTCTTGCAAGTTTGTTTCCTTTTTCTTAAAACCGTTAATACCCAGGGTGCATTGCTTGAAGAGGTGCTTCACAAGACGAAAAATTTGCAAGACGAAAAAACTCGCAGAACGAATTAATTTCGTCTTGCGAGGCACCACTGTAGGTACTTCCTGCACCCGCTAATTTAATTGCATTTGATAATCTTTTAGCCAGAGGTGTCTTGCTTACAGAAGATTGTATGCTATACTATCTGACGTTTAGAAGACATCTGATGGCAGCCCTGTTTAGGGAAGTTTTTAATGACTGATGTTTTAATGTATTTTTCATCTTTGTTGGAAGCTGCCCAGAGTGGCTGGGGAGGCCCAGCCTGGGGGGGGGTATAAATAACAAATTATTATTATTATTATTATTATTATTATTATTAAGTTGGAAGGGACCCTGTGGATCATCTATAGTCCAACCCCATGCAATGCAGGAATACGCAGCTGTCCCTTACGGGGATCGAACCTGCAACCTGGGCATTATCAGTGCCATCCTCTAACCAGGTGAACTACATGCACCTCAGCACATTCAGATTTAATATTATTAATATCATTTTATATTTATTTATATCATTAAGAAACAAATTAATAGCAATAACATTAAGACTATCATCTATGTATCTATCTATTAAAAACATATTAGGAAGAACTTTCTGACAGTAGGAGCTATTTGACCGGGGTAGGCAACCTAAGGCCCGTGGGCTGGATCCGGCCCAATCGCCTTCTCAATCTGGCCTGCAGACGGACCGGGAATCAGCGTGTTTTTACATGAGTAGAATGTGTCCTTTTATTTAAAATGCATCTCTGGGTTATTTGTGGGACACAGGAATTCGTTCATATATTTTTTTTCAAAATATAGTCCGGCCCCCCACATGGTCTGAGGGACGGTGGACCAGCCCACAGCTGAAAAAGGTTGCTGACCCCTGTATTTGACATTGGGCCAAACTCCCTCGGGAGGTTGTGGAGGTTTTTAAGCAGAGGTTAGATGGACAACTGCCAGGGATTTTTTAGCTGTGATTCCTGCATTACAAGAGGGGTTGGGCTAGATGACCTTTGACGGTCCCTTCCAACTCTAAAAATCTATGATTCTGTGAGACCAAAGGCCTGTCTCATGGGGTTGGCAAGGAGGAAGAACTTTGCCCACCTTGCCTAATGGTCCACCTTCCGGGGAAAGGTGGGCGGGGTGAACACATGGTAGGCGTGGCCAGGTGTAAAAGTGGGTGGAGCAACTGACGGGACTCCTCCCTTTAGAATCACAGAATTGAGAGTTGGAGGGGGACACCGAGGGTCATCTAGTCCAACCCCCTGCAATGCAGGAACCACAGCTAAGGTCCGTTTGATATAGCTAAATTTCCTGGGAAGACTCTTCAACTTAGACAAGGTCTTGCAGCCTCCCACATGACTTAAGCTTTTGTGTTTTGTAATGTGCACCTTGGTATATGCCAAGTTTTTATCCTTCTGCATGATTCTGCATTTGGCTGCCTTGTTAATAAATGTGAGTTTCTTAAATTGAGCGGCACACACAAGCCGAAGGAAATTGTATTTTCTCAATTTCTGAGGTTATATCCAGAACAGACCAACTGGAATGAACAAACCTGGGAAACTCAGGTCCATTGATTTCAGTGGGTCTACTCTGAGTAGGACCCAGTTGGATGCAATCCTGATTTCCATCTCTTTAATATACCCCATTCCCCAAGAAGGAAACCAGGAGAGAAACACACAGAGAGAAACAGAAACCTGATTTTTTTCCCCCCCACACCAGGGCAGCGCCTTCCAAAATTTCAGGGGCTTCTGCACTTACCTGCAAAGTGGATGATGAAGCCGTGCTGATAGCCCAAGATGCTGCTCCCTGGATCCGACTGAAACTGGATGGTGACATCAGCCATGGAGGTGTACAGCTTGAACCGCTGGTGGGGGCCAGAATATTGGCCCAGGATCCGGGCCGTCAAGTCGTCCCCGTCATAGAAAGTCAGCGCGTCTCCTTTGCCAAGGCGCAACCTGAAACAAATCGAAACAATTGTAGGTTTGGAAGGGACCCAACAGGTCATCTAGTCCAACCCTCTACAATGCAGGAATTGAAAGATGGCGGGGGCAGCGGAGGGAGGTGCCGATTAAGAAAAGTGTGACAGCTGCTCACTGACGGCGCAATCAGAACGCCAGATCTGCTGGAATGGGATCCAGTGGGCCTTATTTATTTATTTACAGTGGTACCTTGGGTTACATATGCTTCAGGTTACATACGTTTCAGGTTACAGACTCCACTAACCCAGAAATAGTACCTCGGGTTAAGAACTTTGCTTCAGGGTGAGAACAGAAATCGTGCTCCGGCGGCGCGGTGGCAGCAGGAGGCCCCATTAGCTAAAGTCGTGCTTCAGGTTAAGAACATTTTCAGGTTAAGCACAGACCTCCGGAATCAATTAAGTACTTAACCCGAGGTACCACTGTACTTACATAAAAATTATATACTGCTTGATTGTGGAAAACTTCAACAATGACCAAAACATTCCAAAAAATCAAAACCAACAATTAACCAAGACGTATACCAGCAAATTTCTGGGTAGGATTGCCTAACCGGAAAAGTTTTTAGCCAGCACTGAAAAGTGTACAGCAAAGGGGCCTCAAGAGGCAGGGAGTTCCAAAGTTGTAGGTGCCGCCATGCTAAAAGAGTGAGTTCTTACAAATGCGGAACGGATGCTAGAGCCGGCTCCGCAGATTGAAGTGACTGAATGGGTGTATATGGGGTGAGAGGGTTATCAAGGGCTGCTAGCCAGGATGGCTAGTCTTTGCCTCGGAATGCCAGATGCTGGAAGCCCTGAGAGGGAAGAGATGCTCTTGCGCTTGAGGGATTCCCACGGGTATCTGTTTGGCTACTACGAGAACAGGATGATGTTCCCATCAGCACAAGAGGCCCCTCCCCTCCTGGGGTTTCCAACAATTGGTACTCAAAGGTAGACTACTTTGGATGGTGAAGGTAGAATTTAACCTTTAGGCAGGGGCAAAACTAGGCTTTATTTCACCTGGGTCAAAGACCAAGTTTGGCAAACAGTGAGCCTCAAAGATGCCCCCTCTGGAGGCTTCACCCTGAGCAAAAAACCCGGCTAGCCCCCCCCCCCGGTAGCTACAGCTCTGCATTAGTGTAAGTAGCTAGGGCAAGCCTCCTCCTCTTCCTCAAATCTGTCCCATCCTCTTTTAAAGCCACCCTGTTGCCTTGTGGCAGGGAGTTCCACAGCTGAACAATGCTATGTGTCAATTTGAAGCCAATTCCCGTGGCTGAAACTTGTACAGTTGAACTGACAACATATTCTTTCACAGGGGTGCAGCTGTGCAGCTTACAAAAAACCTTGCAAGCCGTTTTGAGTTCCTGCTGGTGCGATTCCTGGTGCGATTCCTGCCTTTCAGGCAGGTTGGACTTTGGCTCCCCTGGGCTCCCTTCCAGCTCGACAGTTCTAGGATTCCGTGAAATAACGATCCAAACAGGGGCACAACTCACACTTGGATGTCCAGCATGATCCGCTTGTCCTCTTCCACGTGGAGACCCCAGATGCAGTCCTGGCCCTTCCCATAGGGCTCCGGCCAGTTGGGGGACAAAACCACCCCGGCGGCGTCCGTGATCTCCCCGCTGCACACGGCTGCAGGAGAAGTGTGGAAAGAGATCAGTGGGGCTGTGTTGGGGATGGCAAACCATGAAGGATGTCACAACTTTGTGGCTTAGGGCCCTCGTATCTTCTGGACCGCCTCTCCTGGTCTGCCCTGCAGAGGACCTTAAGGTCCATGAACAAACATAGCTTAGAGGTCCCGGGCCCTAAGGAAGTCAGACTACCCTCTGCCAGGGCCAGGGCCTTTTCAGTGATGGCTCCGACCTGGTGGAATGCTCTGTCCCATGAGACCAGGGCCCTGCAGGATTTAACCTCCTTCCGTTGGGCCTGTAAGACAGAGCTATTCCTCCTGGCCTTTAATTTGAATTCAGCCTGTTCTTTTATTTCCCTTCCCTCCCCCTTCCCTTTTATGAAGATTACCCGCTCTGAGACCCCACAGCTAATTCTCCCCTGGCCTCCTCGCTGGCCCAAGTAGAACCAATTCAGCCAGCTAGCCCTGAGGATTATCTAATTGATTTTTGATTTTTATTGTTATTCATGTTTTTATACTGTATTTTATGCTGCTTTTATAATTAAGTGTTTTAAAGTGGTTTTAATTTGTTGTTAGCCGCCCTGAGCCCGGTTTTTGAACCAGGAAGGGCAGGGTATAAATAATGTTTTATTATTAACTGCGGCCTTTGCAGGCTGGGGTACTTCTGTGTGCCACTGATCAGAACAGGACTTGCAATCGGTGCTCAACAGCAAGCCCTGCTTGCACATGAACCACTAGGATTTCCCTTTAAGCTAGGGATGCCATATTTCAAAAAGTGAAATTTTTGCTTCTTTTTTTCTTTGCAAAATTTCAAAGAAGAGAGAAGTTTGTGAGCTACTTTTATGGAAAGTTGGCAAAAACAACACGGCTAACATGGGTTGCCATGCATCAGGATTTTCCTGGACATTTTGGCCAATTTCCACCCGGACACTGCTTCCGGCTTCAGTATCCTGGATGTATCCAGGAAATTTTGGACGTATGGCAAACCTACTTTAAGCTCCTGGTTGTTCCTAACCCTTTTTAGGTTTCCAGTATGCCAGAGTAGGACAGAGCGACCTCCCCGAAATTTGGGGCATTCGTTGTATTTTACTGTTCTTTTGATCGATAAACCACTTCATTGCAACGGCCGCTAAGCTGTCCGACCTTGACCTCAACAATACAATAAAGGTCAAATATCAGTTTAGAACGATAAAGATCAGAAACGACATCAATATTTGCGAACGCATTTTGTTCCGTTGCGCGTTTTGAAGCAAGGGTAGGAAAGCTTTCTAAGCTGGGGGCCGCATTCTCTTCTGAGCAACCTCCCCAGGGCTGTGTGTCTGTGGCGGGAGGGGCCTGAGGAAAAAAGGGGTGGAGCAAGGATCCTGAACGCCTTGGTACTCGGACGTTTTGACTCCCAAACGGCGCAAACCTGGAAGCGATTGTTCCGGTTTGCGAACGTTCTTTGGAACCGAACGTCCGACGGGGCTTGTGATTCAGAAGCTGTGCTTTGGTTTCTGAACGTTTTGGAAGTCGAACGGACATCCGGAACAGATTCCGTTCGACTTCCAAGGTATGACTGTATTTACTTTCGTATGGTATTTAGTTTCCATGCTATTTATCTATTTATACGACTGTATTTAGTTTCCACGCTATTTATCCTCCATCTTCTGGGTCTAACCACGACTGGCCTGTGGCCCCCAGAAGCCGGCCAATGTGGCCCCCGGAAGCTGGACAAAGCTTTCCAACATGGCACCCACCTCGGCAGGCCGGCTCTGTCTCGTTCCACTGGGGGTTGGTGGGGTCCACGCACTCGATGATGACGGAGCCTTGCTCCAGGGTGTATCCCGCCTCGCAGGCAAACTCCACGGTGGTGCCCACGGCGTACGTTGCGTCGCTGGTGGTGAAGTTCCCGTACTTGACGAACGGCTCATAGCAGTGCCCGGGTTCAAAGGCTGGCAAGGGGCAGAGCGGGAGGGAGGGCATCAGTCAGAGAGCTGGTGGCACGCTCAAGGGTGTTTTGTGGTCTCCTAAGGCAGGGCTCAGGGACGCGGGTGGCGCTGTGGGTTAAACCACAGAGCCTAGGGCTTGCCGATCAGAAGGTCGGCGGTTCGAATCCCCGTGACGGGGTGAGCTCCCGTTGCTCGGTCCCTGCTCCTGCCAACCTAGCAGTTCGAAAGCACGTCAAATGCAAGTAGATAAATAGGTACCGCTCCGGTGGGAAGGTAAATGGTGTTTCCGTGCGCTGCTCTGGTTCACCAGAAGCGGCTTAGTCATGCTGGCCACATGACCCGGAAGCTGTACGCCGGCTCCCTCAGCCAATAAAGCGAGATGAGCGCCGCAACCCCAGAGTCGGCCACGACTGGACCTAATGGTCAGGGGTCCCTTTACCTTTACCTTTACCTTTAAGGCAGGACTCACTAGCTTGATGACCACAGCCAAATGGGCACCCCTGAGGTCTTCCGCAGGGACCCACAAATCCTCCAAGCCTCCCCTCCCCCTCACTGCCCCCTTGGCCACGAGGCGCTGAGAGGGGTTTCCTTTCCCCTCCCCTGAAAAGCATACAGAGCCGTCAAGAGTATTGTTGGCTCAGAAATGGAAGCAAGAAGAAATACCAACAAAAGAAGAATGGCAGACAAAATTAATGGACTATGCAGAATTGGATAAAATGACAGGAAGGATTCGAAACCTGCAGGACCAGAGATTTACAGAAGACTGGAAGAAATATACAAATTATTTGAAGAGCAACTGTAATCAACAAATTATGCTATGTAGTAGGACTACAAGACGTTTTGTAGGGAGAAATATATGAAATATTGCGAAGAAGAGAAAGAAAGGAGATATTAGTTCTGAGATTTAAATGTAATAGTGAAAATAAGAAATGTGAATTAAGTAAATAGAGTTGAAAATTTTCAGATGTGGTTGATGGAAGTCCAAAAAATTGTATAAGATGTAAATGTATGTTTAAATAGTGTTGAAAATGATATGTTGAAAAACTAATAAAATTTTTTATTAAGAAAAGAAAGAAAAGCATATAGAGCTGAAGGAGGAAGTGGGAAAGAGCAGCTTTTCCGGACACTTCCCCTTTCAGCCCTACGCCCATTTCTAGGCTAAGATTAATTCTATCACGGCTGACTTTTACCCAAATCCTTTGGGAAAGCGAAGGGGTTGGGTGTCCCCTCTTTCTTTCTGCCTCTTGTGGGTGGGTGGGTGGGGAAAGGGGACCGGCTGGAAATGTCAGTGCCCATGGCACTCACCCCCAAAAAGTATGGCAGCCGAAAGCGCTGGTTCCCAAATTGGGTGGTAGCGCCCCCTGGAGGGCAGTGCGATTCCCTTACAGGGCCACTTACAAGGGGGCAGCAGGGGGGCGCTGGAGGTACAAAGGACCACCGCCTGATATCACAGGCTCCAGTTATCCGCTTTGTTGAATGAATTAAACTAAATAGCTTTAATTGGATTTGAAATAATGGTGCAATTAATTGCTACTGTTTTGAATTTACTCCTCTATTATCTTCCTTAGTGGGTCATGCAAACCACTATTCTGAATAATGCATTTTTTAATAGGGTGGGGGCACTGGGGGGGAGTTTATGGAACCCAGCGGCCCCCTAAAAGTTTGGGAGTAGCTGTCCTAAAGGAACAAGCCCAGTGCCTTGCCCCGTGTGCCCTTTGCCAACTCACCCTCGTAGCGCAGGGCCATCCCAGCAGCCACCCCGCTGCTGTCGGTGGTCAGCTCGATGAAGAAGCCCCTTGCGGTGCTGACCAGACCCTCGATGGGCAGGTATTCCACTTCGTACGAGTCGTACACGGGCGGAGCCTCAATGTCGTTCCCGTTCCGGATTATTAGCCTGGGAGGAGGGAGAGGAAGTGGCTTAATCCCAGCACGCTTAAAAAAAGAGAAAGGTCAGAATTGCAAAGTTTAATTGGATGACCCTTGGGGCAGGAGAGGACTTTGGACTTTCATAATTCAGCAGCGCCCTGTGTCAGGGCAAAATTCAGTGTGTGTCCCCTGCCTTCCGTTCTGCTCAACTGCGGCCGCAACGCTGCCCTAAATCCACTTCTTTGTGGCCTCCCTGCCCACTCTGCAATTCTATTTTTCACCTGAGGTTTTTAAACAGAGATCAGATGGCCCCCTGCCAGCGATTCTTTAGGTGTGGTTCCTGAATTCGCAGGGGGTTGGGCTAGATCAGTGGTTCCCAACCTTTTTTTGGGGCCATGCCCCACCTAAGTATCTCTAAAATAATAATAATATAATAATAATTTATTATTTATACCCCGCCCATCTGGCTGGGCTTCCCCAGCCACTCTGGGCGGCTTTCAACAAAACATTAAAATACAGTAATGCATCAAACATTAAAAGCTTCCCTAAAGAGGGCTGCCTTCAGATGTCTTCTCAAAGTCTGGTAGTTGTTGTTCTCTTTGACATCTGACGGGAGGGCGTTCCACAGGGCGGGCGCCACCACCGAGAAGGCCCTCTGCCTGGTTCCCTGTAACCTCACTTCTCGCATTGAGGGAACCCCCAGAAGGCCCTTGGCGCTGGACCTCAGTGTCTGGGTAGAACGATGCCCCCACTGACATATAATTCTTATTATTCAAAAATAACGTGGAGGAAGCCTAAAAGGCCATTCACTGTTAATAACTCATTCTCGAATTGCCCCCCTTAAAAATCAAATTGCCCCACTGCGGGGGGGCGTGTGACCCACGTTGGGGACCTTGGGGGCCTCTTCCTACCATACAATTTATGATTCTATAACCCCACCCAGGGGCAGGAACGGGGATTCAGTGTGAGATCAGCCCGGACATCCTCAGAACAACTGCCCCATGACCCCGTCTCCCCCAAAACTCGAGGTCTCTCTCTTGCCAACCTGTCGTCGTCCTCGGCCAAGGAGACCTTCTCAAAATGGAGGTGCAGCCGCTGTCCCTGCGGAGCCTCCAGCAGCCAATGGCAGGTCAGGTTGTTGCTGTAGTTGGCAGGGTAGCCCGGCGAGACGATGCGTCCGGTTGTGGCGTTCCGGATCACCCCGCCGCAAGACGCTGCGGAGAGAAGGGACGCGTCAGTGGGGCTACAGGAAGGGCTCCCCCCCGCCCTCTCCAACAATATCAATTTATTTCTTCACCGCCATCAACACTCCTTACCCGTCCTACACTGCAGGGTTGCAGGGCAGGCCCCAGGTATGTAAAAAATGCAATATTAACCTTAAAAGAAAATGTGATGAAAAAGATGTATAGATGGTACATTACGCCTGTGAAATTAGCTAAAACGTATAAAGTTAGTAATAAATGTTGGGAATGCAGTGGCGTAGCGTGGGGGGTGCAGGGGGGGCCGGCCGCACCGGGCGCAACATCTGGGGGTTAGGGTTAGGGGGCGCAAATCCACGGGTTAGGGGGCGCAAATTACTTGCCTTGCCCCGGGTGCTGACAACCCACGCTACGCCACTGTGGGAATGTAAAGAAAAAGAAGGAACATTTTGTCACATGTGGTGGGAATGTAAAAAAAGTGAAAAACCTCTGGGAAATGATATATAATGAGATGAAAAAAATGTTGAAATATACATTTATTAAGAAAGCAGAAGCATTTTTACTTGGCATTGTAGGTGATGATATAAACAAAAAGGACTGTAAGTTATTTTTGTACGCAGTGACGGCAGCAAGAATATTATTGGCACAAAACTGGAAGCAAGAAGAATTACTGACGAAAGAAGAATGGAGGATGAAAATGATGGACTACGCAGAATTAGATAAACTAACAGGAAGGATTCGAAACCTCCAGGACCAGAGATTCTCAGAAGACTGGAGTAAATTTACAGACTATTTGAAAAGTAATTGTGAGGAACAGATTATGCTAGTAGGTTTGCAAGACGTTTTGTAAGGTGGATTATTTGAAATGTTGCAAAACAGATAATGGGGAGTATTATTAGTTAAAGATAACTAAAGGTAATAGGAAATTAAGAAATGCATAATAAGTGATAAGGACGGAAAATCATCAGAGGTGTTGACAGAAGTCCAAAAATTATTGTATAAGATGAGAAGTTTTGTTGTATGAATGATAATTAACATGTTTAAAACTAATAAAAATGTATATATGCTTCAGGTTACAGACTCCGCTAACCCAGAAATATTACCTCAGGTTAAGAACTTTGCTTCAGGATGAGAACAGAAATCGGGCTCCGGCGGCAGCAGGATGCCCCATTAGCTAAAGTGGTGCTTCAGGTTAAGAACAGTTTCAGGTTAAGTACGAACCTCCAGAACAAATTAAGTACTTAACCCAAGGTACCACTGTATATGTAAAAGAATTGCAATATTAAAATTAACCAGCGGAGGCAGCCCTGAGCTAGAGGGTTCTGAGTTTCTTGTGGCAGCTGCCTCCATTTGCCCAACAGTAGGGAGAGGTCGACCAGAGAAGCTTGCTGAGCTGAAATGCCCGGCCAGTTCCCAAACCCACAAACTGCTCCCCCCCTTCCTGTCCCCTCTGGCTTTGCTCACCGACGCAGGTGGGCTCCCGGGCGCTCCAGAAGGGGTGGGTGGCGTTGAGGCAGGTGAGGCAGTGCTGGCCCTGCAGCTGGTATCCGGTGGAGCAGGAGAAGCAGGCGTGGCCGCCCGGGTGCACGCTGGTGACGGAGACCTCCCCGTAGGGCGGGCGCGTGGGGAACGCACAGCTGAGCAGGTAGGCTGGGAAAGGAAAAAGAGACGGGGAGAGTTGGGCTGTGTACATTAAAAACCCATTTAACACACGCACACATTCCCCAAGGATCCTGGGAAGCATAGTTTGCTAAGGGAACTAGGAAACGTTGAGCATTGTGAGAAGTCAAACTACAGTTCCCAGGATTCTTGGGCTGTGATTTAAATGAATGGCAGAGAGCAGAGAGCAGATTAGGGTGAATTTCCTACAATTTTCCCACTGAGAGAGAATCAGATTTGACAAGGGGTGGGTCTACACGCAGGGGGAAAAACACGCTATAAACCAGTCAGAAATTTGTTGTTGTTGTTTAGTCGTTTAGTCGTGTCCGACTCTTTGTGACTCCCTGGACCAGAGCACGCCAGGCACTCCTGTCTTCCACTGCCTCCCGCAGTTTGGTCAAACTCATGCTGGTAGCTTCGAGAACACTGTCCAGCCATCTTGTCCTCTGTCATCCCCTTCTCCTTGTGCCCTCCATCTTTCCCAACATCAGGGTCTTTTCCAGGGAGTCTTCTCTTCTCATGAGGTGGCCAAAGTCTTGGAGCCTCAGCTTCAGGATCTGTCCTTCCAGTGAGCACTCAGGGCTGATTTCCTTAAGAATGGAGAGGTTTGATCTTCTTGCAGTCCATGGGACTCTCAAGAGTCTCCTCCAGCACCATAATTCAAAAGCATCAATTCTTCGGCGATCAGCCTTCTTTACGGTCCAGCTTTCACTTCCATACATCACTACTGGGAAAACCATAGCTTTTACTATACGGATCTTTGTTGGCAAGGTGATGTCTCCAGTGGCGTAGCGTGGGGGGTGCAGGGGGGGCCAGCCGCACCGGGCGCAACACCCGGGGGTTAGGGTTAGGGGGCGCAAATCCACGGGTTAGGGGGCGCAAATTACTTGCCTTGCCCCGGGTGCTGACAACCCACGCTACGCCACTGGATGTCTCTGCTTTTTAAGATGCTGTCTAGGTTTGTCATTGCTTTTCTCTCAAGAAGCAGGCGTCTTAGATTAGAAATTAGATTATAACAAACGGGGGGGGGGGGACCCTATGCAAAATGGCGTTTAAATATTTCCTGCTCTCTGGCGCCATCTGGTGTTGCATGTTTGTAGCGCATCAAATTGTTGTTCCTTGCTGAGTTCAATGTGTGGTGTCGTTTATTTATTAACTCAACTTGTTTTTGTTGTTGTTGTTGTTATTATTAATAATAAGGTTCAGCTGAGACTTCAGCAGCTGGCCCCCCTGGCTGAGTGGGGATTCGAACCCTGGCCTCCTCCAGGTTCCCAGTTCTAACCACTATGCCACACTATTTGTGTAAATACTGTGTGCCTAAAATGGCTCTCACACACACCACCTCGGGAGGTGGCGGGCTCTCCTTCCTTGGAGGTTTTTAAGCAGAGGTAGGACAGCTACCTGCCAGGTATCCTTTAGTTGCGATTGCTGCATTGCAGGGGGTTGGTATGGATGATCTTTGGGGGTCCCCCAACTCTATGATTCTATGATTGGGATGAACAAATGCAAAATCAATACATTCATGACAATAACTCTCAAAATAGTAGACCGACTCAAAACATAATATGAAATTATGTTGTGTGTGCGGGGGAAATCCTTAAAGTGAAATTAAGAGGTAGAAGTCAGGGGAAAAGAGATCAATTGTAAAAAGACACCGTTTTTCTCTGCTAGTTGAATAAAGCAAAAGCTTAATCTGGAATTAGTCTGACACCTTTTTTTATGTCCAGAGAATAAACAATATATATATATATATATATATATATAAATACTGGGTGGTCTCTCAACTAATTCCTCCTCAGAACAGGCCCATTGAGATTCACCGAGCCAAACTACCAAATTCACTTCAGTGGGTCTACTCTGAGTAAGGGTGGCATTGCATGCGACCCATTCCATTCATACAGCTATTTAAAAAAGCATTTTTAGATGTTTATTTCTTTATCTACTTAAAAGCGATTTGCTGCAGATCGGCGCGCAGGATTAAAGCAGCAGAATTCTATTACCAGTATATTTTTTACAGATTTTTTTGGGGTAAAGGCTTTAAATATTTAACTACTTCAAGTGATTTGCTGCTCCAGATTTAAATATAAATCTATGTGTATTGGGAGGGGGAGGGGGTTGTTAAAGGAACATCATATTATATTTATACGTCTTTTTTTTAAGGCTTTAAATATTTATTTCTAAATTCAAAGTGATTTAATAGAGATTTAAATGCAAAGCTATGTGTAACAGCACTAAGGAAATAAACACATGAACACAGCCCTATCTGGGATCGATTTTGTCTCTGAATATGACGAATGGGTTCTATGTTGCTTGTTAGTTGTTATTTATTTCACTTATTTATTGCACCGATATCCCATCTTTCATGCAAGGAGCATGCTGTTCTCATTTTATTTATTTTTTAATCTTCACAACAACCTTGCGAGGTAGCATTGGCAGAGAGAAGGGGACAGGCCCAAGGTTATTTGTTGTTGTTGTTGTTTAGTTGTGTCTGACTCTTCGTGGATCAGAGCATGCCAGGCACTCCTGTCTTCCACTGCCTCCCTCATGCTGCTAGCTTTGAGAACACTGTCCCACCATCTCGTCCTCTGTCATCCTCTTCTCCTTGTGCCCTCCATCTTTCCCAACATCAGGGTCTTTTCCAGGGAGTCTTCTCTTCTCATGAGGTGGCCAAAGTCTTGGAGCCTCAGCTTCAGGATCTGTCCTTCCAGTGAGCACTCAGGGCTGATTTCCTTCAGAATGGAGAGGTTTGATCTTCTTGCAGTCCACGGGACTCTCAAGAGTCTCCTCCAGCACCAGAATTCAAAAGCACCCATTCTTTGGTGATCAGCCTTCTTAATGGTCCAGCTAGTGATGTATGGAAGAGCTGGACCATAAAGAGAGCTGGACCAAGGTTATTAGAAGGTGCAAATACTCCTAACAGATTCCACCGGCCACATGTGCCGGAAGAAAGGGCACAGGCAGGGATCAATGCCAGCAGGGGAAGACCGTGGAGTCTCTAATTTCAAATTTTGCGGTTCATCAAAATTCGGCTCCCAGCCACCAATCGCCTTCCGTCTGACATCACAGTGACATCACCCTGAGGCTCTGCACCGAGTGCGGCTGTACCGGTTGCGCTCCCCAAAATCCGCCTCTGGTGTCAGTTGTGAGAAAGGCGGTTGTGTGTGTGTGTTGGGGGCTTCAACTGTTGTGACAGGGTGTGTCAACATTGGTGGGGCGCCCTGTGGGGCTGGGAGACAGGTGTGTATATATATATATCTCTTTCTCTCAATGCCAGCCCCCCCTTCCCTCATGCTCCACACAAATTACGTTAATTGCTGGGACCAATTATCTCCCCATTAAGCGAGTCTTTGGTGGGTGCCCGCTCTAACCTGCCAGCATCGGCGATTAGCTCCGACAGCGATTAGCGTGCTCCCAATTAGCTAATTGCGCTGCAGCTGCGAGGGGGGTGGAAAGGGAATCCTGGCGCTGCCACGGCACCCGGGCTGGTGGCGTGGGCGGGCTGGTGGAGGGCCTGCAGATCCACAGGCAGGCGGGCATCGGGTGGGAACAGAAGGCTCCGTGAATTTCTTCGCATGCATCTGCCAACAAGGGGTGGGCGCAGCGAGAAAGATCACTCCAAGAATCCTGACAGGTATGTTTTGGGGCCGTACATAAAAACAACACCCTTTCCTGCTTCTCGTTCCCAGCATTTGCTGCTTGGGGGGGGGGTAATAATAATAATAATAATAATAATAATAATAATAAATTTATACCCCGCCCATCTGGTTGGGTTTCCCCAACCACTCTGGGCGGCTTCCAATAAAACACTAAAATATAATAACCTATTAAACATTAAAAGCTTTCCTAAACAGGGCTGCCTTCAGATGGCTTCTAAAAGTTTGGTAGTTATTTTTCTCTTTGACATCTGGTGGGAGGGCGTTCCACAGGGAGGGCGCCACCACCAAGAAGGCCTTCTGCCTGGTTCCTGTAACCTCACATCTCACAGTGAGGGAACTGCCAGAAGGCCCTCAGTGCTGGACCCCAGTGTCCGGGCTGGATGATGGGGGTGGAGATGCTCCTTCAGGTCTACTGGGCCAAGGCCATTTAGGGCTTTAAAGGTCAGCACCAACACTTTGAATTGTGCTTGGAAATGTACTGGGAGCCAGTGTAGGTCTTTCAAGACCGGTGTTATGTGGTCTTGGCGGCCGCTCCCAGTCACCAGTCTAGCTGCCACATTCTGGATTAGTTGTAGTTTCCGGGTCACCTTCAAATGCAGGGTCTCAGCCTGCGTACCAGATGGAGCTGGCAGACAGCCGCCCTGGACACAGAATTGACCTGCGCCTCCATGGACAGCTGTGAGTCCAGAATGACTCCCAGGCTGCGCACCTGGTCCTTCAGGGGCACAGTGACCCCATTCAGGACCAAGGAGCAGGTTAGTCACTGGCCTGACGTCAAGCTTCATGGCCGAAGTCAGGACTTGAACCCTGCCCTCCCAGGTCTCGTCCAACACTTGAACCACACACAAGGCCGGGGAAAATTTCCCCCTCCTTCATTTCTGGGGAAACCTTCTGGAGAAGGCAGGGGCACATGCCAGGGGGGGCGTGGCCAGAGGGGAAAGTGGGCACGGCAATGCACCTATGAACAAAAAAAAAGTCTGGGAACCACTGGTTTAGAATAAAGCAGCTGCATGTCCCCCCCTAGTGGTAGGTGAAGGACCTGCGCTCTCACCTTCGAACCGGAAATGAAAGGTCCCTGGGTTGGCGGGAGATGGGCTCTGGAAGCGCACCACGATCTGATTGGTCGGGCCGCGGATCACCTGCCCGCGCATCAGGAAGGACTCGTTGGCCAGGGCGACGGGCTCTACACCCCCCAGCGTCTCCACGGTGACTGTCTCTCCCTCCGCAAGGCTGATGTTCTGGACCTGCAGAGAGGGAAGGAAGGAAGAGGGACTCTGAGGATGCAACCCAGCTGCGTTCACTGGGAGATGAGATGGGGATGGTCTACCACAGGCTAATAATAATAATAATAATAATAATAATAATAATAATTTATACCCCGCCCTCCCCAGCCAAGACCGGGCTCAGGGCAGTTAACAACCAATAATAAAAACAAGTTGATTAAAATACAACTTAAAAACAAGATTAAAATACAACATTAAAACATTAAGATGCAGCCTCTTCATAGGAGGAGAAAGGAAAAAAGAAAGAGGGGGAGGGAATCAAATTGATTCCAAGCCAAAGGCCAGGCGGAACAACTCTGTCTTACAGGCCCGGCAGAAAGAAATCAGTTTCCGCAGGGCCCTGGTCTCATGAGACAGAACATTCCACCAAGTTGGGGCCAGTACTGAAAAGGCTCTGGCTCTGGTTGAGGCTAATCTGACTTCCTTAGGGCCCGAGACCACTAGGGTGTTGCTATTTATGGACGGGGTCCCATGAAAGGGGTCCCCTGAGTCTGTCAGGAGCTCGGCTTACACTCGAGTAGGACTCTGGTAGAGACAGATGCCCGACTGGCATGTTCTCTCCCTCCCGGTCGATCGTTTGGGAGCTGCAAAAGCTTCCCACTGCCCGAACATCACAGCGACCGATGCCAACCGACACCGGCACACTTAGGGATCCGCAGAGTTTGCGCAACTTGCATAACAGACCTCAGCAACTCAGCATTTTGGCTAATCTACTTTATTTACATATAAACACACACGGAGCACTGCAACATGGCTCCCTCTCTCTCTAGTATCAGACAGCAAAGAGCAAAGGACAATAGTCCCACTTCACGGAACACAGTAACACAAACATCCTGTCTCCGTCACTTCCCACTCTGTGGAGTCAAAACATATACAGTCATGTGAAAGACAACAATCCCATGACTGCAATCACGGAGCAGGAATTCTAACAGGGTCGTCTAGTCCAACCCCCAGGAATTGCAGCGAGGGAAACCAGACAACCTCTGCTTGGAAACCTCCAAGGAAGGAGAGTCCATCGGTTCTTTCTGCCAGAACAGGGTGGGTTCTGGTCTACAGGAGTCCCACCAGTGGTACAGTCAAACCTTGGCTTTCGCATGTCTCTCAGCTGCAGAACATTTTGGAAGCCGAATGCTGAAAAACCGGAAGTGAATGCTTCCATTTTCAAACATGCCTCGGAAATCAAACGGCACATTTCTCAATTTTCCCCATTGAACTTGTTGACAGCCCTCTGATCCTCGGTTTTCAAATGTTTTGGAAGTCGAACGGACTTCCGGAACAGATTACGTTCGGAAACCGAGGTTCCACTGTACAAAAAACAGGTGAACAGAGCCAGAACTGGGAACTTGAATCTCCACTGAGCAGTAAATGCCTCTGAATGGCAGTTGCTGGGAATCGCAAGTGGGGAGAGTTTCTGTTGTGCCCCTTCTTGTGGACATGAGTTCCACAGTTTAACTACAGGCTGCCCGAATAAGTCCTTTCTATTTTTGTGTCCTGAATCCTTCCCACCCAACCTGGATATGCCATGAGAGATTGAACCTGGGACCTTCTGCATGCAAAACACTGAGCTGCAGCCCTTCTCGTGAAAAGAAAGAGCCTAGTCCTCATGATTTTTTTTTTAAAAAAGAAATGTTTTAAACAGGAATATAGGAAGCTGCCTTCTACTGACTGAGACCCATGGTCCATCTAACTCGATATTCCCTACACTGACTGGCAGCAGCTCCCCAGGATTTCAGACGGGGAATATTTCCGAGCCCCGCCTGGAGATGCTGCCAGAGTTGAACCCGGGGCCTTTTGCATGCAAAGCATATTGTTCCCGGTTGCTGCCACGTCCTCCGGTGGCGACGGCTGCATAACTTATCTTGATAAACGAGTCACTGTTGCCGTCTCTCATTAAAGTGGTGATTGTATATTAATTACGGTAATTAAACGGAGCTGCTCGGTGATAAACGGCCAAAGTCAGGAGCCTCCTTGCACTAATTACACCAAAGGTGCCCAAGATGGATCGGCAGAAGAGCAAGTGCACCGAGACGGAGAAGGGGGAACCAGATTGTGAGTGCTGGTGGGACGGGAATCTCCCTCTCCGTGAGGTTTAGCAGGATGCCGAGTGATTTATGGGAGGAGAGAGACAGGAACACGAGGAGAAAAGCCCTGGCAAGCACAGCTTGGATGTGGAGCAGGCGGTCGCTGCTCACCACACACAAAGGAAAGAAATGTAGAATCAGAAGGAACCTAGAGGTCCTCTAGACCACCCCAGCCAAACGCAGGATCTGTGAGGCAGATTGAGGAAAAGGGGAATTTGGAGGAGTGATTTTTTTTTTTTAAGGGGAAGAAGTGAGGTGATTAGAGCGCTGGATAACTTCTTCTTCTTCTTCTTCTTCTTCTTCTTCTTCTTCTTCTTCTTCTTCTTTTTCGCTCTCCTCAATGAATCTGCACAACAACCCTGTGAGGTAGGTTAGGCTGAGAGGCAGCAATGGGCCCAAAGGTCGCACCCAGGAAGCTTCATTTCTGAGTGGGAGGGTCTGAGTCCTGGTCTCCCAGGAGAAATTAACACCAAATGACGATTAATTTCAAAAAGAAAAGTTTACTTTTTTTTAAAAAAGTTTGCAAACTGATGGGAAGATGTGGAGAACTGAATATATTGATCTATATCTATCTATCTATCTATCTATCTATCTCTATCTATCTATCTCTATCTATCTATCTATCTATCTATCTATCTATCTATCTATCTATGGGGGGGGGGCAGAGAACCCAAGAAACTGAAATTGACCAATTCGCCTGTCCCTGGATATCACTGCTTTTGCTCTTAAAAAACCCCAACCCACCACATGGGTCCCTCTCTCGCCAGGCCCAGGTCCTGGGTGCGGATTTCGCTGCCTACACTGCAATAATATAATGCCTACATTGGGGATGTTCCGTTCCCCAGAATGGCTCAAGGAGGTGTAAGGGCAGCATTTCAGGGAGTTGTTAATTTAGCTGCCAGGGAAGAAAAAGAGAAAAAAAGAGGAAATCTCACAGAGTCCCAATTTCACAGAAATCCCCCCCCCCCCCCCCCGGGAATTTCAGGAGTCTTTTTTACACCTCGCTGAAGATGCTTGCGACACCCCCCCTGCCCTCCCCACCAGCTAATACTACACTGGGGAGAGCCCCCCAGTCCGGGCCGGAGGCGGTATCACGGCCGCAGGGCCCTCCGCCGGCACGTCCGCCCGCCAAGCCTCCTTCCGCCTGGGCCTAATGAAGCCCCGGGGGACGCGGCGCAGAGGGAGAAAGCAGGTATTGTCGAAATGTCGGCCAAATGCCACGTCTATCGATTTGACATTTGCTGCTGTTGCCTTTTAGGGCTGGCACGGCTGGCTGCATCCCTGAGACAAGATGTCTGTATTTGTAACGTGGCATTAGAATGCAGCCGGGGTCCCGTGTCGGCGTCCCTCCCCTCGCTTAACCCTGCAGGCGAGAAGAGGGACTCCTCTGTCTGCCTGCCTCCTTCGTCTTACCTGCCCCCACCCCAGAAAAGGGGCCGAGGCTCTCTTACGGATGATAAAGGACAAAAATCTGGGGCTCAAGGAACGCAGCCCTCAGGCTACAAAATGTCCCCCATCCTTGCTGGAGAATCTAAAAGCATTCAAACACACCCTCCAAATCCATCCAGAATTTTGTCCTGGGTCTTGAGGACCAGTTTCTCCTAAAGGGGTCTTTGCAGACCGAAGTTTCAGCCAGGAACGGGTGTAATTCACACGGCATCACTGAAGTTAACTCTTCATTCAAAGAAATAGGAGTAACAACTCATCCCAGCAAATCTCGCCCGGAGGAGGCAGTTTGGGGGGCTGAAGGTCCCCGTCTTCCCACAGTTCCCGAAGTCTTTTGTTCCCCCGGGTCCTTCCCATAGTCTGAGACTATGCCTACATGCCACTCTCTGTTCCTCCCTCTTCACACCTCTACTGGTCCTGGGAGACCAGCGAAAAGGGGAGCTTGTCACTGTAGGAGGGGGAGACCCCCTAGTTTCTCCAGCACCCAGCCTCCCCTCTGCCTCTTGGCTTCCCTCCCCTCCAGCCTCCGCTTCTGCCTCTGATTCTGCACTGCTTTCTCCCCCGTTCTTCCTGCTCACCAAACCCTGTTGCCTCTTCAGCTTCCGACACCTCTTCTTCCCAGTCCGCTCCCTCTTCTCCCTCTGACCACTCATCTTCCTCCCACCACCCCTCCCCTGGCCCTGAGCCTTCTCCTCTTGGGGGTTCCCTGGCTGCATCCCGCCAGGCCATGACACCTACCAGGCTGGGTTCAATGACTCACCCGGATCTCGACGCCATAACCAGGGTACACAGAGATGGTGTAGGTGCAGTCGAGGGTCCCCCCTTCGTACGGGATGCCAGAGGGGAGGGGAGAGGCCAGCGAGCCTTTGGGGCCAGTGAGGTTCCAGCTGCAAGGACCTATGCACAAAGAGGGCAAAATATTAGACAAAGGAGAGAGCGCTTCTAAGCTCTCGTCTCCCCATCACAGCCAGCCTCAAAAGCCTTCTCCTGCCCTAGATGGGGGCAGAAGACCTTCGGAAGAGCCTGCTGGATCCGGCCAGTGCCAACCAGTTGCCCTCAGGCAGGACCTGAGTGTGAGAGAAACTCTCCCCTCCTGTGGTTTCTAGCAATGGGTATTCAGAAGCATCATGGCTAGTAGCCCTTCACAGACCTCTCCTCCTCCAGAAACTCATCTCATCCTCTTTTGAAGCTATCTAGGTTGGCGACCAACACTGCCTCCTGTGGCAGGGAGTTCCACAGTCTAACTCTTTGCTACATAAAGGACTCAATCTTCCAGCATTTGGTTTTATCGTTGGCCCATGTCGCAAGCTTTTTTCCATACGGCAGTTGCTCCATCCTCTTGATCATCTGAGATGGGGGCAAAATGGTGCCCTCCTCCTCCAAATAAACAGGCACCTGCTTTATACTGAGTCTGTCCGCTGAGTTATCAAGCTCAGCATTGCCCACACCGACTGGCAGCAGCTCTCCAGGGTCTCAGGGAGAGAGGAGGGTCTCTTTCCCATCACCTGATCATTTTAACTGGATATGCTTCTAGGGGGTTGCATAATCTGCCTTAAGTCAGACCACTGGCCCACTGAGATCAGTATTGTCCACACTGACTGGCAGCAGCTATCTCCAGCGTTTCAAGGCAGAGGGGTCTTACCCCAGCCCTGCGTGGAGATTTCAGTGGAGACTGAAGCTGGGACCTTCTGCATGTGAAGCGGCCGCTCTATCAATCAGTTCCAGCTCCTCCATCTAAAGGTGAAAACAAGATTCCAGTCCTCAGGCTTCTGAATTACTAAGGGCTGCACATGAGGAGAACAGGAAGCCATAAACTACCGGTAGATCAGACCATTGTTCCATCTGGCTCAGTTGTCTGAACTGACTGGCAGCAGAGGTTCCCCAGGGGGTCAGACAGGGGGACGGAGATCTTCTGCTCTAACCACTGAGCTGCGCCCTGTGATCCCGATTTTCCAATCTCATTTCAACCAGAGTTGTGCAGGATAACTTTTCTGTAATAAGTTGTGTGTGTGTTTTGGGGCGTGTGTGCAGAATCCCATTTGCATTTCCCCTTCAGGCCCCGGGACCTTCCTGGCCCAGCTCCAAGCAGGGCAGGCCCCTTTGAACGTCAATCTCTCGCTGCTCCTTTCATTACAGAAAGAAAACAGAAAAACCCAAGCCCTGCCTTCCGGCTATTTCCTACACTCCAATCCATAATTAATTCCATTGTTGTTCCCTAAACGGTTTCCCTGACAATTAAAACGGCATTCTTCCGGAGACCTGGGATGGCTGGGTCAAAGCCAAGCAACTTTTAAAATTTAGGGAGCTCAGCTCCCGACAGCTCAGATCTAACGCCTGGCAGCTCCGTAGATCTGAGCAACCTGGCCTCTCCGACTGAGCCAAAGCATTTGCTGGGGATATTTCAGGTCAAGGATGGGGGAACATTTGCAGCTCCATCCCCTCTCCCGATTGGCCACGCTGCTTCCTGGGAGTTGGGGAGGGTGTCTGACAACATCTGGACCTGGGAGACCAGAGTTCGAATCTCTGCTTGGTTATGAAGCTCAGTGGCTGGCCCCTCCCTTCCTCCCTCATTTTCTTCTGCCCCAACCTACTTCACAGGGCTGTTGTGACCCTGATTGTTAGGAGCGAGCCAGCAATAAATCACACGGAGCAAGTGAAGTTAACTCTTTATTAGAAGAAACAGGATCTGCTCAGGAGTGCCAGGCCTAATGAGCACAGCGACTCTTCTTCAAATCGGAGACGGGGTCTGCATGAAGCCAAACCCTCCTCCGCCCCTTTTCATGCCTCTTCTGGTTCTGGGAGACCAAAGGGGAGAGGAGTTTGTCGCAGCAGGAGGGGGAGACACTCGTGCCTCTTCACAAGCCTGACCCATCCCTGCCCCTTGGCCTTCCTCCTGCTTCAACTTCTGCCTCTGATTCTGGACTTATCTCTTAAACGGCCTTGGTCCAGTATACCTGAAGCAGCGTCTCCATCCCCATCGTTCAGCTGCAAGGGCCTTCTGGGGGTTCCCTCAAAGCGAGAAGTGAGGTTACAGGGAACTAGGCAGAGGGCCTTCTCGGTGGTGGCGCCCGCCCTGTGGAACACCCTCCCCTCAGATGGCAAGGAAATAAACAACTACCTGACTTTTAGAAGACATCTGAAGGCAGCCCTGTTTAGGGAAGCTTTTAATGACTGATGCTTTAATGTATTTTTAATCTTTTGATGGAAGACGCCCAGAGTGGCTGGGAAAACCCAGCCAGATGGGCGGGATAGAAATAATAAATGATGATGATGAGCCAGGGGAGCGGTGGTGGGATGACAATGAGTGGTCAGAGGGAGAAGACTGGGAGGAGGAGATGTCGGCAACAGGAGAGGTGACAGGGTTTGGTGAGCAGGAAGAGGCTGGGGCAGAGAGCAGTGCAGAATCAGAGGCTGGAGAGGAGGTTGGGTCAATAGGCAGAGTGGAGGCCGGCTGCTGAAGAATCCAGGGATCCTCTGTCTTCTGCTACAACCAGCTCCCTCCCTGGTCTCCGAGAACTTGCAGAGAAATGAAATGGCCAGAGCAGAGGATGCTTGTGTGCAGACTATGTGGGGAAGATCCTGGAAAAGAGGAGTCCTTGTGGGCCTTGCAACTACTTCATTTTGGCGAGATCTCCCAGAAAGAGTTGCTGAGACCACTAGGCCTGAGCTGTGGTTTGCTTCCTTGAATAAAGAATTCACTGGCCTTGGGTGAGTTATTGATTAGTTGCTGCCTACGCCTGACTCCGGGACGCGGGTAGTGCTGTGGGTTAAACCACAGAGCCTAGGACTTGCTGATCAGAAGGTCGGCGGTTCGAATCCCCACGACGGGGTGAGCTCCCATTGCGCGGTCCCTGCTCCTGCCAACCTAGCAGTTCGAAAGCACATCAAAGTGCAAGTAGATAAGTAGGTACCGCTCCATTGGGAAAGTAAACGGCGTTTCCGTGCGCTGCTCTGGTTCGCCAAAAGCGGCTTAGACATGCTGGCCACATGACCCGGAAGCTGTACGCCGGCTCCCTCGGCCAGTAAAGCGAGATGAGCGCCGCAACCCCAGAATCGGCCACAACTGGACCTAATCTCTAAATCAAGGATGTCCCTGAAAAATAGGGCCACTTTTAGGGTCTTCCCTTGGGGTTTCCCAGCTATCAACTCCCACCATTCCTCTGGGACCAACCAGTCCGTGACCCTTGCCGTCTTCGATTCCTCTCCTCCACTGTTTCACCCCGCCTGCGTAACCCACCTGCTCCCAGAATGGACGTGATGACGGTGGTGGTCTTGATGGTGGTGGTGGCCGTCTCCTCCTCCTCGCTGGACTCCCGCCTGGGCGTGGTCACTTCCGGTTGTGCGCTGGGGGCAGCTGCCGTGCCCGGGGTGCCACCGGAAAACGCGTCGGTGGTGGCTGGGCCCGAGGAACCAAGACCAGTCTGGAAACCCAGCACAGGGGTGACCGGCGGCTGCGTGCGGCCAGAGAGCGGGCCGGATTTGGCCCACGGCACCAGCCGCCCCATGGCTGTGGTCAGGAGGTCTGTGGTGAAGGCCGGCTTGGCCATCTCGGGGGTCCTCTCCATGTCCTTCCCTTCGGCCTTCCCGCCCGCCAGGGTCATGGGGGACGCCGTGGTCATGGGCGGCGTGGTGGGCGGCCCGGTGGCGGCATGGGAGAGAGCGGGGCGGCCATCTTGGTCAGCCAGGTTGCTTGTGGGGGCCGGGCCGAGGTCAGCATCTGGAAGGACAGGCCCCGGACCCACGAGGCCGGCAGCCAGGAAGGGAATTTGCCGCAGGTAATCTTTCTTGAGGAGGGGCTCGTGGAGAAAGTCATCCAGGAGAGGGTGATGGTTGAGGAGCTTCAGGGTGGGTGCCGTGGTGACAAAGTGGGCCTCGCGCTCTGGCTCATCAGGGGTGGGGGGCACCGTGGGCTCCCCTTCAGCCTCAGAGACCCCCGGCCTGTCGGGCTCCGCGGCGGAGAGTCCTGGGTGCGAGAGAGAGAGAGAGAAAGATCGCCGATGAAGGTTACCCGCTGCAATTGGTGCAAAAGCTACAGCCATCACTGACCTGGGAAAGCCTGGCCATTATTAATGTTATTGTTTCTGTTTATATCCTGCCTTTCCCCCAAACAGGTAAGATACAAAACTATAAAGGAGAATAGTTAAAGTGTGTAATAAAATCAAAACAAAATGAAAATCAAATCAATTGAAATACAGTCATACCTCAGGTTACAGACTCTTTGGGTTGCGCGATTTCGGGTGGTGCACCGCGCCGAACCCAGAAGTACTGGAACAGGTTACTTCTGGGTTTTGGCACTTGCGCATGCGCAGAAGCACTGAATTGCAACCCACGTGTGTGCAGATGCAGCGCTGCGGGTTGCGAAAGTGCTTTCTGCACGTTCAGGTTCAGGTTACATACGCTTCGGGTTACAGACTCTGCTAACCCAGAAATAGTACCTCAGGTTAAGAACTTTGCTTCAGGGTGAGAACAGAAATCGTGCTCCGGCGGCGCAGTGGCAGCAGGAGGCCCCATTAGCTAAAGTGGTGCTTCAGGTTAAGAACAGTTTCAGGTTAAGAACTGACCTCCAGAACGAATTAAGTACGTAACCCAAAGTACCACTGTAGTAGAAACAGCACAGCACTATTAAAAGCCCTTTCCTTAAAAAACGGCCCGTTCCCAAAGACCAGTTGGAATAAAGCCGATTTCACCTGCTAGCAGAAGAACAGCAAGGAGGGAGCCAGCCTGACTTCTCTAGGCAGGGAGTTCCAAAGTTGCCTAGGAGAAGAAACCACCAAGAGGGTTCTTGGTTACTTCAAGACTGGATTACTGCAATGGGATCTGTGTGGATCTTTTCTTGCACCTGATTGGAACTGCCTGCCCAGAGGGGCCTCTTGTTCTTCTTTTATCTATAAGCAAATCCAGTGCTTTTTTTCGGGGGGGGGGGCGCATATCCCTAAACACTTTTGTGCATCTAGGTTTGGCCTCTTTGATGGGCAGTATTTCAATATGATTAGTAAAATGAGAGTACCCCTAAACATTTTTTTCTTAAAAAACCACTGAGCAAATTTATAACTTTGCCTCTTCCCCCCTAAAAAAGACAGAGGCTGCAAAAAGGCAAAAAATGGGGGGGGGGGGACAGGACCCAGTAACCATCTAATTATCTTTTTGTGATCAGCAGAGCAGCAATTAAAAAACCGCACTGATTTTTAAAGCTGGGCCCGAACAAAAAGAACTGACAGCAGAATATTTCTTTCTGAAAAGCAGCAGGAACGATCAGCAAAAGTTTGCTGGGGAAAGTCGTACGGGTGGTTTTTATGCTGCCCCTTCAATCATCTTTCTTCCCAGGGAATATGAATAGCGAAGGAGGAGAAAGTCATTAAAAATGACAGCAGGGACCCCGATAGAGAGAGGGGCAGCTTAAACACCCTGCGGAAGAGGAATCCACAGCTGGGTGCCACTGCAGCAATTGGCTGGGGGCGAGAACCTGAGGGCCAGGACCCAGATGCAGCCCCCCAGGACTCTCTCTCTGGTCTTGGGGACCCTCCCCAGGCCACTGCCCTCGCAAGGACTGTCGGGATAGAGGACAGAGAGAAAGGAGGGACGTGCAAGAGCCCGCTGAAGGCTTGGAAAGTAAGCTGTTGTTCCAGACATTTTTGGTTCTCAACCCCGGCATGTGGCCCCCAAAAAGTCATTCAGAAGCAAATGCGGCCCTTGGATGAACCCCCCCACCCCGAGCAGTGAAAAGAAAGCCATCACTGATCACCTTTTGCAAGGCAGCAGTGACGGGGGGAACGGAAGCGTCCCACCTGCCAATCTTCTAAGGCAAGCCAACTCATATTCCGAAAATGACGTTGGTTTCTGAGGGAACGCAGGGGAAGAAGTCTAGATTGTACAATGATGGAGTTGTAGCGTAGGGTTCTCTAGAGTCATCTAGTCCAACAATGCAGGAACCACAGCGAAGAGAGACAGGTGGCATTTGCACTCTGCACATGCCCCCGGGGCACACTTCTTCCAAGTCAAACTTATTATTATTATTGTTTAGGTTTGTTTTTAAAAGAAGCGGAGGGGGTGGTCGCTGAAGCCACGAGCCAAGAATGCTATCTGCACGCTGCAGGCGTCAACCGGTTTAAGCAGGCAGGTCCCCCCGTGGGGCGCTTTGCCTCGGCTCCCGCACATTATCTCCCCGCTAAGCCAGGCACGCGGCGGCATTTAGGAGCTGTTAGGCTTATTGCTAGACTGCTTTCATTAGCCCGTAATGAGCCATCAAAAATGCCTCCCTGGCGGACTGGCCTCGTTTGGATGAATGGGGCAGGCGCCCGGGGAGAGCCGCGTGGCACTGTCACTCCCGACCGGAAGCCCCCCTTCTGCTGCAGATCGAGAAAGTCAGAGGGTACCCCAGGGTCATCTAGTCCAACCCCCTGGAATCTCAGCACGCGGTCCCTCCTCCAAGCTGAAACCATAACAGACCCTGCTTAGCTTCACAAATGTGCCAGCGGTTTTATGGCTGCACCATCAGCCTGTTCTCACAGGGGCTGACCGGATGCCCTTAATGGGAAACCGGTGAGCAGGATCTGAGCCCAAGAGCCACTCTCCCCTCCCTGTGGTTTCCAACAGCTGGCCTTTGGAAGGATTGCTGCCTCCGACTGCAGACAGGGTGGTCTAGTGGTTAGAGTGTCAGGCTAGGACCTGGGACAGATCAGGGTTCAAATCCCTCACCCGACCACGGACCACATTGTGTGTAGTCATTCTCTCTTTCTTTGTCTAACCTACCTCACAGCGTGGATGTGGGGATTAAATGAGGTTCAGAACCATGCATGCTCCCTCATGCTCCTTGGAGACAGAGGTGGGATATAAATGTGGGATGTGAAACACAAGAGCAGTCAAGTATAATATTCCTAGAGTGAACATGTTTGCACATGGGGAGGAATGTTTGTCCAGCCAGCAGGTAAACTTCCTGTTTCCTTCTGGGCTGGGACAGACTTCCTCAGCATGTGACTAGAGGTGGGCGTGGCCTCACCTGTGCAGGTAACAACAAAGGCACAGGGCAGGGCAGCCATATCTCCCATCAAAGAAGCAACATCTGCTTAGCCAAAGATGTTCTCTTGGCTCCAGCTAAGAGAGGACAAAGGGACTGTCTCCTTATGAGATAGTTTCCAGGTATATGTCACTTTTCTAAGCTAAGTCTGCCTTCTGGGATCCGATTGTGAACAGAATGTGAGTGAGTAAACTCTTTTTATACTTTTATAGACGACCGTGTCGTGTCTTATCTTTTATGAGGGAATAAGGGGAAAATACCAGAACAGTTATTATAGAGGCTTTAGCGAGCCTGAGCAAACACATCCGCTGTGAGTTTAAAAAGGGGAATGTTATTCTGCTAAATTATGAACTTGTTAACACAAGTTGGAAAGGCAATAACCAAACAATATATTCTCTCCTGAATCCCTGAATATTCCCACAATAAATGAAATAAATCCATCCATCCAAGGATTCCATTTGCCTCTGCAGCCTTGAGTTCTTCCTGTGTCGAAGTGTGAGCTGTAAATGCCTCAAGGCCAGGGAGTTCTCTTCTTGGCAAATTATTTATTTTCAAGTATTTTTTGTTTTTTTGTTTTAACCTGGCCGACCCCATAATGGCCCAGGGCAGGTTATGACAATGGAATCTACCACAATAAACCAAAACAAAAAAATTATGGTTATAAAACACCCCCACCCACCCCCAAAAACCCTCCTCCGAAATGGAACAGATTCAGCCAAGGAGGTGGTTCTCACAAAACAAATCAGTTTAGCCATCAAAGGCTGGGGGAGATAATGGTGTCTCCAGCAGACGCCGAAAGCTGTACAATGAAGGTGATCAATGCCCCTCCATTATGGAGAACATGCATAGCAAAGGCGCTTTAAACATTATTATTAGGGCTGCTATTAACAACAACAATAATTACAATATAATTTTAGGGTGCAAATCTCAAGCTTCGTCCCTGTCACTCACCCACTGCAAAATGGATCTCCTAAGTCAGGCTTCCTCAAACTCAGCCCTCCAGATGTTTTTGGCCTACAACTCCCATGATCCCTAGCTAGCAGGACCAGTGGTCAGGGATGATGGGAGTTGTAGTCCAAAACATCTGGAGGGCCGAGGTTGAGGAAGCCTGGCCTAAGTCTTGAGTTGTCAACTGTCAGGGGAAAAAGCACCCAGCTTGCTCTTGTGCTTTTAAGAGTACTGGGATGGGCCTGAAGAATAATGGAATCACAGAACTGTAGAACTGGAAGGGACCTCTGAGGGGCATCTAGTCCAACCCCCTGCAAAGAATCCCTGACGGGTGGCCACCCAACCTCCCATGAAGTAGAGGACGTCATCTTCCAATGGACTCCCTTCCCTTGTCAAAAAGCTCAGAAAGTTCCTCCTAATGTTGTGCGAGCATCTCCTTCCTTGTACAGTGGTACCTTGGTTCTCAGACTTCATCCGTTCCGGATGTCCGTTCCAAAACCAAAGCATTCCAAAACCAAGGCACGCTTTCCCATCAAAAGTAATGCAAAACGGATTAATCCGTTCCAGATTTTTATAAGCAACCCCTCAAACAGCAATTTTAACGTGAATTTTACTATCTAACGAGACCATCGATCCATAAAACAAAAGCAATAAACAGTGTACTGCAGACACACAATCAGTCAATCAGTAGCTGAACTGGGTTCCACACAGTCACAAAAACAAAACGAAAAAGAGCCGCAAAAACAAAAACGCAAAATAAATAGCAAAAACAGACAGGCCTCAGCGTAACACTCAAAACCAAAGTGTGGCACTCAAATCGGAAGCAGGGAACTCAAAACGGAGCACGTTCAGCTTCTGGAAAAGGTTCGCAAACCAGAACTGAGCAGTGTACAGAAATGCACATTCTACAGTTAAGGGTTCATATAAATTCCCATATTAGTGAAAGCAACACACAAAATGGCATCAAATCTGGGGAAATGTAAATATGAGGGGACACATGCTTTGCAGATGCGGGTAGATCAGGCAAAACTGGCTACAAAAATGTGTCTTACTGGGAGAAATCTGTGCCGAAATGCTGACGAATTTTCACGAGCACTTTAAGGAAACAACATATCACAAACTGATGCAGAGAGCCGAAAACAAGCACCCAAAATGGGCAGGTTCGCCTATCTCTACTCAGAGTAGACCGGTTGAAATTCATGGGCGTGGCGGACTTCGCTCCATCCATTTGAACGGGCATGGCTCTGAGCAGAACGTACTTGCCTCCCGCCCAGCGTTTCTACCTGACAACCCCGTTTCCAAGAGACACCCACACGGCCCCCGCAAGATGGAGCCTCGTAAACCGCAGCCAGCTCTGAAGAGGCTTAATTGCCTCTTCAAAGGGGCAGCCGCAGTCGTAATTAATCCGCCTCGCGTTAAGTCTCGCTTTACATTCTAATTGGCAGTGCAACGCCATCTGGATCGGTGCCTGGACCCCTCACACCTGGGGAGGGATGAGGAGGGACACGACTCCAGTCTTGGGCAAGGAGGACAAAGGCACAGACCCAAAGTTCATATTATTATTATTATTATTATTATTATTATTATTAGCCCCCCAGAGACCATGGAGCCAGGTCTGCGGGCTGGCAGCAGGCATGGCAAGAATCCTGGTCTCCTTTACGTCCAGTTAGCCTTTGAAGTGCATCTCATTCAGGGGTGTGGCCCTCTGGGTGTCTCTGCCTGGCCCTCGGCACTCTCTCCAGGCCACACCTCCTGCCTAGCCACACCCCTCTCTCCAGGCCACGCGCCCACCACTCCTGCTTTGACGCCCCCTTACGTGTTGCTTGCCCAGCTGACACCAAAGACAAAAGGGTCGACTGGGTATAAAGCAGCTTCCTACGTTCCGATATTTAACAGCGGAACAGCCTGCCACAAGATGGCAGTTCAGTCACATCTGGGGGTGGGGCTGCAGTTCCCCCCAACCACAGCCAAACCTTTATGGACCTTGAAACTCACCAGCCAAGCGACTTGCCTTTCCTTCCTCAGAGGTTTATAAACCAAGGTCAGGTGGTCTCCTGCCAGTCGCGATTCCTCCATTGCAGGGGGTTGGGATGCATGACCTTTGGGGTTCCCCTTCTGGTTCCACAATTCTACGATTTCCCTCCTCCCTCCAGTCAGCGGAAGCTCCCCTGTTGCTACATTTACGGGCGCCAGATTGCAGCTAAAGGAGCAACAGCAGGGTGGTTTAAAGCCGAAAAATTAAAAGGTGGGTGGAAACGGGCAACTTTGATTAGTGCCAGCCGCGCTGTGGCACTGCCGTCACCCATATTGGTGCCAGCCTTTGCCACGTGACACCCGGTTGGGAGGGGGCCCCTCCGCCACCGCTTAAAGAGGTTAACTTGCCCCCAGCATGGAGGGAATTATGTTTTAATAGAATCCATTTATTACACCATAAAAGTTAATGAGTTTATATGGAGAGGCACCAGGATCCCTTTTAAGGTTTTAATAGGGGATTAGCACGGCGTCCCAGACTCCAATGCTGCGTCGTTCGGCTCGTTAACCGTACACTTCCCCCCACCCCCATTTGATTTGTCAGCTCCAAAATACTCGTTTCTTTCCTCTCCGGGCGCAGCACCCCACCAGCACCTCTGCCCACCTGCCGGGGAAACCGAGGCACACGGCACAGGGTCAAAAAGGCTGCCCTCCAGATGTGGTTGGACTCCCAATTGCCAGGGATGGCGATGGAGCGCATGAACATCTGGAGAGATGCAGCCTGGCCTCATCCCTGGTCAAAAGCCTTTCTGGGGAAAGCTCCAGCTTCTAGGTGAAAACCCCATCCCTCCCTGGATAGAATCCTGGAATCATAGAGTTGGAAGGGACCCCCAAAGGTCATGCATCCCAACCCCCTGAAATGCAGGAATCAAACCTAAGGCACACGAGAGCATATGTGTCAAATTCTGCACACCCCTCCCAATAAGAGACCTTCTCCATTTAGTTGCCTTGGCGGGTTACGTCAGCCTGATTTCCTAACTATCCAGTCTGTGATGCGGAGGCTGAGGCACTCTGCACATGCTCAGAAAGCACGCGCTTTGCAAATTGGTTTGCAAATTGGTCTCCTCCAGGGAGGAGCAGGGAAGCTTTTCCAGACCAAGGGCCACATTTCCTCCTGGTGGAGGCAAAAGTAAACTTCACCGTTCTGCAGGTGACTAGTTTATCTGGCCCCAATCCATCTTTCACTGAGGCAAGCAATGTGGCAGAATTTAAGGCACACTCCCAGTCAGGCAAGAACACTCAAGCAGGGTGCAAATTAGGGTCAAGTTAAGGGGGTCTGGCCTGAGACAGGGGGTGTGGCCTGGGGAAAGAGTCCCGAGGGCCAGACGGAGAGACCTCGAGAGCCACATTTGGCACGTGGGTCTAAGGCTCTTCACCCCCTGGAATTCAGAAGCCTTCCTGGTTCAGACTCAGCTCTGGTTGTGGGCTTTGGGGACCCACAGACCTGCTCCCCTGCCCCAGTTTTGCAAAAGGCTGATAGGAAGTGTGGGCATTGCTAAGCCGCCTGCTTCAGGGTTGCCAACCTTTCATTTTTATTTTTTAAATGATATTTATTAAGGGTTGCCAACCTTTCAAACCAGCCCATGTGCCCATACCTGAAGGAGCGTCTCCACCCCCATCATTCTGCCCGGACACTGAGGTCCAGCTCCGAGGGCCTTCTGGCGGTTCCCTCACTGCGAGAAGCAAAGCTACAGGGAACCAGGCAGAGGGCCTTCTCGGTGGTGGCTCCCGCCCTGTGGAACGCCCTCCCATCAGATGTCAAAGAGATAAACAACTACCTGACATTCAGAAGACATCTGAAGGCAGCCCTGTTTAGGGAAGCTTTTAATGTGTGACATTTTAATGTTTTTTTAATCTTTGTTGGAAGCCGCCCAGAGTGGTTGGGGAAACCCAGCCATGTGGGTGGGGTACAAATAATAAATTGTTGTTGTTGTTGTTGTTCTTATTATTATTAATTTTAAAATTATTATTATTATTATTATTATTATTATTATTATTATATGCTTAACCTAGAACTCGTGGGCTTCCAATGAAGCTGAACGTAGGAAGATCCGGGACAGATAACTGAAAGTTCTCCATGCTGTGCTAAGTTAGACCGTGGAACTCCCTGCCACTGGGGCAGCGATGGGCACCAACTGGGATGGCTTTAAAAAAGAACTGGACCAGTTCATAGAGGAGGAGAGAGCTTTTAAGGCCTGCTAGTTACTGCGGCTCTGCTCTGCAAAAACAGACGGAGACAGGAATGCTTCTGAATGCCAGTGTCTGGAAAGCCACAGGACTGGAGGGGGATCCTGTGCACAGATCCTGATTCCAGATTTCCCCTTGGGGATCTGGTTGGCCCCTGTGAGAACAGGACGCCGGACTAGACGGCCTGATCCAGCAGCATGTTCTTATGCCTTCACGGCAGCTCTAATTTGCAGACCCGGATTTGCAGCTCAATTTCCGCAGGCTGAATCCAGGGCGCCAAAGGGCTTTCTGTTCCGCTTTAATCTCACATGCTGGATCCGGCCCTTCCCTGCAAGCTCCCCTGCTCTGCAAACTCCCCAGCCCAACCCTGTCATCTCTCCCCCCTCCCCCCACCCTCTTTCTCGGATATAACTCTTTTCCTGCTGCTCTCCTGATGGCGCCGATAATGAGATGGAACTACCGAATGGGTACTTGCGTGCCGGCAAAACGGGTAAATAAATTGAAATACTAATAACGGCCCCATCAGGAGAGCGCAGCGCCGTGACCCAGATGAGTGCGGCAGAGGCGGCTGCGGAGGCTTCAAGGCCGCAGCGGGAATAAACACACACACACATATAGATGCCAAACTTATGGCTTGCGAGAGAGGCAGTGCAGAAGGAGGGACAAAACCAGGCTCCCTAGATCAAAGAAATATAAGAGAGGGAGAAATAGGGGGTTCGTTTGCCCCAGTCTCCTGCTTCCAACAAAGGACAGCCAGAACTCCTCCCTGCCTTCCAATTTGAGGTCACAAATTTTAGATACACTGCCTCTGAACATGGAGGCTTCGCTTATTTAGCCTCTGAGGGTGAGGGATGGGCTCAGATCCACCAGCTGTTCAGCCTGTAGGGGGTGCTTCATTGGGTTACTATGATTAGGCCTTGCAAGACATAAGAGTTCTCTGCCTCCGCTCCGTTTGCCAGGAGAAGGACCCATAAGTTGCCACTGTATTCACTGTATTTCCCAACTGGCTTAATGCTGCCAGCTCTGACTGGCAGCTGCTCTCCAGGCATTCAGGAAGAGAGTGGGAAGAGAGGGAGGACCTTTTAATTGCAGGTGCCAGGAACTGAACCTGGGACCCTCTGCAATGTAAAGCATTTGCTGTATCATGGAACCAGAGCTCAAAAATAAAGTTAAGATTCTAGTCCTCATGGTCCTGAATTAAGGGCTGGCTTAAACAGGATCAAAGAATCATAGAATGATAGAGTGGGAAGGGACCATGCGGGTCAAGCCCCTGCAATAGGAACACAGGAATCTGCCTTATACTGAGTCAAACCATTGGGGCCCATCTAGCTCAGTACTGCCTGCACTGACTGGCAACGGCTGTCCAGGCAGAGAGTCTTTCCCAGCCCTGCCTGGGAGATGCCAGTAGGGACTGAACCCAGGATCTTCTGCATTCGGAACAGGGGCTTCACCAATGGTCTGTGACCCTTCCCTCCTGTGGTTTCCAGAAACTGGTACTCAGAAACATCACTGCTTCTAACCGTGGCTGGTAGCCATCGATAGCCCTCTCTTCCCCCGGGAATTTGTCCGATCCTGAAGAACACAGGATGGTTCTGCGTTGGGCTCTGCAAATTCCCCCATCGAGGTGTCCATTAAGAAAGCAAACACGAGCTTCAGCAAGCCGGAATAATCATCCGAGTGCATTGTCTGTGGCTGGGTGGTGTGTGTGTGTGTGTGTGTGTGTGTGTGTGTGTGTGTGTAAGCCTGGCAAAATGTGTGTGTGTGTGTCTGTGTGTGTGAGGAGAGAGAAGGGAGCCCTTCCGTGCAAAAAGAATCGATTTTGGCCAGAGGGATGAAGAAAGGAATGAATTAAAGAAACAGGCGCGAGGAATCGATAGTGCAATGTGAACAAGAGGGAGAGGGCGGCGGCGGGCCAGGGAGGGGGTGGTGGGAGTTATTATCCCACAGCCCTTGCGCCAAATTGGAACCAAAAAATGCAAAATCCACACACTAAATTGCTGGTGACTTATCACGAGGAGTTATGAGAACAAGTAGATGCGAAAACAGAGGCAGATGCGCTTAAGATGTGCGAAATGTCGCTCTTTGGTCTAGATCCAAAGCTTTTGGCACCAGCACTCTCAGGGACTGGTTGGTGGTGGCTCCTCCTCCTCTGACGGTTCTTTATAATAATAATACAGTCATACCTCGGGTTGAATGTGCTTCAGGGTTGAGCGCTTTCGGGTTGCGTGTTACTTCCGGGTTTCGCCACTCGCACATGCGCAGACACTCAAAATGACGTCACGCGCATGCGCGGAAGTGGCAAAACGCGACATGCGCACACGCTGTGGCGTCTTACTTTCTATTCAGGATGCGAACAGGGCTCCGAAATGGATCCCGTTCGCATCCCGAGGTACCACTGTAATAATAATTTATTATTTGTACCCCGCTCATCTGGCTGGGTTTCCCCAGCCACTCTGAGCGGCTTCCAACAAAGACCTAAAATACACTAAAATGTCACACATTAAAAACTTTCCTGAACAGGGCTGCCTTCAGATGTCTTCTGAATGTCAGGTAGTTGTTTATATCTTTGACATCTGATGGGAGGGTGTTCCACAGGGTGGGGGCCACCACCGAGAAGGTATCCACTTTATCAGGTATCTGCACAGAGGGCCACTCTGTGCCAGATTTGGGGGTGCCCTGGCTGCCCCTTGGGGTCTCCAACCTGCAGGATGTGTGTTTCATCCTCTCTGGGCCAGGTAAGGACTCGGTTTGGCACACACACATCCTGCCGCTGCTCTGTGCCCTTGTAGTTTTTTGCAGAGGCGTCCCACAGCACTGAAGCAACCGTAGCGTCGGCAGGACAGCGCGGAGGGAGCCAGCACCGCAGGGAGGTTAAATGAAAAGAGACATCCTCTCCGACAGGGTCATTAGTCATGTCAGGCGGCCCGGCTCAGCCTTAGCAAAACAGTATTAGGTTTTAAATTGTGACACTAACAAACACCACCTCAGGAGATGCCTTTGCTCAGCATCTGTGCTCCAGGAGGGCTGGAATCTGCTGCGAGGAAGAGACCGCTGTGTCTCTGCATGAGTTGCTGCTCCTTTAACCATGAGAAGAGGACCCTAGCTGGGTCAAACTCTTTGTCCGTCCAGCCGAGTTGTGTCTGCTCTGAGTGGTAGCAGCCGTCTGGGGTCGCCGGCAGGGGAGGGTCTTCCCCATTGGAAAAGGGTCTTCTCATCCGAGTGCAAGGACCTGGTCCTTTTAAACTGGAGATGCTGTCAGAAATTGAACCCAGGACCTTGTGGGGGGGGGAAGCTGTTGCTCTAACACACTGCTTTGGCCCTTTGCCCTAATCAATAAAGATTCTAGGCCATGGGGAGGCAAACTAAGGCCCGGGGGTTGGATCCGGCCCAATCGCCTTCTAAATCCGGCCCACAGACTGTCTGGGAATCAGTGTGTTTTTACATGAATAGAATGTGTCCTTTTATTTAAAACACATCTCTGGGTTATTTGTGGGGCATAGGAATTCGTCATTCCACCCCCCCCCCAATATAGTCCAGCCCCCCCCAAGGTCTGAGGGACAGTGGATTGGCCCCCTGCTGAAAAAAGTTTGCTGACCCCTGTTCTAGTCCTCATGGTTCTGGAAAAAAGAGATTGATTTAAATGCAAACATTGGAAGTTGCCTTATAATGAGTCAAACCACTGGTCCATCTAGCTCAATATTGTCTACACTGACTGGCAGCAGCTCTCCAGGGGCCCAAGGAGGAGATATTTCCAGCCCACAATAGAGAAGTGAGGGATTGAACCTGGCGGCTTCTGCATGCAAGGCAAATAGATGCTCTGCCACTGAGCTACAGCCTTTCCCCTAAAACTAAGCTAAGATTCCAGTCCTCATGGTTCTGAATACAGAGTCAGACCATTGGCCCATCCAGCTCAGTATTGTCTACATTGGCTCTGAGCTTTTTTTACACAAGGGGTTAAGAAGAGGCTGCTGGGTCAGGCCCATGGCCCATCTAGTCCAGCATCCTGTTCTCACAGAATCATGAGGACTAGGAACTTGTTTCTTAGAAAACAAAAGCGAGGTTCTCTGAAAGCTGAATTCTGTAGCTAGTGCCAAAGATAAGAGCCTAAAAAGAGGCTGCTGGATCAGGCCAAAGAGGGCCCTATCTAGTTCAGCACCCTCTTCTCACAGCAACTGACTAGATGTCTATTTTGGGAAAGCCACAAGCTTGAATTTTGAATTGTTGATTTTGAATCATTGATTTTTTGAATTGTGAATTGCTGTAACCCGCCTTGGGACCTGCCGGCAAAGAGCGGACACGAATAGCAGTAATAACCAATAATAAAAAATAACAGGTAGCAAACAATACCTGTGAGATGCCCACTGCCAGTCAGTGTAGACAATATTGGGGAGCTAAGTTTCCATTGCTCAAGTACATCCCCAAGGCTACCCTCCCTAGATGGGCGGGCGTTTGCTGGGTCAGGATCCCAGCTGTGCCCCCTCCCCAAATCAAGACACCCCCCAGCCCAGCCCAGCCCAGCCCAGCCCAGCCCAGCCCCCCCTCCTTCCTCACTGTCGCTCTATAAGCCCCTCACTTATGGGGAAGGAGTTACAGCACAGCGCCTGCATGTTGGCATTTACGTGGCGCCTTTACACCCTGGAATTACGGCGGCTGTTGGCAGCTCCTGGGTACCCAAATGGGGGGGTGGGGAGGCAGCTCGTATATTTTTTTTATGACTTCGCGCTCTGCTCAGCCAACGCAGGAGATTAAATGTCACTTCAGCAGCCAAACAGCGCTGGTGCGGGTGAGGAACCGCGAGCCGTGCCAAGCGGGGATGTGGGCGAATCCATGCGCCAAAGGTCCTGGGCAGGGATGGGAAGCTGCAGAGAGGGTGCCTGAGCAGCTGAAATTGTCCCCCGCCCCACCTCCGGCCCCATCAGTGTGGGCTGCAGTTAACCCTTGGCGTCGGTCAGGAAGGTCAGGCAAAAAATAAAAAATACATCACAATTACAGAATTGCGCTTGGTGTCGATTGGCAGCAGTAGGGCAGGAGGCAGGGAGCCCAACACTAGGGGGCGCCAGAGCCAATGACAAGCAGCCAACACAGTCGAGCTTGGCTTGCTTGCTTGTTTTATATCCCACATAAGAAGAGCCTGCTGAATCGAGCCAGTGCTCCATTTAGTCCAGGATCTGCCAGACTTTTGGCTAATTAAGCAATCTATGGCCTTTTAAGGGACACGGGTGGCGCTGTGGGTTAAACCACAGAGCCTAGGACTTGCTGATCAGAAGGTCGGCGGTTCGAATCCCTGCGACGGGGTGAGCTGCCGTTGCTCGGTCCCTGCTCCTGCCAACCTAGCAGTTCGAAAGCACGTCGAAAGCACCTAGATAAATAGGTACCGCTCCGGCGGGAAGGTGAACGGCGTTTCTACTTGGCATTTTAGGAGATGATATTAACAGACAGGATTGTAAGTTGTTTTTATATGCTACGACAGCAGCAAGAATATTATTGGCACAAAAATGGAAACAAGAAGAATTACCAACGAAAGAAGGATGGAGGATGAAGTTGATGGACTATGCAGAATTAGATAAATTAACAGGAAGGATTCGAAACCTGCAGGGTCAGAGATTCTTAGAGGACTGGAGTAAATATATGAACAATTTGAAAAGTAATTGTGATGAACAGATTACGCTAGTAGGACTGCAAGAAGTTTTGTAAAGTGGATTATTTGAAATATTACAAGAATAGAATGAAAAGAATGATTAGTTAAGGACAATCAAATGCAATATAGAAATTAAGAAATGCAGAAAAAGTGATAAAGAATGGAAAATCATCAGAGGTGTTGACGGAAGTCAAAAACAATGTGTAAGATGAGAAGATATGTGGTATGACTGTTGGAAGTGATATGTTAAAAAATAAATGAAAATGTATATCTATCTATCTATCTATCTATCTATCTATCTATCTATCTATCTGCCCTGAATCGTTCAGCAGCCTAGTTTTGTCTCCTTGCTCTGGGATGCCAAGGTGAGCCAGGAAGCCTCTCTGACATGTGGGCACCTTTGCCTGACAACTTCCCCCACCCACTCACCCATTTTTGCCTCGGTTAATCCCAGCCTTGGCACTTTCATTTGGGGAGGGGGGAATTAAAAAAACAAACAAGCACCCACATCTCCCGTTCCAGTGCAGGAGCATGTCAGGAGCCAGATTCCGTGCCAACTTTGTTGAGGGGGCCTTTGTTGGTGCCACCCCTGGCGCCTGCAGCCTTCCTTGTGCCTTACTCATCACTGCCCAAACCAAGAGGCAAGAAGATGGGAGGGCAATATGGGGGGGGCGCTGAGGGAGGGAGAGAGCTTAATGGATTCTCAGCACCTGCCAACTCTATCAGTCTGCAGCCTGGCTCTCCCTGGATAGGCAGGCGGAGAAGGGGGATCGTTTGCATAAAGTTTAATTAGGGATTAGCGGGGGAGGGGTGGCTTTTATGCTCTTTGACTTTCTTTTTTTAAAAGATTAACACCTTGCCTTGGCATTAGGAGAGAGGATGGGGGGGTGGAGCTGGCAAGAGCTGGATGTGGAGTGCACCCCCCAACAAAAAATAATATTGCTATAGGGGGAGCAGAGGCCCAGCCAGCAAGGAGACGGGTCTCCAATGGATCCTTTCAACGCCCCTGGTCCAGGAAGGTGTCTGAGGGGCTTAAGGACGCCAGAAGAGTGGGGCAGCGGCAGCTGGATCAGGCCAAAGACCCTATCTAACCCAGCGTCATGTTTTCACTGTGGCCAAATGCCCCAAGGCACCTAGGAATGGAGACAGACTGCCTCTGGGCCAGGAAAAGGTAAAGGGACCCCTGACCATTAGGTCCAGTCATGGCCAACTCTGGGGTTGCGGCGCTCATCTTGCTTTATTGGCCGAGGGAGCTGGTGTACAGCTTCCGGGTCATATGGCCAGCATGACTAAGCCACTTCTGGCAAACCAGAGCAGCGCACGGAAACGCCGTTTACCTTTCCACCGGAGCGGTACCTATTTATCTGCAGTGGACGCTCGGGTTGTGAACGTGATCCATGCTGGAGGCACGTTCTCAACCCACAGTGTCCGCAACCCGCAGCGCAGCATGGGTTGCGATTCGGCGATTTGGCACATGTGCAAAGCGCGATTTAGTGTTTATGCGCATGCGCGAGCGCCGAAACCCGGAAGTAACCCGTTCTGGTACTTCCGGGTTTCGGCGCGTCCGTATCCCCAAAACACGCAAGCTGAAGTGTCTGTAACCTGAGGTATGACTGCACTTGCACTTTGAGGTGCTTTCGAACTGCTAGGTTGGCAGGAGCAGGGACCAAACAACGGGAGCTCAACCCATTGCAGGGATTTGAACCATCAACCTTCCGGTTGGGAAGCCCTAGGCTCTGTGGTTTAGACCACAGCGCCACCCGCGTCTCTCTGGGCCAGGAGGTTCCATCAAAACATAAGAAGAGCCCTGCAGCTAGATCCGGAAGCTGGGTTCATCTAGCCCCGCCTCCTGTTCTCACAGTGGCCAACCAGATGCCCCAGGGACAAGCCCAAAAGCAGGACCTAAGCTCAGCAGCAGCAGCAGCAGCAGCTCTAACCACTGGTGAGTACTGCCTCTGACAATGGAGGCAGAACACAGCTGTTGTGGCTGGGAGCCATGGATTGCTTTATCCTCTGTGTTTAACCCTCTTTCAAAGCTATCCCAGTTGGCCATCCATGCCTCCTGTGGCAGGGAGTTCCATAGTTTGTGCTATATTTTGAATGGTATATGGAGAAATTGGACAGGGAGAAGTTTTAACAACTTTGAGTTGTTAAAAGGCTCCTATCCCCCCCCCCCAAAAGCTTCAGTTCTCAGAGTGGTTATTAGCTCTGATTAGGGAACCCTTTAAATTATAGCTCTGTGAAGGGGGCGTGGAAGGGACCTTCAGCACCCTTTAGCAAACTAGAGTTCCCAGGATTCTTTGGGGGGGCATCATGTCTATTTAAAGGGTCACGATGCTGCTTTAAATGAATGGTGCCAGGGGGCCTTACAGCACTGCCCCTTGTAGAACTCAGCAGGGAGGAAGATAGGGCCTGTACAGAAAGCTTCCTGCCCAGTGGAGGCTGGTGGCCTAGGGAGAATGGGGCACTGCCCTACCAACCTCAGTCTGTCCTCAGCCAGCCCCACACTTAGCAGCCTCTTTGCTGCCTGCCGGTTGCTGGGGCTGTCAGCTTCTTCCTCAATTTCAGTATCACGCCTTGTCGAAGTCAGCAAGGAGGGGGATAGGGCCTGTTCGGAAAGCTTCCTTCCAAGTGGTGTGTCCAGTGGAGGCTGGTTGTCTAGGGCGAATGGGGCACTGCCCTCTCAATCTCACTCCTCCCACACCTAACTGCATTCTTGCTGCCTGCCAGTCTCTGGGGCTGCCAGCTTCCTCCTCAATCTCAGTGTTGTCCCTTGTAGAACTCAGCAGGGAGAAGGAGGAGGAGGATGGGGACAAAACCGGCTCTGTTTGTCATTGCTTCTGGCACCACCTGCTGTTGGGCTCCCTGCCTTCTGACAATTGCAGCTGGCACCAGCCAGCCCTGGATCTGTCCCAATGTCACATAGTCCGCCTCGCAGGGGTGCCAACTTGGAAAAAATATTGGGGGAGGCCCAGGTAAGCCCCACAGAATCGATCAGAAGACGCAACACATGCTCACCATTTGAATGGCAACGCCCATCAACTTTAGGGGTGACGGCCCCTCAAATATTTTAAGGGGGGGCCCCAGGGAGTTGGCTCCTATGCCGCCTTGCAAATGACAATGGGAGCTTCGTTGCTCCCATTACAAAGTGCCAGGGTTAGAGTAGTGTTTAGAGTGTCAGATGTGGGAGGGACTCGAGTTCA